GGTGAAATATATAATTGACACATACAAAGAAGTATGAATATTAAATAATTTATTATCAATAATTTTTAATGTGTAATTATCAAACCAAATACATCAATACTTACTACAATGTGATCCAAAACACAAAAAGTATTATTTGATACACTACTTTAATAGAAAGTGATTAGTATTTTAAACATTCATTAGCGTGTCTTCTTGCCACCTATTCTTTAAGTTATAACACATATTGTGGTACCTTTTTTGTCACCTTGACAACTCTAGTCATTCTTATTCTTACATTTGACACTAGTGTGAAACTTTGATGTGTCAATGATCTTGTGATTTAATAATACATTAGCTAAACATTATCAATTTTATATCTATGGCTTCTAAATATTATAACTCAACATCTCAAACTCTAGACCACTATCATAGTGTTGAATAATTTAGTATTATTATATATATTATTAATGCCAAAGAGTAATAAATTAAATTACTTCACAATTCTCTCATAAAACTAGTGTAGAAAAATTAATAGAGAACTTTCCTTGTTGTCCACACAATGTTTGTTAGAAAGAATTTCTCTTTTAGTTATTTCACAAGCATAACTCATGTGTAGATGGGTAAAGATAGTACTATATTAGTTCATGTTAACTACCATAACTTCACATATTTATTACTAGCTTTTTTGATTATGAGGTGTGCATCAACCAAATATAGTGGTCGAAGTCATGTAAAAAATTTTCTAGTTATTTTTATGTTTTGAATTAAAAAATATATTTGGCTCTTCCATCCCCATTAAAGAACATTTTAATAACAGGACATTTAGAGCAAGAGTCTCTACAAAGTTTCATAGATCTTTGACATGTTTTTTGTGCCAACATGCATTGTATGTATGTGTATACCTATAAGGTCCCCATGATTAATAAGACATCTTTGGCATTGGTATACCTCAATATTTTTTTTTGTTCAATCCATACATGCATGCGTGCGAGACATCATGCGTTCAAGATGTGCAATGTTGTTGTAGTATGTGTTGTCTACACTATGTTACATATGTACAATTATTTGTGTACTTACTTATATGCTCAAATGTCTTTGTGTTAGTAATGAGAGGTTTTGTGCCCAATAGAGTATGCAACGTCTAGTCTAGTGTGGGAAAAGATAAATAAATTTTCTTAGGAGACATTTATATTTCAATGTATTTATAGAGTTATTTCTTAGAATTTTCCAAGTTTATGATTTTGTTCCATAAGAGTACTTGCAAGTTTTCAACATAATTTTTTGTCTCATTTATAAGGTCAATAATATATTTTTGTTAAAAAATAAATATTCATTCTTTCGACTAAGCTACTTAAACAGCAAGAAAATATTTTAATTTTCCCAAAACCTTAATATAAAACTCTTTTTACAAAACATTTATTTTTTTATTTCTCATAATTTCGTATTAATGTAAATCATTTACATATACTACCAATGTTGTAATGTTCCTTGATGTTGAGTTTTAATAAATAAAGTATAGTCTCTTTTATTAGGTATATAATCTATCTCTTGCATCACGTTTGTAAATCTCCCAAATCATGCTCTTAAGGATTACAATAGCCTATATACTATTTATTTAATTTATAAACTATATCATTCTTAGAATCGACTTAAATTCATAAGGAACATTCATAAAAATTTACTCATCAAATTCTCCATGTAAAAATATATTTTTAACACCAAACTATCATATATCTAAATTTTAATTAGCTACTAAGGATAGTAAAATTTAAATTGTATCTATTTTTTCCACCATAGAAAATGTATTTAAATAATCTATCCAATAAATTTGGGAGTAGCACTTAGCTATTAACCTAGCTTTCTATCTTTACATTGACCCATTGACTTTGTATTCAATGATATACACATCTGCATACAATTATTTTCATTTTTATTTGTAATTTTACTAACTTCTGAGTTTGATTCTTCTCTAATAACTTAATTTCATCATCCCTTGTATGTTTCTATTGTGTACTTGATAATACCTCAGCAACATTTGTTGGGATGGATGCAACATTGAAAAAAGTAAGAAATATTTTATATGAAGGAGAAAAACGTTTAAAAGATATAAATTGATAAAACCAATACTTTGGGTTTCTAACATACTTTATTTTTTCTTTCCTAAGAGCAATAGGTAATTCTTCAAGAGTTTTCTCTAATATAGAGGATTGAATAAATTCTCTTGACTATTCTTGGATAGAAGGGTATATCAAGTAGAGATTCCTCCAAAATAATATTCAAAGACATTGGTTCTTCTAAAGATAATGTTGATAAAAATAAGCTTCTAATTGCTACTTCTCCACTATCATCTTTAATCAAAATTTTCCCCTCAAAAGAAATATTCTTAACATTAAAAAATAATTGATGTTCACTAAAAAATATATCAATTGAAATAAAATATATATTCAATAAATGATGATAAAATTTATATCATTTTTTAATGTTGAAGTAATCAATGAGAACATATTTTAGTGCCTACAAATTAGGTTTTTCCTTTGCTTAATCTTAATTGTTGACAAATATCACAAATCTAAATATCGTATGAATCAAGTTAGTTTTTAATAAAAATATGTGGGTAATGCAACGATAGAGTCTCTAATGGACTCTTAAATTCCAATGTCCAAGATGGTAAGTGTTTATGAGGTGAGCATCCATTATAAGACCACATCTCCTTAGAAATATATTGGTACATTACTTTGGAATAGAGAACTCTTATCACTACTAATGTGTCCATTTTTCCTTTCTACCACTCTATTATAATTGTCGGGTGATTACATATGACGATTCATGAGTACTTCATTTTTGAAAATAATTATAATTATTGTGGTTAAAATAATCTGTAGCATTACCTAATGTAATTTTTCAAAAATATATTTAAATTTTATTTTTAATTAATATATAAAATTGTTGAAGTACTTTACTAACTTTAAATTTATGATATATAGATACATCAATATAGTTCATGAGTAGTCATCAATAAAACTCACAAACCATCTTACTCCTAAAATATTGAGACTAGATGATAGTCCTCACACATCATTATAAATAAGTTCAAATAGAGTGGAACTCTCTTCATTACTTGAAAAAAGTGAAGTATTCTTATGTTTAGCTAATTCACATAAATCACATTTAAAGTTTTCAACATTCATCTTAAAAATAAACTTAGAAACATAATTTTTCAACATCTTGAAGAATAGATTACCAAGACAACAGTGATATAACGAAAAATCATTGAGTGTAGCATGTTTGATAGCTCCATATTATGTTGAAGGTTGTGAATTCACAATGTAAATACATTTAATGGTCTCAAAATGATGAAAGAGTTCACACTCTTCAGCACATCCATTTTTTTTGTTCTTTAGCTCATAACAAACATCAGAAAAATTAATATAAGTGGCCACCCTAAAATTTATATTACCGGTTATTTTTTTAATATAAATAAACTCATAAAAAGTATAAGGATATGTAAATATTTTAGATATCTAGATTATCTATTTTTATATTTCTTATGCCTACTATGGTGATAGGCAGCCCATCAATTGTGGCCCTTTTCTTACTACTTGGTATGCCATGCTAGATTGCAAAAAGTATATCATAGGTATCCATATATTCAACCTTCTTCATTTGACCTTATTAGTGACGCATGCCTTTGCTTTCCTTATGTATAGTCACAAAAGCAGAATTATTAACTCTCTTTGGTTCCACCATGAGGTTCCTCTAACTCTTTGCATTTTTTCTCATAATAGTTATTTCTTCTGAACTCAAAACTTGTTCTTGTCCTAATATTTGAGATCTAGTAAGTTCATATTCCACATTGAGCCCATTAAGAAATTTGTACATTTACTCTACCTCAATATGCTGTCAGAAAAAAGATACATCATCAAAATGTTTTGCTAAAATCGGTCTTATATCCATCTGTTTCTTGCTACAATGATTCAAGTTCATTTGTATACTGTCACTAATTAGTTCCCTTGTTTTATAATCATCGTCTTTGATGCAATTTGATATATTTGTGTTGCATCATGTTTTTTTAAGAAAGTCATATTCCTTCTTTCCTCAATATTCTTAGCTGTAGGGAGAAATAAATAATTCTTATTGACTTTAGTAGTCATCGTGCCATATCTTGACGAGCTAGCTTTCTAAAGTCAATAATTCTTATTGACTTTAGAATCAAGGATTCATTAGTTCAAGTGGCTGATCATATAAATGACAAAGTTTCCATGTACTAGTGAAGACAACTTGAATGAATTCACTATGCTGAAGCAGGTTTCTCTCATTCAGTTTAAATTCATTATGAATATTAAGGAGTTCTAAATTTCGATTCTATATTTTGCCAATAGATGATGTGCTCTCACGATCCATGACGGTACATGAAGTCTAGGAAATTTCTGATGAAAAAAAACAGAAATTTCGCTCGCTAAGACGGATCAATTCATTCTCTCACCCTCATGCATTGTAGGGGAGGCAATAAGGGTTGAGAATGATCTTAAGATCACTAAAAGGGTATCACACCAAATCAAATATCTAAGAATCGTCTAGAAAGTGGCAGACGAAATAGATTTTAGGTCTAAGGCAAGCCGGACTTCTCTACCCAAGATCAATCTCAATAATGAGAAAAATAAGTGCTGAGCCATTCAAGATAATCGATAGAAATGGAACGACGATACCTAGGCTGGTGTACCACGTCAACGACGCTGAAGCGTTGGTCGCTAGATAGAGCGTCGGCGGCAGCGAGAGAGTCGTCGGCTCGTGAGGGAGCAGAGAAAAAGGTAAAGGATTAATTCCTAAATGAATAAAGAGGGTTTTATCTTGAAACCGAAAACTAATGGGTCGAATCCACTCGTCGGTATAACTTATGTTGAAACCGAAACCGATTCGCTCGAGAACAGAAAAGACCTAATTGCAAACGCGAAAAATATATATACATAAATAATAAATAAATTCGGTGTGACTGTAATGGTTGCCTCCGACACCTACGCTCACTGCCGGCTGACGCCGATCAGCAGAATCATTCCCGCCAGCGGCAATACGAGCCACAAGATGAACACAAGCTTCCCCGCCGTCCATCTCGAGAAAGCCGGGCACTGCCCATGCAGTTCTCCGCAGAGGCCGGGATTCCCCAGGAAGCTGTCTCTGTATGCTTCTGAGGCGTACAACGGGGGCACATTGCCGGAGAGGTGGTTGTTGGAGAAGTTGAAGATCTTGAGCTTGAGGTTCTGCAGCCCCGGCGGGATGCTTCCCGTCAGAAGGTTATTCGACAGGTCGAGATAGTTGAGAACAGCCAGACCCCCAAGCTCTGGCGGGATCGCACCCGTGAGGCCGTTGCCGGCGAGATTCAGCTCGCTGAGGTGCTGCCATGCTTGGATTTCCCTGGGGATCTCGCCGGAGAGGGAATTGTTGTGGAGGTCGAGAATCTGCAGGCCGGCCAATCTCCCCAGCGCCGACGGCAGGGGCCCAGTCAGTCGGTTATCGGAAGCAGAGAATTCGTAGAGCCCCGTCAGAGCCCCGATCTCCTCCGGGATCTCACCGGCGAACTGGTTGTCGGAGATCGTCAGACTAGAGAGGTTGCGAGCGTCGGAGATGGAAGGGGAGATGACCCCGGAGAAGGAGTTCCCCATGAGATCAAGCAAGCTGACGTGCGGCAGCCCCCACATCCCCGCCGGGACCTCGCCGGAGAGGAGGTTCTTCCGGAGACGAACCCGCCACAAGGTCTTGCACCGGCCGAGGCCCTCCGGCAGTGTTCCGGAGAAGAAGTTGCCGATGAGCATGAGCTGCTCCAGCGAGCCCCTGTCGCAGATGCTCCCGGGGATCTCCCCGGAGAACTGATTCTGGGAGAGCTCCACCACGACGAGAGGGGACTTGCTGCCCAAGTCCGGCGGTAGGGTCCCATTCAGACGGTTCATGTGGAGCCTGAGCTCCGAAAGGCTCCCGGCCCTGGCGATGCTTGCCGGCAGTCCGCCGGCGAGGTGGTTCTGGTAAAGGTGGAAGCTCTCGAGAAGCGGGAGGTCGAAGAAGCTCGGCGGTATGGTCCCCTCCAGGAGATTCATGGAGGCGTCGAAGCGGCGGAGGGCGGGGAGCTTGCCCAGGCCTTCGGGGATGTGCCCGGTGAGCGAGTTCTTGTAGAGCTCGATCTGGACGACGCTGGAGAGCTCCGTCAGAGTCTCCGGGATCGGCCCCTCGAGGTTGTTCATAGAGAGGTCGAGATTGGCGAGTTTGCGGAGGTTGCCGAGGGACGGTGGGATGCTGCCGATGAGCTTGCAGCCGGCTAGCCAGAGGTTCCGGAGGGCGGAGAGGTTCCCGATATCCGGTGGGATGACCCGCAGCGAGAAGGTGTTGTATGCCAGGTTGAGTTCCTGGAGGGTCCCTATCTCACCGAGGAAGGCGGGGATTGTACCCGCGAGGAGGTTGAAGACGATGGAGAGGCTCTCCAGGACGGGGAAGCCGGTGAAGGCGGCGGGGATGGGCCCGGAGAAGTTGTTGGAGTCGAGGTTGAGGCGGCGGAGGCGGGGAAGGGAGGCGAGGGCGGCGGGGAGGGGACCCACGAGGCAGTTCATGGAGAGGTCGAGGTCGGCAAGCGCGGAGCATCGGGACAGGGCGGCGTCAGGGAGGGTGGAGTTGATGTAGTTGTAGGAGAGGGAGACGTTGGAGAGGTAACGGAGGCAGTAGAGGACAGGGTCGAAGGGACCCTGGAGGCTCTGGTTGTAGAGCCCGGGGGCCGTTCAGCCCGCTCTTAAACTGGAGGAGGAAGAGGTGTTACATCTGAAGGATGTATCCATGAATGTGCAAGTATGAGGATGGCCTTTTGAATCAGTGCAGGAGAGTCATCTAATCACTTGGTCTAGAGAGATAGGATGCTCTAAGAGTGACTCACAATGTGTGACCCAATGATCATGACCCCTTATTTATAGATAAGAGGTGATTGACCTCTTGGTGTTTTTTTCTAATTTAGCCTATCATAAAATTATAATAAGACCTGGTCTCTACACATTTATATTTATACTTATACTTATGAGAGGTCGTAATCTCAAATACTTAAACTCCAATGAATCACTTTAAGTGAGATTAATCAATGATAAGCTCATAATATATAATTTATATATATAATTATCTACATTTAGATTAATTTCAATAATCTTTCATTTTAATAAAATATATATGACAACTTGATATTGTATATTATGACCTTATGAGTTCAAAATTTTACTATCATTGCCAAAGATATTTTCAACAAAATTTTACTATTATACCAATATAGAACTAAAGAGATTTTCGTTCACATTTTTTTGTGTGACTGAATCCACAATAATCATGTATATTGATATAATAAATAATATAGATCAAGTATGGATATATAACATGAAAATTACATGAAGTATGACTCATACATGTACATTTTCAACTTAGTCCTCCTTATTTTGAATGGAGATCAAACATGCATAAAATAAACTTTATTCATAAATTTTATTCATGCATAAAATAACCAAAGTATATGTCTATAACTATATAGGCATCAAAATATAAACTCCCACTGAAATTATATATCCTCATGAGATATTACACTCATATGAGCAACATGTTCATGAAAGACTTTTGGTGGCAGTCCTTTAGTTAGTGGATCTGCTACCATGAAGTTTGTCTCAATATACTCAATAGATATTTGGCTACTTTGAACTCTTTTCTTAACAACTAAGAACTTGATGTCTATATTTTTAGACTTCGTCAAGCTCTTATTGTTATTGAAAAATATAACGGTTGCTTTATTGTCACAAAATAATTTTAGTAGTTTTTCAATTCCATCTAGAATTTGTAACCCTGTGACAAAATTCTTCAACCAAATTTCATGATTGGATGCCTCATAGCATGATATAAACTTTACTGTCATAAGAAAAGAAGCTATGAGTGTCTACTTAGCACTCTTTCATAATATAACTTCTCCAACTAATAGATAGATATAGCCCGTAGTGAATCGTTTACTATCAGTGCATTCAACGAATTAGAATCTGAATACCCGATGATCTCCAAATGATCCGATTTCTTATATGTGAACATATAGTTCTTTGTCTTTTACAAATACCACATAACCCGTTTGGTTGCTTTCCAATGATCCACACCAAGATTGCTTAAATATTTACCCAGTATTCTAATTATATACGCAATATCCGAATGTGTACATACTTGAGCATATATAAGGCTTTCTATGGCTAATGCATAAGGAATCTTCTACATCTTTTTAGCCTCATAATTATTTTTAGGGCACTGATTGTGACTAAACTTATCTCTTTTAGAAATAGGGGTATTATAAGATTTACATCCTTACATATTAAATCTCGCAAGAATTTTCTTGATATAATTCTTTTATGACAACCTTAGGATATTTCGAGGTCGATCTTGGTATATCTCAATGTTCAATATATAAGAGGCTTCACCCAGATCCTTCATCTCAAAATTTCTTGACGAAAATCTTTTGGTGTCACAAAGTAAACCTATATCGTTACTAGTAAGTAATATGTCATCGACATATAAAATTAGAAATATATGTTTACTCCCACTGAACTTATGATGTACACATTCATCACCCATATTCATCAAAAGACCAAATGAGATGATAACTTGATGAAATTTGTGATACCATTGACGGGAAACTTATTTTAACCCATAGATAGACTTCTTTATTTTGCAGACTATTTTCTTTGGGTCTTGAGACACAAAGTTTTCTAGTTGCACCATATATATCATTTCATCAATATCACTATTGAGAAATACAGTCTTTACATCCATTTGATGTAGCTCCAGATCAAAATGAGCTACTAGTGCTATTATTATTCTAAAAGAGTCTTTCAATGAAATCGGAGAGAAAGTCTATGTATAATTAATGTCTTCTCTTTGAGTGAATCTCTTAATGACAAGACAAAATTTATATCTTTTCATATTACCTTTTGAATCTCTTTTGGTTTAAAATATCTATTTACAATTAATAGGTTTTTCACCTTCAAGAAATGAGACAAGATACCATATGTCATTGTCCTTCATAGATTTAATATATTTATTCATGACATTGACCACTTATGAGAATTAGAACTTTGCATGATTTGATGAAAGTTGATAGGATCATCTTCCATCACTCCAATGTCAACCTCATGTTCTAAAAGAAATACGATATATCCATTTGAAATCGTATTCCTTCTCTCTCTAGTAGATCTTCTTAATAGCACTGGTTCTTGAGTATGTTGAGTTTATTTTACTAAAGTAGGAGGCATGATGACATAATTTTGATATGAAGTTACTTCTTAATCAATATTAGTCAAGATGAAGTCATCAAGACTATTGTCAATAGTAATAGAAGGAATATTGACATATTCTTCTTCAAAATCAATGTCTTTAGCCTTATCTCTCCTTATAAACTCAACATCCTCAAAGAAACAAGTATTTTTTGTCTCAAAATAACTTTAGTAGTAGAATTATAAAACTTATACCTCTTAAAATTTTTTGAGTATCCAACAAAACAGTAACTAACTATTTTAGAGTCAAGTTTCTTTTCATTAGGTCTATAAGGTCTTGCCTCCACCGAACAACCTCAAATATGTAAATACTTTAAACTAGCCTTATTGCCCGTCCAAAGTTCATAAGGAGTTTTAACAGTTGTTTTAGTTGGAACCCAATTAAATAAATAGGTTGCAGCCTTTAGTGCTTTTCCCTAGAGGTTATTTGACAGGGTAGATTGACTAATCATACTCCTTACCATATCTTTAAGTATTTTGTTTCGTCGTTTAGTAACATCATTCATGTTAAGAGATCTTGGCATGGTGTACTGTGGGACGATGACACACTCCTCTAAGAATTTAGCAAAAGGTCATGGATGTTGTTCACATGATCCATCATATCTATCGTAATATTTACCACCACAGTCTGATCTAACGGCCGTAATCTATTTGTTAAGTTGATTCTCAACTTCAACCTTACATTTTTTGAACACATTCAGTGATTGAGACTTCTCATGAATAAGATACTAGTCAAATTGAAAATAATCGTCTATGAATTTAATAAAATATTATTGACCATTCCAAGAGGCTGTAGGAAATAGTCCACAAATATCCCTATGTATTAATTCTAAGACATCCGAAACTTGATTGGCACTTATTTTCTTTATGTTTGTTCTTTTTCCCTTGATACATTCGACACGTGTCAAAATCCTTATAATCAAGTGGGTCAAAAATTTCATCAAACACGAGTCAATAAATTCTCTTTTTAAAGATATAACCTAATCTCTTGTGCCATAATGAAGCAGAATTCTCATCAATCAATTTTTTTTATACTTCTTAAATTGATATGTATGATTTCACTAGAAGGGACGATTACATCAAATATAGGTTATCATGACTTGATAAAACACTAGTACTAATATGATTTGAATTATCAAAGAGACTAAATTTTTTATTTATAAATAGACAACTATAACCAAATTTATCTAAATTAGAAACAAAAATCAAGTTCCGTCTAAAAGATAGTACAACATAAGTCTCAATTAAATCCAAATAGTGTCTAGTCTTTAACAATAATCTAAAGATTCATATTGCTTCCATTACTACTACATTGCCATTGTCTGAATAGATGTATTTTTCATCATCAATTGACTGACAACAATGAAAGAAACTCTACATTGACACACTTATGTGAATTGTAGTATCAGAATCTACCCACTATGTAAGGATATAAAAGTTAAATTAACCTTTGAACAAATCAAAGTAGGAAGGTCACTTTTCTTTGTACATCAAGCATGCTACTTGGTACAATTCCTATTCATGTGGCCACCATGCTTGTAAAAGAAATAAGTAGATTCCTTATCTTGCTTTTTTTGTTATTTCTTTAGTGGTGGTCCACCTACAGCTTCATTGATCATAAATATTTTCTTGATTTTGTTCTTAGAGGTCATGGTCAAATGAGCACTCTCATGTTTATCTTGCTTCAACTTTTCTTCTTTTTGCACACAATGTGATATGAGCTCATTTATGGACCATTTGTCCATTTGACAATTATAGTTCACCTTAAATTGATTGAATTGTACAGGAAGAGAAATAAAAACTAAGTGTACGAGTAAATCTTCTGATAACTTTAACTTCAGTGCCTTTAGTTTTGATGCAAGATGAGACATCTCGAGAATGTACTCCCTTATATTTTTCTTACCTTTATACTTCATAGAGATAAATTTTGCTAAGACCGTACTTGTTTCGACTTTATCATTCTTAGCAAACTTTTTCTCAAGTTCTTCAAAGATTTTTTTTGTTGTAGTGCCTCTTCAAACAAAGTGCCCTTAAAGGTTTCTAGAATGTCATGCTTTTTTATCATAAAACTCATGTGATTTGATCGGTCCCACTTATCTATATCTCTCTTATCCTCATGAGAGATTACAAGATGATCTTTTCTTAATGCAATGTCTAGATCCATGTAATCGAGAACTATCATAATGTTCTCTTTCCATGCCTTAAAATTAGTACCATTTAACATAGGAATAGAATTTATTTGGACAAAAACAATAAAAGTAAAACTTGAAACTGTACAAAGGACAATATAAAACTCATATAAATAACTTAATTTTTCAAATAATGATACTTTCCATCACAAGATATTGGGTGCAACATTAATACTTTATCTTTGAATAGTAATATTAATTGCAAGTAATATCTTGGTGTGACAAATAAATATTGATAATAAGTTTCTGTCAAATAATAGGCCTTTCTTTGGACCGACTTATTATTCACATAAAAATATCAAATAATTGTCATATATTTATTATCACAAATATATATAATTTGTAAAATATTAAACTTTTCTTTGGGCTAGTTAGTATCCACAAAATCACATACACAACATCTCATACATTAAAAAAATTAATATCCACAAGAGAGCCTACTTTGGTAGGATGTTGCTTCAAGTAATAATTCTAAAATATCATACATGTACCAAAATTTGAATCATGATAGTTATTTGACATTTATCCATACTCAATGTAAACATAAACATTGAAAACATCAAATAACTTTATAGAAAAATTTCTTTTAAAAAAATCATCTATAAGATTTCAGAAATAAAATGACGTCCAAAATAATTTATTTTATGGGCATGATGTCAGCAAACCAAATGCTGACGTCGTCTTCATGACGTCATCGCTATAAACCGGCGCGTCGGCTAACTGGATCGGCTTTTGCCGAGTTGGCGCGCCATCTGGCTATCCCGCTTGCGCTGAGCCGATTACCCGAACCGGCGTGAGCCGAGCCGCGTAACGGAACCGGCGCAAGCCGAGCCGCGTAACGGAACCGGCGCAAGCCGAGCCGCAGAACCGAACTGGCATGAGCCGAACCGCGGACCTGAACCGGCGCGAGCCGAGCTGCGGACCCGAACCGGTCGATCGGAACCGCGCACCAGAACCGGCGCGAGCGGTGTACGAAACCGCCGCGTGACGATTCCTCTCTCGTCCGGCACGCACCGAAAACGGTGCAGCCGTTTCACGCGGCGGAGCGGCGCACGAACCATCGCACGAAGGGAGGAAAAATTAGGGCTAGGAACGGGTCGGCCAAAAAATGGCCTTCCGTTCGAAAGACGGACCCGTATCGGTCGCCCCTCCCCTCCACGTCTCTCTTCATTCCCGCCGATTTCCGGAAGGCCTGGAAACCATCCTTCGCCGAGAGGAAGAGGAAGAACCAAGGTGATTAGGGCCGTGCGGAAGCTGACGCAGCCCTCCGCCTCCAGCAGATCCTTTCGGAATCTTCCGGCACCGGCCTGCGCCTCTTCTTCGCCTTCCGGAGCCCTCCGGCGTCCATGCCTTCCGGAAGCACCGTCCACCGCTCTCCAGCCTCCCGTCCGACGACGGAAAGGGGAAAGGGGAACGGCTGGGCCCCTCCTGCAGCCCACGATTTCCAAATGGAAATCTTCCTTCACGAAAGGAGAGGAAGAGAGGTGTGCGGAAACCACGGCTCCTCTTCTGCAGGGAAAGAAGAAGAGTCGACAAACCCATCTGAACGGCCTGTTCGGCCCATTAAGCCGTCCATGGTAAGATCTAAACCTTACGATTTTCACAAAGGACGCCTGAATCCATTCTCAAGACAAGGCATCGAGAATGATACCATGATGAACGAAAATGAATGAAAAAATGTCATTCTCCAAAAAATTAACACATTGGCTCTGATACCACTTGTTAGATCTGAAGGATCTTGTGTTGATGTAGATGGAGAATGACAAAATATAATGAGAATGGATTGAAACCATATCTGAATCCATAAAGGCGCAAGTACGATGTGTGACCTAAGGACTTTTTTTTCTCTCAGAGTTCCAATGTGTTTCTCTTCCCTTAAGGGTTAGCTGGTGGGTCTGGATTTTACCCTGATTATATTTTGTATGATAATTTCTAATTTATGAATTATTGTATCTAAAACAAGCATTACACACCCATATTATTTTTATAATTCTTCACCTGCACCCTTAACCTCCCCCTCTCCGATTTCAAAACCAGGCTGCAGCCAACACGTCGCCTGATTTTTTGTTCATCACTGGTTTCACTGGTTGGGGGGGAACCTTTTCGGTAGATTTTTCATGGGCATGGAACTCTTGAATGGATGTTGAAACGAGATGTAGCTGCTGTTCCGTCGGAAAAGGCAAGATCTTTGGCGCAGGAAGAAGGGGGGTAGTGATCCATGAAGCTTCCCGTGATTCGATTGACTGATTTATTCATTTTCGACGTGCAGAGGAAAAGGATGTTAATTTGGAAGGAAATAAGAGCAGATTTACTCTTGACCCTTTTCTACATTCCTACCTGTACAATGAAAAAAGTCGCCGGTTCCTGTCAACTGCTGCTTGTCAGAGATCTTCATTCTCAGATCTTCAGATCGAATGAACTGACACTGGATCCTTCTAGAGAGCCGATGGCCCACATGGAAGCCCTCAAAAGTGGGATTATGTGTGTCCAAGTTTCCCTCTGATGAAGGCAGGTTAGTGCTTCTGTCGGGGTGGTGGCGCAGCGGTCTTTGTGCCGCCGCCGCCGCCGCCGTCGCCGGCACTCGGAGAATTCGGAGCACTTGCAGTAGGCCCGGCGGCGACATCTTCCCGGGGGCTACCCCCAACTTTACAGTGATGAGCGCAGCAGAGGGGCCGCAACGACGAGTAGCTACGCCCACGCGGTCTCCCCTCGCAGTGGCGCAGGCTGGGGGGGCATTCCCTCGTCGCCATCAAGCTCCGCAACGCTCCCGTCGCCGCTCACGCCACCGCCGAGCAGCATCTTCACCACCTTGCTCATGGTGGGGCGGTTGATGGGGAGATTGCTCGTGCAGAGAAGCGCCACTTCGATGACCCTGAACATCTCCTCCTCGAACTCCGACCCGAGAGAGGGATCCAGAACCGCCGCCGGCCCTTTCTCCTCCGCCGTCCTGTGGACCCACCTCACCAGGTCCCCCTCTCCCAGCTCGCCGGCTTCCAGGGGATGCCTCCCCGTCACCAGCTCCAGAAGCACCACCCCGAAGCTGTACACGTCGCTCTTCTCGCTCACCCGCAGGGTATACGCGTACTCTGCAATATTTTCCGATGTAAGAAGAAAATTTTCATCTTGTGATCTGACGACGCAGGGGATTCTTGAAGACGACGATGAACCTGGAGCGATGTACCCGAGGGAGCCGGCGATGACGGACATGGATTTCGCCGCCTCGACGGCCTTGGCGACCCCGAAGTCGCCGATCCGCGCCCTGAAGTCCGCGTCCAGGAGGATGTTGGTGGACTTCACGTCCCGGTGCACGACCGGCGGCACGCAGTCGTTGTGGAGGTAGGAGAGCCCCTCGGCGACGTCGACGGCGATCTTGTACCTTGCCGGCCAGTCCAGGCAGCGCCCCGCCTTGCCGCCGTGCAGGAGGTCCCCCAGGCTCCCGTTGGGGAGGTACTCGTAGACCAGGAGCTTGTGGTCGTCGTGGGTACAGCAGCACCAGAGCCGGACGATGTTCTTGTGCCGGACTCTGCCCAGCGTCTCAATCTCCGCTTCAAAGGCGGCGTCCTTCTCCCCCTCCAGGTTGTTCTTGCCGGGCCGGAAGAGCTTCTTCACGGCGACGGTGGAGCCGTCGCTGAGCACGGCCCGGTAGACCTTGCCGGAGGCGCCGGCGCCGATCAGGTTGCTCTCGTCCAGGGCGGCGTCGAGGATCTCTCGCTCCGGGAAGGTCACCTTGTGGAACGACGTCAGCCTCCAGCTCTTCCTGCTGCTCTTCCTCCCCCATCGGCTGGCCTTCAGGTAAGCTCCGTATTTCCAATAGAAGCAGACGACGCCGATCAGCAGGATCAGCACCGCCAGCGCGATTATGAACAGGAAGATGATCAGGTGCTGCTTCCCCTCCGGCCCTCCCGACGAGGCCGGGCACAGCCCCGGCAGTTCCCCGCAGAGGCCGGGATTCCCCAATAAGCTGTCTCTATATCCTTTGGAGGCGTACAGCGGGGGAACATCGCCGGAGAGCTGGTTATTGGATAGGTTGAAGATATTGAGCTTGAGGTTCTGCAGCTCCGGCGGGATGCTCCCCGTCAGAAGGTTATTCGACAGGTCGAGATAGTTGAGAACAGCCAGACCCCCGAGCTCTGGCGGGATCGCACCCGTGAGGCCGTTGCCGGCGAGATTCAGCTCGCTGAGGTGCTGCCATGCTTGGATTTCCCTGGGGATCTCGCCGGAGAGGGAATTGTTGTGGAGGTCGAGAATCTGCAGGCCGGCCAATCTCCCCAGCGCCGACGGCAGGGGCCCAGTCAGTCGGTTATCGGAAGCAGAGAATTCGTAGAGCCCCGTCAGAGCCCCGATCTCCTCCGGGATCTCACCGGCGAACTGGTTGTCGGAGATCGTCAGACTGGAGAGGTTGCGAGCGTCGGAGATGGAAGGGGAGATGACCCCGGAGAAGGAGTTCCCCATGAGATCAAGCAAGCTGACGTGCGGCAGCCCCCACATCCCCGCCGGGACCTCGCCGGAGAGGAGGTTCTTCCGGAGACGAACCCGCCACAAGGTCTTGCACCGGCCGAGGCCCTCCGGCAGTGTTCCGGAGAAGAAGTTGCCGATGAGCATGAGCTGCTCCAGCGAGCCCCTGTCGCAGATGCTCCCGGGGATCTCCCCGGAGAACTGATTCTGGGAGAGCTCCACCACGACGAGAGGGGACTTGCTGCCCAAGTCCGGCGGTAGGGTCCCATTCAGACGGTTCATGTGGAGCCTGAGCTCCGAAAGGCTCCCGGCCCTGGCGATGCTTGCCGGCAGTCCGCCGGCGAGGTGGTTCTGGTAAAGGTGGAAGCTCTCGAGAAGCGGGAGGTCGAAGAAGCTCGGCGGTATGGTCCCCTCCAGGAGATTCATGGAGGCGTCGAAGCGGCGGAGGGCGGGGAGCTTGCCCAGGCCTTCGGGGATGTGCCCGGTGAGCGAGTTCTTGTAGAGCTCGATCTGGACGACGCTGGAGAGCTCCGTCAGAGTCTCGGGGATCGGCCCCTCGAGGTTGTTCATAGAGAGGTCGAGATTGGCGAGTTTGCGGAGGTTGCCGAGGGACGGTGGGATGCTGCCGATGAGCTTGCAGTCGGTCAGCAAGAGGTTCCGGAGGGCGGAGAGGTTCCCAATCTCCGGCGGGATGGGCCCCGGAGAGAAAGTGTTGTATGCCAGGTTGAGTTCCTGGAGGGTCCCTATCTCACCGAGGACGGCGGGGATTGTGCCCGTGAGGAGGTTGAAGACGATGGAGAGGCTCTCCAGGACGGGGAAGCCGTTGAAGGCGGCGGGGATGGGCCCGGAGAAGTTGTTGGAGTCGAGGTTGAGGCGGCGGAGGCGGGGAAGGGAGGCGAGGGCGGCGGGGAGGGGACCCACGAGGCAGTTCATGGAGAGGTCGAGGTCGGCAAGCGCGGAGCATCGGGACAGGGCGGCGTCAGGGAGGGTGGAGTTGATGTAGTTGTAGGAGAGGGAGACGTTGGAGAGGTAAGGGAGGCGGCAGAGGACAGGGTCGAAGGGGCCCTGGAGGCTCTGGTTGTAGAGGTTCAGGCCGGCGACGGCGCCGGTGGCGGTGCAGGAGACGCCGGTCCAGTTGCAAGGGGTGACGTCGCGGGGGTTCCAGTCGGAGAGGGCGCCCGTGGGGCCGTCCAGCCCGCTCTTAAACTGGAGGAGGAAGAGGCCCTCCTGGTTGAGCGAGAGGGAGGGCTCCGGGAGGAGGTAGAGGAGCAGGAGGAAGACGAAGAGGACCGAGCGGGACATGGCGAAGACGGCGGCGCTGTGTTCTACGATCTCCGATGATCGTGCTCACCGGGCGAGATGACAGGCAGTTCAGGCAGTGTAGTCGACGGCAGCGGCATCAGTCGATAATGGTGGCTGGTATACGGTGTCGAGGTCGACAGGATGATAGTGGCTTGAAGACGACAAGCTTGGCACCATGTGTGCGTGCTTCCTTCGAACAGCATTAGTCGTAAAAAAATAGGTATTTCCAAGACGAGGTATGATTTCTTCACAAGAACAGATCACCAGCGCCTTTCATCGCCATTGTTCCTTTTCCTCTTTACATCTTTAGAAATCTGTTCCAGATTCGCCCACAATGAGAGTTTTACGAAGGGGACGACTGTACACAAGATGGAATCTAGAGAGAGAGAGAGAGAAGAGCTTAGTGGGCAGTGAGAATGCCCGTCTCACTGGCAGAGTGTAACCCAGCTGGTCTACTGGGCGTAGATGAGCATTCCACTTCGGCGGCCGATGCTGTTTGGCCTCCGTTGACTCCTGTTAAAAAGGACGGAGGTGAGTCGTTGCCGATCCCATCAGTCTATGCCACCGTGGAGCCCAGTGGCCTGGAAAGTGGCGGCAAGCTGCCAAAACCCACCAATAATCCTCCATAATTTAAATAATAATAATAATTTCCCCACCAAAAGTTAAATAAACTATTTAGTTAGGATTATTTAAAATTTATTGAAAATTATTAATCAAAGCACCCCTATCATCATCTAGGGCCTCATGAAAACTAATTATCTTCTCCTTTTGAATATTTAGGAATAGGTCTAGGGCGCCATCATCATTTTGAATATAATTATGAATTATATTAATAATTTTAATATATTATATAAAAATATGCGCCCGAAGTACGAGACTTTTCTTAAAGCTGGTCTCTGCTACTAGCAAGGCACGTGGCACATGGGCTACAGGCTAACGGGATCAGTCATCGCTGGGTGCCCACCAAGCAACTGCGGATAAGTACGGGCTAGCAACCCCCCTGCCGTGCCACTTGGCGGGTGAGATGCTCCATTATGGTAGAGGCCTATTCCCACGTCATAAAAAATTATATTTTTATTTCCCCTGACAAGGTATTCGCATAAAAATCAGTTGAATTATTATATTTGTAATGAAAATATCGTCCATGGTGGTGTGTTTTGGTTACAGCAAAAAATCATAGGTTTTTCTATGCAGAAAGCCTGAGATAATGAGAGGAAAATTTGAGTCAACTAGGTCGGTGGTGATACAAAAATCATAGCTATGGAGGAGCAGTTAGTAGAAATCGACAGAAAACCAGGAATAATAACCGGATGCAGCTGTAGCCATGGATCTCTCTCTCCCTCTTTCTCTCTCTCACCAAACAGAGCATTGACTAATCAAAGGAGTCAACGAGATATACCTTCCCCGGGCATGTCCTAAAGATTGGATCCTGAACCCTAATTTCTCAATTCAAGGCATCTCAAACACGAAATAAACAGAATCAGCTCATCTCCTTGTCTAGCAGTCAATAGGTGGCCGGTGATTCCGACGACGGCAGCGGGCCCTGCGTGGCATGAACACACAGACGTATGAAACAATGGCGATCTGACAAATAACAGGTTACCGTTTCAGCAGGTTAGGCTCAAAGAAACTCGGACATGGGGACCTTCAGAGGACTTACCGAGACCCCAATAGCCGGAGGAGCTTACACATCCTCCGCGTATAAAAAGAATGGTACTATACTGTACATCGGCCCGCACAGTCCTGTTCTTCTTCAAGGCGCGGACAGCAGCAGCTTCTTGATTCCTTTCTTCTGGTGGGCGGTGAGCCTGGTGGGGAACCTGATGGCGAACCTGATCCTGAGATTACCTCTTTTAGAGGGGTCCTTGGGGAGGGGCATGCCCTCCCTGGGGACGACCTCCTCGTAGGCCGGGTGGACCACGGCGGTGACCGGAACGGTCAGCTGGCGCCCGTCGAGGGTCCTCAGCTGGACGGTGCAGCCGGCGAGGGCCTCCGCCAGGGAGATCTTCTGCGTGGTCACGAGGTCGTTGCCCTCGCGGGTGAACACCTCGTGGGGCTTCTCGTCGATGATGAAGACGAGGTCCGCGGGGATGACGTTGGGCTGCTCGTTCCCCTTCTCCGAGAAGGTGATCTTCGTCCCTTTCTTCCACCCGGGCTTCACCTCGATCGTCAAGATCTCCTCCACCTGCGCGGTCTTCCTGAGGCACAAGACAAGTAATGGAGTCTTGAATCTATGAAGAGAGAATGCAAATAATCAAATCAAAGAAAAAAAAATATGAAGGAACAAAAGCGACGAGATTTCCCTGATTTCCCTGATTTCATCACCCGAAAGAAACAGCAATACTAAACGTATTATCTACGTCTGGGCCGCTGAGCAAGGGGCCAGAAACAGCAGAGAGATTAGGGTATCACCGAATAATATGATAACGATTATTCTTGGCAACAGTTTAAAGGCCAGTCGGTAAAATCCCATTCTATTGATTATCTGCAGTATTTTATTCCAGTTCTTGATCATGCAACTGAAGACTAATCAGAGAACGCCAGGGATCGCTTTCCCAAAATATATCATAGAAACTGGGGACTGCAAAAGATCAGAGAATAGAAAAGGATGCAGAGAGGAGACCGAATTCAGGCTGAAAATAATAATAATAAAAAGCTACAAAAAATAGAACTGTGACATTTTTTTAGGGTTTAGGATTCGACTGAATTTTTCATTTAACCCTGAATAAAAAAAAACTTTAAGAAAGGCCAACAAAATATTAATTTAACATTTCCCCATACTTTTCCTTAGGCTCCATAACAAAGGAAAAACTTCAAAGAAGCCCAAAAAAATATTTTATTTAGGATTCGACCAATTTTTTTGTTAAGCCCCAAAATAAAACCAAACCTTTTAAAAAAGGACTGAACTAAATGAATCCTTTGCATTTGGCCAAATTTTTTTTTGGGCCGCATAACAACGTTAAACATAAAAAAAGGCCCAAAAATTTTTAAGCCCTGAATAATTTATTTTTTTAAGATAGCCTTAAAAAATATTTACTTAACATTTGACAAAAAAAAATTCTTAGGCCCAAGAACAATCATTTTTTTAGGATTCAACCATTTTCTTAGTTAAGCCCTGAATAAAACAAGAACTTTAAAAAAGGTCTCAAAAAAATATTTATTCAACATTTTACCAAAGTTTTCCTTCGTCCTCATAAAAACAAAAAACTTCAAAAAAGACACAAAAAATATTTATTTAGGATTTGACCAAATAGTTCATCAAATCTTAGAATAAAAGTAAAATTTTGAAAGAATACTCAACAAAATATTTATCTAGAATTCGACCAATTTTTTTCTTGGGCCATGATGTGACCTAGTCATTGTATAATAAACCATGTAAATTTAAATATTTATATAACTAGAACTACTAATTTTTAGATATTTAGAAGTATTTCTAAATAAATATATCAATTATAATTCAATAAAAAAATCTAAAAAATAGTAAAAAATTTCCAAGTCAATCACAAGAATATATTATAATATTGAGTAATAATTTAAAATTTCACGTGAAGAATAAAAAAAATTACGTAATAATATTGAGTAATATTGAGTAATAAATATAAAATATATTTAAATTCACAAAAAGGTAAATAATGGTGCAGGTTCAAAACTTGAAATCACACAAAGTATCATTAAATTAAGTAAAAATTAAGTTGAAAGCAAAAAAAGTAGAGTTCTAGTCTTGTGACAATAATCACCATAATTTTGTGTGTTCTGGATGGTTATCATACAATGTCCACGACCTTAAGAGCTCTCCTTGAACATAGACAATTTGGTCATTCGTTAAATCTCATTCTTTTAAGGATTTAAAAAATAATGATAAAAGTTAAACTAATTAAAAAATGATCAATAAAGTTATGGTGTTGCAGCGATGATGTGTTAGTGATGTGTTCGGAATCTAGAGTGTTTGAAAAGATTGTTGTGCAATGTTTATGGCTTTAAAAGTTCTCATTAGACAAGAATGATGTGAGCAATCTCTAAATCTTCTTATGAATTCTAGAAATTAATAAAATAGGTAATTAAATCATTTTCGATAGTTGTCATATGACAAAACAAAAAAACGACGACTTTACTACTCATCTACGATTGTCACCCAACAGAGATGAGTTGAATGGAGGTGGGGTACATCTTAAGGAGTTTCTTCATCACATTTAATATATTTTTAAGAAGTGACGATTTGTCTCCTAGCAAATCATCCTTTTCCTAAAGATGACTTATTCATCGATCAATTAGAGATAATTTACGTAACGTAATCGTAATCTTTTTATCCATAATCGTTTGATCATTTTAATAATGATACTCTACGAACCATGTTGATAAGATTTTCGTTGATGATTAAACAATTATGATAACTTAATTTTTCACCAATAATTTATAAGAAATTATGATTTAATTAGATAAAAATATAAGTTTTAACTCAAGTAGCATTTGAACCCTTGCTGGTCACATGTATGTATGAGAGAGAGTAAGATAAGTACAAGAACATCCTTATAAGGTGACATCATAAGAGTATCTCATTCTCATAAATATATGATATTTTAGGTATTAAAATTATTAAAAACTTTTTGAAAAGCTATGATTGTCGATTTAGTCCCACATCTGTTATTTACCTAATTTTGAGATGGATATATAATAATACGAGATTTGATAATCATTGTATTCCTTTCTTGCGTGTGTATGATCACTCTTTGTCCCATGCTTGACTAGCCACCAATGATGTGGAAGGAGAGTGACACACATGCCCTATATTGGTTTGTCCTTAGTCACTTGAACCATTGGTCACAGCTTTGCTCGAGTGTGCTTATGACCCACTTGCAGGCTTGGCTGGCCAACAGGTTCTCTCTTTTGTGTATTTTTATTTTATTTTATTTATCTTTATTTATCTCAAAAATATAATTATAATAATTATATAAATTCACATAATTAAGCAAAAAATCATATTAACCAACAAAAAACTACTTTTCACATTAACCAACTAAAAATACATATTTTGCATAGTTCTTCAAACTTTTCTCCTCTTTCTTGGCTCTGTCTTTTTAGGCTGGCCCATAAGCATTTAATGTTATGAGTTTTTGTTATAGAGAATTTCTACTTTAGAAATCTCTAACACTCAAAAATGGTTGACTGAACCTTGGCTACTATCACAGTTAGCCAAATGATAACATCTCCATTGCAGTTGATGTGTTAGTATTTAGAGGCAACTATAGGGCCTTATTCTTATGAATGGAGCCACAATAGTAGAGAAAGAAGTAGAGTTCTTGTCTCCTCTTTTTTTTATAACAACTTTTATAGAAAAGTTTTTCTTGATATCATTGAGGTGTATAAATATATTCTTTGTCCCCCTTCAAACAATAACTTTGGAGTTTTTCTTAGAGACTAGTGTATAGTAGAACTCTCAACCCAAAATATTACAGCTTTATGGAGTCGCCAACAAGCAATAGTGTATTGTCAAGGCTTATAAGATCACTCTCCAACATATGGAGTCTCTTAACATCAATGTTCTTGAGTTATTAGATTCAATCAATTAAACTTGACTCTTACAATTCATTTCTCAAAAAAAATAAAAATACTATGATTTCTATTCTCCAAGCTAGTAGTAGAATTTACAACTTAGAAAAATCAATAAATAAGTCAAAGAGAGCCTCAGACTCTTATGATTGCTAGAAAATCATTATATATTATAGAAGTTTGTAAATGCTATAGTACATGTGATTGTAAAAATTTATGAGATTGTAATTGAAGTTTGTGATACATATATTAGTGGTATCAGTGATCGACAAAGGGGTTGAGGAGGGTTAAGAAAGGAATTTGATTTCCTTGAGAGATGAGCCTTTTGAAAGCTTATGTACAAGCTAGGGTTTATGCAAAATCCTTATTTTATCCTTCTTTAAATTTTTATTCCTTGTCATCATTCCCTTCTATTTCTACTTGATTCCTTTGCTGCATCTAGGGTCATATCACTATTTGAGAACCATAGGACAATATTATTTGTCATTCTATTTGAAAGTTAAAGAACATGACAAACGATGTCCTCTAAACTATACCTTTAGGGGCTCTTGATATTTCAAAAGAATAACTATTTCTTTATAACTAAAATAATAGAATAAGAGAACGACAACCAAATAATATGTCTAGATACTACTTGGTTCCTTTGCAAGGCCAATAAGAGCACACATTATTTTACTCATTGAATTGGAAGATTGTAATTTCATGGTACATATTTATCATGTGTTTTAAGAACACTATTTCTTGGGACTTTAGGAATATCTCCAAAATTCCTATCTTGAAAAGTTCAGTAATACCTTGTAATTATGTGCATCCAGCCTCCTCTTTTGAGATAAATTAATCAATTTTATCTCATGATTTATATTATTTTTTCACTCTCCCTCAACAGCTAACATTGATGTCCCACCTCCATCTTTATCATTATGGGTTTTTTATCCACCAAACGAGAGATTCCCCATATGTAAACAAGCAAAAAATGCTTGGTGATGTTGCTCTTCAATTTTCTTTGACCATGTCAATGGACTCTACTTCCTATTTTCTTTTCCCTCAAAATCTTTTCCATTTACAAAAATTATTGGTTCACATGATGCTAGTTTCTTTGACCTTCTAGTGGGCAGACTTGGGCTAACATTACTTGTTGGGAAAATGTTAGTGGACCTCTCAGAGTGTTAAAATATGTCATTGAAACAAAGGTAGTAGAAGATTTTCTATGACTTTTTCTTCCTCCAGATATTTTACTCCTCTCATTTATAGTTGCTGGAGAATCATAAATTGTTGAACCTCTTAAGTCTTTATATTTGCATCTAACATTACCAGTACTTGAGGCGCTATTGGCTTCGCCTTTCTTCAAACATCCTAATCAAGAGCTTATGACCATCTTTTCTCATAAAAATGTTATCCTCTCCTGAAAGAACGATGACATGCTATTAGAGAGGAAATTGTTTGCTAAAATCACATCGAAAGCTAGCATTTTAAGGCCAATGCTAATAAGCCTAGTACATATTACATGGATATGAGTATTGCAACTAGAAAAAAACGTGTAAAAACGATCCAAAAAAGAAAAATTGATCGAGAAAAAAGTATGAAAGAATTATTTTGCAATGATAAACAAAATACGAAAGAGCAAACTCTAGATACTTCATTCTTACATTGGAACAACGTCTTGTGCAGCAGCATGGTAGCAGTGAGCAGTCAATAGCAGCAGTAGTTAGCCTCCCTCCAGGTGACAAGTGGAGGTGATGGTGGGCTATGTGATGTCGGCAGTGGTATCAAGACGGTGGGGACAACACGACGGTGACTACGAGCCTCCCTTCGTGTGACAAATGGAACAAGGAGCTGAACACAATGGCGGTGTTTAGGCAGCAGCGACAACGACGTGATTTCCCTCTTCCAATGACTGTGCTCTCCTCTTGAGTGACAGACGAAGTGAGGAGCGAAGGAACAGGGGTCGTGACTTTGCTGCTATCTTGGCGGCCGTGTGAGTGACAGACAAATATCTAGGGTAGCTTCTTAGTTTATTAATTCACTTTCTTTTACAGCTGCAAGGGAATTTATTCCACAACTTGCAATTCATCCTTGACTGACAGATCAGGATAGTTTCATTCTAATTTTAAATGTCTTTGGATGAAACCTGAGGGCAATTCCGCTTTGAGTTGAGATCAAATTTATTTTCTTGATCGCTGTCAGTGGAGAACATGAACCCATCCTCTAACTAGTAGTTGTTCCAATGGATCGACTAGAACCCCACTAAGTGTCTAAGACTGATTTCTTGTGTTTGAGTTTGGACATAAGTATTAAATTTGACTCATTTTAATTCGACAACTAAAATGGTTTTTCTAACATACATGGATTGAACAGGTTGACCATATAAGAACCCACCCACCAAAATGAAAGACATAGAGGGTAATAATAATCAGCAAAATCTTTGACAAAAAATATTAAGTTGTAGCATCATGTGCTTGAAGCCACACCCAACATCTTCTCCTTCTTTGGAGCATCGTCATCCACCTCCTCCTCCTCTTCACCAACAATAAACACATTTTCCCCAAAACCCTCATCACCTTCATTATCGTACTCTTCATCATCATCATCATCATCATCATCACCATAATCATCTTCCTCTTCTTCTTCTTCTTCGGATTCTCCGGCTCGAAATTCAGGAGGCGGGGGGCAATCCTCGGTGATGGCATTATCACGTCTTATGACGAGGTGGCGGATTATCCTTTCATCTCGGTCGAGCATGGCCTTGAAGTCACTAATATGCCGGGCTTCAACCTCGAAGTTCATCAGAATGTAGTTGGCATTCTTCGCCTTCTTTATCTTGTAGGCCAGCTTGCGCATCCCCCAGTCGTTGAACCTCCATATCTTGCCTTTCTTTTCCTTGATGAAATCTGCAGCCACGATCAAAAATCCGTTAGAGTGCCGCTAAAGATTATGAACAGGAGGGAATAACATATAGATCACCTTGGACTTTTTCAACGACGGTGTTGACTTCTTGGAAATGGTCTTCATGGATCAGGTAAACCACCTCGTAGTGACGCACTGCCAAAAATCCAAAAGGCAGAGGGATCAATGGATGAACCAAGGAAAGACAGTGGTAAGTAGAATAAATGCTTCATTTTCGGTTGAATCAGGAAGTCAAAGGGATCGATAATGGGTCGAATCAGGAAATAACACATAATTTATATCAATTTCAAGAAATTTGAGTGGCGGATGTCAATGGGGGGATAGAGGGTACTGCTCACTTCTCTCCAACTTTACTTCACTCTCCAGCTGAAGATTGAGAAACTCGAACAGCTTCTCTGCAATTGAAACACGACCGTGGTTACTTGCAAATCTAAATCAGGAAACAAGAACAATTGAGAGAAGGTGGAGAAGAATGACGATTAAGGGAGGGGTGAAACGGAGTCAAACCTTCTTCGGCATCTGCAAATTCAGGCTGGTCTGCATCATCTTCTTGACCTGTTCTCTGAGAATATGCAGGGAAAACCAAGCGCATCAACCTTTGGGTTTTGATCAAGGAAATAAGTTGGGGAATTCAATGAAGAAACCACGAAATTCGACGAACTATTCCTGCATGAAAAATCCGTGCAATTTTATGATCACTTCATGGCAGCAAAAGAAGCATCAAGCTACACAATCACAAGATGCACGAGGGAGATGAAGATGCCAGTTGATAAAAATTTGAATAAAATTCCTGGGCTTGGTACCTCGGAATTGAATTCTCCCCAAACTTACACACGATAGAACAAGGTCAACGGGAGGTTGAAAAAGGAGAAGATTATTCTTTAGCATTCGGCACCCTCAGATCTATTGCAATGAGAGGAAAAACTATGATACCTTCTTGAGAAGGACGGCTTCGGGGTAGAAGAACTCGCTCTCGTCCGGAATGGGCCCATAACCTTCCCCATCGGACTTAATTCCCTTCTTCTTCTTCACCCCCGCGACCACCGCTCTTCCGGACCTCCCGCCGCCACCATTCCCCTCGAGGCTTTCCCACCTCCCGCGGGCCACCGTGCCGCCGGCGAACGAGCAGCGGCGCGCCGCCGTCCCCTTTCCCAAGGCCGCCGGCGGGCGGCTGAGCCTTGAGGATAGGTGGGCCGAAGGGGTGGAGAAGGGAGGAGCGAGCCTCCCCAGCACGGCCTCCATGGATGGCAGGAAGAGGCTTCTTCAGCCAGAGAGAGAGAGAGAGAGAGAGAGAGAGAGAGAGGGGTTTTAGATGTCGACGGTGGTTTCACGATGAGACAGGGGATTTTAGGAATTGATGAAATTGACCGGGCCGGGCCAAGTGGGAGGCCCTGTCCAATCTGGCCCGTTATCTCAGTCATAAGTAAGGTATAATTCAGGAAAATAAATAAAAAACCGGCCCGGGCCAATTAGGAGAGCCAGGCCCAATCCGGGGTCATTTTCTAATGAGGTTGAGGGTATTATACGACTAGAGGAAATTCACCGGGCTGGCCAATCTGGGCCCTTCTCTCAGTCATGAGTAGGACAAGCTACAATTCGAAAAATAAAAAAATCCGGCCCGATCTTAAGGTCATTCCGGGGCCGGGCCGGGCCAATATGCATTGATTTAAATGTGTGGTTTAATGGAATAAGTCCTTATTTAAAGTTCGTCGGGCGAGGGAAACTGCACTGATATGATGTAATATGCTAACGCGTAGTGGTGCAAGACCAAGGCGTTGATTTGTCTAAAAATGCATTGATTTGAATACTCGTCACTTGTTAACAGTCTCGTGTAATGACCGAACCATCAGTGAAAGACCGAGGCGTTGTTGAGTAATGACGATTGAGAAGATAATTTAACCGACATAAATCATAGCATTGAATGACCACTGGTCATTGGGGGTGGGGTAGTTCTTTGATTCTCTATAGCTGTCGTTCTCTTTCAGTCATCTGATTCTGGCATTCTTGATACTGAACGAATCATGATGATCAGTGCATTTTCATGAAGCCTGTCAAAGAGCATACTGGTCCACTTAACATGCTTTGCTGATGTCTTTTCACGAGGACTATAGTTTTCTAGGTCAAAATTTCTTATTGCAATGTGTCGTTTTTTCAAAAATTTGTAGGTTGTTGTGGAGAAGAAGACATGATGTTGGACGCGAGCAATCTGTAGCAGAAGTAAATTAACATTAATTTCTTCGTTTCCTAAGTAAGTATTTTTTTTTCTAAGCTATTTTCTCATTATAATGTCCTGTGGCGATCTGTTGCTGTTCCAATGTGTACATCTTAATTGATGAACAGGTCTGGAAATGGAAGGAGCAGTATGGAGATACAATAATGAATCAGAAACGACGTGTTGATGCTTCTCTTGACTGGTCCCGTGAGGACAGGATCAGAAAGTGATTGTTCTGTTGGAAAGCTGAAATTTCCATTCAACGAGTTTTCAATATTTTTAACTGGGTTTTTCCATCTTTCTTTTTTTTTCTTATCAGTGCTTCACTATGGATGAGAAAAGATCAAAGGTTCTCTCTCGGGACTTTTTTTTTTTAATTTAATTTTTTTAATTATTCTTCTACAGGTTTGATTGGTGATTGGAATGCAACTACTGAATCGGATTTTTGTTAAACTATAATGGTCTGTCTGTTCATGGAATCTTCTGTCTTTAATTTTGAAATTATTTGCAACAGAAATAGTTGGTAATTGTTGGACAATCGAATTCGATTTCTCCGCTGTTCATTTTGATTCTCTGTGCTGGCATTTGGACTCCAACATATCTTCCTGTTCTTTCATTCTAAGCCCTCTATTCCGCATGATTTTTATTTGTGAGGTGGCTTGATGTTAGACAGTCGAATGAGTTTAAGTCTTGAGAAGAGAAGTCAACGACAGAAATGTAGTCAAGATAGATTCCAAGCAATGGCTGTGCATGCTTCTTCTCATAAACCATTCTAGCCATTCCTGGCAGCCAATGGTTTTTCCAGTGGTTCAATAAGGTCGTTAAATAGTGAGTGACACGTTTTTTATGCATGCTTTAGTGAATCATCCTACCCATAAACATAGTTCGTATCTTATCAAGGAAGAAATCCAAGTTTTTGACTAGCTACTTGCCTGGTGTAAACTGTATAAAGTACAGCTGCTGCCGCTGACAGTAAGCTGGCGCTACCATGAAATAACTTGGAGATATTCAGCAAGGATGGATGGGATCATCGGCTTGTAAGTTGGGATTGCACACTGCGGGATGTAATTTCTGATGCTGATGTGTGCCCTTGTTCTCTTTGTCGAGGGAATTGTTTCTTGGGTTGTCCTGAATAAGCCACTGAACAATTTTGTCAATCTCAATTAGGGTGATCACAAGGAGATCAAGGAGAGGACTCTGCTGAAGGTTCCTGGGTATGCAAACCCAGTTGAATTTGGTGTTCTGACATCATTTGCTTATCCTCTTGAGGAGGAGTTGGGTGGAATAGAAACAATAGCTGTTCATCCCGAGGATCCAAGGTACACTCATCTGCTGCAGTACATCCATTTAATGGCAGGAGAGTCCCCATAGTTCTTGGTGCAATCCTTGTCGATCCCAATTCTGGAACTGGTGATGTTAAGGTATTGACATGTGAAATTTAGGGCGAAACAGAAGCTAAAATTCTGTTTTCAGTTGTTATAAATTCGTCTGAATCTCGATTTGTCGTTCCTTACGGTCCAGATTACGCCAGCTCATGACCCCGACGATTTTGACGTTAAGTTGAGGAGGAGGGAACAAGTGAAGAAAAGGTAAGAGGGTAGGGGCTCCTTCTTCTTCTTCCTCTTCCTCTTCTTCTTTTACGGCCTCATGATATGATATGATATGATTTGCCCATTGATCGCCGTCCCATCATAAATTCCTTCACCCTCTTCTCGTCTCAGAGAATTTTGGCCGATCCGATCATTTCACGGGCGCGGCGCCGCCTCACTTCATTGCGAACCATTCGGTAACTCTGGCAAAGGGATTCATTCTTAAGTCAAGCTTTGGGCTTTCGTTGATTCTCTGCTACCTTCGCCCCTTGGCCGCAGCGGATGTTGCGCGGTACCAAGAATCTTTGAGCCTTCAATTCGCTCGGATTAATTAAAGTCTTAACCCTTTAATCTTGTCAATATTAAATATTTCGCCAAAATTATAAAAAAACGCTCAAGAACATCAAAACATATTTATTTAGCATTCAATCAAAGTTTTTGCCAAGTCTCCGAACAACGTCAAAACCTTAAAAACAAGCCCCAAAAAAGTATTTATTTAGGATTCGACCAACTCTTTTGCTAACCCTCCGAACAAATCAAAATATCAAAAAAGGTTTCAAAAACATATTTATTAAGGATTCGACCAGGTTTCTCGTTTCAGCCCTAATTAAAACAAAAAAAAATCAAAAAGCCTCAAAAAATAACTATTTAACATTTCATCAACATTTTCCTTATGGTCCCATAAAAAACCCAATATTTCCAAAAAGTCTCAAACAATATTACTCAGGATTTGACCAAAATTTCCATTTAACCATAAATAACACAAACATTTATAAAATATCCTCAACAAAAAATTTATTTAACAATATTTCTATAGGCTTCGGCCAAAATTTCTTTAGCCCCATTAAAAAACCCAAACTTAAAAATACACAATTTTTTTTTATTTAGGATTCGACCAAATTTTTCATTTAAGCCCTCTGAATAAGAAAAAAGTTAAAACAATACCCCTCAACAAAACATTTATGTAACAATTAACCAAATTTTCATTTAAGCCCTGAACAAAACAAAAAAATTAAAACAACCCTCAATCAAATATCATTTAATATCTGCTCAAAATTTTCCTTTGCGACCCATAAAACCCAAAACTTCAAAACGCTCAAACAATATTTATTTAGGATTTTTGATCAGATTTTCATTTAAGCCCTTAACAAAAAAAAAGAATTTGTAAGCCCAGAAGGAAACCGAAACTTTACAAAAATGCTCAACAAAATATTTATTTAGCATTTAACCAAAATTTTCCGAGGCCCCATAACAAGGCCAAAACTTCAAAGAAACCCAAAAAGATATTTATTTAGGATCCAAAATTTTCATTTAAGCCCTGAATAAAATAAAAACTTTAAAAGCCAACAAAATATTTATTTACTACTTGTCGGAGGCCCATTAAAAAGGCAAAAATTCAAAAAAGGCTCAGACAATATTTATTTACCACAGCTTCTTCCGCTACCGTCTGATCACTGATGGACGTGAGAGTCGACTCCAAGGTAAGAATTCAATCCGATCGAATGAAATAGCCCACCACATTTTCCATTTAAGCCCTTAACAAGACAAAAACCAACAAATGTTTTATTTAATATTTGACGAAAAATTTCCTTGGGACCCACCCCAAACACCAAAACTACAAACAATATTTATTTAGGATTTGAGAAAAAAATCATTCTCTGAATTAGACAAAGACAGAAAAATTACTCAAGAAAAATAATAGGGATCTGACAAATAAGAGGCCCTGCGTCTTATTTGTCAGATCTGAAAATGGCAGCGGGCCCTGCGTGGCATGAACACACAGACGTATGAAACAATGGCGATCTGACAAATAACAGGTTACCGTTTCAGCAGGTTAGGCTCAAAGAAACTCGGACATGGGGACCTTCAGAGGACTTACCGAGACCCCAATAGCCGGAGGAGCTTACACATCCTCCGCGTATAAAAAGAATGGTACTATACTGTACATCGGCCCGCACAGTCCTGTTCTTCTTCAAGGCGCGGACAGCAGCAGCTTCTTGATTCCTTTCTTCTGGTGGGCGGTGAGCCTGGTGGGGAACCTGATGGCGAACCTGATCCTGAGATTACCTCTTTTAGAGGGGTCCTTGGGGAGGGGCATGCCCTCCCTGGGGACGACCTCCTCGTAGGCCGGGTGGACCACGGCGGTGACCGGAACGGTCAGCTGGCGCCCGTCGAGGGTCCTCAGCTGGACGGTGCAGCCGGCGAGGGCCTCCGCCAGGGAGATCTTCTGCGTGGTCACGAGGTCGTTGCCCTCGCGGGTGAACACCTCGTGGGGCTTCTCGTCGATGATGAAGACGAGGTCCGCGGGGATGCCGTTGGGCTGCTCGTTCCCCTTCTCCGAGAAGGTGATCTTCGTCCCTTTCTTCCACCCGGGCTTCACCTCGATCGTCAAGATCTCCTCCACCTGCGCGGTCTTCCTGAGGCACAAGACAAGTAATGGAGTCTTGAATCTATGAAGAGAGAATGCAAATAATCAAATCAAAGAAAAAAAAATATGAAGGAACAAAAGCGACGAGATTTCCCTGATTTCCCTGATTTCATCACCCGAAAGAAACAGCAATACTAAACGTATTATCTACGTCTGGGCCGCTGAGCAAGGGGCCAGAAACAGCAGAGAGATTAGGGTATCACCGAATAATATGATAACGATTATTCTTGGCAACAGTTTAAAGGCCAGTCGGTAAAATCCCATTCTATTGATTATCTGCAGTATTTTATTCCAGTTCTTGATCATGCAACTGAAGACTAATCAGAGAACGCCAGGGATCGCTTTCCCAAAATATATCATAGAAACTGGGGACTGCAAAAGATCAGAGAATAGAAAAGGATGCAGAGAGGAGACCGAATTCAGGCTGAAAATAATAATAATAAAAAGCTACAAAAAATAGAACTGTGAAGCGAATGCATTAAGCAGAAACTCCTCAGGAACAGATAAATTACAAGGTGTAAAAATAACGGAGCTAACCCATCAATCTTCTGGAAATATTCCAGAAGACCGCTTGACCTTTCAATCAGAGACAGCACTCCCAGGATGAAAAAGTCTAAGGGTAAACCTAGTAAGCTCAGACACAGAAAAAAAGGGTAGCATGAGTTGAGAACACCAGTACTGTGAAAGGTTCCCGTAAATGAACTAATCTTCGTATTTAGTAATTAATCCATACGTTGAGGTATCCTCTAGTTGAGATCAGAACAGAAAACTGCCTATGGAAGCCCTTGGACTTATGTTGGACTTATGTTGAAGCAGTTAAGACTGAATACCTTCAACATCTCTAAAATATAGCACACAATCTCCTATTAAACCAAAAGTTCCGAATCCTTATCTCTGACAAATATGCAATATCTCAAGCCACCAAGCGCAGCTCTCACTGAATGTCTATTATCCTTACCAACAGGGAAGTCTCGGACAAACGCTCACACCACAACACAACATCATTCCTTGCTATACCTTATGAGGAGTGACCGAAAGAAAAATAAAGGTTAAGAAATTGAATAGGGTGGAGAGAGTGAACAATCAAAAAACATTGCAACATGAATCCCTTCATAGATGGAAAACTAGACGGCGAACTCCCATGAAATAAACATAACAAGCTCATGACCAGGATGGCTTTAATTACTTAAGTAAAATTGTTGGCGACAAACGACGGTTATCATTGAGAAATACCAGAAATTGTTATCTTTGCCACGCGAAGAGCTTGCTTGGGCACTATACAGTATTAAAATAGAAACCCAGGCGGATTTGCCAGCTGGCTCGTACCTATTTCGATTGGCTAAATATTACTCACTCATGCAGGCAGAATCAGATAATGAAATTTCGATCCTCAGACTTTGGATAAAACAAGATAAACACAAGGATAAAAAAATGGCACATACTCCCGTATTGATACGATATCATGCACACTTGAATGATAAAAAAATCAGAACGCTCTCGGATAGGATTCAAACCAAGAAGACAGAGTACTCACCCGCTAGCGTCTAAGATCTCTCGGGAAATTTTCATCTTCTTCGTGGTTCCCTTGTAGAGATCTTCCAGGGTACACGGCAAGTTGTTCTCGATTGGAGCTGCCTTTCGGGGCTGCTGGTATTGCATCCCGGCGTCGCCGCCCCGAAACATCGACCCAAATATATCATCTCCGAACATGGACGGCATCCCGCCGAATCTCGAACCCCCTGTCATTCCCCCAGAACCTCCACCGCCTCCCATGCCCCCAAACGGGCTCGAGAAACCGAAGAATTCAGAGAAAATATCGTCGGCGTTCCTGGGATTGAACCGGAAAGCCGTCTGCCCATCACCAGTGGAAAAGAAGGATGGACCACCGGCTCCGGGAGGGGGCACCTGACCCTTCAGGCCTTCCTCACCGTACTGGTCATACACCGCACGCTTCTGAGGATCGCTCAGAACCTGCAAAGACAACAAGAGAAATCCAAAAACGAACATTTTTCAGACGGAGAGATGAGCGTTTACGGGAATAACCAGAGAAAATAAGTACGCGCAAAGCAGGGCCCGTACCTCGTACGCTTCGGATATCTGCTTGAACTTGGCCTCCGCTTCCTTTTTGTTGTTAGGGTTCTTATCGGGGTGCCACTTCATGGCGAGCTTCCGATAGGCCTTCTTGAGGTCGTCGTCCTTGGCGCTCTTGTCCACTTGCAAGATCTTGTAGTAGTCTACCCCCATCTCTGCTACACTGCACACGTCCTCCGGTACCAATGCTAGACACTAGGCATGCAACACTAGTTTCTGCAGCCGCCCCGGAGCCTCATAATGTAGAGGGGGGAGAACCGTCTGGAAGGGGTGACGACAGAGGTTCCAGACATCTGATTTTCCAGCCCTCGAGCCTAGATAATTCCAGACCCTACTTTCCATCATCTAATGGGCCGTGCCCAATAATTGACTGCACGACCCAGGCAAGATAGTGGGCCCCATGAATGGGCGCCCCATATGAATTTTAAATTTTAATCCAGAAGATTCTACAGAAGAAGGAGCTTACGTCTCATAGGCGCTTGCGACACGTGTATCGATAGGCTGGATAACCTCGTTGTCCTTTCGCCGAGTGCCCCAGGTAGCGTACGCTCGCTGCTCGGCGATTTACAGGTCGCCGTCATGCGCTTCACAGTTATTCTTCACGCGCTCTGTCTAGGCTCGAAGAAGTGCATTTGAAAGTGATCTTCATGCTCGTGTTTTAAGCCTGGACTCAAAATCTGCGCGGTATCCTCTATTTGCGTTGAATATATTATCCTCAATTCTCCAATGAAATAGTGGATCTATGGATCAGGGCTGACTAGCGCCGCGATTGAATTGAACTGGATTTACCTTTATGTGATTTTTTAGTAAAAGAGAGAGCGAGACCGTCGAATCTGGGAGAGAACCTGTCGCTCGACGGCGGATAGCGCTGCTCATCCGTCACTCCTGTCTTCAGGAAAGCACCGATGGACGGCCGACTGATACAGAGGATTCGTGTATCATCACCATAGAACTTTAGGCAAGTTATACGGAGCTTACCGCGGAAAAGGAGTCGAAAAACGACGAGGCAATCGCCGCCGCTGCCACTGAAGCCGCCGCGAGAGCTCCCATGATACTCTTCATCCCGAAGCCATAATGATCAGCAAAACGAGCCAAGAAATCGACCGCGAATGAGATGGAGATCAAGATCTCAGAGATAGAGAGAGAGAGAGCGAGAGAGAGATGAAACAGGAGGAAAAACCTGAGCTCTTTATTCTACACTATTTAATACCCAATTTATTCCCCGTTCTGGTCACATCGGCGTTTACCCTTCACAACGGTGGGAGGGATTCGAATAAGCCGTCCGACACGTGGCAAGGAATGGACACCTCTCCCAAGCTTCCAAGGACGAAGGGTGGAATCCACGTGGCGTTGACCTGACTCACAACACGACATGACGTGGCATGCGGACCAGACCCCGAAAAATCCTCCTCCGGAAGAAAATTATCTGCACTAACTGAGCGAATTGTCAGGGAATCACAGGCTAAGCACATAAAATCGCATAATTTTGATCCCATTATTTAAGAAAATAAAAAAAATCCAAGCCCACTCGGAAAATGTATATTGAAATAAATAAATAAATAAATAATAAACCTTACCACAATGAATCAAGGGGCTATGCCAGGTTCCTCTCTCGCATCAGGGCTTCGATCTTCTCGACGTCCTCGGGGGTGTCGACACCGTGAGCATCGTGATCGACCTTGATCACCTGTGACCGAATAAAACCAGGTACAGTTACTATAAAAGGAATCATGGAAAGAGTACTCGCATTCTCTGCAGTCACCTTCATTTTGTACCCGTTCTCAAGAACCTTCAGCTGCTCCAGATCTTCCTCCAGCTGCAGGGGAGTGGGGGGGAGGTCCGGATAGATCCTCAAGAACTTGGAGTCGTAGCTCTGAAGAGAAAGTCAGTGGTCAGCTGCCAGGATTTCTTTCCCTTTTTTTTTGTTTTCTTCCGGATTTGTAAAAAAATAAAATAAAAATCGCAACCAAAACAATAAATCAAGACCTGAATACCAAGATGGAGCAGGTAGGGGAACTTTGGGTTGACTTTTCCCGACCTACAGAACATTCAAACATATAATAATAATAATAATAAAAATAATAATTTTTTTTTTTCAAATTAGATTCAAATCCTGGAGATATTTCCAGGCGCAAGGAGGCCGCACGCACTTGTTGTATGGGATCAAACCCCTGGAGAAATAGATAGCATAGCCATGATTGTCCACAATACATTTCACACGGTTGGTGTCGGCTCCATCTTCAGGTTTCAGGGATGTCACAGCAGTGCTGAACACCGCATCAGGAGCTCCCTAGCAGTATAACCATTAAATTATTATTTTTATTCCAATTATTAAATATACATAGATACACATCAAGCATGCCATGCAAGGGTTAGGTATTCTCCCAGAAAGAATATTTATTAAAAAAAAGAAAGAAAAAAAGAAGATCACCTGTAAAGCTTTCACGACACCATCTATTATCTCTGGTTCAATGAGAGGCTCATCACCCTGAATGTTTACAACGACATCATACTTTTTCACAAGCTTCTGGAGTGCTTCATTGCAACGCTCAGTTCCTGGGAAACAAATTCCGAGTGATTTCAGGGTAGAAAATAACTTAAACTCTTCTGGTCGCAGGGCAGGCACAGAAGATGCCCTAACCATTTCGACAAGATTCTGATGTCATTATCACATCAGCTCCAAAGCTCCTGCAGCACTCTGCTATCCTTTCATCATCTGTTGCCACAACTGAGAGAGAATGGAAATATAACTTTAAAAATGAGAGGAAAATAATTCTGAGAATGATTTAATAAACGATAATCATGGACATAGAAGAAATACAATTTGAAGCGATAAAGAACCAGAAGGCTACTGCCCAATTTTTTAAAAAAGGGCTTAAAAAACATATTAAAGTAATCTACCAGCTGCAGACGATGAAATGATCTTAATATGATCACCTGGGATAATCTAGCAATCAAGCCCCACGAAAAATGGTAAACCGTGATCAACCAGAAACAGATAAAAAACGGGAGTTTGAGGCATTTTTATATTAAATTATCTAAAATATTATAGAGATTATTTTCGTATCATCATGGGTACTTCACATATGCCCTTAAAACACAAATGAACAATAAGTATAAGCAGCATAACCAAATAAGATAGGCAATTATTTTTCATTTAAAACTATGAGACTTATTTCCCCAGCTCCTTAAACCTGAGGGCTTCACTATGTATAGTTAGCTAAAGCGCAGTGCAGGAGACCGAGAAAGGTTGTGGCACCCAATATCAAAAGCAAATGTAGTCGTCTTCGTCCTCTACTCACCCATTCCTCATGGCCATTCTTGTTCACAGAGCATAATGACTACATGCCCTACACCTCCTCCTTACCTCGTCCCACTACAGCATGGAATAACATTCTGTTATACCCATTTCCCGGCCAACAGTCCGTTTAACATACGCCCGAAAGAGGAGGGGCAACTTACTGAGGAATGAATAGCAATTTGGAATAGGGCTGCCTATCGAGGGGAGACATAAAAAGGTGGTCGAAGGGAACAATAAAGGCATCCAGAAAAAGGGATCGACAGGGAGAGCCGGGGGTCTCTCGAATTACCTCCTCCCCAAACCCTAGAGGCGTCCTCTGGACACCCCTCTCTCTCCGTTCTTTTCCCCTCCTTACTTTCCTGTTATTGTGGACAGAGATGCTCGATATTCCGTTCTAGTTTGATTTCCTGTTCCGTTCAATTATCTTCCTTCCGAATCGAACCAGAGGATTCCAACACATTCACCAGGCTTGCATTCTCACTTGGGTTTCGAGTTCAAGCTGTAATATGAAAACATGGCTAGAACAATTGTGAATGGCAAGGGAAAGTTGTCGAAGAGAGATCTGTTACATACTGTATAAGATGGGCAAGCTTGGTTAGTTTGGCAGTGGTCGAGTAATGAGTAGATTTGTGAAATCGTTTGTCTAGTTTGATGGTATATCCCAAAGATTAGAAAGTTCATTAGAAGCCACGCCATAACTATTTTGGCGATATTGTTCCCCCATCACATTATTAAGGCCATGAAGTGCAATCTGACGAATATTAGTTTATCAGCCAAGTCAAAGCAATAATCATCATTTAATCAGTGTTACAAGCAGACCCAACATCATCCATTCTCTGCACTATAGTAAGATCTATTAGCTGTAATTTTCAGCACGTTATAAGAGTGGGAGGGGGTGCTGATAGTAATCCTCATACATAATTTCGTACATAATAAATCATTAAACAGCGCTTGGAAAATTTAACCGATATATGGTCATCAGAAATTCAGAAAGAAATTTCTGATCAGTGATCCATGACAGGGTGCCTTAACATCACGACCAATTCGACTGAAAACTAAAAAAATTTACACTGAGGATCAGACTGGTTAAGAGCTGACTGAAAGGTGAAGCACGGCACGGAAACAACAGGATATGAGTAATGAGAAAATGGCGGCAGTATGATTATACCTACATGATCCAGTGTGGTAGCCAACTTTGACCTCTCCCACGTCCTCTGCAAAGAAATAACTAGCTCGCAGCATCATTAATGCAATCACATTGTCTTAATTTTAGTAAAACGAGGATGTCTCAGTATCCGCGACCTACATTTTTCTTTATTCATGCTGTGCATAATCCAGAGATTCGGAGAAACAAGGTCAACTGATCTTTAAAGATTTTTTAAGAAGATGGATAGAACATGATAAATAATTTCGAAAAATAGAGCTTCGAACTTATAACTGATTGAGTTTCAAGTTTACATGAATACCTCATAGACTACTGTCAGTTCATTTGATGAGGTAAATGTAGACATGCTAATGATAATACTCAACTATTCCACTAGCTAGCTTTTGCAGATGAGAGGGGAAGGCTGTGAAAAACTATTGATATCATGTCCAAAAAGCCCCGCATTTCGGACATTCAGGAAGATCCGGGTAAAGTTTCAAAAACACAATGTCAGACATTTTCTCAGAAAATAATACTTATATCGACCGATCAGAACCCCAGGAGACAGTCGACAGTAGAACAACCCCCCAACACGGAATTATTCCATGAATATTCGAGAGGACGCATTACCCGTATTACTTTATGAGGATTTCACCGTTTCTGTCAGTATCCTTTAACATCTACACTAAACTGAACATGTGGAGAGGCGCCATACTCTTTTCTCCCGAAGACAGTAATTGCGTGAAAATTGGTTTTCTACTTGCTCACCGGTCGTGTGCAGTGTCGGATCACATCCGATGTGAATTTGAATGACGCTCGAGAAGACCGACAGATATTAACCCAGAAGAAATGAGTAGACAAACACACGGTGACAATGCATTGAAGTAAATGAGCGCATCTTCACCTGTATCATGGGCTTGCCGAGGATCTGGACGAGAGGCTTTCCCTCTAAGCGGCTGGAGGCGAATCGCGCAGGGATGATCCCCACGACCCGTGTCCTGAAGCCACCAGACCAGCGGAGGTAGAACGCCGCGTAGGCCCCGGCCACCACCGCCGCCCCCAACACAATCCCGTGCGCGATCCAGACCTTGCTCGATCCCCCTGAGGATCCCGAAGAGGCCATCGAATCCGCGGAACAGATCACCATTCTATCCAAGACTTGCAACCTTCCCTCCGGATCCCCAAATCTCCCGTTGCCCGGAGTGAAAGTGGAGATCAGTCCCCCTTCTCCAAGGCTGTGCTTCCCTTCTGGTTCTCACTCGATAGTACCTCAGACGGTTGCTTCCTGAAACGCCCCGACAAGCGGAACGTGTCAACGTCAGAGAAATTACAAATAGGGCCTTTTACGTAAGTTAAATTATACGTAAACCATCGTGCCGTATTTTTCAATATTTAATAAAAGGCAGCATTAATCATTAATTAATGAATTAATTAATTTAGTGAAAACGCAACGTGCCACTAAGAGCTGCTGACGACGGAGATTATTATATTTTCGTAATTCGAAATGTATAATATTTTAAAATTGTGAAATGGGAATATTACGGAGTAAAAGATCGATTAAAATAATAGTTGCAATATGGTTGTCAATTGAAGATTTTATCCGGATCGTTAGTAAAGAAATCCAGGATAATCGGGCCAAGCCCGATAGACGTGAGGCCCGGTCCGTTATATGCCGGTGTACATGTAGCTGCTCTGTGGTAAGCAGGAGGATACACGTACATGTCAGATTTTAATTATTACCGCATTACTTAACCGGTACCCACACAAGGGACAAATTTGTGGCCTCTCAGGAAGAGCTAATTTCGTGACACGTATGGAGTGGTTTAGATAAAAAGAGACATTTGGTTTGACAACGACACCAGGCGATCTCCTTATCCGGCGGTCAAATACTCTCTTGCGTGTGAAGAAAACCCGCCGTCCGTGGAACGGAGCACCGACCGCTTCTCCTCCCTAGCGCTGCCTCTCTTAGCTAGTTTGCTGCAGAGGAGGAAACCCTAACCACCTGCAATCATGGCGTCTGGTGGATCTTCTGGTCGTCCCCCCTCTGTTTCTCGATCGTTCGACTTTGGATCCGACGACGTGCTCTGCTCCTACGACGACATCGGGAGCCAGGATCATTCCAACGGGAAGCGATCGGACTCCGCCGGGAAGGTGATGTTGTTATCCGCTTCTTTTCTTTTCTTTTATCTTGACATCTTTTATGGGAATGGTTCTCCTTTCGTGTTTTCATGAGATTCTTGTGAGTTGTACGACTTTGTTCGTGAAAATAGGGTTGAATTTCACGAATTGTGCTCTGCTACTTTCCAAATTTTGACTCGGGACTCGGTGCTGCGTCGGTGATGTTTTTCTTTCATCGGATTCGTACCTACCTGGGATGATCACGGAATTTGTTTCTACGGATGTTTTGATTGATTTCCCCGGGACCTCAAATTATGTTATTGAAAAGAATTATAGGGATATTCCAATAACTGCATTGTAGGGTTACCTTTTAGAGACTTTGATGCGGTTGGTATGGGATGTTTCTATTGATGGCATAAAATTGTGTTCCCTCCCTGCACCACGTCAATCAAATCTCCTTTGTTAATCTTGTCGTACTTTGATAGAAGTAGAGGGAAAAGGGCCAGAACATTGTACCTTCGCTCCTCCGATTCCCCAAACTCTGCTCTGAAAATTTATTGCTCTGAAAAATTTATTGGCCTTTTGGAAGGGTGGGGAGAGCCAATTGCGTTGAAAGCGGCTATCGCTTACTTTATGCGCTTCCATGTCTGTTGCCTTTCCTTGAAAGATGTCCTTACACCATTAACATGCTTGAACGAACCCATCTCGTCCAACATATGTTGTCTTTCTACCTCCTATAAATCTCCTTTCTAGAGAAATCCCTCATATCCCACGACGCTTGTCCTCTCCATATCCAACAAGGATCATATCCAACATATATTGCATCACCCTCATGATTTCCAGGCCTCTATTTGCTCCAGTGGTACTTATTCTTCCCTTTTCAAACTGATAGCATAACATAAACCTCCCTCACACCTCAAAGGGCTGATTTTTATCTTTTGCATTTGTACTTGACTTTTTGGGTATTCCACCTTCCTTTCACCCCATTGCACACATGATGATATATCTCGTGATCCTTGAACATCTCTCCTACATCTCTCTTTACTTCTTCAATAACTTAATCCTCATTTTTTGTGCGTCGCTCCAATTTTGTGACCACTATTTCGTACCTTGGTTTTACATAGATCATGAATAATATTCTATCTTACAGAACTATCATGACGCTCCTCTCTTCTGGCCTGGAAGTTTCAGCAAACTCACAATCTGTTTGTTGACCATCTCTGTTCATGTCACCTGATATTTTAGTGATATCTTTACCCAGACTTTTCTCCATCAATGTTAGGTCTAGTCCTCCACTTGATCTCTCAGAATTTGGCCTTCACCCTGATAAGGCTCTCGTTATCGTAAATGGCGTATGCGACCAAGGTGTGATTGCTTCATCACCCGCCTTTCCCTCCATTCAAAATTTATGATTACGCCCATCTTCACAAATGGACAAACATCTCCTCTGCGGCAACTCTTGATTTCCCTTATAATAGCTTCTGTTGTTGTTGAACTCCAGTCCCACTGGTAGCCCCTTGCTGCGTATGTCAATGATGGATCAAGGTCCCTTTTCAATGGTTTATGGATCTCCAGGTCTTTTGTAGTGAGGGTAGCTTATTTTGTCTATCTCACTACATGTTCCAGAGGATTTTTCTTCATTGCAATTCATCGAATCCTTTTGATTTTAAGGTCACGGTTACATTTTTTTGTGTTTTCAATTTCCTCCATACTTTCGAAGGTATTTTGTTATCAGTAGTTTATCTCTCAAGTTGCCACTTTGATGGTGATGTAATGTTTCCCCACCTTTCACTATCATTTTTTTTGACATTAACATATTTGGATCCCATTTAATTTTTGGAAACCTCTAGATGCCTATGTTCCCAGGTTAATAGACAAGTAGTAGTCCATTAATGTCTATCCTCAAATCTAATGAGACGGGTGATGTGGAACATGTCCACCGATCTCATATGTTCCCAACATAATTGGATCTATGGTAATCCTATTGCTATATTTTTAAAAGTGGGGTTTGGTAAAGATGAACACCCTCCCCCCTCCCCCCTTTCCGTATTACCAAGACATGATAGGATCATTATCTCTATGTAAGTTCCTTGGACGGCTGGGTAAGTTGTTCAGCAGTGGTGCGAGTGAAATAATTTGAATTGATAGTTGTCTTATATGGTTTTTGTTGTCCGTGAGCCCAATAACCCCAAGTTGATTAATGTTATACATATCTTCTTTCCCCATTATTGCAGCTTCATTTTCCTTTTGAACTCACGTTCAGTAATAAGGTTTCATCGTCCTAGAGTGGGTCAGAATCGTGTATCCACTTGGAAGAGATTTTTTTAGGGATCCAGAAAGCTATGTCAACCTGGCGTCTACTTCAGGCGATTAGCAGAAACTGTTTCTTGTCTCTAGCAGCCTCATTGTCACGTTGATAAAGAAATAGTTCATCTGTGAGATCAGTGGCATGATAATTTTATCTCTTGTTTGGCTTAGGGTAGGGGGTTGCGGAGTTTTCATGCAGTAGCCACCAGAGGGGAGTTTAGGATTCTTCTCTTTTCCCAGGCATTCTTCGTTATGTATGACCTAATGCACAATCTACGGATGAGAAAGTTCCACTGAATGAGAGCCCCTCCGAACTCACAAACTTTATCTGCTCCATTTATCTGCTTGGATCTTAAATTTTCATTGCTGCTTGTGATGAAGGGTGTCAACTCCTCGTAAAACTTCTGGCCTCTGGACTCTTTGCAGAGCTTTGGAACTTCCATGTGCGCTTTCTATGGTTCTCGTCAGCACTGTTGTTCCCAAACCAGTGGGTCGTTTCTTTTCTGTATCAACTCCGTATCTGATAGAAACCACCAACAGAGGTCGAATTGTGATTGTTACCTAAAAAGACACCCCCTCCTTGCGGTACTGCCTTTGTTAGTCTCAGTAGGGACTCCATGTGTTGTCTGACCAGGATCTAGAAGTTGATTTTTTTAGTCTTTACTCTGATTATGATAACAGCATCCCAGATCCTCGTGTAGCATCCTGTTTACTCAAGTCCCTGGCTAGTATTGGCACTGAGTATTTGTTCCCCAGGAGGAAATGCTTCATGCGTGTGAGTGGACCACGCCATACGGGTCCTGGCACAAGTCTCTCTCTTTTCCGAACTTACCTTAGCCAAAGGATCCTGGAGACATCATGTAGAGAGTTGATGCCTGGAAACCCAGCCGATGGAAAACCTTCCCAAAATTCTCGACATGTCATTTGGTTTCAAGCTAGCTCAGGGCAGAGGGGATAGGCCAAGATTTTTTTTGTTTTGTTTAAGTTTCGTCGGATGACATTGATAACAGCATTTCGGTATTTCAGTAGAAATACTCTTAGTGCGCGGCAAACAGAAGGGCTAACGTAGACTATCTTTAATAATTTTTATTATATCCTCATGGATCGGAATCAACCATTGTAGAGTATAAGATCTCAGAATCAATTTTTGCCATGATTGCCTTTTCTCTGTCATTATAAACATATATGCATGTATATATATATATATATATATATATATATATATATCATCCATGTGTGTGTGTGTGTGTGTATATGTATATATATCATCCATTGTAGATCTTTCCGTGTCCACACTAAATTTGGAGTTTTAATCTATGGATATACAGGATTTCAGAGAAGGCAGAGTAGGAAGACCTTTAGTGGATGTATATAGTCAACGTGAAGAGCATGATAACCGGGATCTGCTTTTAGCTGTCGAGAAGTGCATGAAGAAATATGCTGATAATCTGCTGCGATTTCTAGAGGGAATCAGTGGGCGGCTATCACAGTTGGAACTGTATTGCTACAATCTCGAACGTTCTGTTGGAGACTTGCGTGCAGATCTGAGCCGTGATCAGAGTGAGTCAGATCTGAAGCTGAAGTCTCTGGAGAAGCATCTCCAAGAAGTAAGTTTGTCTGTCATATTATTTTCCCGACCACTGTGTGCCACATATTGACCTAAAGTTGGTTACTTGCAGAGTGCATCTAATACTGTTTAAGTGAAATCTGAAATGTTTTGGAGAAGTAACGATTTTATCAGCATTTGTCATTTTTCATCTGAAGTCAGCCAATTACTAGTATGCATGTGATCATGCCGATGCGTTCCGGGGGATTGGGTGTCATACTATTTCCCTCCCTACGCCGATAAATATCTCAAGCATATGTTTTGTCTTCTCATCAATCCAATTGCTTATGCTCGTGCTTGTCGACATATGCTTTGATATGTTGAAGCCTTGCGGTATTTATTGCGCGGTTGCATCGTCAGTTTCTGAACATTTGCCCGAGCATGAATGAAGTCCACTCATTTCCCCCCCTCTCCCAAGTTAGTGTGGGGGATTTACCTCCTCGCTGCACTCTCACTAAACGGCCTTTCACCTGCATGGAATCGCATAATCTCGGAGGACATTCCTCGTGACAGCGAGTGATCTCTGCTGCGTCAGGTACACAGGTCGGTGCAGATCCTGAGAGACAAGCAAGAACTCGCGGAAACCCAGAGGGAACTGGCCAAGATTCAGCTCGCCACCAAAGAATCATCTGACACCGCCACCGCCACCGCCACCGCCGCCGCCGCCGCCGCCCCCGAGCCGAAGAAGCGCACCGACTCGCCGGACGCCTCTAACCAGCAATTGGCCCTCGCCCTTCCTCAACAGCTACCCCCGAACCCTCCTCCACCCAGAGCTCCCGAACAAGCCCCCCCTCAGCCAGACCCCTACACTCAGGCCCAGGGAGGAGGCCCATTCTACCCCCAGCGCAGCCAGATGATGACCCCAATGCCGCCGCCGCCGCAGCAGCAGCAGCATCAGCATCAGCAGCAGCAGCAACCTGAGCAACAACAGTATGCGCCGCAGAGGCCCCAGGCTCAAGATTTCTCCAGGCAGCCTCCTCCGCAGTATGAACAGCCGTGGGCGCCGCAGCAGCAGCCGGCCCCCCAGCATTTCTCCCAGCCGCAGAGGCCGGAGACGCCGCCGGCGTACGCTCCCTACGCGCCGAGCCAGCAGCCCCCCAACGCCGCCCCGCACGAGATGTACCCCCCCGGCATGCCGCTGCAGGCCCCCTACCAACGGGGCTATGCCCCCGCGCAGTTGAGCTTACAGCGGCAGGAGGTGGCGCCCCCTCAGACCGGCCAGAGCCCTTACCCCCCTCCGCAGGTGAGCAAGGCCGGTGGCTACGCCGCGCCGGTTCCTTACCCGCCGCACTCTAATGTTCAGAGCTATGGAGCCCCCGGCGGCGGCGGCGCCGCCCGCCCTCAGCATTTCCTCCCCGGAGCCTATCCGCCGCCGGGGGGCATGCACCAAGGGATGCAGATGCCCCGAAGTCACCCCTACGCAGAGCTGATCGACAAGGCTATCAACATGGGATATCTCAGGGATCACGTGATCGGCGCTGTCCGCAGGATGGAGGAGAGCGGTCAGCCCGTTGACTTCAATTCCCTCCTCGACGTGCTGAATGCCCGCCCAGCTGCTCCCCCCTCCCAGAGGGGATGGGCCAGTTAGGGTTTCTTGGTATCCTCTCTCTCAAATAATCATGTAAGCATGATGCTTGTGTATATGTGGGGGAAGAGGGGGGAGTAGTGGGTTGGTGCCTCACACGTGTGAATAATTGTAGCCCTACAGCTTGGCACGCTGGGGGTAGACTTATCGAGAGAAGTCAACGGAAAAGCCCGTGGTGTACCGTGGAGATCGGCGGCGAGGATGGCTGTTTCTAACGGGATCTCCGTTTGTGAGCGAAAAGTTGACCAGATCGGATGTGCCCACTAATATTACTTATCTTTTTTGCTTGACTATTTTTTAAATTTTTATTTTTAAATCTTAATGTAAATCTAAGCTGAATATAGTAAAGTAAGTATGCCGAAAGGTGAGGTGGCCCAAGGGTCGGGACAAGAGTACCGCGGGACATTGTAATCCACCATTCCCTCCCGCGTTCACCGCCCACGATAGGAGGAGCTGTCTAATGATATCGACTGTCGGCCCGATCTTTTCCGCGGGACATCATACCGCTCACCCCCCCCACCCTTTCCATCTCCCTCTACCACTTTCAGGGCGTTTAAGAGGATCAGGAGGGGTCTGCGACCTTACTTTCGGTCGCGGGATCGTCGCCTTGCTGTGGGTTAGGGTTGCCGACAGTGAAAGTTTCGATCTCCTTTCCCTCAGTCCGACTTTGCGGAATGTCGACGGCAGCAGCGCCAGCGGGGCAGAAGCCGCAGGGAGGGGCCGCGGGGGCGCCGGCGAAGAGGAAGCCTGTTTTTGTGAAGGTGGACCAGCTGAAACCGGGCACGAGCGGGCACACGCTGACGGTTAAGGTCGTTAGCTCGAACATGGTGCTGCAGAAGGGGCGGGCGTCGTCGGCTCATCTCCGCGAGACTAGGATCGCCGAGTGCCTGATCGGGGACGAGACCGGGACGATTGTTTTCACTGCCAGGAACGAGCAGGGTTCGTGTCTCTGTGCCCCCTTTTAGGTGTCCTGCATCTGCTCTTCGCCTCCCGTTCCACTCATTTTGTGCACTCCGACTTTCGAAACCCTAATTTTATGTTAGGGGATTCCGCCTCTCTCCGAAAGTTTAGAGCACGCGTAGATCGAAATGCCGTCTCTGATCTACGAAGTATGGGCCTAGATCTCTAATTTCTTAGCTACAACGGAAGGTTGGGTTGACCGATCTTCTCTTGTTGTTGGGTTATTCGTTAATCAGAGTCGTAATTTTGCTTTCGACAGGGGGAAAAATCGTCGTTTCCCATCCAATACAGTCGTCATTTTCCGTTGATGACCACTTTTGGCCCCATTATATATCAATGAAAGTAGGAAATTTGCGATCTATGCGGCTTTTAATCCCGTATCGGTTAGATGTTAGGCATTTTGGGAATTAACCCCGTAATACTTTTCTTGTCGTTAGCCTGCGTTCGGAGGGAGAAGTTGTGGGTCGAAATAACATTGCCTTATGCCTCTGTTGATAGCTTTTACCTGCCGACAACTCGGGGACCATATGGTGGTTCTTCCATTATAATACGGCACTATCTTGACTTATCCTTGCTTTTCTCCCATTTAGAATCAGGAGGTATTTCGATACCTTCTATCATGGAACTGTGTTTGATGTTGGGGCCTGTGTTCATGCGTTCTTTGTTGTCAATTTCCATGAAACGATGGCTTAATCTTCTTACGCGGTGATTACATAAGAAATTTTTTCCTGTTATTATTTGGGAATGTCTTCATTTTACATCAAACACATTTGTTCTCCAGTTGGTTTGGTTCTAGCCATAAATGCCATCGTTAGTCAATGTTAGAATATTAAAATGTTTTCCCCCCATTATAGTGCATTTTAGATTCTTTGATTTCCAGCTGACCTCATGGGTTCATAAAATCAAAAGCTTACTCTATGTGCGCATTTTCTCATAAACTCTGGTGTAATTGGTATGCTAATTCGTTCTAGCGAGCCGATCATAGGCTTGATGATTTCAATCACATCTAAAATAATAAAAGAGTTGGAGTCTGCCGTGTCCATCAAATAGCAGATCTTAAGTGTTCATAGAATCAAAAGCTTATTCTATGTGCACATTTTCTCATAAACTCTGGTGTAATCAGTATGTTCATTAGATTAGTGAACTGATCACGGGCTTGATGATTTCAATCACATCTAAAAAAATACAAGCGTTGGAGTCTGACGTGTTCCTTGACATGCAGTATCTAGTTCATGGAGCACATCGCTATGTACTTAGGGCACTTCAACTCTCTGGGTTTGAAAGGCTGTTGCTGTTGTGCGTCTATTAATGGTATTTTGGTTTCCAGCCACAACTGATCATTTCATGGTAGTCAGTCATCCTAAGTCCAATTGGGCTGTCGGTTTATGGGGAGCTAGAACACGTATGCATCTAGTATAGAATCGAGGAATGCACACCTATTTGATCGTTGACAAAAATCCTCTTCATAATATGTTGCTGTCTACACCACAATTTAACAGACCTCATTCGCTGTTGTCTTATGGTCAGTGTTTTGAAATGAAATTTATGTTCTTCAGTGTGTTGTAACAGTTTCAAGAATAATGTTTTGGCTTCTTTTCAGATTGCCTCAAACTATGGGCCTATCCTTTATTTATTTCATCATTCATGTGGTGATGAGTTCTTTTTTTTTTTTTTTTTTTTTTTTTTTGTGTTTCGTCTCCTCCTCCATCTGGCAGTCGATCTGATGGAACCCGGCGCCACAGTGATCCTACGCAACGCAAAGATCGACATGTTCAAGGGGTCCATGAGGCTTGCTGTTGACAAGTGGGGCCGTGTGGAGGTCACCGAGCCAGCAACCTTTACGGTGAAGGAGGACAACAATCTGTCCCTGGTCGAGTACGAGCTGGTGAAAGTCGAGGAGTGAGAGGGAGGGAGGGAGGGAGGGAGGGAGAGGCTCGCCTCCCCCTCCTCCAATCTTTGTGCGACCCACAGAGGAAAGTTTTTATTTTTCTTTAAGCTTTGCTGGTTAGTCTTATTCTTCTTCTCGTGCCCATGAATATCCGAGGTGTAGTTTCCATGAGAAAAGAAACGCTGCTTAAAGTTGTTATACACATCTCCCTGCATAGAAATGTTCCTGTTTCCGTTGACTTCTGCCGCATGAACTGGGCTGGTTTCTACCCCTCTGTGGATTTACCAATGCCGCCTCTAAAAGTCAAAGTCGCATCTTGAGTTTTTTCCTCCCAGAATCGTCTGGATGTGGTGCTTTTCTTCCTATTTGGGTAATCTCCAGCAGGATTCCTTTGTCTTATGCTTTGCTTGCCCTTGAAGTACTCCCAGTTTCATTCTTTATTGGCCTTTTAGAGAGAGAGAATGTTAGTGTTTTTATGGATTTATTTCGGATTAAAAAAAAAAGCGCAGGGTAAGGGGAGGCTGACGGCGCCACCATTAGGGGTCAGACCAGCTCAGTGGTCAATGCGGAGAATAAACGCCTCTGGAATTTTTAGATAGAATATAATAGATTCTGTGGAAATATTGCGTATTTATAGAAGCTTTAAGATTTCGGCCCCGTCAGAACCAATAAGAATCCGATAAAGTGACAGGCTATCGGATCGCCCGAGACCCACGTCCGGGACGATACAGTTGTTAATGTGGAAAGAAAACGCCTCCGGAATTATTATTATTTTTTACCGTTTTGTTGGGAATATTGGGGGATATATAGGAGGTTTTAGGATCCGCCCCACTAAGCCGACAATAAATCCAATATGTTAGACAATATCGGATCGTCCGAAGACCCGCAACGAGAGGTTTGGTTCTTCTGGCTCGATCCGATTGGATTCGGAACTTCTCCCCATTTTCGCAACCCTTGCTCTTCCCTCCTCGTCGTTCTACGGGGGTCTGAATCGAACGCGTCGGGAAGGGCGATGGCTTCGTTGTTCAAGGTTAGACGTCCGCTTACTCGTCTACCAGTTGTTTCCGCTCGATCTGTAGCCGTTTCTGGATCGAGATATGATCCAGATAGTGTTTTCATTTTGGACTGGAACGGTCAGTGTTCTGAGTCTTTTGAGTTTCCTGTTTGATGATCTCGCCTGTCGTGCAATGCATAGGATTTGAGCAAGCTATCGGCGTACCGGGACAGGAGGTTTCCCGGAACGCAGGAGGAGTACGACCACGCGCTGCAGACCTCGACGACGTTGTATATTGGCAATTTGTCTTTCTACACAACCGAGGAGCAGGTTTACGAGCTTTTCTCTCGAGCTGGCGAGATTAAGAAGATAATTATGGGCCTGGACAAGAACACTAAGACTCCATGCGGCTTTTGCTTTGTCCTGTAAGGGTCTGGTGCTTTTATCAGCGTCTCAAATATCTAAAGCAATCATTAGGTGGATCGAGTCCTGGTCCTTTGTCTTTCGGTGGTGTTTCTGGGCGTCATTCGTCATTGTTGTGACAATCTTCACCGGATAGACGGAAACATCTTGTTTGCACTCTTTTTCTTTTCTTTATGCATTGATAACAGTTTAGTACTCTTTTTCTGGGACGAAACCGTACGAAAAGATAAGTTTGCTGCTGGTGTCTATATTAGAGGATGGCTCCTGCTGTAAAATGTGCTAAACTGGAGGCTACAATTAGGTTCCTGAGTGGTTTAAATTCTGGGGGAACGCTGCCATACAGAGAAAAAGCTTGGACACAATTTTTCTGGAGTTTTTTTTGTGGGGAAAGATTCATTAATTAGTTTCTACCTGTTAGATACTATCATAGGGCTTTTGACGGATCTTTTGCTGTTGATGGCTGTATTGACCAATATATTTTTCACGGCCTTGTAATGGTCTGACATCGGGATGAGCAACTGCCTGGAATAACGATTAGGTCGATGGCATTGCTTTTTTATGGTTGCACTGCCCTAAGCATATTTAAATGTTGTTAGTTTGGATTGGGGGGGAGTGGCATTTTCTTACTGTGGACGGAGATTATTATGTTTTGAGACACAAGTTTGGCAAGAGTATCTTCATACTTCTTGTTTTCTTATATTTGTGGTCAGACCAGAGTCCTCCCATCCTCCTGGTGACTTGTGAGGAGAAGGGAGATAAAAAAACTTATTACGAAACAATTAATGAACCGGCCAAAGGCAAGAGTTCAGTTGGTTATAATTTTTTGTTTTCTCAAGTTTCTCCCTTTTTTTCTCTCTGTTATAAATTCAGAACAAGTTCATCGGCCATGATTTTGGAAGAACTTTGTAGAATAGTGTATTTTAATTCCACTTCAAGTTCAACTTATGATTAGTTTTTGGGAGTTTTCCATCTCCATATATTAGGTTGAATTTACATAATATCCTTAAGATTCAAGGTAATAGGTGCCCTTAATTTTTATTTTCTTCAACTGCTCTTTCGCATATGTGTACTGCAATATTGACAGATGATGTTCATGTAGATTGCTGAAGTTTTGTTTCAACATATTGTAGTTTACTAGAAATGACATATTGTAGTTTCAACATATCTGCAGAACATTCCCTTCATTCTTTAACCTCACTTGGTATAATTTGTATTGATATTAGTATAAATTTTAAAAAGGCTAAGGTCTTTGTTTGAATGAGGACCTGGTCTGCACATCTTTTATTCAGCAAAGATTTGAGAGTGCTGATGCAGTCACCGATTTTGCCTGCCTTCAAAGTTGGAAGAAAGTTTTTAACGTCATCTATTCATATTGAAGTGGTGTGAATATATTAGTTTAAAATAAAGCATAATATATTTATATATATAGATATTATATAGATAGATATATATATATTTATATATAGATATTATATATATAAGTTAACGGTCTTACATGTCTGCCCAGAGGCTGGATTCTGGTTATTTTATTTCATCTGGCAGAAACCAGGTTGCCTAAGTGGGATGAGTAGTTCCACATGATTCGGATCTATGCATTGTATTTCTTAGCTGATCGAAGCTGGGAGGTTCTTAGATGATAGGCAGCCCAACTGGGGAGGTTTTCCACATATTGACAATGACAATGACAGTGACAGTGACAGTGACAGTGATCTGAAGGAGGTAAACATATGCGAGTTATCTTCTGTGTACGATTGTGGATTAGATCATTGAATTCTGCTGCCGATATGTCACTGGAATTGGATTCTTTGTTTCGTAATGGGACTTTCTAGTGCATTTTGTGGAATCTTCCAGGTAGATGTTGTCTAGGTCACAACATTAATGGAGTTGGTTTATATTATCTGAGGTTGGAAGTTGAGCTCGCCTGCCAGAAAAGGTACAACTAAAATAGCCTCTTGTGCTGTCGTAGGGTATCCTAATCATCTGGACATGTCATTAGATGAAGAAGGGTTCTGAGTTATGGATAAACGCTAAATCTCTCCTCAAAGCTCGGCAAGAATCATGGTTATACTACTTGCAAGTAGATTTCAATGGGGTGTATATGTGTGCTCGTAGATAATGTGGACAGGGTTACATGCATTCAGATGATCTGGATGCAATTTGGGTGGCCGTGGTTGGCATTTAAGCTAAAAATTGTGTAATATTTTCTTATTCAGTTTCAATTTTTTATCCCGTGTAAAATCTCCTCTGCTTAGCATAGATCTTTTTTTGTATTTTTTTTTAAATTTTCAAGATGTCACTTTTTATATTCCTGCTGAAGCCATTTGAATTCTGTCAGTTGGTTTTGGACCACTAAATATGCATGTTATAAGGTGACAGAGTAATGTACATTTTATTTCAAATCATTATGGGTTCTATCTATTAATGTTGAAAAATGTGTATGTAACGTTTTTGCAATCAGGTATTATTCAAGAGATGATGCTGAGGATGCAGTTAAATATATAAGTGGAACGATTCTGGATGACCGTCCTATTCGTGTTGATTTTGATTGGGGTTTCGAAGAAGGAAGGCAATGGGGCCGCGGTCGAAGTGGGGGGCAAGTCAGTTTCCGTTTTTGGGCCCTTCGTTTTCACATACACTTTACACATGCTGTTCATCTGTTTGATTTCTTGTTTCGTTTCTTCACAGGTGAGGGATGAATATCGAACTGACTATGATCCTGATATCCTTTTGAGATGTATGTTTAGATTGAGCGTTTTTCTCTGCAGATTAGTGAAAAAAAAAAATGAAGCTCTGGTTCATGCCTTCATTCTCAGTAATCATCTGCACTTGAAAATACAATACTTTTTACTAAGTTTTTCTTAGTGAATGCAATTTAATGAAGAACCGAATTCCAAAACGTCATGTCCAGTCAGATACTGAGCACAATATTTGATATGATCTGACTGATCCGTGAGCTGACCTGGGATTGCTTTGATCTCTCATGTTTCATTAGAAAACATGACAGTATATACGCATATATATATATTGATATATACATATATAGTATTTGATAACAAACTGGTCTGAGTTTATGAGCTTAACGAGTTTTGGAAGAATTTGCAGGAGCTAAGCATATTTATAACGTCTTTCAGTCATCATAGTTGCCACAGCCGTTGACCAGCCTCTCTTATCATCTTCTCAATGTAGGAAATGGTTGACCTTTTTAGAAAATATCATTTGGCAATTGTACAGCCTAGTTTGTTCATAAGAATGCTCTCTACCATTTTCGGCATGTTTCCGAAATCTGAATGTATCTTGCCCATCTGCTAGATCCGGAATATTATACTTTATAATTAATGCAGTAGGCCATGAGATGGTTTCATCCCTTGACGGATCATACGCAGAGGTGGGTATGGAAAGCTGGTCCAGAAGGAGCTTGAGGCCCAAAGAGAGCTAGTGGATTATGGCACAGGCTCGCTGGGCTGTTTCCCACCAGCTCTTCTTCCCAACTGTGAGTCTCCGAAAGCTTCATTAATACCGTTGATTCAATGAACCGGCGTTATTTCCCGGACAATTTGGGTCAAAGCTATCTGCATCGGGTCAATATTTTAGTCAACTGCTGTGCTTTCCATGAGCTCATTATGTCGGCACGCCCTGTCCTATGAGCTCATGATGTCAACATTTTCTCTCTTGATTTCTGGCCCTTCAGATATATCGATGTTCATCGTCGGGGTCAACGCCCAAATCTCCTTTTCATTAAGCTGGTCATTTGGTCAACCCTGACAGCCAGTGCTTTCTCGATCAACAGAGCTTAATCGTCTTTCTCCTGACCCTTTCTCCGGATTGTGCAGTCGGAAGGCCCGGAGATAGAGGACCCGGTGGCTCCTACCGACAAGGTATGCTCCCCTGGTCTTCCATCTCCTCGATCATCATTCCTGGCGGCTAATCTCCGGTGTTGACTTTTATATTATTTGAACAGATTACCATCGGAAGCGGCAGCGGGAGGACGACCGGCCAGCTCGGCGGGCCACCGACAACGAATCTGCCAGAGCCCCCGAACTCGACACCCGTCCGGTATCCGTTGACCTTCCTCCCCGCCATGATCTCAACATTTTTTTACCCTCTGTTTTCTTCTGCCACTCTGATTCAAATTCTCTCTCGCAGGAGAAGAACCCCCGATTCCGAGAGAGCGGCGACTCGGACGAAGACGATGAAGAAGATGACGGCCGCAAACGACGGCGTTGACCTCTCTCTCTCTCTCTCTCTCTTCTTCCTCGGTTCTTTTCACTACCTCTCCTTTTTTTAACACCGTGCTCTTCAGGAATCAGCCCGAGAGAACCGTAGGTTGACCAAACTTTCATTTATTAGAACATTCCGGCGCTTCTGTTTATGTTATTGGGCCGGCCTGGCAGCAGGCTTTCGGGTCGGCTGGGCCCATTACGTGCCAACCAGAGGCCTCAGCAGGTTGGGCCTTGAGAAAAGGTCAGCTGGCTTGGCCCAAATTATAATCTGGGCTGGGCCACACTTCTGAAGACGTGTCGGGATCCTCACCGTCAAATCCACCCTATGCTGATCGGACGGCTTCGGAAGGTCCAAAAAGCCCGCGGACTCGCCCATTCCCCTTCGTGTCAACACGCACCGTGTTCGTACGCATCCCTGTAATATCCGGTCTTACGTCAGGAGATGACGAAATCAATCCGTTGTGGGGTCTCTGTGGTGATTTTTTGTTATGTGGTGTGCATGGCCTTCGTGAAAATTGAAGCGAACGAGGGGAAGCGGATGAAAGAACACGAGAGCAGTAATTACCATACAGTAATACGTGGATAAATGAAAGTCGTATAAATTTGTAATTACGAAATCCAGCTAGGCAGTTGCCTTCTGCTCTACTGCTCCCCCCCTCCCCCCCCCCCCCCCCTCTCTCTTTCTCTCTCGTTTCCCCTCTCACTGCTAGGGTTTCTCCGCAGTCATCTCCTCCGGGGAGAAACGGCCTCACATCGAGGACATTTAATTGAGAGATTTCGAGGATTGAGGCGAGCGGCAAATACATGTAAGTTTCTCGATGCGTGCTTTTCGTTGGTTGTCCCCCCGATTGACGCTTCATGGATTCGGGAACAGGGAAAATGCTCCCTCTTAGTTGCTCCCTATCGTGGTGGGGATGTGCCGTGAAGTTTCGTTCAATTCGAATACTGTAGTTGTTTGAAACTTGAGCGGCATATCTTGCTTATTACTTTTTGCCCGCGATTTTGCGGCTTGAAATTGAGGATTCTGCTGTTCGATAGTGAACCGTCTTGTTCTTTTTATGATTTATATTTTCTGTCGTTCCGATTGCGTAGTAGAATCCCCAAAATAAGTCTTCTTCCCCATTTGTATTGTTGCATGTTTTCTTCATTTTTCGTCGAAGAAATTTTAATATTTGAGGCTCACTACGATGTATTTTATGATCTTTTACTAACAAAGTATTAAGTTTTAATGCTTTTATCCCGTCAGAGTCATATAATTATAAATTATCGGGTTATTTTCGGTTGCTATATCTTAGATCTGTACGTCTTATGGTCGTATGGAAGAGTAATATCTCCATTAGTGGCTTTCTGGGCCATGTACTTGTAAAGACGTGACGTAGCAGTATTCTGATCGTTACTTCTAGTTGCTCTATTCCGCCTTTGGATTTTTTGGTTCACAGATTATGTTAGAATGATCAGGAAAACTGAAACTTTGCTGATTTGTAGTGTTATCTTTAAAGGCTTTTGTGCTCATGTTTGACTGGAGCAGAGTGCCTTAACAAAACAGTTTACTATTTTGTTTACTATCATGGTTACTAAATATGCCGTGCTACTTTTTGTGTATATTCTTGTCTTCTCCGAATAATTTCTTTTTTTCCCAACTTACATAAAATCTGGAGTGCATTTTCTCTAGTTTAGTTGTGTGATATCCTGTTTTTATTTTATTTTGCTATCTGGTACTGTACCAGATTGCCCGCGTTTATGCCACAACTAAGTGACTATGTCTCAATCAACACAAGGTTGGTGGACTAAGAGATTGAGCAACAGAAGCCTATCTACTAACCGATAGATGTTGTGTTTATGATTGTAGTCTTTGGAAGCTAGTAGTCCTGTTGGCAGAAATTTCAGGATTTATTTCTTCTTTGATGAATTTTAGTAAAGCCAACCGTGATTAATAGGTGATATTTAAAGGAGAATTAACGGATAGCTGAGTTTGATGAATAAAGTAAAAGTTGAGGATGAGAACTGATATTGTTTAGCCGCTATGTCAGTCATTTAATTTTTCTCTAGATGTAGTTTAGTTGTTTTTACGGTGAGAACTAGAGCACAGGAGCTCGACAGGTCAAGTTTTGCCGTTTACAAATTTCATATCAAGGTTTAATCTTCTAGGTGTCCTCAGTATTTCTATTTATCAGTGACAGGGGCATCATCCCAATCCTCTTTTCTATGTTCGGATGGAAGTTGACAAATTTGAGATATCAGAGGTAGGATAAGGTTTATAGTCAATTTCAGTGTCATTAGATTGTTCTTTGTCAATAAGTTATTATTTTTCCGGATTGGATGAGTGCATGGGGCGTGAAGAGGACTCTATACATATGCATTTGGAGCACCAAGAGTTGCATCTGGTGTAGTACAGACGAAGGGTTCGTTTGTGCGATACATAGCAGCAGTTGTAGAGCCCTATAGGAAATTCGATTCCGAGTGTCAATGTGGGCATAGTGAAGCTTTTTTGCCTGTTGAAACGTACTTCCTAAACAAGGATGCTTATTTAAGCTTCGGGAAGGAAAAAAAAGAGTTTTTTTTGCGGAGTGGGTAAACTTATCTGTTGATCGTCTGAAAATATTGATGTTCTGAAGTTGATGTCATAGTTGATGGAATCTGTGATGATGTCTTTATATGTAATTAGTGATAGCTCTTTCTGCTTAATGAGAGATTGGAGAATATGGGGACTCAATATGCCTACTTCCTCCAAACCTGCAGCAGGCAAAGCAATGAACTGGATGGTGAGGATCTGAAGAAGGAATCAGCAAAGAGCCTATTTATATTTCCTAAGCAGAATAATTTCATCACGAAAGGTGAAATGATGTGGAGGGACTACATCCCAAGTTCCTTCTGGTACATAGTTGATAAAACCATTCCTTCACTGCTGAACATCTTTAAAAGAGATTTATCTATTCCATCGAGCATAGTCATTATCAGAGGATACTTGTAGAACCAAAATCTTTGTTGCAACTGTTTGTGTTACTCCCAGAATGATGAAGTGCAGACCTTTCCTCAAATCGCCTCAATATTCTTTGTTTTCTTAGGCAGGGCATGGCTCATGTTATCAGATGTGAGGGGATGAGATAAAGGCTGGCCAAACATACGTGAATTCCTTAGGTTCTTATAGAACTTTTCATTCAGCTTTGGTTGAGTACTGGCTTCTTGAGTACTAGAGTTATGATTTCAGGCTGCGGATAACATCAGACATTGAGGTGGTCTTAGAGTGGATATTATATTTACATTGGCACAAAATGCTTGAAATTGCAATATTTCCATAGGCTTCAATCGCAGCTTACCTTGCCCTTTTTGCCAGGAATTGTGATTATTTTCTTACTGTCAAATAGGCTATTGGCCGGCAGTCACGCTTTTCTGAAGTCAAGTACTATCTAGCGCGTTTTAGTCATCCTGAATCACAACAGCAGAGGTTAGCTGTGCTAGACATACTAGGGTCAAGAGAAAGTGAGCAAGAATATAAACTTTTTGGATAATTTGTGGAAATGTTCGGCTGGTCAGATATGGTATTATGAGGGATGTTTCCCTGTCATAAATTGATAGCCCTAGGTGCCAATTCAGTTGGTATATGGAAGCCAATTCAATTATTCGATGGAAGCAGCTTGTGAGATTAGCATGAACTCTGGAGGGAATAGGAAGACTGGTTTTACTCGAAAGTTGCACTCCTTTAGCCATAAAATTTATAGCTTCGGAATTCGTTTGAAAAAATAATATCGGCAATTAACCTATGGGGTACACATGATGCATCAAATATTGGCTACTAAGTATTTAAGTTATAGGTTGAAGCCTGATGGTGTATGATTTAGTCAGATCCTGTCATTTGGCCATTTGACATCAGGGTACAGATTTGCAATCTACCCTGTTTAATGCTTCCGTATTTTCTTTTCGTTTTGAATGATTTCATTTGATGTGGGAAATAAAATGTGATTCTTTTTGTGCCCTTGTTGTCTTGCATCCAGTCATCCCATTTTTTTATTTTAAAAGCGTAATTTCGTCAGTCATAAAGTTCAGCTATTTATTTCTAGATTAAAATTTGTTTACTTCTCTCTGCAGACGGAAATGGCGATAGAGGTTACCCAAGTTCTTTTGAGTGCACAGTCAATAGATGGAGCGGTTCGTAAGCATGCTGAGGAAAGTTTAAAACAGTTCCAGGAACAGAATCCCACAGGATTTTTGCTCTCTCTTTCGAACGAATTGGCGAATAATGATAAGCCTGTGGACAGTCGCAAATTGGCAGGATTGGTCCTCAAAAATGCATTAGATGCTAAGGAACAATATAGGAAGTATGAACTTGTACAGAGATGGTTGTCACTGGACGCAGCCGTGAAGGCCCAGGTCAAAGGGTGTTTGCTTCAGACCCTTTCCTCACCCGCCATTGATGCAAGATCCATTGCATCTCAGGTGATTGCGAAGATTGCTGGCATCGAGCTGCCTCAAAGTCAATGGCCAGAACTGATCAGTTCCCTTTTGTCAAATATTCACCAGCCCCATGTCAAGCAAGCAACTCTTGACACTTTAGGTTATGTGTGTGAAGAAGTTTCCCCTGAAGTTGTCGATCAAGATGAGGTTAATAAAATTTTGACGGCAGTTGTCCAAGGCATGAGTGCCTCCGAGGGAAACACTGATGTAAGGTTGGCTGCAACTCGAGCTTTGTATAATGCTTTGGGATTTGCTCAGGCAAATTTCGCAAACGACATGGAGCGGGACTTCATCATGAGAATCATTTGCGAAGCTACACTGTCCCCTGAAGTGAAGATTCGGCAGGCTGCATTTGAATGCCTCGTGTCCATATCTTCAATGTACTATGAGAAGCTGTCTTCTTACATGCAGGACATATTCAACATCACTGCTAAAGCTGTGAGGGAAGATGAGGAGCCTGTTGCTCTTCAAGCTATTGAATTCTGGAGCTCAATCTGTGATGAAGAGATCGACATCCTAGATGAATATGGTGGTGATTTCACTGCTGATTCAGATATCCCTTGCTTCTATTTCATCAAGCAGGCGTTGCCTGCACTCGTCCCTATGCTACTTGAGACCCTTCTTAAGCAAGAGGAAGATCAGGATCAAGATGAAGGTGTATGGAATATCGCAATGGCTGGCGGAACCTGCTTGGGTTTGGTTGCACGGACAGTGGGAGACGACATAGTCCCCCTTGTTATGCCATTCATACAGAAAAACATCAATGAACCCGAATGGAGGCAGCGAGAGGCGGCAACCTATGCCTTTGGCTCTATCTTAGAAGGCCCATCCCCAGACAAGCTTATTGATGTCGTCAAGCATGCTCTGAGTTTCATGCTAACTGCGTTAATGAAGGACCCGAATAATCATGTGAAGGACACCACCGCATGGACCCTGGGAAGGATTTTCGAGTTCCTCCATGGATCGACCATGGAGACGCCAGTGATCACCCATGAGAACTGCCAACAGATCTTGACTGTCTTGCTCCATAGCATGAAAGATGTTCCTAATGTTGCTGAAAAGGCCTGTGGCGCCCTCTACTTCCTTGCCCAAGGCTACGAGAACATGGGTTCCGGGTCGCCCATATCTCCTTTCTTCAAGGATGTCGTTCAGGCCCTCCTCCATGTTACACATAGGGAAGATGCTGGTGAATCCCGCCTTCGCACTGCGGCCTATGAGACACTGAACGAGCTCGTGAGGTGCTCCACTGATGAGACGGCTTCGACAGTCATGCAGCTGGTTCCTGTCATCATGGCCGAGCTTCACAAGACGCTCGAAGCACACGAGAAGCAGAACGAGTTGCAGGGCCTTCTCTGTGGTTGCCTTCAGGTGATCATCCAGAAGCTGGGATCAGCAGAGCCCACAAAGTACGCCTTCATGCAGTACGCGGACCAGATCATGGATCTCTTCCTGCGGGTATTTGCCTCCAGACACGCTACAGTGCACGAAGAGGCAATGCTCGCTATCGGTGCTCTTGCCTACGTGACAGGTCCAAACTTCTCCAAGTACCTGGAAGGATTCTATCCCTACTTGGAGATGGGTCTTCAGAACTTTGAGGAGTACCAGGTCTGTTCTATCACTGTTGGTGTGGTGGGAGACCTGTGCAGAGCATTGGAGGAGAAGATTCTGCCTTTCTGTGATGGAATCATGACGCAGCTCTTTAAAGATCTGTCCAGCAATGAACTCCACCGCTCTGTTAAGCCCCAGATCTTCTCGTGCTTTGGTGACATCGCCTTGGCTATTGGAGAGAACTTTGAGAAGTACCTGACCTACGCCATGCCCATGCTTCAGAGTGCAGCAGAGCTCTCAGTCCGTGCTTCGGTAACCGATGATGACATGAGCGAGTACACCAACCAGCTGAGAAATGGGATTCTGGAAGCTTACTCTGGGATTTTTCAAGGATTCAAGAGTTCCCCGAAGACCCAGCTCCTCATGCCTTTCGCTCCTCACATCCTTCAGTATCTCGACAGCCTGTACATGGAGAAGGACATGTAAGTATCCTAGCCCAAGCCATTTACCTTATAATGCCCTGTATTCTGTACTAACTCTCTCTCTCTCTATCTATCTATCTATCTATCTATCTATCTATCTATCTCTCTCTCTCTATCTATCTATCTGTCTGATAGGGATGAGGCTGTGATGAAGACTGCGATTGGTTTACTGGGAGACCTGGCAGACACACTGGGCAGCAAAGCCGCCCTTTTGATCGGTCAGTCTGTTTCAAGCAAGGGCTTTTTGGATGAATGCTTATCTTCGGACGATCATTTGATTAAAGAATCTGCCGATTGGGCCAAATTAGCTATCAGTAGGGCTGTCTCTGGTTGACGCTCCCCTCTCGGCATGAAAGGGGTCTCCTGCATATGCATTGGGGTTGCTTGCTTCGAGTCAGGTCCGAGTATTGCATGCATGCGTCAGTCAGTCTTCTTCTGGTTTTTGGGCAGAGTCCGAGGTCACCACCATGGAGTCAGATTCGGGTTCTTCCTCTCACAACAGGCGGGGGTCAACGGATGAGCGCCCCGCCCCTCCCCTTCCACTGGGCATTGCATCGGGGCAGAAGGTGTGCCCTAGAAAAGAAAAGAAGACTCTTTGTGGGCATGAGGACTCAGAAGGAAGCCCGCTCTCCTCATTTTCAGTCCAATTCAGGATCAACCCAAGGTGGTCATTTGACTGGAAGGATCATGGGTTCATTCCTTCTTCTGTTCATCATCAAATCCAGGTCTCAGGGACGGTGACCCAGGTGATGGATCACCCTCTCCCCCCCTTCCCCCACCAATTCTTTCTCCCTCTTATTCCTCATAATTTTGTACCAGTCTCATATTTTTCAGAGTCTTCATCATCATCATCATCATCATCATCATCATCATCATCTCTCTCTCTCTCTATATACATCTCTCTCTATCTCTATATATATCTCTCTCTCTCTAGCTCTACATGTCAGCATTCATTGCCCATATGTCTACATACATTCAGGTGTCACATATTGCTCTGATCGGAGCTGTTCAAGCAATGTGCATGTGTTCAGAGTGAGTGCGTCTCTCCTCAGAGCCTCCTGCCCCATAGCCGGGATTTTGAGTCTGTAATTACTTCTGCTCTCTGGTTTCTATCCCATGGCGTTTGTACCTTCCTCTCCCTCTCTCTTTTCCTTAAGTTCAGTGATCTGTGGAGGGGGGGGGGTTGAGGACGACGGCTTTTCTTAGTGGACTGGGGCTCCTTCGGGCCCCTTATTGGGCCTCCAGCCCAGCGGCGGCCGTCTTTTGCCCTTTTTACCCCGCCCCAAAGACGTGGTCCCTCCTGACAGCCTGGCGGCTCCGAGCAAGGTGCCCAGGGTCCAGACTTTCGGCGGGCAATCCCGTCCGCTCAAACGGTAACCCTCTCTCCTCTACCAGGAGAGAGAGAAAGAAGAGAGAGAGAGGGGGGGCTGGATAAACGAGGGCCACAGTGGCCTCCATCAGTACGCAAGAAGCCGCTAGAATGGGGGAGAGGATGGAGATCGATTGTAGGAGCAGGTAGTACATAGCGGTTTAACATCCGCAGACCAACAGGAACGAGGAAGGCGCACATGCACGTGCGAGCGAGCGGATGGCAACCCTCCCTCCTTCGTCAAGCATCGCCGGCTCCTCCGCCGTGGGCCGCTCGAGGCCTGATCCCCCTTCCCTCTTCCTCCGCTCGACCGCGCCGCTCCGTCTCTCCGTTGCCAGGCCGGCTGTCTCCGCCCGCCTCTACTCCTCCAGGCCGTCCTCCGGCGCCAATGGCTCCGTCGGCGAACCCTACCCGGGGGGAGGGGAGGAGCTCCAATACGGCCTCCCCACGCCGCCGCGACTGGCCGGAGGCATCCCTGTCTTCGTCACCCTCCCCGTGGACGCCGTCGGTTTGGCCGGGCAGATGTCCCGGAGGAAGACGATGGCCGCCTCCTTCATGGCCCTCGCCGCCGCCGGGGTTGAGGGAGTCGTGGTGGAAGCGTGGTGGGGGATCGTGGAGAGAGACGCGCCAGGAGCGTACAACTGGGCCGGGTACATCGATTTGGTGAACCTGGCGCAGCGGTTCGGGCTCAAGGTCCGCATGATCATGGCCTTCCACCAGTGCGGTTCCGGCCCCGGCGATCCCTGTTGGTTTGTTGCTGCTTACCCTTACTCTTGATAATGTGTGCGTTTCTACGTCGAATCAATTTCTAGATCCCCGCCCGTTGTTTATCAGATCCTGATAATATTCCCGGACTCATCCGCTTACTCCTGTCTCCCAATCTTCCTAATCGTTCTTCAATATTTCCCGCTATTTAATTGGCGAGAAGCCGATGGATCGGATGGTAACGTCGGTTATTCTCGCTTTCAATCTTCTTGGGGGCTGACATTCTTCATAGTATTTAGTCAAAGAGAAGTGGAATCCCATATGGTTGACAGGTTGTCTACAGGATGGAAAGCGTGTATGACCCTTTTTTAACTGCAGAGCCTTGGCAAGGTACTAACTTGATTCGACTAACTTGACGTTTGGTAAACATCTGTTCTTTCCTCAACCCAATAGACCGACTGTGATGTCTGGTTTGAAAGACCGAAATCTATGACTGGTTGCAGCATTTTTGGACTATACCCATTAGAAAATTCTGTTTTGTGGCGAAATGTGGCATCCTAACCTTTTCCAGCATACTCTCCAATCAGCATCCTCAAATGTTCATACAAAGGAATCCCCCTTGTGTCCTTCATCTCTCTGTTATTTTGCCCTTCTATCTTCTTTAAAAAGAAGTTTTCCAAAACATTTCTTGGAGCTGAATAGATTCACCGTCTCCAACGTTCCTTTTTGACTGGATTTACCTTTTTCATTGCATTTTATACGATTTTTCCCTTTTGGTCTTCTTTAAAAGAAGCTTGCTGAAACATATGTCAATTTATCGATTTGATGGTTTGCAAGGTCCCTTTTGAATTAGATTCCCATCCATCATTTTTCTTGTTCGTCCACACCTGCCAGATATACGGTGTCCCCCTCAAGCCCGGCACCAAGTGCGGAAGTACGACCCCTCTCTCTCTCCCTCTCTCTCTCTCTCTCTCTTACCCCACCTCAGCCACTCATCCTCTCTGTAACTCCCCGGGCCCGCTGTCCCCTTTACTCCCTTCTACCAGGTTTAGTCGTAGAGTGCCTAAAGATTAATTGTTGGGATCTCTCAATGACGTCAAAGTTTTAATTTTCTCAACTTCTACTGGGTGGAAATTGATATGAAGTTTGTAACGTGAAACATGCTCTTCCAAGTGGGAGATGAGAATTTAAAGGAATAACCTCGGCTCGTTGCCATGCCTGAATTATTTCTCTCTTTATTGTTTCAGTTCACAGAGAATTATCCACCTCTTTCCTGAATTATTTAGCAATAAGTGATTGAAGGTTTCGATCACAACCATAACTAACTCATCCTCCTAGATCCAGTGTCACATTTTACTTCTTTTGTGTTCATTATTTGTTCTGGTAGCTTTTTTTACAAACTGAATAAGGAAATTCTCATTTATACGACCGGATTTGACTGACATGATATTTGAGAGAACTTCTATGTTATGCTGGAAAGTTTTAATCTTGAAATCATAGAAAACATTTTAACCTTATTGATGTGAGAGATTAATCATGTACCCTCTGCTTCGTAACTCAAAACTCAATATCTTGAATTTTTATGTTAGTGAGTCCATTCAAAATATAAGCCCTATGGACCTACCTTACCTCAGTTTGCTAGTGAGCCCATTCGGCTCATATTTGGACTTTCTTCTGTATGTATATTAATTGGTGAAGGTGCCAAATTATGACCTTTTGATTTCTGTTGATGTGGCATTTGCTTCTGTAATTTCTTCAAGTGACGGTCAGACTTATTCCATCTTTTCATGGTCTTGTCCATTGACCGTTTATGAGGTGTAATTTTTTCTTTAAATTTTATTTATCTGTTTTTTTTAAAAACTTAAGATACAAGAGTTTGCTGATCTTAGATTGGTCATCTTCCTCTTTGGTGATTGATCTGGTCGATGTGCCTCCATCCTGATCAGCTTGCGTCACCCCTTGATCTGCTAGCCCAAGTTGATCTTCGGTTTCCTTACCCATTGTGAAAAGCAACTCCTGCTGTGGCAAAAGAAGATTATGTGCTATCAGAAGATGGTCGAGACTCTGGCATGTGATAGTAACACAGCAGTCCTCACACATCTAGACACGGCTGGGTATTTGCCAATTGTGGGTTTGATTTCTGGATAGTTTAGACATGCATGATAAGGAGTACAAAAGCAATGGTTTGACCCCATTTCCTGAAGCGAAATCACATGTTTCTAAATAAGATTGGTTATAGTAAAATGATTTCTGTAAAAAACAGCATTTTGTTGATTTTTACGTAGGTTGTAACCTCAATTGCTGCTATCCTATTGATTTGTTGTGGTCTTTGCGGTGGTTGGATCATTGTGGAATGCGCCCAATTGTGGTGCATTTCTGTCTTGGTCTGTTGCTGTCAGTGTCTTGAGTGATCTATCAATTTTCCCAACCGTGGGAATCATTTTGCTCAAAGAATGGCATACGTTGCCACGTATTTATGTTCCCTATCTGTGGACCTTATTTTTATCAAAAAAAAAATCCTGATGAATATGTGATACTAATCAGTCTAAAAATCTAAATCTAATGTTAATTCAGAAAATGTTGGTGATTAGCATCCTGTCAAATTTATTGTTTTGTATTTAATTTCCAGCTGCTTTCAGTTTGTAGAAATTGTGCTCCAGAAAGCGATAGTGTAGTGAAAAGTTCTTATAAGACCCCTTGAATGGCTTTTCTGTAAATTTTCCTCAATACATATCCGTACGTGCAGTTATCTAGCATCCATCCTCAATCATTATAGGATTTTTTGTTCCACTTTTCCACTTTGCTGGCGGTTTTTTTTCCCCCAAGAAGTTGCAACCATCTATCATCCACTTATAGTCATTACAGAGCTGGTGATCGATTTTGGTGATGTTCTTTTCTTCTTTTTTTTCATCCTAATCTAATCCCTCAGGTTTCCTCTTCCACAATGGGTTCTCAAGGAGATAGAGGTGAATCCTGACTTGCAGCACTCAGATAGGTTTGGACGAAGAAGTAAGGAGTATATATCGTTGGGATGTGACGTCCTCCCTGTTCTTAAAGGAAGAACCCCGATTCAAGCTTACTCAGATTTCATGAGGAGTTTCAGAGATACTTTCAAGGGCTTTCTTGGAATCATAATAACAGTAAGTTGGCACCTTTTCCATGTACTCTTTCTTCTTGAAATATTTGGTAGATGAATCTTCTTCATGGATATAACATTCTGGCGACTGTTCTTCCTCAGGAAGTGCAGATTGGGATGGGCCCGGGGGGGGACCTCCGGTACCCCTCTTGCCCATCCGAGAAGCTGATGCAACCAAGAAGCGGACCCGAACTCGGGGAGTTCCAGTGCTACGACAAGGTTCGGGCTCTCCGTGCTCAAGAGAGCATCTGGTCTCTACTCCTTGTTCATCTTCTGACTCTCCTTGTTCACAGTATATGCTCGCCTCTCTAAATGCTTGCGCACAAGGCGTGGGGAAGAGTGCATGGGGCAATGGTGGCCCCCTCGGCGCCGGCAACCTGTTCCAAAACCCGGAGGAGACCAGCTTCTTCAAGAGCGACGGCTCCTGGAACACAGCCTACGGCGAGTTCTTCCTCGAGTGGTACTCGGGGATGCTCCTGAAGCACGGGGAGAGGCTCTGCATCGCTGCTGACGCCATCTTCTGGGGCTTCGGGATGAAGGTGCTGGCGAAGATCGCAGGGATCCACTGGCACTACAGCACCAATTCCCATCCATCCGAGCTGACCGCCGGCTACTACAACACCCTCATCAGAGACGGCTACCTCCCCATAGCCCACATGTTCAGCCGGTATAGGATGATCCTCTGCTGCGCCTGCTTCGACATGCGGGACGCTGAAGTGGAGCAGGTCAACCCAGATGGCAGTCCAGAGGGCGTCCTGAGGCAGCTGGTGCGTGCCGCCAGAATGTGCAACCTGTCGTTGACCGGGGAGAACTCGGTGACCCGGCTCGACGACATGTCTCTGCAGCAGGTGGTGAGGAGCTCCAGGTTCTGCAGGGAAAACCTGTACGGCGGCCACCCGCTGTCCTTCAATTTTGTGAGGATGAACAAGAACATGTTCGACAGCCACAACTGGACCCGCTTCACCCGGTTCGTGAGGCAGATGTCTGATGCTCGGACATTCCAGGCGAGGCTCGACTTTGGGGCCAGCGAGCAGCTCTGCCTTGCCTCCGCCTCACCCTCCGAGGATTCCGGAAGGGCTCTCATTTTTAAGAGGCTTCTTCCTTGTCAGCTCCGCCTGTGCTCCCCCTGTGCCTAGCTGCCTCTTCTCCTTCTTCTTCTTCCTCTCCTTCTTCTTCATAGCATATGATTATTGTACATGGGGGATTCATCGAATTTTCACAAGTTGTGGTACACATATGGGGGTTATTTAAGGTCCCTGGCTGAGTTAATGTATCATTTCCTGTTGCATGCATGTCCTTGAGCGGCCACCTGAGAGCCCGGGTCTCCGGCTGGGCACATGTGAAATGTGGTGTCCTCCACGCCACTCCCTCCTGGGTCTGTACATTACATCCCACGTCTCATTGCCATAAACAGGCTGTTCTCAATGGAGTTGTGCAGCAGTGTAGGGCTTCTGACCAATGCTGAAAACCTTGCATTGTATGAACTGTTACAATGATCTCCTTGTGAGAGCACTCTTGGCTTAGCTTTTTTTCTTTGTGCTAAGACCGAGTGTTGGATCTTGCCTTCCTTTAATTTTTGTCAAAGAGAGAGAGAGAGAGAGAGAGAGAGAGAGAGAGAGAGAGAGGGAGGTTGCTACTACACCATAACGCCTAGTACGGGGAGCCAACATTCAACTGACTTAATGAGACACCATGTGGCTCAAACCATGGGCTGCTCTCTCTCTCTCGCTCTCTCGCTCATGATCTTTTCCTTGAGGCTCAAAACCAGGGAGAGCCTCAGGACCAGCCCATGCATTCCTAAAAGTAGCAGAGAAACGAACAGACAAGATTACACAGGCAGAAAGAGGGATCCGAAGAATTATGAGAAAGCACTCTGAAGCATTCGACATCAATCGATGATGCTGAGAGGGACGTACATATCTGCTGTCGAGGCCAAGCATCTGGACATCCAATGCATTCTTATGTACATATATATATTCAAGAGCCCACGCGCCTCACAGTGAAAGGAGAGATGATATCCAGATCCCGAGGGAGACGAAAGCCACCGTCGCGAAAGCCTGGCTGACTTCGAAGAGGTAATTCGGTCCTTGCACCGGCAGCTTCTTCCAGTCTGTCCTCCTGCCAAGATCGACACAAATCATGGCCTGAAGATGATTGATTGCATCTTACTCTTAGTTACAAGGATGATTATGTAAAGATATGGGTACCCCAAGTCGGCTATCACGATGCTTATGTTGTCTTCTGACTTCTGGTCCTGAAAAGAGTGGGAATCTGGATGTTAGCCACCGTTCCAATATCTCGTAGGATGGTACTAACACTGAGAGATCATCATATGAAGTACCAATGCAACGCGGGCAAGCTCTTCACAAGCCATCTGGAATAGAAAAGAGAGGACTCTTTAGCTTGTTCGTCATGGGTTTATGATATGGACCCACATGAGGAAAAAAAATTGAGGACGATACCTGCACATCACCATGTTGACGCAGTTGATTTCGAACGAAGGTTACTGCTTCATAGCTGTAGAATCCACCAAGATATAGGAGATATCAGATGCCAATCATCTCTAAATGCGTGTGTGTGTCTATCTTTCTTCGTTTATATTTCTTAATGAAGGCAATGAAGAAACACATCTCGGCAGACCTCTTCATGTAATCCCACAGACCATCTGATGCTAGCAATATAAATTCGACATCGGGTCCAAGGTCCATCTCGTATATGTCTGGCACAGCAGTCACCAAGTCTCCCTTGAATTGTACTCTAGCAGAACAGAAGAGAATTGTCAGCCAGAAGGCAACACAAAGGAACGCAAAATTCAATGGCTATAGCAGAGTGATCACCAAGAACAACTCACGTAGACAACAATGGAAACAAAATGTGTGGAGTGATTGAAAATAACTCGGAACTTTGAAGATTGCCGCTAGAATAAGAAAGAATTTTATGGCTAGATATGATTTATGTGCTAGTTTACTGCCCAGAGCTTTAGAGGCAACTAATTCTAGTGCAATTCCTCAATGCCCCAAAAGCTTCTATCATTTCATCTGAAACAACACCTCTGCATCAAAAGTAGGGGATTACCCATCGATAAGCATTCCACATGCAGATATTTCCTTTTTTCTATATTCATGTCTAGAGTGACGTAAATATACTCTGTCCACTGCGTTTTCACCCGCACGGATTTGAGTAGTATGTTACCCACAGAATCCAGGTATCATAAAATATCTGAATTGGACTGACTTGATTCACAAATGTGAGAATTTCACACCACGAAAAGGCCTGAGATCTTGCTACTGCTCTATGGACGAGCTGATATCTTTGCTTAGAGCTGTACCTAATCCGAGAGTCATCACACTCCATGTGACGTACAATTTTAGAAAGAAAACCACCTATCAAGTGAATACAGCATAATAAATATCTATAAATAGCAGATAAAGTATGATTTTTCATGCCATAAAAAAATAAATATAGTGCACAATGGTATTTCAGTTGTGAGGATAAACCATGCTTGTAAAAGTTGCTACTGGAGACAGCAGGGATCCGCTTTTTGAAGTACATAAGGTAGAATGATATATATCGATAAGAAAATGTATAGGCAGATATCTTCAGAAGCAGATATTAATGTGACGATGTTCCCATTATTTTAAGTAAGAACAGGATTCTGGTGGCATATGCACAGATGAAGACCGATGAAAAAAATTATCTCTGGGTAGATGAATTGTCAATCAGACTATACCGAGAGATAAACTTCTGGTTCCATCGACCTTCCAGGACTCCCTTTTCTAGCATCCTAAATAAAAAGGAAAGCAACTGAAGACTATTAAAATTCCCCTCAATTAAAATTAATTACGTTTATGAGTTATTGAAGGAGAAAATAGAAGAGTACAATGGACTAACTCATTCTTCTTCGTCTTGAATCTTATGTCCCCAAAAGCCCGAGATACAGATATGTCCCCACAAATTCGACCATCAACAATCTGCAGAAATATAAATTTGACATCAGACGTCCGATATTTCTTCATAAAAACAAATTAAACACATAAGTGTAAGAAAATTTCATGGATGACGTATCTTCAAAATGCAGATTCATCTATTATGGTCGCAGAATGAATGCCCAAGGGAAAAGAAAAACACATTGAATAAGCATGGTGTTCGCGAGAAAAATATTAGATTGGTAATTTAGATGGAACTTTGAACCTCACAATAGAGAAGGACGAGAGCATGATGCCCCAGTAGATATCCACTATTGATGACATATTTTGTACACATAAGCTATCTGAGTTTCTAAGATCCTACTCAACTTATTTTTATCTCATTTTCTTTAACATCACAAAGACTTTACTTCATCCCGGAAGTCAACTACAACACACAAAAAGTATGCACAGAAGAAATAATTTCTGTAGTTCAAATATTTTCATTACGGACCAGTAGTCTTCTAAAAATTGCCAAGCCGCAAAACAGCAACTTCAAAATGTGGCAGTTCTGAAGCATTGTAAGAGAAAACAAGAAAAATATCCCGAACACCAGTAAAAAAGCGTGCATTAAATGGAAGAAGAAACAGAACAAAAAACATACCCATCCACCTGCTGCTCTGATTCGCTTGATCTCTTCAAGAGACATCCTATTGCTTCCATAAGGTCGATGAGGATTAGTTAGTACTTCTGCTTTTCCAGAGCGCGAAATTGCCTACACCATAATTTATTTTTGCACACCATGAAGAATAATTAGTCCACAGAAATTTATATATTAGGGGTTTTATACATTTGCACACCATAACTGTGAATGACTCATGGTTGACAAGAATAGAGTGATACCACGCAAGAGTCACCAATGTGTGAAATGAACATTACATCACTTCTGACAAAGATAACCGTAGCGGTCGATCCTGAATCATCTTCAGTTCCTGTTTCACTAAGCCTTCAAAGGCAAAGCTAAAAAATGAGTCCTCTAGAAGATCATGGGACATATAAGCTTAGTTAAAGCTTCAATCAAATGCCTCATGATGATAAATTCCCATCGTAGGAAACGCACCCAAAAGAAATTTCAGACTCACCTGCTTAAAAGTTTTGCATCGACAGACTGAAAGGCTTCACATAGTGTATCTCTAATGGCATTCAAGTTTCTGTCAGCTAGAACCAATCCACCTTTCAAAGCTGTGACACACTCCTTGTACAAATCATCCCTGAGAACAACAACAGAATGAAATCGCACAAACAAGTGAAGCAGCAAATGCTTCATACTAACCATTGATTTAATAAAAATTAAGATCAGCCAAATATCAGTGCAGGCAGACCTATGAACACACATTATCAAGCTTGATCCTGTGAAAAGAGGGCTTAAAAAGACCATACTGAGACTTTGTCTATATGGCACGCCATGTATCAAAAAACATAAAATTCAGCTTCAAGATGCACCCTAAAACAGATAACCCTGAAGTCTACACCTCCCAGTTTCCCCCATCAAATGTGCTGGTCTCACTTTATGGTTATCACACCTACGAGAGCACTATTTATGTCTTATCGATAAAGAATCGTCCCCATTCTCATTGGCACAGCTTATGCCAGGACCTGAGCCCAGTTTAGAACTTGTAACCCATATCAAAGAATTTTAAGAAAAAGGGTAAGGAAACAAAATTGACGCCAATTCTAGCCTCTGAAAGGCAGTCATTGAAAAATGACCATCGCACCACCCTTCACCTTGTGGGTTTCTGCTTCTACTCTTGTACACACATTCTCTTCCCTCACAAGGAAATTACCAATGATATGGCAACCATCTCATCTCCATCTGTGGCCACGCGCCAGGTTGCAATTCAAAGTAAGCTTCTTTGTGTGGCATTCTTCAAGGATATTTACCACTAATCTTTTCAACCCTTCCAAAAGATTGGACAAAATTTTATTAAATTAGGCCTTAACTGACTAACTGAGTTGCTCAGCAACCTAATACATTTCGATATGTTCTTAGGAGACGCCTATACTCGTCGAATAGAGCTGATATAGAATTCGGTATCTGGCACAGAAAGTACTTGGTGAGCAAAGAAACAAAAGGAACTCGCATACTTAAATTACAAAGGAATGTTCGGAAATACGAGCCAAAACTTTCCTTGATTGGTCTTTTTGGACTTCAGAAAGGCAAAAGAGTTATAAATAATTTCCCGTGGTTATGCACAATCGTTAAAAGAGTGGGCAAACGAATTTCCTTGCTAGAATTCCGCTCAGTGTGTAAGGACAAGTAGCTCTTACGCAATTGTACGAGACCAGTGAATAATTAAGATATCGTTTCAACGATTTGCTAGCACTGCTTCTCTTGCATAGAGGTCCATCGGAACCACGGACGTTTGACTCGGCTGAGTCTGGAAATACGAAGAACAGGGAGACAAAAACGATGAGCTCACCTGATAAACTCCACTGAAGAAAAACCGGCATGCCCATCAAAGACAGCGGCGAAGGTGAACCCGCCGAACCCTTCCGATCGGATGACCACATCGTCCTCCATCTCAGTCCGCAGACCTTGCAATTTGCTTGAACCCCATCTGATTCCGGACACGCTCGACAAGGCCGGGGAGGAGTCAACCGCAATCGCCGAGCACCATCTTTTGCTCTGTCTCCTCGCCCTGGCGACGCGGCCGGAGACGTACGAGTTGCAGTCGCAGCGGCAGCTGCCGTACAGCGGCGACTGCTGCAACCGCGGGCTCAGCAGCGCCATCTCCCTGGAGCCAATCCCCACTCCATTTCGGGGGACTTTTACAAATGCTCCTGATATTTTCAAAAATTAAGAAAATTAGCGAAAAAAACCTCCGCCTTTAACGCCCCCGGGAAAAGATTTGGTTGCCATAACGGGAAAAAAAAGGGGAAATGGTAATTAAGTAAATAAATAAATAAATAACCCGACGCCCGCGAGTAAGGTTGATTCGATGGAATCCGGCAGTACAGATAACGAACGGTGAGACGTACAATCCACGTCTCCCGCGGCTTGTGGCGAAGACGAGGAGCGAGGCGGCCCATGGGCCCGGCATTTGACCCGCCTCCGCCTCCGCTTTGCTTGTGGGGCCCACACAACCGACACCTTCGATAATGGTCCTTATCGGGCTTGTCCCATTACTCTTTTCCGAGGCTTAGTTCGGCCCATTAATATTTTAAACGTACAAAAGCATTCCGCTGCCTTTTTTCTCTGGTCTTGGCCCGTGTCGGACTTGTAGGCCGTATTGGCCCATTATGGGATTTGCGGATAGCTCGCTACCTGCGGCCCAATTACTGACGAGCAATCATCCTCGTTGTGCTATATCGTCTTCCCCACTCTGGAACTCCGTCGCCGGCGGGAATGGCTGCAGCGTCGCATTTCCACACATGGTTCCACTGTGGAAGGTGTGCCTCCGCAAGTCGGCTTCTGGATTTATGAAGCGGATTTCTTTGGTTCTTCGTTTCATCTGGCTCAAAATTCTCTTTCATCTATCATCTTCCGCCTCGCCGCGAGTTGCGGTGGATTTTGTCTGTTTAAGTTTATCACTGCTAATCCGAGAGGCTCTGGCTTGTAGCAAGATAGACCGGACGCCGCTCGCTCGCTGGAAGTAGCCAGTTGCCGCTGTGCAGCGTCGTAAGCCATATGTTCTTCCGCCGGTATTTTCTGATGATGGTGAAACCTATCCGTTTGTTTTCAGGAAGATCTTGTGCTCGAAGCAGAGCGGTGGTGTCGAGGTTGGTCCAGCGGTCGTCTGGGGCGTCCCCGGTCCCAGGTTTGGGCTCCATGAGGGGCATTTTCGATTGCAGACCTCTTACGGTGCGTTCCTGGGATCCTGCACGAACCCCGTCTCGGCAGAAAGTCGATGTACGTTCAATGTTGCATCCCCCGGACTGAAGAAGTGAGTCCTTGGTTCTTGCCTCGTTTATGTGCGTGTTAATATGTTCTTGCCTCCCTTATGTCCTTGGTTTTTGGGAGGATTGGGGGAAGTGGATGGTATCTCATGGTCATGTGATGTGGAAAAGAGAATGGGATATACAATAACATGTCCAGTGTTTAATGCTCTTAATAAAGACCATTACTTGGCTTCACCTCATGTTTTTGTTCCCTGGACAAGGAAGTTGCAGTGGATGAAAGCAAAGAAGAAAACAGTTGCATGTCTTTGGTTTCGTTTGGGTTCTGCCAGCACCGATCTTCTTCTTCTTCTCCGACTGTTGGTAACGTAGCAGTTATCCTGGACCCAACTTCAAAATCTGAGTGGCTGGCTTTGCTGTAGTGAGACTGGGGTTTTTCCCCAAGGTATCGATTTGGACTCCATCAGTAGCATTTTACTGCCTGCGTTACAGGGAGATCATACCCAAGTTTCTTCGCAAAACTGAACGAGCCATGTTTTTTAGTGTTTACTGCTGCAGTCTGATTGTCAAGAATACTGACAACTGTAGGAACTGTAGGAGGGGGCACCGGGGGGGGGGAGATGGGGGGGGGGGGGAACTGTGGTGGTGGGTTTGCCGCTCTCAACCCAGCGCAAAGGATTTCTCCTCCTAGGTTGGTTTGATCAGGGGGAAGGGGTTGGGGTGGAGATATCGTTGCATTATCTTTGACTGTCATTGAAATGATGAAGGCTTTTTAACTTCCAATCACAAAAGTTCTGATACATTTTGCTCTATATTTTTAATAATAATAATAATAATTTTGAAGTTTTAAATTCAACATACTTAATGCAATGTTGCTGCCTTTGCAGACTTCTTGATTTTTTTTCTGATTTATTTGTAATTTTCATTGGTAGGTTATCAGCAGTTGATGATCCAGGTATTTGCTCAAATGATTTGCAAGATTTTGAGAGAGAACTGGAAGAGTTCTTCTCCAATGTCAAAACTATGATAAAGTTGGATAGGAAAGATGACGCCATAGAGCTACTTCAAGCAAATTATGAAGCTGTGAAAGAACAAATAGGGGAAGGTACTAGAGACGTAGAACAAGCTGCCTTACTTGACGTAATTGCTTTGGGGTACATGGCTGTTGGTGACTTCGAGACTGTTGAGAACATTCTGCAAATGGTAATTTCATGAACTGAGACCTAGACAAAGTTTATTGAAAAAATTCGATGTTACTGAAAGTATGTTATTTCTACATAAACAAAGTTTTAGAAATGATAGAAGACATGATGATCAAATAGAGCTATACTGTGCAGGCAGGTAGAAGTTGGTAGCTGTGCATGGAAAAAAAAAAATTCCTTTATATTATTTCTTTGGTTACACGCTCAAGTTGGAGTAGTATAACCCATGTTGTGAGACCTTGGTTACTGCCTATCCCCCTCTTATATTCATATTATGCGAAAGTAGGAGAACGAGAAGAAAAATAAATTAGAAAAGGGGGCTCCAACTTTGCTGTTGTTATGGGCATGAATTAGGTCTGACAAACATTTACAAGGGAGTCAGCATTTGAGAATTCATCCTTTTATTTTAGTCTTTAATCATTTTTTCTGTTACATTAAAATGATGTCATTTTTATATTGACTCAGCTATTTTTGCGATATGCCAATATTCCATTTATATAATAATATTGATATGGGTTCACCTAGGTGAAGATAGTGCATCTTCATAAATTTGGCTCAGTGAGTGGAAATACGTGGGAATATATCAAGAATCCATTCAACACACGTACTATTTCATAGACAAATCATGCAGGTTTTGTTCGATATACACCCACGTATCGAACATTCCACTGACGAGCTTTTGGGCATGGATAATTGAATGACGAGCTCCAGCGCATGCATTTAAACTTTCTAGCTTTGAAGCATGTCATATTTTTATGGCTTCTTATGATATACAGTTGAATGAGGTGGTGGGTTGCATTGCCGATGGAAAACCATTGATGGATTCCATACTTATTCATATTGGAAGCTTGTACACGAATCTTGGAATGCTCGATAAAGCATCGCAGGCATATGGAAGGGGTCTCAAGATACTGGAGAATGCTTTCGGTAGGGAGCCATATGCTTTCAAAGTTTTTGATTTTTAATAGCTACAATTGTCCGCCATCATATTTCATGTGGAGACAATTTTATCTTGGAAGAGCAGGCATGAGTCAACGCCGAATTTTAGCTGAAAACATTTTTGGCGTGATTAGTGTTTCATGTATAATCGTTCTTCTATATCTTATCTACCTTAGTTTCCAGGAAGTCTTACTCAGCTGATGATGTCTAATTTTCTTGTGATAGGAAGTCAGAGTCCTTTCCTTGTGATGCCACTCTTAGGTTTGGCAAAGGTTTTGAAATTAAGTGGAAGAGTGACTGAAGCGATGGAAACCTATCAGCGGTCAATCACTATTCTGGAAAGAAGCAGAGGACCCATGAGTGAAGATCTTGTTCTCCCATTGTTTAGCATCGGGAACCTTTTCATCGACGAAGGACGAGCAGTAGATGCTAAAACCACTTTCAGCAGGTGATCATTTCATTTTCCTTGTGAAGATTAGAGCGTTTCAACTCCAGAGTCAGCCTTTTTATTATTCGCTTTAATTCTGCAGAATTGTGAGCATTTACACTCGGATATTCGGAGAAAATGATGGAAAGGTTGGAATTGCTATGTGCTCTCTGGCGCATGCTAATTGTGCCGAAGGTAACTGAGTTACTCATCACGGAATTTTCATGAAATTCGTTGTTCAATCGCCCTAATTAAGATTGACTTATGAAATATTATCATCCAGGAAATATAGATGAAGCCATTCGTTTGTACAAGAAGGGTCTTCAGATTATCAATGATTCCAAATATATGTCCATAGACGACGACATTCTGGAAAAGATGAAGGTAGATCTTGCGGAATTGCTCCATGCTGCAGGAAGGTAAACAGTTAGTTTTTACCAAGCTATTTCTATTTCCTTCCTGTAAATGGCGTCAAGGCTGTCACTTCAATATATATATGGCTGTTCGTCTCGATCATCTTTCTATAATGGGTTTCAAATATTTCTGTCGTTGACAATCCATCTGTTTTGGGCTTGCATCGAGGTATTTTTTCTTTTAATGGCGGATGGATCTCGCTCACTCGAATGCAGGGAAACGGAGGGCCGAGAGCTGCTGGAAGAATGCTTGCTGGTGAACGAGAGGCACAAGGGGAGCGAGGACCCCAGCTCAGTGGCCCACCTTCTGAATCTGGCCACTTCCTATTCCCGCTCGAAGAACTTCGTGGAGGCAGAACGGCTGCTGCGGACGAGCTTGCAGGTGATGTCGAGAACAGTTGGCCCCAGAGACCAATCTCTGACGGTCCCGATGCTCCACCTCGCCGTCGTCCTGTACAGCCTCAGACGAGACGAAGAAGCGGAGAAGTTCGCCCTGGAAGCTCTCTCCATCCGCGAATCTGCTTTCGGCCGGGAGTCGCTTCCAGTTGGTAATCACGGAACGAGGCACTTGGCGGCCATGGGCTGTTTGGATCGAGCTGATGAGATTTGTCTTGGCAGGGGAGGCGTTGGATGTTCTGGTTTCGATCCAGACGAGGTTGGGGAAGGAGGAGGGAGAGGCGTTGGAGAATCTGAAGAGGGTTCTGGCCATTCAGGAGGCCGAGTTCGGGCATGAGAGCGAGGAGGTGATGGAGACGCTGAAGAAGGTCGTCTTCTTCTTGGACAGGACGGGGAGGAGAGACGAGAAGGCGCCCCTTCAGAGGAGGCTGGCCCTGCTTAGAAACAAGTACAAGTATCTGGTCCCTTCTTGAGGTACCAATCTTCCTTCGTCTTGAGCCGTCTTTCTGGGCTCTCTGTGGAGTGCCCTCTCTCCTCTCTCTCTCTCCCTCCTCTCCCTCTCTTCTGGGCTTTGTGGGTCTGGCCGGAGTTTGAGCTTTCTGGACTGTCCCTCTCTCTCTCTCTCTCTCTCTCTCTTTCTCTGGACCTTGTGGGTCTGGCCAGAGTTTGAGCTTTCTGTCCTCTCTCTTCCTCTCTCCCTCACTCTCTCTCTCTCTCTCTCTCTCTCTCTCTACGTATATATATGTTATATCTTATTCGCCCATGGCATACGAGGGGGGGGGGGGGGGTAACAATTGCTTGATTTTTTCGAAAATATGAATATGATTAAATCCTGAGTTGGGCCGGTGGAAAGAGTGGACCCAGCCCATTGGGTGGCAAGGAGCGGCCGACGTTGACAAAAAGGGTATGAAAAAAAAATCGGCCCAAATGCGACCGAACAACGCCGCTCGGTCGGTCGCAGTCCGCGGAAATGGTAAACAAATCTTCGATGGGCCCAGCCCATAAAAGAGGGAGAGCGGATGACGGCAGTCCTACCCACTAGTGGACATTAACAGCCCTGTCAACTTGTCTACATCCTTTTCTTTCTAATACTAAAGGGTATATCCCAGTCTACAGCACTAAATATTACCAAAAATAATAATATTAATATTCGAAAATATCCAGTTGCGATTGGCCTTGACAAGCCCAGAGAGAGAGAGAGAGAGAGAGAGAAAGGAAGAGAGTCCAGAAACTCGAACGGGTTCTTGGTGGATACTTAGTGTTTAACCGTAAAAACGGTGTGGGTTCGCGATTTCGACGAGCGGTTATCGTCAGTGTGGGGGCCCGCAGGCGACGATGATGGCAGCGGAGAATGGAGGATGAGATGGGCCGTTGCTGTCCTCTTCCTCTGTTCCTTTCCCGCCTACCTGCCCGCGTCCGGTATCTGAGCTATCTCTCTCTCTCTACGAAGTTCTTCTGCCGGCTCGCTGCGGTGGTTTTCGTTTCTTGGTGCTGATGCTGATTGCTGTGGAGCGTCCAGGCTTGGGACGTCGCCTGTTCTGATGCTCGTTTGCATGTCGTCTGTTTTCGCGTGATTGAGTAGCCTGTTGAGGGGATCAAGCGGCTTGTCTTGAGTGATTTGTTCGTGAGATTATGCGGCAGGAGTGGACTATCCTTCCTCGCGCTTTTGTATTCCAGAATTCAGTACTGGTATAAAGCTCGCGCTCCTGGGGATTCATCTGATGTTCTTTTTCGCCCTGTGTCGGTTCCCTGCCATGATTCTTGGACTATCGACGCTTGTTCTTACCTACGTTCTTTTGCTCCTCCCAACTACTCACTTCGAGGTTGGGTATCGGTCTATCATTCCGTGCTAACTAAAGCCTGAGGAGATACGTCTGGTAAAGTGTTGGGGCTTTCTCTGTGCCTTGTTGGTTTGTTTTCCTTTCCTGAACAGGTATTATGAAAGGCGCATCTAATGTTTATCAAAATGTCTGTAAATACTGAATTATTCCTGGGTTATTTGAATCCGCTTCTCCACCTCAAAGGGCATTCAAATCTATTTCACGGAATCCTTCCGGTTCACGCCGATGTTTTGACCTTTTTAGTAAAGTTTCTTTTCACTTCCGCGCGTTGCACAACGTGCTTCACCTTATTCAATTGTTGTAATCATGAAGAAAATTATGGTTCTCGCTGCGGGGCGTTTCTCATCAAAGCACATGACTGCATACTAGATCTGACTTTCACGAGTACACATTTTTAATACTGCGGGGCGTTTCACTACTGCGTCTTTTTAAAGGAATTTACGCCTATATTGTCACATTTTCAAAGGATGTTTCAATTTAGCCACTGAAATTTTCCATTTAATCTCTTGTTCATAACTTCCGCGGGCATAAAATAAAATAATCTTCCGATGTATAACTACCCATTTGTTTCATTCTAGAAGTATCGACAATATTTTTAATGCTTATAGGATGAAATATTTGTAGAATTAGTTTTAAGTTGACAATCTGAAGCATGCTTTAGGATTTGGAATTCTTCATATGGTGGTATCTTACTCTTACCTGATAAAGAAAACTAACGACAAGTGTTCCTGATTTTGTGCAGATGATATCGACGTAAGTGTTCCTTTTTGGGCAATCAAGAAGTAATGGAAGCATCAGATGCACCGGCTTGTTGTCACTGTAGGCCTAATAAGGGGAGCCCAAAGCTTGGCCACTACCCTTCATCATGTACTAAAAAGCATCCAGACTCAAATGAGGGGACTTCAGAAAAAGGAACAGACAGACCTGAATCAAATTCTATCCCACTTATTGGGGACCCCAGAAAATGGTGGCTCCAGCTGCAACCCAAGCTTGGGTATCGAAAGGATATCACATTAGGACTGCCCAGTGTTTTAGAGGAGCTTGAAAACTGTGCCATCCCAACTTCTGAATTCTCCTGGCTTGAAGGACCTACTGCAGCCAGTCATGTCGATGGTGAGAAAAAACCATGTTCATCAGAGACACCGAGGATGATTTCGTCAAATAATTTCATGCACATAAATGAGGTGAAAGAAGTACATGGTTATTTTCAAGAGCAAAACCAACAGAAGGCAGTTCTAGGTGCGGAGTATCAGAACGGGGATTTAGTGGATTGGATGGCTTATCACCAGATATCATCAAAGAAGCCAGATGAGCTATGTCCTAATCTTCAGAGTTCTAGTATAATAAGTGAAAAAACCGAACCTTGGTGGCGCATTTCTGGCAAAGATGAGTTGGCTTCATTGGTCGCACAGAAATCTTGGGTCAACGTCGAGAATTCCGATCTTCCCCAACCATTAAAAATTCATGTCTTTGGAGAACCATCTGACTACCTCGAAAGTCTTGATGATAATCACTCATTGGATCCATTCCTAGACAAGTCATATGCCAGCAAATATGATGCAAGTTCCAGATGTACATCTGGAAGTATGGATGGAAAATATCAAACTTCTGATAGCTTCAAAAAAACTCAAAGGTATTGGTACCATGTAATAGATTACATTCGCTTGCAGATTGCTTCAACGTTCAGGAAATTACTAGTCCATACTGTATATGTTTCTTGATTAGTAGGTCCTTTAATAGCATAGCTGTTTCTTGATTAATAGCCATTGACGTCTGATTTGTGTGTAGCCATTAGATCCACATTTTATCCTGTATAATCTGGTGTTGAGGGAAAGTGGTAAAATAACCAGCTTGTCCTTGATTTCTTGTTCTATTTTCACTCGCTATAGACCAATCAGCTCCTTATGTGATTACTGATTTTTATTTCCCCTTAATTCGATAACTTATCCAGGTTGATGATAATGAAAGGTTTCCGTTGACTCTTAACTCCTTTGCTCCCTCGTAGTCAACATTTCATACTTTTCCACAATCTCTTAAATTTACTCTTATTTTTTCATGCAGAAACATGCTAACGTATAGAAAATATATAAAAAATCTACCAGCCGGTGAGCACCACCCCGAGCGTGATCCAACCAAAGCCGAGTTGCTTGAGGCACTTTGCCATTTCCAGACATGCGCAAGGAAAGCCGAATTGGCGGCCCAACAGGCCCACATTGAGAAGCAACACATCGGCAAGCTCTTCCTCATGGAAACATCGCATCTGCTTAAGTACAGGCATTGGATCCGTATGCTGCAATCGGAGTGCTTCTCTCTCAGGCTTATGTTCGAGGAGCACCATACTTCTCTCTTCCCATTCTCGTGGACGCCTCTAAATGGAGGGGTCCCGTCTGGACGCTGTGCGCCAAAGGCAAAGGGGAAAGGACGCCATAACACACAAAGAGGAAACATTTGGAGGTACGCGCTCGCTTTTTTGGCTGGCCTTGGCTTGTCCTGCGCTGGGCTGCTTCTTGGCCTCGTCCTGAGCTGATTTGTGCCTGCCTCGGGGTCACAACTAAGCGCAGAGAACAGACCAAATCAGTTCTCCAGCGTCCGGAGCAGGTGACCTATCCAGGAAAGGTGATAGCTTCCTCTTTTATTACAATTCTTCGCGGACAATCTCAACTATTTACAGGAACTAGACGATCATGGTCCCTGCCACCGCTGTATATATTAAATATTTTCATGCCATGTTCATAAATTATATATGAAAGTGTATGGGTCCTCCTGTGTTCTAAGTAAAAAAATTCATCTCTCCCAAGGCGGGGCCCCGTGCGCTTCTGTCATTTGTTAGATCCTTTTCGAGCTTTTCCAGAGTAGAAACCAGATCTGAAGGCTTCAAAAGTCATTCCACTCATCCTCTTTCAAGCATCCTTCTACGGCCTTACTTCCACTGTTTCTTCTGAGATTCCTAGGCATTGCTATATACAAAATGAAAACAAAAGATCTTTATTGAGATTTCGAAAATCATAACAGGACCCATGATTGTGCTCCTCTCTCTCTCTCTCTCTCTCTCTCTCTCTCTCTCTCTCTCCTTTCATGTGAAACCATGGTCACAAGAATAGCTTACTGATCAGGGAGCACACCAGAGAATGTGACTCTATGATTTTGGCAGTTCTCAGTACTCATCCAAGTAGGCATATAGCATGTCGTCCCTTCTTGACTTCCGCCTGCTCAGCAAAGCCTTGAACAGCCGCTTAGTTTTACTTGAATTTTGTTCGGAATCCTTCTGGTTGTCCCTATCATCGTGCTGTCTCACAGATGCTGACTTTCGAGGGTCCATGGAAAACTGCACTCACAGAGAAGAAGAGAAGAAGAGTTGACTATATTTCTGAGATTAAATTCCCAACAGAAAAACATCCTTGAGAAACAGACATATCATCGATCAAGAAAAATAGCATCCAGAACAATAGATCAACCAACAAATCTCCAAGCCAATCTACAATTTTTTTGGTTGATTCGTGGAATATGTGAGATGCCCAAGTCTAAACATAGAGCACAGGAGAATCAACCACCATCTCCCTCTTCATCAGGTATCTTCAATGGGGTTCCATGTCTACTAGTTCTGGGTTCATGATGCAGGAAAAGGGTCGAGGGGGGAATCATCTTGCACTAAGAGAGCATCTCCTCAGATAAATAGAGGAGTTTGCGATATATTGTTTTCCTGTTTTTCATTTTACTATTTTAGTTTTGAGTTTGTGGAAAAAACAAAAACAGAGGAAACCTGAAAAATCGAAGAAGTTCTGGGCAAACCCAGTTCAGTTCTATGAACCATATGCAGCCATAATCATGGTGCCAATCCTTGGAAGATATAATCTTTGACTATGGATCTTCCTTTGATGCCAATGGCAGATATCCTCAGTAATTCTGTCATGATAAAGCCATAATCAACCCGAAGATTCATTGTTCTTACCCACAGGCCGGTGCCAGAAGGGTTCGGAGCAGACTGCCTCCTCGAAAGAGATCCAGAGCGAGCCAGCAGATTAGGGTTTGAGGCAGGAATCGGGGACCCAGATCTGTTCTCTGCTTCAAAAGAGGAAACCATCAGGCAAGAGCACCACTCTCCATGAGACCTTCCCATAATACCAGTGGAACTCATCTCCATCATCATCATCATCAGATCCCCTCCTGGTTTAGAAGTACCTGAGAATGGAGGTCTCCCCAGCTGAGGGGAGGGGGAAGGGGAGCGACCCTTCTTCAGAGGCGAGGAGGAGCGGCCCCTCTGCGAAGGAGAGAGAGACCGGAATTTCCTGCGAGGAAACAGAAGACTGCCTCCTGATGCACTGGCTACGGTTTAGAGGTGAACCAGGGAGGGAGCTTTACCTGAAGGAAGGAGCCGAATCCTTCGTGGTTGGATGAGCTACTGGGGCAATGGACGGGGCCGCAGGATTACTATTCTGCAGCGGCCTTGGCTCTGCCATCTCCTCTGCCCATTTAGCCTCTTCACAGTGAGCTACAGCATGCCTCCCAGACCCAGGCATGGATTCTCCTACTGCAAGAAAGAGAAAGAGAGGGAGATAGACAGATATAGAGAGAGAAGAAGAAGAAGAAGAAGAGTGAGAACACAGACTGAATAAGAAGAAGAAGGGATGATGCAGAAATCGTAAATTGCCTGGTAAGATGTACCGCTTGTGGTACTTGGGGGTCGTGATCACCAGCGACTGCTGCGAGAGGCCCTCCTGGTCGATGAGCCCCTGGCATGTCCGAAGCCGCTGCAAGTCCCCCAGGAGGAAGAGGAAGAAGAAGAAGATTACTCTTTTGGAAATCTTAGGTTCTGATCCGAGCAGGTGGGGGGGGGGGGAGGGGGGGGGTGGGAAGTAAGCTACCTGCTCTATGCAGGTGACTCGAAGCTCGGCGCCGGAGACCTCGTCGACCTTCTCGCCGAGCAAGCCGTTCACCTTGCAGGAGACGGACCCCAGATGGTCAACGGTGTTGACGATGGCCTTCACTGTGTAGTCCTTGAGAGTGTCTACCACTCTGAAACCGAAATCCACGCGCAGAGAAAAATGTCAACGGGTTGAAGATGAAATCTGGGTGAGGAGATGGTCCTCACGTTTGCTTCTGGTCGTCGTTGGTGTAGGACAGCTCGAAGTATTCCGCCGCCGAGTACAGCTGCGACCGCAGGTTCCTCAAGTCCTAGAGTTCCGAAGAGAAGAATAGTTCAACGGGGAGGAGGAGGAAGGAACGCGAATCGAAGGGAAGGGTAGGCGGCGGGGGGATGGATCGGATTACCACCTTGAGGCTGTCGGAGAAGAGCAAGCTCTCTTCCATGGAGAGCTCGTCGAAGGTGGACGATTCGTCTTCAGACGCGGCCGAGGAAGCAGATGACGGAGACGACGGCGTCTCCATTCCCGCCCGCTTAAGGTCAAGAAGAGGCAGCCGCCGGATGGTTGAATGGGGCTTCTGACGGTGTTCGAGAGACGAGATCAGTAGCGAGAGAAGCTCAGGACGAGAGAGGAAATGAGATTCTGAGACCTCCCTGGCGAGGAAAAAGAAGAAGAAGAAGGGGGGAAGAGGACAGAGAGAGAAAGGGAGGACTACTCACCGCCTGCTTCGTTTCCCGGCTGGCGGCCACCGCTCCTAGCGAATGCGGCGGCGCCACCGCCCTCTCTCCGACCTGAGGAGGCTCCAAATGCCAGAGACAAGAACCGAAAGACAGAAACCTGAGGAGGCTCCGACCTGCTGCTAAAGCGCTCTCTCTCTCTTTCTATCTTTATCTCTATCTATCTTCTGTTTATGCCTCAGCGATCTCTGCTGGGTTTTACTGCAAGGAAGGAACTGGGTCTCCTCGCCCGTCGGGATCCCATGAGCGGCCCTACGATCCAATCTTGGAAGTTTCCTGGCCTCTGTGCAGCCTTTTTCTCGAGTTCACAGAGGAGAGAGAGTGGCGGGCACGGGCACCACTGTCTGGCGTAGAACAGGATCCGCGGAGGCTTGCTCGTCCGCCGCAAAGGAGAACGGTTATTTATAAATACCACCTCATTACGAACACAATCACAAAAGAACCCTCTCCAGTGATTTTGTTTAAATTAGAGCACTGAATTGGCTGAGTGAAAAGAAATCCATTTGACCGCGGACAATGGTGGATCTTTACCGTCTTCCTACTTCGGTGGTGGCTACACAACGCATGCCCTTCGATCGAGATCCAATGGCTGACGTGACAGATCACCGGGTTTTCGTCGCGGCTAGGGACCTGGGAGTCTCGTGCCGCTCAGGTCTCACCGTCTACTTTTTGGTGCAGTAGTTCCTACAGTGTCGATGTGAAGCATGCAGTGCAACCCGTGAAGAGAAAGACAAAGATAGAGATAAATAGATAGATAGATAGATAGATAGAGAGAGACAGAGAGAGATGGATAGATAGATAGTAGAGAGTGAGAGAGAGAGAGAGAGAGAGAGACAGTGAGTGAGAGGGAGACGTGAGGGACAGAAAGACAAGAAGAGAGCGAGCGTGAGAGAGGGGAAAGTGAGACGGTTTGGGAAAGGAGCGAGAGAGACAATCTCAGAGAGGAAAAGCATGACAGAGAGGGTAAGTAAGAGAGTGGAGAGTGAGATTGAGGAAGAATAAGAAAGAGAGAGAACCGAGAGAGAGAGAGAGAGAGAGAGCTGGCGGAATCTCTGTTAACCTAGTGCTCCCCGTGACCGGCGGAGCCTCACCAGTTTGCTCCCCCAACCCGTGAAGAGGACATGCAACGCGGTTCAATATGTAAAAACCCCCAAAAGATTAAAAAATTACGTATAAACCTTATAGTAATACTATTCATAGATAAACCTTTTTTCTCAACTTCGGTCAACGAACACAAGCAAATATTACGTCGGCGTGATTTTTCAGTACGAAGCAGGTTCCATCGCCCATTTATGGGCTTTTTGGTTTGGCCTTGCATGTGCGTGGCCCATTAGTATAACTGGGCTGGGCCGATACAGGCTCAATCCTTCTCCAATCTTTTCATTTATTTTTTTACGAGAGCGTGGTAATAAAATAGCCCGAATTATTATAAAAATTAATACAATAATTAGAAAACAGGGGGCTATCTCTCTGCGGGTAGTCAACGGCGAGGAGAGAGAAGAAGAAGGCGGCGGCAGCGGCGGCTGTGGAGGCCCTTCGCAGCGGGCCCGCCGCCGGTGCAACGGCATTGTTTTCTCGTGTGGCGGTGGTCGGCTCTGTGGGCCCCCACCGGGGACGACTGGCAGGGGAGACTCCAAAGGTCAGAGGAGACAAACCGGGAGATAAGAGAGATCAACGTCTCTTCCACATCCAGGGTCTGACGGCGGCGGGGGTCACCACGTTTCTCGTCTCTCTGCCCCCAACCATCTTCTTCGTCTTTGTTTTATTTCTGTGGTCGTCCTTTCTGGCCAGCGGTGGAGTGGGACATGGAAGATGCAGAGAACAAAATCCCCGATATCTGCAGAAACGTGAAGAGGAGGAAGGAGGGAGAAGGGTAGAGAGAGAGAGAGAGAGAGAGAGGGTGGAGGGAGAGAGAAAGAGAGAGAATGGGGTGCGCGTCCTCTAAGCGAGTGGAGACGGTGGTGGTGGCGGACGTCTACCGGCCGCCGCCGACGAGCATCGCCGTGTTCGACATCAACACGATAGAGGAGCCCTGGCTCATCACGGCCACGGTGGACGGCAACGAGGTGGCAGCGCCGGAGCCGGAGAAGAAGACGGCGGCGAACGTGACGCTGCCAATCCTCGACAAGTTGGACTCCTTGGAGCAGGCCCCTCAGTCCTGGTCCGAAGTCAGCAAGGCGTTGGAGGACCTGAAGCCCTCTCTCCGCAACCCCCCGCCGCCGGTCAATTCCCCGCCCTCTCCTTCTCCTCCTCCTCCTGCACCAGCTCCGGCAGCAGCGCCGCCGGCGAGGAACCAGTCCTTCCACACCCTCGAGGAGCTCGAGGCCAAGCTCAACTCCGACAACAAGACCAGCAAGAAAAGCCCCAACGGGCCCTCTCCCTCTCCTCCGCCTGCACCATCTCTTTCTACCGCCGCCGCCCGTCCTTCGCGGCCAGTGCTGCTGGAGGGCGTGCGGCCGGTGACCCAGAACAGCTTCCTACTGAGGGACAAGGAGGAGAGAGAGAAGAAGGCGGGTTCCATGCCGGAGGACCCAACGCGGCGGTGGCGGCGGAACCCGCTGGACGGCTTCCAGGAGATCTGCCCACCGGGCGGCGCCGACGGCGTGGTCCTCTACACCACCTCCCTGCGCGGGGTGCGCAGGACCTTCGACGACTGCGAGCGGGCGCGGCAGCTGGTGGAGGCGCACTGCCTGGCCATGGCGACGGAGGTCGACGAGCGGGACATCTCCCTGCACGGGGAGTACCTCAAGGAGCTGCGGGAGCTTGTGGGGGAGGAGGCCGCAGTGCCGAGGCTGTTCGTCAAGGGGAGGTACGTCGGGGGAGTCAACGAAGTGGTCGAGTTCAACGAGACGGGTCGCCTGAGGCTGATCTTGAAGCTGGCGAGGGACCCCGCCGCCGCCGCAGCCGAGGGCGGCAGCCAGGGGCGGCGGGTCTGCGGCGGCTGCGGCGGCGCCCGGTTCGTCCCCTGCTCGGACTGCAACGGCAGCCGCAAGGTGGTGCTCGAGGAGGGCGGCAGCCGCAAGGGCGCCGCCGCCGCCACGGTGACGTGCGCCCGGTGCAACGAGAATGGCCTGGTGCAGTGCCCCCTCTGCCGCTAGCGAGTTCCTCGATTTGCCCAGAACAGCATAATTTCTTCATGTAACAACTGGCACATACACATATATATATATATATATAGTCTAATTATGGTAAAGAGAGGATCTTGCATCAGGGTGGGTGGGGGCTTATTTTTCACAGACAGGAGCAGGACGGAGGAAGATCTCCAGTTAGGAGGCCTGGAGGACAGTAGCAGCTGGGCAACCAGGGTGGGCGGACCCGTCGATCTCGACCCAGACCTCGTTGACCCGGCCGATGTATCGGAACGGCGAGTCGTACTGAGCGACGGAGTAGGCGTAGCTGCCGCCGCCGGCGGTGGAGTTGGCCCAGGGAGTTCTGCCCAAGCTGGCGGCGAGAGCCTCCGCTTCCCTGACAATGTTCCCGTCGCGGGCGTAGCCGGAGAACCTCCTCACGGCGACGCAGCGGCTGGCCCAGGTCTCCGGCTGAAGGTCCAGCTCGGGGAGGGGGACCGGCGGCGCCGCCTGGAACTTCTCCGGCAGGTAGAGCCGCACGGCGTAGGCGAACGAGTGGAGGGGACCCGCGTCGGGGTGGATGCTCGTCAAGACCGGGGCGGTCATGGCGATACGCGAGTTGTTGAGATTGGCTCCCTGGATGTACTGGAACAGCCTGCGAGATCAGCCGGATCTTGAGACAGAAGAAGACTACTGCCCACCCACCAGACGCTTGTAAGAAATTAAAAATAAAATAAAATAAACGCAACAAAGCTTCTCAAGGAGGAAATAATCTTCAGATTATTTCCAAGGGGGAAAAAAAAACACCCCATTGATCTGACCAAGGATGGAAAATTAGTTGCAGCAGCTACCAGATTAGAGCTTCTCATCCCCAATCCAATCACTGTCTCCGACCCAGGATTCTTACCAATATTTATATACAATATATTCAGGTATATTATGTTTTCAGGGGAAACAATTTATTTATTTTTTTGCAGTAGAGAATGAAAGAAGAGAGAAGGGATTTTAGAAGAGATTATCTTCAAGGGAGAGGAGAAACTGCATATTTTCTGCTCCGGGAATCAAGGTGAAGCACCCAATTACCATATAACCGATGAACAAATGATGAAATAATGATGATGGCAACCAAAAATCCAGACGTAAGCATTCATAGACCTACTACTTACATACCATATGGAAGGTTAATGTGTCTCCTTTGCACATGCGAGGGAAAGAATTTTTTTGGTTGATAGCTGAGCCCATCGACGAGAGAATCTACATGATGTGCATCATCCTAGAGACAGATCCGATAACTCTCAAAATAGAAAGAATCTTAGTAATTTGATCCATTTTTTGCCGGGAATTATATGCATCAATAATAATGGGGCCCGATTTTTTATATTCAATCAAATTAATTGGAGGGTTGACCTCAGAAAATTATCACGGTAAGCACTTCCAAATAAGAATTTGCAGCAATGCAAATTAAAGCCTATATGTTCCCGAAGGTCGATACTCATGTCATTTCAAATGATCAGCCTCGGACCCTAATTTTCCCAGATATTGTGACATTAAAGGTAAATATATCATATTTTTTTGCATTTCTTCAATTTATTAGATGGCAAAGATCAGGAAACTCTTCCAATGAAGAATTGCCGCAAGCGTGGATCATTAAACTAACTTATTTTTACAAAAAAAAACCCAAGCACTAGAACTTCTCGGGCTGACGCATCCATCAATCCTCCCGGGACCTTACGTTTTCCTGAATCAACAATTCGATCGGCCAGAGAAGAGCCTAGACGCTTGTGAAGCTAAATAGTCCACCCAATCCAATCCAAACCAATCCAGATATTGTGACGGGAATTAGGATTGATAGTCGCTGGATTCTCATCCAACCTACGCCGTTAGGGCAGCGAGAGCCGTGCAGAAGCGAGGAATAGAGTTTCCGCCCGGGGAAAGAAACCCCCGGGGCGTCAACGTTCAGATAAATAGAACGGAAACTCACCGATGAAATCCTTGCCTCGTCGCTCTCTCAAAGGACATCTCACGAGAGGTTGCCGACACCCACGAGCACTCCCGGTAGAGTCGCAACTCGAAGTCCGACTCCGTGTGGAGAACGGTGAACTGAGGGGACTCTATCCCCTGAGAGGGAGAGAATAGGACGGGGGAGAATGCCGCGAGGACGATGAAGGAGAAATGAGAGAGACGCGCCATATTTCAAACCTCCAGCAGAGGAAAACGCCGTCGGCGATGAGTAGAGTTGCTTCTCCTGCCGGCCACAACTCCCGGAATGTGTTCTCTTATAGATTCCTGCACTCCAGAGCTTCTTCTTTTTCGTCATACCCCATCCTTCATAGTAACATGTATTTAATGCACAGTAAATTTATTATTATGGTAATATCCCTATCGTCAGGAGGGAGATAGAGACAGGAGGGCAATAATGTCTTATCATTATCGAGACCCAGGAAAGTTCCTGACCGTGGATCCGAGATCTTGATGTAGTAACGGTGGACCCGGAGGTACATTAAATCAAAGCCGGATAAATTATGCGTATATTTTAAATAAATAATTGTAAATAAAACTTGTCATCAAACCCCCCCTCAATTTATTTTTAATTGTAAATAAATATGGTATTATTGTATTATATAAATGTTATATAATACAATAATACCATATTCCTAGCATGGGAGACACGTTACTGATAAGTTACCTGAAAAGGTTATTTCACAAAATATAATGTTGTTGAGGGGTTTTAGAGAAACTCATTCATGAGGTAGAAGAAGCAGGCCGCTGTCCGACGAAAACCGTGCGCAAGGACTGGAGAGTACCTCGTCCTCTGCATGGGAGTCGTTTGAGAGAGTGGGCTACTTACAGAGTCCATCGCCGGAACCAGGTACGGGGTTCCTCTCATCTTCTTCGGGGAGTCGATGAGAGAGACCTTTCCGGGATGCATTGTTGTCTTCTTCCTTCCCCTTCTCCTCTCGTTCGACCACGGGTGAATGCGTGGGTTTCATGGTTATTTCGTAGGTTTTCTTTTTCCTTCTAAGATTTACCTTTACATTCAGTTCTCATTTATTTTTCGGCATGCATATGGCTAAAATAAAATGGCCTTTGATTCTCGAATACTCTACACAAAGGGAGGGGAGTTGTCGTGGTCCATGACAATATTTGGAAGCAAGAGCGATGAACACTATCTTTCATTCATCTGATATCATCCATTTCATTCTCTCCGATTTTTTTCTATATAATTGTGTATATAATGTGGAAGTGACCAGGGATGTTATTGACGGTATCCAAGGATGAACTCGATAATCTGTGAAGCTTTTGTTAGAGAGAGAGCCAGCTCTCTTATCGATTAGCGGGCGGACAGAATTTTCTTTGCAAATATTTAGTTAAGCTCAATTGGTGGAACGGACAGATCGTTGTATTTCACATAATCTTCCCTGCGTCTTTCCATAATTTAGTCTTGAAAACCAATGGATACTGGTCATTATGAAAAGCCATCGTTTAATTTTTTGTATTCACTCTTAAGACGTAGGTATCTTTCCTGGAGATATTTATTCTGTTTAGGGGAGCCTCATTCTATTTGAGGATACGGATGAATGATCCCTCCCTTTTTCTGTAATCACTAAGACATCATAGCTCAGTTGATAAAAAAATTTCTCTTTTGTCTCACTACATTTTTTTGTCTCTCTAATGCTAGAATCCTTACTCTCTTTGAAATTGCGAGATTAATTTTCGCTGTTTGAAAAATTCGTATTGCTTATCATATGCTCTCAATATTTCACTCACTGATGGTGTTTCTTCTGGGCTTATGAACAATTATGCAATCAACTTATAATGTTCTTGCTCCTTGGATGTGAGAACTTCTCTCATCATGATTTTTTCCTTTCTGATAATACTGATTTTAATATATCCTGAACTTACGCTCACATTCATTCCTTGGAGATTCCAAAGTACAGGTCATTGATCGAAGCGATCCGTCAGAATGTCAAATAGTGAGACTCCAACTACGATGTTTATGAAGGTGGGGAGCATTATTACTCATTCTCAGGTATGTCAGACGTTACTTTTTTTTCTCTTGACTTTATATTTTATCTTTGGATGTAATCCGCTATCCACATGTAGACGAATATGTGCTCTGTTTCATTACTTTCTTTGCTCTTCAAATTATGATGCCGTGGACTGAGAGAAAATGAGTAGTTACTTTTTGGGTGGTCTCTTTTTCTCTCCTCAGAAACTTCAAAGATTCAATGCCTTTTTGTCTTCTCTTTGGCAGAAACTACAGGATGATGTCCAAAAGTTGGCATTGAAAGTTAAGCATCATGAGGACAATATGAAGGTTTTGAAGAATCAAAGCAATAAGTTAGATGAATCAATTCTTGATATGCAAGGTTAATTCGATAAACTTCTTGATAGAAAATTTTCCTTCTTCACTAGTTGAAGGTACCAGTATTTTCTTTAATTGAAGTGTGAAGAAGATACCAGGAGCAAAGGCTCCCTATTTTCTAATGCAATACAGACGTAAAGTATTTGTAAATTTACTTATGTTACTTCCCACTATCCGGTTGGTTAAAAAAATTACACATGATTTTTTTTTTTGGTTTTGCGAATCTTCATCATCTTCACGTCCTTGGGTTATGTTGAAAGATGGATGAAGAACCTTCGGATTCCATTGTGCGACTGGTGGAGTCTTTTAAATCTTTATCAGGCATTGCAGTTGTTCAACATGATGTTCCCTTGTTTGCTATTGTTTTGTGGTCTTCCCTTGTTTTCAAAAGGGCCTATATTGCGTGCATACCCAGTAAATGAGTACAATATTTGATAAGTTTAAAAAGATGCAGACTATGATGTCCTATCTGAACCACATATCCAAAGAGGAAATAAAATAAACTGAACTATCCCTGAGTGGTAAATCGCAAAGCAAAAATCATAATAACGTCATAAGTGAGGCGCAAGATCTGAATGCTTAAGAGCTCACGTACCTCATGGTCTAAGTATTCCATTTAAAGAAAGCTCATGCCAATAGTATTCTCTTTTGAGGGTTATAGTAGAAATTTCCTATCATAAATAACTATGAAAGTTTGAAATGACCCAGAAAAATTTACCATAAACATCTTGGCAGCAGAAGAATTTGATCTTCCTGGTGAGCCTTGTTCTTGCTATGCCAACATATAATGCCACTAATCTACTCAAGTAATAAGTGACATTAGTATAACACAAACAAATAAATCCTGATAAGCATATGCATCAGAGTGTGCACTTGTTTTCAGCCACATGGCAGGAGTTTCCCACCGAAGTTTCTCTGTGGAACAGTCCCTTGGTCCTCAATTTCGTACTTCATTAAGATCGCCCTATTTGTTTTTTCCTTTTATCTGCTTTTTAATCAAAAAACATTCCTAATTTTGAAACCCAGATTCCATATATAATGTTACTGGTGTTTTCTCAGTTACTCTCGGAAAATATCATTATTCCATGACAGAAGAGGAAGAAGCACAGTATGCCAATCGTCAACAGTCTGAGCAGCAAACCATCAAATGCATATTAAAGCAGGAGAAGACAGCAGCAGCGATTGTATGCAGTATCAAAATTCATCAACTGTCACAATCGTTAAAATTGCCATTTACCAAGGACGTGCTTGGTGTAGTGGCAACACTTGGAAAAGTAAATGATGATAATTTTAGCAGGTTGCTCTTTTCCAGTTTCCATGCTTACTTACTGACTGTGCGGCATCACAAGTTAATTGTATGAATTTAATATATTTTTCTCTGCTCTGACACTGTCTTAATGGACAGACTCCTTGCAGAATACTTGGGTTTGGAAACAATGCTTGCAATTGTTTGCAGAAGTTGTGAAAGTGTGAAAGATCTTGAGGAGTATGACAGAAATGATATTATAGATCAAAATGCTGGTCTTCATGGACTTGGACCTTCTATTGGAAGAATCATCGATGGGAGATTTCTCGTCATTTGTCTTGAAAATCTAAGGCAAGAATATTTATAGTATTTCAAGATTGATCTTTTAAACTTGTATATGAAATATAAAATATATTTTCAATTGCATTGGTTGATTCTGTTGAAGGCATCTGGTTGTTAATAGTCGTTATTGCAGGATGTACTCTGGTGAACTTGTATCTAATGATCCACAAAGGAGGCTTGCTCTATTGAAGCCTAAATTACATAGCGGGGAATCTCCTTCTGGCTTTCTTGGCTTTGCTGTAAACATGATACACGTGGACCCAATGCACTTGTCTTGCATCACTTCCGATGGAAAGGGTCTCAGGGAAACTTTATTTTATAGCCTATTTTCCCACCTTCAGGTATATAGAACGAGATCTGAGATGCAGCGTGCTATTCCTTGCATTAGTGATGGTGGGATCTCTTTAGATGGGGGAATAATAAAGAGAACCGGTTTTTTTTCCCTCGGTGTCAGGTATACTAAAAATTGGTTTATCTCTGCTATGTTTTTTGCCTTCCCTTTATTTTGTTATTTGATTGTCGATTCATATAATTTGTGTCCTACATTTCGATTTTGATGTTCTCGCAAATCCGCTTGCTCTGAGAAAGTGTGTGATTGGGGAGGTTTAGAAGAGAGCAGAGATGGTCTTTGCATTTTTCGAGTGGTTCAGCTGCCACAAACGAGTATTATGCCCTTATATCTGCTGGTATTCCGATTTTTCGTGGATGGGGTAGGAGCGAGGTTTGCGCTCGACATCTTGTGTACAAACTAAAACCACGAACATAAATATTTTTAAAAGAAGTGGGCTGGCTGCGGGGAAATTTCTTCAGGACATTTGCCTGGAAAATTAAGGCGTAGGCTGAGCAATGGTTTATTGAAACAGTCCGGTTTCTTGCCATAAGCACTTTCTTTTTCATTAGATGTTGAATGCCTTTTCTATCTCTCATCAAACCTAGTATTTTTTTTTATTCCTGATGATCTGGTGGGATTTTCGAGGAAAGTAACTTTCTTCAATATTTTATCGAATTCCTGGGCTGGTTGCTTATTTACAGATGGTCACCATCATCATCAAGCCTTAACGCTTCAAACTGGGATACCATTTTTCACGTGGCAGTTCAATGTAATGATTTTTAAATTTTGTTTTAGTCACTGAGTAGTGAACAGAAGGGGCCTCTATTTTGGTAAAATAATCCATTTGACATTAAGGTAGATTCCTGGACCTAAATCAACCCAAAACTTGAAATAGTTGATGTTTCTGAGATAAGTTCATTTACTTATAATCAATGACAGTTTAAATGGTTCCTGGAGGTCTGATGTTGTTTGGGGGATGGAGGTAGACATTAACTGCTCCCTTTCTCCGAGGACACAGCAGCATTGCTGTACGTTGAAGGAAATCCACCCAAAAAAAAAAAAAAACGGAGGCATGGTGCCATGTCAGAAAAGGGTTAGCTGACTGAAATGGAAAACTCATAAGATTTCTTCTACGTGTATAATCATAACGTGTCACTTGTTTGCAGTCTCAGAAAAGTTCATGTTTTATTCTCATCTACATCTGTTAGAACTCAAAACCAATGGGCAAGGAATGGGGTAGGTATTATTTCTACAATTTTCAATACAAGATTATTCTTTGCAGCTTCCATCGTGGGTCTTCTTATATTTGGTTTCGATTTTAGAGATCATTCGGGTATATATCATCTATTCATCTTACCGTGGACATTGTAAAACGGGGAACAAGTCAAGAAATAGTCACAATTTAGTGGGATGCTTGAATTTTTTCGTATTCAAGAGTTGCATATTATTTGATGCTTTTGAGGATTTTTCCCTTTGACTAACCTCAGGTTGTGTTGCAGAGAAGAGGTTGCGGTGAGATTCCCATTAAGTTCTGGTTTACGAAAACTACCCCTCAATATCATTGAAACAGAAGAAGAACTTAAGCTTATGCATTGGAAGAGGGAAAGATGTGCTGAAGATATGCAAAGAGAAGAATCGCTATTGAAGAATGCAAAATCTTTTTTCGACAGAAAAAGACAAGAGCTAATGGAACACCTCAGAGAGAGTTCACAATATGTGGCCCAGGTACGGACCCAGATGACTCTTCAAAAAAATATCCACTATTTGCTTCCTCATTACTCTGCTATGGAGGGTAGTAAATAACAAAAAAGTTCATCAATCTGTATTTTAGCCTATATAATCTAGTGGAGAAACCAAAAGATATGGCAGATGAAGGTCAGACGGATTCACTTCACCTCTGCATACACCAATTTGAAAGAAAAGGTGAACGTAAAGGTATTAGATAAAACAAAAATTGAGAAAATAGCTTTTCTCCTCAAGCATTCTAAATAAAAACTCAAAGTGCATGAAAAGGGAAATATACTCAATTGCCCCTGAGAATTTTAATGAGAAGTCTACCAGGTTTTGCCTTTAAATAGCAGGAAATCAGAGCCTTCTTTCCTGCTTCTGGAGAGCAACTAACGAAAGGTGACAAAAATTTATGCAGTACCTGTTCCTTAGATAAAACCAAAATACATGGGAAAAACTACAGATCTGAGGTGGAGTTCTAACCCGGTAAGTAACCCAGGTTAGGTAGACCACATTCCCTGCAAACTCGGAACTAAAATTCACAAAAAAATAATTAGACAAAAAAGAGGAGGCCAGGAAAGCTTCTTAGAGAGGGTGACCCCAGGACGGCAGCAGGATGGAGTAAAGAGCTTCTAGTTGTTATTCGGTCTGACCCTTTAGGGTTCTACTTTCAGATCTCGTCGGTAGAGCCTTCAATCCATATCCCAGAGATTCAAGATTATCTGATATTTCAGAGCCGTTCAATATGCAGAAGAAATTTCTGGACAAAGATACGTTGGAGAGTCTTTACAGCTTGAATGAGATTCGCTGCAGACTACAATGATTGTTGTGATGGTGATTCATTGCGGCTGTTTTCTTACCCTTCAGTGTATTAAAATCTGATAGAACATCCAAGAAAGATCATCTGGCATGTTAGGTTCACAGGACCTGTGATAGCACGGGATTGATTACTCGACTGTCCCATCCAAATTAAGGGACCTGGAAAGTTTTCACAGGTGTAACTTGGTGGTATATTGACTAGGGGAATGAAATAATGATATCTGGAAAGATTGATGTGAGGGAAGGCATTGCCTTCCACATTCCCCAACCCAATCAGAAAACACAAGCCCAAGTTTCACATCTGCTCGGAGAAGAACCTGGCTAGTCAGCTATGCATCAGTTTTAATTTTTCTTTCAGAGTTTTGATTCGTTGACTTTGTTGACTGAAAGTAGATTCTATTTCTTGACTTTCACGGCAGCAGATACTGTTCAAGTTCACAAATTTCTAGGAAATGAAGCATCTTTCTGATTTTTCCCGCAAAGGTTGTTCTGCAAGAATCTCAGCTAGAATGTTTGGTCCAATCATTAAGCTCAGACTTTTTTTTTTGGTCAACGTAGTAGTGTCTGACAGTGATACTTCTTTTTAAACATCATATGTAATTGAAAAAAAATCTGCTGACTCTTTCCACTTGGTTATTCATTACTTTAAGCAGACCGAACCTCAATCTGGGCAGAACTGGAAATCCCCAAGCTGACTTCTTACCAACTTTTGCCTCACAAGGTTAAGTTCAGCCATACCGGGTAAATCAGTTTCAGAGCCAATTCCAAAGGAGCGGGACAACGTTGACCATGCCTTCGTTAAAGGCGCTCAAAGCCCACTCATCCGTACAGAAGATTCCCTATTCTTCTGTAAATTTTGAAGGCACGAAGGTCTTCATCTAGCTTCAGACTGTAATCCGGTTCCCGGTAAGTATCCCTTTTTGACCTAATCAGACGTGGGTTTTTGGGCCTCCTCTGGGGATTTCGTTGACGAATCAAATTTTAGGTTTTTGCTTAAAACAGAAGGTCTCCCCTCCTCCCTCCCCTTCCCTTTGGAGAGATGGGATTCAACTCTCCAAGGCTTCAGACGGATGAACTTTTAGGGTCTTGCTACATTTTAGAGCCATCTGCAGAAGAAAAGCTCACTTTATTCTGAACACTCTGCACAGGATTCCGGCTTCCAAACCTCATAGTATACATCATGTAGAACAGAAACTAGAGTAAGAAAAATTGTGGAGAAGAAGGTCAAAGCCCCCCTTACGGGTACTGCACAGGGAGACTAGGTGGGCACCCCGCTTCCCCACTTCTCGGCAGCAGGTGAGGAGAAAGTGATGTTGGTGTTCTAGCTGCTCACGTCGACCTCCTCAGTGTTGGTGACAAAACTAGGGAACGCTAGTGTTATGTCCCTACAACAGCAACAGTAGTTCATTAATCTTCAAGGATTAGGTTACCCACTTGCAGCATACTTGGCCAAGAAATTAGCAAAAGAGAAAAGAGGCAAGATGATGCCCATGAAAGACCCTTGAACCCTTGGAAAAAGGTGTATACTTTGCAAGAAGAGAGAACGAGACAAAACACATGCATCCATGTTAGAATCCCTTGAAGCATGATTAGTTTCCAGATTTTATGTTCTATGCCGGAAAACCCAAGATGCCCATACAAAATTATTGGGGATATGTACAAAAGTGCCAAGCAGAGAGAGAGAGAGAGAGAGAGAGAGAGAGAGAGAGAGCAGATAATCATCCTGCCCATGCGATCAAAGAAGATCCCTGTCCATGAAAGATACTTGCAACCTCATGAACCAAGCTCAAGAACTCACTTTAGATATGGAAGAGTCATGTTCTTCAAAAGGGACGGATTTTTTGCCACAAAATCCTTCCACTCGTCTAGATCGATTCTTCCATCACCTTTTGCGTCTGCCTCTCTGAAAGTCTGCAAAAATAAAGTAGATTAAAAAAAGAGTGCCTAATTAAAAACTTTTAAAAAAAAGGAATGAAATTAAGGACTAAAAAAAAAAAGATGGAGTTAAGATTTTATATATACGCACCTTTTCAACGATTTGTTCGACAACATCATCTGAAAGCGTCAGATCTGATTCCTTGAGAAGGGCGAGGACCATCTCTTTCAGCTTTTAAGAGAACAACAAATGAAAAAAAATATTCAAAAACAAATTTTTAAGCCCTGAAAAAGCGAATTTAATAGTAGAAACTGGCCTTCATCAGATTTAATAATATGCCCAAATACACAATGTAAAATATTTTCTAAAAAAAGGAGCTTTTTTTACTTTAAAATCCCACACCCAGCAGATATTTCCTAAAAAGGCGTGGCAAGATCTCTTAAAATGGTAAAAATCAGGGCGTCTCATATTTTACCTCATCACGTTCAATGCATCCAGTCTGTCTCAAGTCGTACAATCTGAAGGCAACTGCCAAAGAAAAGAAAAGTTAAGGCCAAATTGCTTCAATAATAGTTTGAAACTATCCAAAGAGGCCATTGACCCCAAATAAATTGCCCAAAACACAATCATGCCGATCTATCATCCCTCAGAAAGATTCAGGAGTAAGAAGTCAAATGAGAGTGAAAGAGAGCGAATGTGCGTCCGTTGACCCTTTATAGAACATAAACTGTTAGATTATGGGTTTCATTAGCATAACATTACCCCAAGATTCTCAATGATAAAATTTATACATGGAAAATCTATGAAAGGTTGATCACATAAAAGCAAGTGAGAAGTAATCTATGATTCATAGATGAAGATATCTACTCATACAGCAGCTGGGAAGCTTCTTACAAGCGATTTTATCAGCAGTTGGAGCTCCTGGGTGGAATACACTTAGGGATCGGACAAACTCTCCGAATTCAATGACACCATTGCGTTTGATGTCAAACAGATCGAATACCTGCATAAATTGGCCAAACATAGAACACAGAGAACAATTATCGTCCAGCACAGCTTGCGTCAAAGAATTTCGAGATAAGTTTTTCATATATTCTGTAAAAAAAATCAAAAAATAAGGAAATACAGGGAACTTAATAAGATGAGAAAGCATTATAAATAAATAAGAGAGAGAGAGAGAGAGAGAGAGAGAGAGAGAGAGAGAGAGAGAGAGAGAGAGAGAGAGAGAGAGAGAGAGAGAGAGCTTACCCTATCAGCGAATAGGTTCTTGTTGTTGCTGTTCCTGAAGAGTGCGAGTTGGAATTCCTCCTATTTCAATAGAAATTAATGACAGGCAGAGATTGCTTGAGGGGGGGACGACCCGTGTGAAGCCCAGCGCCCAGAAAAATCATTAAACAAATTCAAAATGCAAGAGAGATTAGCGTACCTTGTGAATTAGGCCGTCTTTTATTATCGAACAGCTTATCTTCTTGAACAGTTCATAGAGCGCCTGCACCTCATTCACAGTAACTGAAAAAGATTTCAAGTGTTTGAGAAATCCATCAGTCACTGAGATCACCCATGATGAACACTAAATTGGAGACTTTAATTCCAAATCCTCTAGAACTTGAGCCTACCAACAGCAGGGTACGAAGAACATCGGTTCTTCCATCAATTGTAGAACGGAAGGGTATCAAAATCCCAAAGGTAGCTTGAGAAAAGGGCATTCTCAAGCTCCTAACAATCAACAAGGCTATATCTTATCAAATTATGAGCCAAGTCAAGCAATTTCATGAGGTTGGGAGATGCTTACAACAGGTTTCAGAGGCGAGGATGTTGGGTTCCTCATATCCAGGTGTGTGCTTGATATGCTTCGAGGATATGCAACCCATAAACAGGAAAGAACGACTCGATCGAAGGATTGGAGCAGACTTTATCTTCTATGCCTGCAAATAAGGAACTAGGTTTGATGACGATGAAGAAATCACCATACTCATTAATAAGATATGCTGCTCATCTACAGATTGATGGTGTTTGACCAATATAAGGACTAAGCATCCGATTTCCCATATTCATGGTAGATGTTCATATTGATCATCTCTGTTTGCAATGGAAAGCAGGCGCCAATTGCCGATGGGGAAATGCTAGTTCCCCGAATGGTTTCTCAGAACATCAGACTTGCCCCACGTTTGTTTCCGCATTTCATATCAAATCACAGGCGACTATCGACAAGAGTAAGAGATGATTGAACTAAACGCAGAAAGAGACGCTTCCCCACCACAAGAACGACATCAACTCCTGATGAAGCAGAGTAAGGAACCACCTCGACACCGGTCCGTCCCCCACGCTCAGAGACATCTCCAAAGAGGTTACTTACACGCCAGGAGTCCGTGGATCATTTTCCGAGGAACCGAACCAGAATCCTGAAGCGATGGCCAGGGACAGGATCTCATGGAAACCGGGGAAGTGCTGCCGTGGGCAGCGGAACCGGCGGTGCGCTGATACCGCTTGCCGTCGACAGGCGACAATGCCTCCGAAGCGTGGAATGGTCGTGGACAAAAGAAGAGAAAATGATCCATGGACACGAGCTCGAGGTGCAACGTTACCTGAAAATTACGATCCAGAACTACCTCCGAAATCTGACTCTCTCCGTTCCTCCTCTCCTCTTCTCTCCTCTCTGTCTCTCTCCCCGCTGCATGACAGTAAACAAGGGCCATGTTATGAATATTATATCGTAGAGATGACGACGAAGCCCCACGTCTTCGCCCTTTCGCTGTCACACGTAGTTACAAAAGTTTGGAAATTTTCATCTTATCTTTGTATAGTTTCAAATTACCCCTAAATATTTAAGATATATATTTATAACCCAAGTCCATTGCACAAGCTACTAGCTTACGAGTGTTCCGAAAACCCACAAAATACATGCCCAAATTTATTTTAAAAATAGTTAATCCATATTAAATAATGAGAAGATGATTGCCACGGTGGAGGATTATTAAATAATATTTAATGTGACTTAAATAACCTAAATTCTTATTTACAAAAAAATGATAGATGTCATTTTTTTAGTTATCTATAAATGCAATATTCTGAATTTACGATGTTCTGTAACACTTTTTTATAATTTTTTAGTATTTTTGTCCTTTATCTATCAATTATACTTTCGAATCTCTCTTTTTTATTTCTTTTTTGCTCCTCCGTCGAAGCGCTGACGGAAGGCCAGTCAGCAAACGGAATATTCTACTGCGTATCAAACAAACGACGTTATGGCCTGCGACACGACAAGCCAGCAGAGACGTCACCTTGAAGTCCTGGCCGCCGCCCCCAAAAAGTAAAATCATATGAATAAGCACCTATCCTTATCAAAATCTATCATGTGTCCACTGAAAAATGTTTTTTTAATGTATATATTCCACCCATCACTTAAAATAGTAGCAAAACTCGATAAGATCCTCCATATATTCAAATTTCGGAAATAAATTTTATCTTTATTTTATGTAAATAATTGCAGGAAGAAAAACCCTCACGTGGGGGTTTACATCTCTCTCTCTCTCTCTCTCTGTCTCTTGTGCTTTTTGGCGTTTTCTGCATTTGTAGTGTGCTCGGAGATGATTGCCCGAGCGGCTGCTGGTGCCAGGTGCGGTAGGAGAGACGGACACTCGCACCTGTCGGAGGATTCTCGAAGGTTGTGCACACGCTCCGAAGAGTCCTGTCCAATGTCGTACACACACCTAAATGTGGATATTTTCCAAGGGATTTTTCGGCCGCCGCCAGGAGCCTCTCTCTCTCTCTCTAGCCAGTCACTCTTCGCGAAGGTCTTCGTCCCCCGCTGCGCCGGCTAGGACAATCAACGTTGTCGCAACGTGTGTATCGACAGGCCCCGCCGGGCCTGCCCCGCCGCCGGATCTCCGAGTTCTTTGGAGAGCCCGCAGTGAGACGGGAGTTCCTCATCTTACTCCATATAGGTATCAATGCATGTGATCAGCGTCTCTCTCTCTCTCAACCGCGACCGGGCTTGGGAGGTTTCCAGTCCGGCCCGTCGAGGCCAATTAACTACTCGAAGAAAATAATAAAAGTAGGTAGGTGAGACCCCCAAGAACACATTTTTTTCATATTGGTAACGTCAATAAGGTTGGTAGCTCTCGGGCCGGGCTTAATGGCCCGGGCCCGTGAAAATGGGCTCTCGCGTTGACCCCCCCGAGAGGAGGAGATACTCCTATTCATATAACCACTTTCATCAGCTCGCTCATCACTCGTCCAACAGTCACCAGTCCATACATACATACAGACAGCATCACAGATCCTCTCTACCCGCAACGAAAACACAGGCCTCCGCCCAGTGGCGACGACACCGACCAGCAGACACACCAGAGAACTCAATACGTTTTCAGAGAGAGAGAGAGAGAGAGAGAGAGGGCTCAGTTGCAGAGGTTGGGGGTGCAGACGCCGGAGTCGGAGGTGAGCGGCTCCTTCCAAATCCGGCCGGTGACACGGAGCTTGAGCTCCTTGCGGTCGCCGCCGGAGAAGAAGAGTGCCATGTTCCTCTGGATGATGAGGCCATCGTGGCTGTCCCGGACCTTGCGGTGGCTGTCCCTGATGCTCCGTGGGGTGCCCTCCCATGTCAGCTTCCTGCTGTAGCCCCCCACCTCGATGCTGTAACTGTAGTTCCTCGCCTCGTTCTCGTCTCCCATGAACCGGAGGAACGCCATGTACACCGGCGCCATCCCCAGCTGGAAGGCCTCGAAGTGCAGGCAGAAGTACTGCCCGAAGCAGTTGAACACCTGCAGAAACATCCCGTATTCAATCTATATGCACCCACATATATAAATATATATATAAAATATCAATACTATCACTTGCATCATTATTCTACTCAGAGAATTTATTTTTATTTTTTTTTCTGGAACTTACTGTGAGCATCCAAGTGGCGTTTTCCACATCTCGCGGGTTGGATTTCACGTATCGGTGGTTGAAGGTGCAGCCGGTGTGCATGTCCACCTTGTGGTCGTCCCTCAGATGAGCGACGAGGAAGGGGATGTCCCCCATGACGGAGCATTCGGAGCCCGCGTAGGGGCAGTTGTAGGGTCTGAAGTTGCACTGGGCCTCGTGCTTGAGCTTACTGTAGTAGGGGAAGATCTCCGGGCAACCCAGCGAGCAGTACTTGCAGGGGAGCTCGAGGGACTCCGCCACCTTCTCCAGCGCCAGGCACCTGATATCTCCGAGCTCCTGTCTACAGGTGGGGCAGCGATTGTGCACCCTTGTTTTGCAGGTTGAACAGAGGGTGTGGCCATTCCGGCACTGGAAGGCAATAAATAATACTCGTCAGAGGAGTCTTACTGAATTGCATGCGGAAGTTTATTGAAATAAAGTTCGTAGGTGACATTGTAAATGAGCAAACTTTATTTCATAAAAGATAATGTACATGTTTTGGCATGGGTTTAAGATTATTCATTAGGCTCATACACACATTATCCCATAAACAGCCCATTTCGTTGGATCAAACAATTGAGCTTGAGATCATCTAAAGTCATTAAGGTGACCATTGGGCCATGATCACTGAAAACAAGGTTGGCATTAAATCTTAGACTTATTAATAGCAACTTCAGCTGCAAAACGAAACATCTACATTACGACAAATGGCATTCTAGTATTTTCTGTGTTCATCAGGACATGTATTACTGTGCAGGGGGATTGTTTTCCTTCATTCATTACTCCCTAAACGGGGGTGAGAGATGAGATAATGGCTGGAGTTAACAAAAAGATGACAAAGCCCTGAATGGCCGGCACCTTCCCCAAATTATTGTGGGGAAGAGTGAGAAGGAGAAACCGCCCATGGTTCTCCTTTTTTTGCCTGTCTTGGCTCATCACCGATTCAGCTGGGGCGGATCGCAGCAACCGTCCCCTTGGTCATCTTCTTCTTCTTCTTCGGCTCTATCTTCTTCCAATAGCTTCGGATTAGGAATGGGGGTGAGGATGAAGAGCAACCTGGAGGCACCATTGCTTGTTTTCTTTCTCTGACTTCTATATTTATGGTGGGGCTCTTCTCCATCTAGAAGAGCCCAGAGATGATGCAATGAGTGGAAGGCTCTTTCCTTCCTTAGCAGCGGACTATATTTAGAGACAAGCTGCTCCTCTGCTTCTTCAGCGAAGAGGCTCCCTTCTTCTTTATCTAATCTTTATTTTTATTTTTATTGGCGAAAATTTCGTCCATAACTCTCAGAAGCAAAGGGTGACTAGCAAGTAGGGTAGGAATGACACCAAGAACCACAAAGTATGATGGTGTATCCTTCATGAGACCTTTTGTGGAAACATCAAAAGAGGGGAAAAACACAGCCACAGTTTTCCAATGGAAAGAATGTCGGAAGTTATTTGTGATAAGGTGGAGTGGGCAAGGATCTTAAAATAGCATGACCTATCTTCGCGTAACGTATTCTCGAGTGTTGATAGAAAACACACTTCTATGCTCCCTTCGCTCTTTCTAAAATTTTCATTTCTAGCATCTTCTATCACCGTCAAGTAAGCAGCAATGACTTAAAGTTCATGTAACCACGCTCATAAGCACCTAACAAACAGGTAGTGAAACCAAAAACCACAAATAGTCCATTCTTAAATCTGAAATTTTTTCTGAGGTGAGGAAAAATTTGGATTTGTACGCTGATATATGTGGGGTAACATAAAATGTGAAAAATAGCATGAGGAACTTATATTCAGTCAATAAGGAGAGGAAGCTGACGACCAAACCAACAATCCTAAAAGACAGATGTTGACTAAACTTTGAATGCTCTTTCTCAGAACGGATATGCAATGCTTATCGATTGAAAAAAAGCGACTACAACCCATAAGTATACCCTCCAGAGGACCAACTGAAAACTTAGACGAAATTATATTGGAGAAAGTTCTTTGTACTTTACATAAATTAAGTCATCCATTCGCTCAGTGCGTTATTTGGATGACAAGTTCTCTTAGATTTGAATGAATGAACAGTATCATAAACCAGCTGCAAAAGTTATTTCCGAAGTAACTCCAGGTTAGTTTGCAAATTCCCAAGAACAATTAATATTGATTTATTTGTATCTAACGTATAAATAATGAAATTGCATTTTTGCCGAAACTAAAAAGAAAAGGTGAACTATTTCAAAATCTCTGGGGAGCACTTAGACAAAGGTGAACTTCAGAAGAAGCATGTGCAGAAAGTACAAAGCACGTAGTCTTTGCCAGCCATTCAAGCAAGTTCATCTGTTCAAGCTTCTGAAGCTGGAAATGCAGACATTATTTTGAGTGACGATAGTGCATAGGGGTCCAGAAATATGTTGATGATGTGTTAGCATCACTAACGGGATTGGATCATCAAATATGATCCGCTTCCATTCGTCATTTGGCGTCTGTGGTACGACTGAAAGTGGTGCGAGTCAGAACACGACGGAGAAGATGCCAATATGGGAAGATGATCATGTGTAGCATAAATAAGATACTATACGGATGGGACCGACCATCCCAATAGTTCTCTTCATCCCCACCATCAATTTGAGTTTTCAAATTAAAATTATTTCCATTAGCCAATGCAATCTACAAACTCTACAAACAACAGTATTTATCAGTGACCACAATCCTTAGTGTGTACGGAGGGTTTAAAGAATGATCTTGTGGTTTTGACCATGGCTTTATGTCTATTACAGCTAGAGAGGGTATGCCAGTGATCATTCTACTTCGTCATCCATGTGCATTTTAAAAGCACAACTGTTGTCAGTTTCATGCATTTTAGACAGTCTTTTATGTTGCATGTTTCCATTAATCTATTTTATACATCAGAAATAATCCTGGTGTCGAATATGTCACATAAAATCTGCTGTTGGCTTTTGTTAAGGTATGATGAACACCAGAGACAGAGTTAACTTCGTAGATTCTTCATGTTTTTTTTATCTTTCAATAATTCACTGTTTTGAGGTTTTCCAAATGTTCCTAGTCCCTTTTTTACATCTGCTTTTAGACATTAAAACCAATTTCTTTGTTTATGAGAAATTTTCATCCTTTCAGTGGCATGCGTCGATGACAATACAGATCAGACCTTCATGACCAATTCCGTTGTCCAATCATTTGGCAACCAGAGTCTCGGTGGATAAGATATCTATAAGAGACAAACCGCATGCCTAGAAGGAGAAAAATAAGGGTGCCAGATTTTCTTATCGTCTGGTTGGCAACCATCCACCTAACAATAATTCAAAACCCAAACAAATACCCTCTGATTTGCTCACCAGGTAAAAGAAAAGAGGACAAGAAAAATATACATTACAAGAATTCACAATTCATCAATCAGAAAAACATAGATCTGAAGGAAGGTTCTTCAATTGCCGAAATGATCTAAGAAATCTAAATCTGAGCCCAAGAAAAAAAAGAATGTTCCCCCAAGTAAACCACGGTGACAGCACAAAGATTCGAAGATCCACAGGAGGGGCAAACCTGATGGATCGGAGGGTACATGGAATTGGTGCAGACGGGGCACTCCAGAAGTTCGTGGACACTGGTCACAGGGGAGATCCCCGACGGCGCAACGCCGTTGGCAATGCTACCGTTGCCACCGACGTTCCCGCATCCGGCGTGGGCCTTGGTGAAGGCGAGGGGGAGGTGGATGGTGGCGGCGTCGTCATCATCCATACCATCGGACGAGGAAACGCACTCGAGGCTATCCGACTCCATCAACAGACGGGGGAAGAACGGATCGATCGGTTCCCCCAGCTTCCTCCTTCTTCCTCGCCCTCTCCTCTCCGATTCCTCCCCCTATTTTCCCCCTATTTTGCTCCCGAAGAGAGCTCCAGGCGTAGCGGAAGGATGGGGGAACGGAGAATCTGATCTCCCGATGAAAGCAAGGACAAGCCGACGATCGCGAGGAAGAGAGAGGACGCCAGCGCTATCAGCGGAGGGGCGGAAGACGGCGAACGCAAGCGAGACAGGCTTTTACTATCTTCTCCTGTCGACACGTCGCCAGAGAGAGAGAGAGAGAGAGGAGAGACAGAGAGAGAAACTTCAATTTGTCCCCGTTCCGACAGATTGATTAAAAAAATCTACGCCGTTGAATTAAGGTAAACCACAATAATTATTTTAATACATATTATTATTTTATTCTCATTTATTTTTTATAGGAGGGGTTTAATGGGCCGCACAAGCAATTAGCCCAACCCGTTCCGAGTTTTGGGCCCAACCCATTATGTACAGTGATAATTTTATTTATAGGTGCCTGAAAAAAATAAGGGTTATCACCGTGGGGGCTTAGTTCCATTGATCAGATAGTCGTGATTAGAGATGAAGCGATGCCTGTTTAAACCGCTGGATCAGATAAACCTCCCTGAAGGTAGGCTGCCGTCTTCCCCGTCCAGTTCTCGGAGGCGGCCTCCACACGGTGCGCGGAGATGAGCGGAGGGGAGCTCCTCCCCTGCCGTGGGATTCCCTACCACGGCCCCGGTGCCTCCATAGCCATATCCAGGTACCATTCTAGGGTCTTCCTGCTCGGCAATCGTTCCAATCGGCTCGAGATACGGAGAAGAGTGAAGAGCCCGGGAAGAGCCGGATTGCGCTGTCGCACTGTCGAGGTCTTCGGGAAATTAGGGCCTGGAGCTGACGGGGAACCCTCAGATGACTTCGCTACTAGGGTTTTGAAGGATAATCCTAGCCAGGTGGAACCGAGATTCCTGGTGGGTGATAGGTTCCTCACTCTGAGGGAGAAAGAGAAGCCTCGGGAGAGCTCGGATTTTGTTCTCTTTTCCATCGTCAAGAAGTTTCTGAGCAGGCGAGGAGAATTCAAAGAGACGCCTGAAGCTGGTGGTGACGGGGTAGTGAAAGGAGGCAAGGCTTCGAAGGCAGTGTACCTCAAAGATTTACTGCGAGAGTTCAAGGGGGAGCTCTATGTTCCAGAGGAAGTGTTTAAGCCAGAGTTGTCGGAAGAGGAAGAGTTCGACCGGAATTTGAAGTTGCTCCCCAGAATGACTCTTGAGGATTTCGGTAAGTATCTAAAGACAGATCAAATAAAGCTGTTGACATCAAAATCCACGATCAGTGAAACACCATTCACTGGCTATAGAGATTTTGTCATCGACTTGATGGAGATCCCTGGGGACAAGACATTCCAGAGAACTAAATGGTGAACTACTCAATAACGTTCTGAAGGTTTCGTAACCAAAAAAATATCCATCAAAACTTATTTATAGGAATTTTGCAGGGCTATTACATTGACCGCAAATCAAACAAGGGCGGCTTTGGCGGAATATGCTGGCCCTCAGTACGAGATTGAGAAGCACACCACCGTGAGTAATGTGGTCATGTGCTTTACAACAAGACAATGTGCAGTCGGAATCGTCTAACTTTGAGATAGCTAGTTTATACAGTAGGATTGTTATTTATCTTTAAGTGTAATTAATTTTGTGTATAATTGGCAGCTAATAGATAGCCAAGTGATCAATGGATAATCAAACGTATCGTTAGGTTTGTCCATGATCAAACGCAATTTAAAATTTTGATAATTGATTGTACACAGATTGATTATAGTTGTGCTTTTTATTCACGAGGTCATTTTCTTTATCAAAAGGTACCAACTTAGCATTTTTATTTTTTTTCCTGAATGTTAGAATGTAGCTAACAGAACTATTTCTCAAGTACCAGTGTAGTTCCAAATGAAAAATCTGAAAAAATGAACATGAAGTATGGGGTTCAACGGTTGACTAAATATTAACATGCTTATACAAACATTAAGGTCATTTTCCCCTTTTTTACATTAAAAAAACTTTGAAATTTAAAGTAATCAGCTGGTTCAAATTAAAGTTCACGTCAAAAACAGGAATTTGAACCATCGGGTGGTGTTTCAAATAGTGCTCTTGTTCTCTCTCCTTTGGGATGTTTTCTTTGAAAGGTGGACTGCTGAGTACTGGAAGGATTACTTCAGACTCCCATGGCACCTCACAGAATAACACTCATGTAATTCAATTTCTCTTTTTTATCAATGGAGCGTTATCAATAAGCTTTCTTTAAGAGTTTTTAATTATGTGTATAGATGATATGTTTTTTTCTACTTGATTGACTGCCGGTTATCTCTATACAGTCATATGTGGGAAAATTGCTTGAATACCCCAATCCAGTAGCTTCCTCTATATCTAGCAGAATAATGGTCGAGCTGGGGATGGTGACAGCAGTTATGGCCGCTGCAGCAGCAGTAATTGGGGGTTTCCTGGCATCCGCAGTATTCGCTGCAACTAGCTTTATGTATGCTGTGACATTCTATGTGATATGGCCTGTAGTCAGACCTCTTCTCAAGCTTGGTCTCGGAATCATTCTTGGTATCCTCGAGAGAATGTGGGATAATGTTGTTGACTTATTCAGCGATGGAGGGTTTTTTTCAAAAATATATGAGTTTTACACCTTCCGTGGAGTCTCTTCCAGTCTTACAATGATGAAGCCAATCTTGCTTGTTCTGGGAACCATGGTCCTTCTCATAAGGTTCACCCTTTCAAGGAGACCAAAGAACTTCAGGAAATGGGTAACTCCGATACACTTTCTGTGTATCTATGATTTCACATGTTGAGAGGTAATTTTGATGTCCGTTTTGCTATTTGCTAATCTTCTGCGTCTCCATGCAGGATATTTGGCAAGGCATTGAATTTTCTCAATCAAAACCGCAGGCCCGGGTTGATGTCAGTTATCTTTCGCCCAGCTTCATTGCTTCATTTGTTCATTTATTTTCAATCTGAAATGCTGGGTTGATCTTGCTAATTCATATCCTTCTTCTGGTTATCAGGGTTCAACTGGGGTTCTGTTCAGTGATGTTGCGGGGATCGATGAAGCAGTGGACGAGCTCCAGGAGGTGTAACATTTTGTTGTTCTACTTTGTCTCCTTCTTGGCAGTGATTACTGATTTGTCTGATACTCCCATTTGACAAACACCATATTATAGAACTTCACACCGTTACAACCTAATTTGAATCTTCTAATTCACACCTAGAGCACACTTATTGTTTCCATGAAAGACTTCTTCAAAACATATGCTCCTTTTTTTTTTCGCCGAAATTTAGAATGGTTGTTGTGCTTTACATTATATTGTGTTTTCAATGTTTTTTAGTTGTGTTTGTGCAATATGCATATAAATGTTTACAGGCCTGTGGTTCCCCTTTCCAAATATGCACCTTTATTCCCTGTTTCACAGTGTCATGTTTTCAGATTCAAGTTGATATTTCACCAGTCTGATCCACCGTGTCAAATCGTGTCACGAATTATTGACATATGTGACCTGACTTATTTTTATTGTAATCTAGCTAGTAGATTATTTGAAGAATCCGAAGAAATTTGATGAAATAGGGATAAAGCCTCCTCATGGTGTTCTTTTAGAGGGTCCTCCTGGTTGTGGAAAGGTTGGTAACATCATCTGGAATTTCTAACTTTAATTCAGAACTTGCTTTTTTGGCTAACTTAAAAGTTATTATCTAGACATTGGTCGCTAAAGCTATTGCGGGCGAAGCTGGCGTTCCATTTTACCAGATGGCTGGCTCTGAGTTTGTGGAAGTTCTAGTGGGCGTTGGTTCTGCTCGAATCAGGGATCTTTTTAAGAGAGCAAATGTGAGGCTTTGGCCCTTTATTATTACTGTAAATACCTCATATGCTAGAAAGTAGTTTTTTCTATGTAATTTATTTCTTCGTTAACTATATTGGATATCCATTTTACGCAGTTCTTTTGCCACGCCAATATTCATGCCTCTTACTCATACAATATATAGATTGTCCATTGAACACATTCACACCCCACAAGGACTTGAATGGTTCAAATACCGACAGAAAGTACCAGTAAGACCTCAATTATCTACATTGAATATGAAGTTAATCTATACATGATTAACGTCCAATATCCATTGACATGAATATGACGACGAAGTGCACAGAGTTACTATCATTGAACGGTGCCAATGATGACGCACAAATATTCTGATTGACTACATGCTCGTGTTTTATTGTTCAAGATGCTCGTGTTTCATTCAAGATTTTTCTTTTCTAAAAAATTACTGTTACTGTCCACAAGTGAAGTATGGCACTAGGATCCAGAACTCAAAAGCTGCACAAAACAGCCTCACTATTATCTTCAAGTTCTGAAACTTAGTCCCAAAATCCAGCTTATTTTTACCGCGTTTAAATATTGCCTTTTGCTAGTCTCTTGATTAAATACCACGTATACTGTTCATGCAGGTTAACAAACCGGCAGTTGTGTTTATTGATGAGATTGACGCATTGGCTACGAGGTATGGATGGCATAGCTGGTGGAGTTGGAACATATATTATGCACTTAAATAGGCTTTGATATCTTCAATCTTGGTTAGCTAACAATGATCTAATGTGACCAGGCGCCAGGGTATTTTTAGTGAATCTACAAACTATCTTTACAATGCAGCTACTCAAGAGAGGGAGACCACACTCAACCAGCTTTTGATAGAGCTCGATGGGTTTGATACTGGAAAAGGTGTCATATTTTTGGGTGCTACTAATCGTATGGATTTACTAGATCCTGCCCTCCTCAGACCAGGTCGCTTTGACAGAAAGGTGGGCCTTGTATCATTTGTTCTCAAATGGCTGCATTGTAAAAACCCTGATTTTATTATTTTTTGCTCTCGGTTTCACATATGCCTCGCATTGGTTTCTATCTCACTTACAAATTATATTCATAGTTTTGATGATGCATCGACATTTACAGATAAGAATACGACCTCCAGGGGCAAAGGGTCGATTAGACATCTTGAAGGTACATGCTCGCAAGGTCAAAATGTCCCAGTCTGTTGATCTTGCAAATTATGCTCAAAATTTGCCTGGTATTTGTTACCTATCCTTAATTTTTTGTTAAGATCACATGCATGTTTTAATTTACTATTCATTCATCCTGAAAATTGTATTAAAATGGATAGAACCTCAACATTTTTTTTGAGCTTACATTTTATTTTATGCTCATTTATCGCCATGTAGAATGTTTCAAAAGTTGTGTAGGCACATTGCTGCATAAAACCAGAACAGGCAGAATGAAAAACGCTGATTGGATGCCTCAATTATACGATCCTAGCTTCATAGAACTCCTTGCCATGTATAAGCCAAACATGAAAGGTATATCGACTGCCACTAAGTCTTTGGAGAAAACCATGCTGCCCATCTTGCTTAACTACTTAGTCAAAGTCAAATAAATTATACTATCGTCAACTAATATAACCACGAAGTCAAGTCAAGCCCATCAACTGTGGGCATCTGCTCTTCGTGGCTCTGCTTCTAGAATGCAGTTATCCAGAATTATTGTTTATAATTCTTTTGTGGTCTTTCGTAAAATAGGTGAATAGCTGTGCAGGATTAAAATTCGGCATATGATTCAATTCCTCTTGAAGCACGCTGAACTCCAAATACCTGGCGTCGCCTTACTACTTTGCCGTCAGTTCCCTTGCTTTTCTTACTCATTTTGCCTTGTTCTTCCACACTGTATCCTCATTCTTTATCTTTCAAAGGTGAGGAATATTGGCTTGAGACTGACTACTTTCATAGTGCCTGATGTAATGTTTTAATTTCAGTAGTCGTATGTAGACTTGATAGGATTCTCTGGAATTACCTTGTAAGCTGCTTCTTTAATCTCAGTAGTACGGATTTGCACCTAGTCCTGATTTTGTTCTACCCGCCATGAAGACATCCCTTGTTCTTTCAGCCTCGTCTAATCTACTTGACTGGGGGCATTCACTTGATTCGTTGACCGCGCTGGCCTCTGACTTTGGAGTTTCTCAATTGGCCAGGATGGTCAGGAGCTAAGTTGGCGCAACTGCTTCAGGAGGCTGCATTAATTGCCGTCAGGAACAGGCACGAGGCAATCCTTCATTCAGATATGGACGATGCCGTTGACCGACTCACCGTCGGACCAAGACGTCTGGGGATCGAGTTAGGTCATCAAGGGCAGTCCAGAAGAGCCACCACCGAGGTCGGAGCTGCGTTGACTTCTCATCTACTGAGGCGCTATGAAAACGCCATGGTGGAATCTTGCGAGCGTATATCTATCAATCCTCGCGGTGAGGTAACTGAGAAGCACAAACGGCATCATATACCATAAAAACCTTTTATACTTGAATTTTTTGCAAAGGTATGCTTGTTGTTCTGCTTCCCCTGAGTTAGATTCATGACTGCAGACATTCTCCCAAGTTGTCTTCCATCGTCTGGATGATGAATCCTACATGTTTGAGCGGCGACCCCAGCTGCTCCATCGCCTCCAGGTTTGACTATGAATGCGCCCTGCTTGCATAAGTTACCGTTGAATTAATCCTAATGATTACTTTAGGGTTCATTATTCTCAAGTCTCTCGTCTATGAAGGTGCTGTTAGGAGGGAGGGCCGCCGAAGAGGTGATCTATGGCCGGGACACATCGAAGGCATCCTTGGGTTACCTTGCCGATGCGTCCTGGCTTGCCCGCAAGATGCTCTCCATGTACTCCCTCCCTCCCTCCCTCCTCTCCATCTCCATGGTGTCTTCTTCTTCTTCTTTCTCTCTCTAATGTATGATTATGATTACCTCTCTCTCTCTCTCTCTTCTTACCCATTAGCTGGAACCTGGAGAACCCACTGACCATACACGGGGAGCCATCTGCATGGAAGAAGAGCGCCAAGTTCATCGGGCCGAGGCTGGATTTTGAAGGATCGCTCTACGACGACTACGATCTGATAGAACCCCCGGTCAACTTCAACCTGGACGATGATGTTGCTCTGAGAGCGGAGGAGTTGGTCAACAGCATGTATGGGAAGACCGTCTGCTTGTTGAGGCGGCACCATGCGGCTCTGGTCAAAACTGTGAAGGTTCCCCCACTCTCTCATCCTCTCCAAGCCCTCCCGCACTTCAATTTTGGCTCGAACCCATCGTTGACCAGGCCAGGCCCCTTCTATCCCTTGCAGGTTTTGCTGGACAGAAAGGAGATCAGTGGGGATCACATCGAGTTCATCCTGGATAATTACCCTGCAGAGACCCCTGTGGATCTTGTTCTGGAGGAGAGAGAACCTGGAACCCTGCCATTTTTTGAGAGGGAAGGTGAGATGGTTCTCTCTCCATCACTACAAGAGTAGCGTACATCTCCGACCCGGCTGGGGAAGCCTGAATGAGGAGCGATGGCGAGACACCTGCTGCTTCCTGCTGGTTCAGCCGCCATTTTTCTTCTTTGAAGCTGGCTTCGTTGCACTGCGATTGATCTGGAGTAGATGTGGATTGGGTTGGTGCTTGGGCTACTCGATAGATGGAATCATACGGTTTCATGCATTCTTTCGTCTGAATCTTTTGCTTTCTGTGTTTTCTTTTTTTCGATGGAGGGCTGATGTCGAAGGGAATTTTGGAAGTAGAGCGAAACTTTCGTCTAGGTTTATTTGCCTTATAATAATTAACCCTTTACCATTTTTCTGGATAGATTTGTGTCGCAATTGCCTACCCTTGGAGAGAGAACTGAAGTCGTTCACCTCTCTCTCTCTCTCTCTCTCTCTCTCTCTCTCTCTCTCTCTATCTCTGGATAGATTCGCGCTGCAACTGCCTTGGAGAGAGAACTGAAGAACTCGTCCAGCTCTCTCTCTCTTTCTCTCTCATCAGGTGTTCGTAGCAGTTCGCGAAGTACTCAGAGACGTGAGTAACAAATCGATCCGAGAACGGCGGCGGCGGCGGCGGCGCGGTATGCGATATCGCGCCGAGGTCTCCCGGGATTCCATCACCCATCATCATGTACCGGATGCAGTTAGCTCTCCCCCTCCCCCCGAACAGCGTACCGGCACAGAGAAAGAGGGAGATAGAGAGAGACAGAGAGAGAGAGAGAAGGAGAAGGAAGGGGAGAGAGGCTACCCAGTACGGCGGCGTTCTCTGAGATGGCGGCGGTGGGAGAAGACGGTTGCGTATCTTGGGTGAGGCGGGCTGGGTTCTCTTCCCCGGTCTACCGCCGTCTCCACAATTCCGGCAACCCCCCAGTCCCCTTCTCCGGCGAACCCAGTCACCGGCTCTGCCCCAGCCCCGCCGGCGGCGATGGCGGCGTTATGCAGGCCGGGCGGGAAGGAGAGGATCGTCCCCACCGTCTGAAGGAGAAAGCGCGACCATGGACGAGATTCTTCAGTTACTTGATGAGGAAGAGGAGGGTTCATTCAGTAGAGAGCTTGGAAGAAAGAGAAGAAACAAGGGGACCCCCCAGGCTGTACGTGGGGTCTAGGGTTTCCGGCGGCTCTCTTGGCGGCTGCGACGATTTCGGCGTCCTCTACCGCGGCATTTACGGAGACCGACCCGTCGCAGTGAAGGTCATTACGCTGCCGGCCGACGGCCTTCTCCGTGTAACCCTGAAGATCCGGTTCATCAGGGAAACCCACTTCCTAACTCGCCTGAACCATCCCAACGTGATCAAGGTATACACCATGAACATCATTCTATGCAGATGAAAATAGCAGGTTTATACATGGATGAATGTCCTGACGGATTCTGGTTGATCCTCTGTGAAGATGGTGGCGGCGGGGGAAATCCTGCTGGATTCCTGGTACATCGCCACCGAGTATTGCCACGCCGGCGGCTCCCTGAGAGACCTGCTCTGCCGGTCGTGGAACCGGCCTCTCGACCTGAGGAAGCTCATCGCCATCGCCCTGAACATAGCTCGGGGGATGGCGCACGTCCACGCAGAGGGGATCGTCCACCGCAATCTCACCCCAGAGAACATCCTCGTCGTCGACGAAGAATCGTCATGCATGACGATAATCGACGGGTTCGGAGGAGCGTGCGAAGAAGGACGGAGCGAGCCGGTGGATAGGAGCAAGTGGAATGCGCCGGAGATGATCAAGCGGGAACCCTACGACCGGAAGGTGGACGTGTACAGCTTCGGGCTCCTCTTGTGGGAGATGCAGACGGGGATGGTCCCTTTCAAGAGCATGACCATGGATCAGGTGGTCTCTGACGTAGTCCTTCAGGTGCTCTCTCTCTCTCTCTCTCCCCACTTTCTCTCTCGTTCGTTCTTCTTCTTCTTCTTCTTCTTCCTCCATGGTTTCTTGAGAGAGATTCTGGTCGTCACAGGAAATGAGGCCCGCCGTGCCGGCAAAATGCGTGTCCGCCCTGGAATGGCTGATCGAGAATTGCTGGGCGGCGTCGCCGGAGGAGAGACCACAGTTCTCCCAGATTCAGAACATCCTGGAGAGGCTGCAAGTCGCGGTGACCATCGCATACGAAGAAGGATGACGGTGACCGCGATGATCGGTGAGCCCGCCAGATCACATCCGTCGTCAAATATCTCGCAGAATTGCGTTCTTCTGGTCATCTGCTTCTCATTTGCTTCCAATAGATTTCCTAAATTAGGGTTTGTCAGGAACCGTCAAGCTTCCTGGTTCTTTTTCCGTCTCTGCACCTCACTGAGCTTCTCCAATCATCTGATTAGGCGAAAAAAAATCTAATTTTTAACCTGTAATATTACGTTATTATATGTTCATCAAAATGTGTTGTGGGATTTATAATCACAAACCCTACCCAGCCAACATTTCAGGGGGACCCCACCCCATTACTCTCTCAACACACACGAAAGATATTGAATTGATCGAATATCAGCTATTTAATTTACAATGGCTAAGTTTTTTGGGGTCTATAAAAACCCCATCCCAATAGTATTTACATAATAATTCAACGATACATAAATTTAATTTCTTCACGCCGCAGTTACACATCCACTATATGGTTCATTTTGCCTCATTTTTTAATCAAATAAGTGCATTCATCTTGCCTCATTTTTTAAAAAAAATATATCATTTTTATTAAATCTGAAGTCATAATGAGCGGTATTTGTAACAAATGATACACAAAATAAAAAAATTATGTCCAATATAAAGAGAAAGACTCATGAAATTTACCAAAAATATTTTCTAATGCCTCGTATTTAACTTGCTATCTATGACATAAAGGTGGAAAACTAGGTTAGGAAGCTCTATAAGAGAAGGCCGAACTACTATAAAACGGTGTGTACATCTATTTACTGTTACTTGTTGTGTGTAACCAATGTGTCAAATTAACGTGGTCAGTTTAATCTTTATCTACCTAGTATAGAAAAAGAAAAAACATTTAAAAACCAACAAAAGGGCGAAAAAAAAATTAACGAGCCAATTCAATCTATCTTTGTACATAATCTAGCATATATCAGAACTAACACGAAATCATTACTGATTATTGCTACTCAACATGGTTTATGTATGTATATATATAATTATCTACTAATGTGATTTTCGATTCATCTATAGGCTGGGCTAAATCAAGGCATTGTGAAGGCTAGTTCATTCCCCCATAGAGATAGGTAGGTAGAGAGAGAGAGAGAGAGAGAGAGGGAGAGAGTCCCCAGTAGATGATAGTGAAATAGTCAAATGACAAGAAATTGAGCTTTAGCCTATTGGGCTGGATGTTGTCAAAACCCAGTAAAAAAATTAAGTCAGACCCATGAGTCCTCTCGATCTTGATTTTTTTTTAGGCCCAAATTCAGGTAGGAAAATTGAGCCAGACCACAAGAAATTGAGCTTCAGGTTTGCCCCCACACTGCTGACGACCACAAGAAGCGTGCTTTTATCTTACTATTTACAGGCAGATATTCCGGCATCGTTGGCATCCCCTCCGATAACTCAGCTCGCTTTCGCTCTCTAGAAACATGCTGTACTGGAATTTCTGAAAGGGTTATTAGAGTCTAACATGCCCTAACGGGTTAGTCAGATGAATCGAAGAGGATGGTTCGGAATCCCAGCCCCTAGGAACGAACGTCTTGGGTTAGTGTTCTCCTGATGAGAGAGAGAGAGAGAGAAAGAGAGAGGGGGGGGAGGAGAGGGAGAGGGCTCTTCAAGGAATTAATCGGTGGTGGCTCGGTTCTCACTTGCACTGGTGCTGAGAGAACCATTGGGAACGGACGATCCTCCCCATGAGGGCGTCCAGCCGGCCGGCCCCCGGGCCCGGGTTCAGCTGCGTCACGTTCCCAACCTCCGAACAGGGCGGGCTACCGGCGCACCAACCACCGGGGACGAAGCTCCCGTTGGTGCGCCCGAGTAGTTCCGAGTCGATCCAATCCAGGTTGGCGTCGACCCGGCCGAACTTGCGGGCGAAGGCGGCGCCGCCGGCGACCATCAGCGGGATGTCGCCGGCGGTGAGATTTCTGGGGTGCTGCTTCGGCGGCGTGTCCCATGCGATGTAGTGCAGGTCGTTGTTCACCACCGTCTTGGCGAACTCCGGCGCGTTGCAGATGACCGTGTGGAAGTATCCCTCCGGGGAGGAGACGAAGTTGGTGTAGTACATGAGGAGCATCCTGGGGAGATTGTCCCACCCCACCACGCAGAAGTCCACGAACTCCCTCGACAGCGCCATCCATGCCGATCCTGTGCTCTCAAAACCCAAAGGGGGACCGATTGAGCGTCCCCGAGGAAGAAGAAGAAGATCGAGCTTGAATCAGCGGGGGATTTTGATCGGAGAACTCACCGGTGAAGAGCTTGAACGCCGTCGGCAGGTCTCTCTTCTGGCTGACCCAGAAGACGCTGGATTTACGGGACATGTAGAGGCCCGGATCGACTATCATCGGCTTGGCCCTCTTCGCCCTGCAACATTTCATCCCACCGATCGGTGTTATCAATCACGGGCCGTTTCGAGATCAGAAGGATTCTCGGTTTCTGCCGGAGAAAACTCACTCCTTCCATCCTAGGCGGCTAGTGTGATCCACGAAGTTCAGATTCCTGGGCACCGACGAGAACACGTGGATGATATCTGCATGAACAAGCATCGCCGGAGAATGAGCAGAACGAGGAGGAGGAGGAACAGATGGGTAGGGAACGGACTCACCGTCCTGCGTGACGAGAGGATAATCGGCGGCGCTGAGGTTGATGAACCAGTCCCACTTCTTCCTCCTCTTCAGAAGGATTGCGCAGGCGTGGAGGCTGTTGGCGATCATGGTAGGGCCTGTGTAGGTCACCATGTTGGCCTTGGTGATCATCTCCACATTCCCCACGGTGACGAAAACCGGGTCCTCCTCCACGCGCCTCGCAAGCTCCTCCCTCTCGCTGGCGGGGGACTCCAAGTCCAGATGGATCACGTACTGGTTTCTGGGGTGGTACAGGGCCCGTAAAGTCCTCCATAGCCTGTCGAGATCTCCCTTCGAGCCAGAGACCAGGTAGGCCAAACGGGGAAGGTCGTCCTCTGATAGGGAGGCGAGATTAGTTGGCACCAACACAGCCGCCGTCTGGTCAGGATCGGAAGTCGAAGGGTAGACGGAGAGGAAGGAGTTGACGGAGTGGAGGGAGGTCATGAGGCCCATGCTGAAGGAGGTGAGGAGGAAGACGCATATCAGGAAGCTTGCCACGAGGGGAAAGACCCATCTCCTCTCCGCGCTCGGCGCCGCCGCCGCCGCAAACCCGATGGCCTTCAACAGCTCCATTTGGATCGGGTGGGTTCCTCAGTTAATCGTTCCCTCGAATGGAAGCCGAGAACTCTGCAACCTTCAAGGATCCATCGGAAGAAGAGGATCAAGAGAGAGGAACTCGGAATTCAATTATGGCGGTTTTGACCAGAGAGAGAGAGAGAGAGAGAGAGAGAGAAAGAGAGAGAGTTTGGCACGGCGGCGGAGATATTCTAGAGAGCCCAGAATGGTGGTACCCATACTGCACGGGATTGTTATTTAAAGGCGCCATTCTCTCCCCCTCTTTTTCATGCGAGTGGCGTTGCCAGATTATGGCTCTTGTTGTAGTTATGGTGAGCCTGATATGACGGAGAAACGGCCGTTTCATGGAAGAGAGAGAGAGAGAGGGACGGAGGGATGAAGGGAGAGTTTCCGCTCTGCTGTTCAAACCGTCCGGCCATCCCCGCGGCCCGTCAACAGCACATATAATTACCTTCGCGGCCTCTCCGCCTCCCTAGTCGTTGACCCCATTCCGAAACCAGGCCAAATCGAGATTCCGCGTGGGCCCAGCCCTGACTCAGCCACGGCCCACAAATCCCGGCCGTAGCCTAATGACGGGTCCTCCGGCGACGACGTGGCGGGCCCTGAAGTATTCCCCTCTAGAACACACCGGTGGGGACGGATTGGCCACGGCTACCAATGAATGGACATATAACCTACTATTCCACGTGGCGGCTTGAATCAACGTTGACCATTTCAGAGACGGTCTCTCAATAAATATTATTTAATAATCTCTTAATTTTTCCATCCCATGAGCGAACTCCCAATTGAATGCCTTCTCTTCTCGAAACCGACCGACTGGTCCTGCCACGTGTGTGATTACCGACTGCGGATCTAATCCCAAGTTTACATTACTCCGTTGACTTTTCTTAAATCAGTTAAAATCTATATTTATTTCTTCATGTTCTCCCGTGAGGAAATGGGATAAAAACTTTAGAAGGCCCGCCGTTCTCTCTCTCTTAAATTGGGCCGTAATGAAGCCCGGCCCGTTACGTTATGGGGAGCGGCCCGTTTACATGACGTGGGATTCTTCTTGCCCCTAAATGCCCGCTATAATAGCATCTCTTGGCGCTTTTTTTCCGAGATCGGGCCCAAGGATCTAATTCTCACTAATTTGTGGTCTAAAAGTCGGGCCAAAAGAGGCCCGTCAATGAGTATCGGTGGAACGCGCATGACACTTGCCAGCCCTAATCTTATCCGTTATTTGAAAAATTGATGCCCACAGCACATTTTCTGATAGTACGGGATAAAAAAATAAGTCCGTAACGCAGAGAGAATTTTCATGAAATTTTCACCGAAGTTACTATAATAAGTGCGTAATGGACTTCATTTCATACGGTATATAATTAATATATATCGAGAGTTTATATATGACATTTTATATAAACCGAGGAGATAAAAAAAATAACTCTGGTCAATTTGAAACAGGACGGCAGAATCCGCCGGGCGATACAGCTGACGCGAGAATCCGGCGGCTGTTGTGGGCCCCGCAGAGCACGACAGAACGGCGGCCCGAGTCAGTTGGCTTCTCCAGCTGGAAGGGGGCCGCATTGACGGTAGTGACTCAGCAACTCAGAGCCCACGGAGCCGTTGACTTGTCACGTGTTTTTTGCCTTTTCGGCGGCGCCTGCAAAGAAGACGAGAACCTTATCCATTGTCTGCTTTGCCGCACACCGCACACCGCACACGCACAAGGAGCGGGTTCATGTGGCCGTTGGGAATCGTTATTAAAATTACTAATTTTGTATACATTTATTTACACCATAAATAAAAATATCGCACAAAAAGGGCACTCAGTCAGCAAAATCTCATCTCTTGGGAAACTGATGGGGGCATTGACTTTTCAGACGACCTCAACGGCCGTGCGGTGGTGCAAGCTCCGCATCTGCTCGGGAAGATCGAAGGGGCCCCGCATGGAAGCCCTCGGCGGCGGCTGGTTCTCGGGGAAGAACGGCTCGGGCGCCGTGGGCGGCAGCCTCTCGCAAGGGGAGAGCCACTTGGCCTGCATGTACTTGTGCTTCCGCCAGGGGCCGATGTGCATGTTGTTGTCCTTCATGCACTTCTTGGCGGCGCCGCAGACGACCTTGATCACCCCACGCAGCCTCTCCGGCTTGCCGACGAACACCTCCGGGAGGCCGGCGAGCAGGCGGCGGTACTCCGCGCTGGCCCTCGCCACCTCGAACTCCGACCGGAAGCGCAGCTCCACCACCACCCTCGGCGGAGACTTCTTCCCCTCCGCCGCGGCTGCCACCTCCTCCACCACGTCGATGTACGTGTGCTCTCCTGAGATAACACGCACACAGATCAGAGAAAGAAAGAGATGAGAGAGAGAGAGATTATAGAGAATCTCGAGGTCGATGGAACTGATAGATGGTCGCAGATAGGGAAGAGAGAAACTAGAACCAGAGAATAGTGATGTCTAAGTGAACACTGATAAACGCAAGGTTAGAGAGAGAGAGAGAGAGGAGGGGGGGAGGGAAAGAGTTGGGAAGTACCTTTGGGGATGTCGGGAGAGCTGCGCCACTTGGAATGGCAGAGGGCGCTATCGTAGCCGGCTCGCCGGAGTTGCTCCGATACCTTGTTCAGCAGGCAGCTCCGGCATTCTGCGGCGGGATTTCTCGAGCAGGCCCAAAGGCGCTGTTCAGCCCGGATCTTCCCCAGGGCCGCCTCCGTCTCCCGGCGTACCCGCGACTCTAGCGAGCTGCTCTTCGACAGCGCCGCCTAAGAGAGAGAAAGAGGGAGAGAGTTAGAAGAATGGCAATGAGGAGGAGAGGAGAAGTGGTAGGGAGATGCCCGCCAAGGATTCTCACCCGGAGAAGCTGATGCTGCGATTCCCAGAAGGCCTTGCTCTCCTCCCCGCCGCCGCGCTGATCGGATCTCTCCGCCCCCTCGTCATCGCCGCCGTCGTCGGAGAACCTCGCCGCCGCCGACGAGTCCACCTCGAAGAACTCCAAGACCATGTCGGAGAAGCTGATCACCCTCCCCAATGTTCCCCTCCCTTCCCCCTCCGGCCCTGCCATCTCCGGCAATCAATCAATCCTCCGAGGAAGAAGAAGGCCTTCGTCTTTCCCACACATGTTCCCGTGATCTTCGACATCCCCGCCATTTATAGCCCCCCACCCATAATTGGACTTTCGGGTCCCGCCGCCGTGAGCTGGCCCAGACGGGAGGCCCCCGCGGCCGCCGCCATTGGTGTCGGGAAGAAGAACGCCACCTGTCGCCGTCTGATTAGCGGCCGGCCCCGCGACGGGTTGGCGGCGCGAGCTGTTCGGATGAGCCCAACGGGGATCCACGTCAGCCCCTCGCGCCCGGCAAATAATTCCGGCGTTCCCCCTCCCAAACACGCCCCCCGCCTCGCCGCGGATAAACTGGCCCACAATTTTATTCGATCCGTTTTTAGGTAATAATGTCGACATATGAAGCCAAAAAATAAATCAATAAATAAAATATCGCGTTACTCGATACTTCCCCGGGAAAGATCAAGAATCTCTTTATTATTATCGCTAAAAAAAATAATACCAAGTATGAGCCCTTCGCATAGGCGGGAGATAAAAGTGGGACCCGCCAGTTTCAGCGATGACGCAGTCAAAGTTTGGCCTGAATTTGACCAATAGTATGGACCCTAAAATTATTTTTAAATCATTTTTCTCATTAAAATCAGGGAAAAGCGCCCAAAAGGGAGGGGTTATTCTGATTAAATAAATACAAATATATATTAAGTATTTTTTAATTCGTGGATTGGCGCTATAAGAAACGGAGGGAGGTGGATAACCCAACGTGGCGCCGTACGGTGCTGTCCGAAGCGGGTCGTATCTCCGCGTCCTCGAGGGGATCGGTTCAGTGGGACCCACGCCCGAGGGCCAGCGACCCAGTAGGTGCCACGGTCCCTCCCGCTGACGTCTCATTGTTGGATTCCCGCATCTAACGGTGGGACCCATCAAGCATTATCTTATTATATGGATGGAGATAAACCGAAGTGGGCCCCGCAGGCTACTGATGACGAGAGCGAGGTACACATCATCGCCCGAATTTGCCGTCAACGTTTGCCATGGCACGTGCGAGACACAGTAACCCTGCAGCCTACGCAGAAGACTAGTTGCTTGTGGTCCGGTGCCGGTAACCAGACCGCATCGAAGGATCGTCCGCCGCTCGTCCGCAACACGTGTTCGCTGGCTGCATACAGCCCTCCTCTCTCTCTCTCTCTCTCTCTCTCCCTCCGTCTGCCCACTTCTGTCTTCCTCATCTCAAGCTTAACGGGGAAGCCGAGAAGAGCAGGTGGCGTCTGGATCATGTTGAAGGAACTCCGCCCGATGTCGCAATCGAAAACTTTTTATTTAATGAGAGAGAGAAAGAGAGATGCATCCTCCCTGTCTGTTTCTCTCTCTCTCTCTCTCTATACTCCAGGCCGAGCCAAGCAGGACAGAGATTCAAGAGCCCCGATTCCCAATCCGTTTCAAACCTGGGAGGAAGAATTCGAGACGACCCAACAACCATTTCTGGGAAGAATTTCTATCCAATTTAAGGTAGAGAGACCACAAAAAAGAATAGAGAGAGACGGCGACAGAATGAATGGGAAGGAAAAAAGGAGGAATCCCGCTTATGATTACTATCTGCTCGAACCGTCCATTCAGATGAGAATACAACTCGATAGGAGCCCCTCTCTCTACTCTGCGAGCAGTAATGACGCCCAAAGGGGGGCGTCTTTCAGATCATCTCCAGAAGCTTGATGTTGCCGGTGGAGTTGGCGGCGACCAGAGTGGAGCTCTGGCCGCGCCAGCAGACGCAGGAGATGAACTGGGCGCTGTCGTCGATCTCCCGCCCCGACAGCGGGTCGGCGCTGTTGAACTTGAACGACAGCACGGGCATAGGGAAGGCCTTGTGGTATACGAAGACCTGCTCGCCCCCCATTCATTGGCACGATTATACTCAACGAGAGAAAGAGAGAGGTAGAGAGAGAGAGAGAGAGAGAGAGAGAGAGATTACCTCATTGGTCTCAGACCCGGTGGCGATGTACCCATCAGATATCGACAGGCCGACGAAATTCTGCAACAGAAGAAGGAACCCAAGAGCTAGCTTAGCTCCTTGACATTAGAGAGAGGAAGAAGTCCGACGGCGTTAGAGAGAGAGAGAGAGAGAGAGAGAGAGAGAGAGAGAGAGGGGAGGGGGGGACCTTGACGTTGGTGTGGCCGGCGAAGGTCTGGACGGGGGAGTCAAGGACCCTGGATGAGGCGGCGGAGAGATCCCAGAGCTTGAGGGAGTTGTCAGTGGAGGCGGAGACTAGAGTGGAGGAGTCAACGAACTTCACGTAGCTCACTGTCTTGGCGTGGCCAACCAGCGTGTACAGCGGTGCCCTCACGTTGCGCAGGTCGTACAGGTAGATCCGGTGGTCCGCCGATCCGACAGCCAGCGACCACGCCGAATCCGGCGGAAACTGCACCGAGCAGACGTTGGCCTTCGTCTTGATGGTCCCTGTGCTCCCGTTCTGCAACAGGAGGAAGAAGAAGAACCCGTGAGGCAAGCTCGGCGCAGGGAGGTGGCTCGAAGAAATGGCAACGAGAGAGGGCTGCAGCGCATTTAGTTTCAAAGCCGACATACACCAAGTGCAAAAGTGGAATTGCCTGATTGATATTCCACAGCTTCACGGTCCCGTCGTCGCTCCCGCTGGCCAGCTTCGTGGGATCCGTGAGCGAGAAGTCGACTGACCACACCCGCCGTTCGTGCTCCCGCATCTCCAAAAACACCTTGCTCCTCGTCACATCCCATACCTGCAGATCAAGAGTGAGTGAGAGAGAGAGAGAGAGAGATTCGGGCAGGAGAGAGACGCAGAGAGAGAAGGGTTGGCTAGTAAGGACCTGGACGACGCCCTCGAAGTCGCTGGAGGCGATCTGGCTCTTGATGTAGCCGTTCCAGCAGATGCTGCTGAGCTTCGAGCGGCTGACCATCTCCACCACCGGGTAGTGCATGTCCCTATCCTCGTTGAGGACGACGTCGCACTCGAATATCTTGATCTTCCGGTTCACGCCGGCGGTGGCGAAGAGCTCCCTGTCTCGATCGAATCCCAGGGAGCAGACGAGGTTGGAGGAGTTCAGCAGGTCCCCCTGCCGCAGGTCCGCCCTCACTCTCAGCTTACTGAAGGACAGGTACTTGCGCAGGCCTTCCAGAAATGGGCTGATCCATTCGCTCTGTCTGGTTTCACTCTGAACCTCCTTGTAGGCCAGAAGATTATCCACCGAGTTCACCGCAGGGCCCCTCCCAGCGGTAGCGATGTTCCTGCTCCCGTGCCTGCTCCCCGGCTTCGTCATCCTGCACCTCGTCGAGAAGTAAGCGGCCTCCAGCTTCTTGAAGTTCTTCATCAGCCGAGAGCTCTTCGAGGAGATGACCTCCTGGTTCTTCTGCTGCGACTCCGACCTCATGCTGTCGCTCAGAGGCTCGCTGCGCTCGTCTTCGTGATGGGTCCGCACCCTCGAGCGGACCCGTTTGCGAGACCCCGAGTTGACCGAGTCGTCCTTCTCCACGGCGGAGTGGTCTTCGTGCTCGAGGTCCGAGTAGAATTCGCCGTCCTTCTTCTTCACGATCTCCAGCTGCTTCAGGATCTCCCCGATGTCGGAGGACAGGCAGAACACCATGTCGTGAAGCTTGTCGGCGGTTTCCTGCTTGCACTGCTGCAGCCGCAGGAGGAACTCCAGCAGCAGCTCCTGGTCCTCGATTTCTTCGCGCAGCTTGATCGCAGCTTCCCGCTCTTCCAGGCTATCTCTCGGTTCGTTGAGGAACTCACTCTGCAGCACCTCACTGAGAGGGTTTTCCAACATGAAACGGACTTATAATCATAGCGCCAAAAAACCCATTTCTTCTCATGGCCACTATCCATTCATAAGATCCGCTCAATGCCCATGATGATGATGATGATGATAATGATGATGATGATAGTTGGATGAAAGAAGATATCATATAAATTGATATAAAATCATCAAAATCCACACTTTTCTATTAAAAAAATGGCCTGATAAGATATAGTACGATCCCCTGATCAAATATTCTTGATTCCAACCAGTATTTGCATGCCCAGATAGCTAGAAACCTGCAAAATCATGAAAAATACAATCTTTTCTTTAATTTTGTTCTACAGATACAGTCCCCCAAGCACATACCCTTTATTCGGCTAAGCACCCAAGCACAGAACATTAAGAAACAGCCCCCGCCTTTTTCCTTTTTTATAAAAAAGAAATTAGCCTGACATGATCGCCCTTTTTTTAGAAAAAAATCGCATTATAAGATGCAGTATGATCCCCCACGCCCAAGATCCTCGGAAGTCTATGGAACTGACACCCTCATGAAGATTGCCTGGCAATGTTCCATCCAATCTCCTGTAATCTAGGGCCTAGAAGCCCTCTAAACTAAGTTTTGAAGATGTGATAAACTGTAATACCCGCGGATTTCCAGTTGCTCAATAATCCCATTCAGCATCGGTCAAACAAGCTTTCTGGCAGCATAGACTTTTTAAGTTGATCCCTCATGGGCTAGAAGGAGATACGGTGAAGGATTGGGTAGAGAGATGAAGGATATTGAGCTGACCTCAGCTTCGGCCGAGTGTTGGGCTGAGGATGCAACAACCATAGGCAGAAGGAAGCTTCCTTGGGCCATTTGAGCAGCAGAGGTGGAGGGAGGACTCGGTGTCTCAGGTTGGACATGGTCCTCAGCTTCTCGTCGAAGGAGCCCGTTGGGCAGAACAGCTGTGGGCAGAGACCATATCGGCAATATCAGCAATGAAATTGCAATAATGGGAAGAAAAAAAAAACGAGGGAGGACGATTGGAATTAGACGCTGACCTCGAAGAGGAGGACGCCCAGTTTGTAGATATCTGATGCGAATGAGCCCGAGCTGGCCGCAGATTCTTCGGGGCTTGTGTACCAGTTGTACTCCATGAGCAGGATTCGCTTCAATGGGAAGCTCTTCTTCCTCTCCCCCACCTCCCTCCCTTCCTTCCCACGGTCGTCGTCCTCCTTCCTCCGGCCCGTCCCTTCCCCATGAGCCGAGCAGGATCTCAAGCAGCTGGTGTCCGAGGTCTGCTCATATCCGCCCTCTCGAGATGTCTCCGCTGGCCGTGACGGCGAGGTGGACCATGGGTCGCCGCTGCCGCCGTCGCCGTCGTCGTCGTCGTCCTTGTCCTCCGATCCCCCGCCATTTCCGCAGGAATCGGAACCAGAGCTCGAGCAGGAAGCGGACTCGATGAAGGAGACGCGATTGAAGGTAGACATGATGAAGCAGGAGGGGCGGACATTGCCGACGGCGACGCCCTGGGAGTGGGCGAGGCTCACCATCTCCACCACCTGCCGGAATATGTGGAGGCACTCCAGGAGGTCCACAGACCTCTCCGGCCGGTCCAGCCACTCCCGCAGACTGACCTCGCCACCGTCCTCATCCTCATCGCCGCCGCTCCCACGGCGGCGGCCACGGTGGTGATCCGCCGAGTAGCCGACCCGCCGGTCGAGCTCGTCAGTGCAGGACGCCGGCAATTGATCCACCTCCTCCGCCGCCGCCAACTTGGTGGGCTTCCTGGTGGAGCCCTCCCTCGAGGAGCTGCCGGGGGGGTTGGCCAGGGAGCTGCCGGAGACCACGCCGGCGGCGGTGTTGATCCCTCTAGAGGTGGACGACCGCTCCCAGCCGGACTCCTCCTCCGAGCCGTCCCCTCCACCCATCAGCCGACTGGCAGGGACGACGGACTGTGGATCTTCCCGAACAACCTCATGGAGATGCCCTAATTCTAGGGTTTTCTAGTCCTGTTCTTCCCTATTTCGAGGGGATCATCGAAATCTCCGCGGCGGAGGAAGCAGGAAGGCCCCCACCGGAGGCAGAGACGCAGAAAAATAACGAATCTCTTTCACTCTTCAGCTCAGTAAAACACTCCCAAGCTCCCGCCGACCACAAAAAATGGAACAGAGAAAGGGGGGAAGGACACCCAAGGACGGACCGGAGGAGAGAGCACCGCAGAGGATCGGGGCGATCCAGGTCAACCAGAGGAGAGCGTGCACGAAGAACCTCGCAAGAACTCGGGTCGGGAATGAGAGACCCACAATCGAAGAACACCCACGAGAGAGAGAGAGAGAGAGGACCAGATAAAAGAGAAGAAGAGAAAAGGGAAATGGATGAGAGAGAGAGAGAGAGAGAGAGAGGGGGGAGAGATAAGGGGATCTGCTGCTCCAACCTGAAAACGGAACCACACATTCGGGACATTAATTGTGCCTGGCTTTTTCCACAGCCTCTCCTCGCTGCCGGTCTGTGCCCACCCCTTGGGAGGAATGCATTCCAGTAGAGAGAGAATCATCCATAAAGAAAAAAGAGGGACGGGGAGACGCCCCCGACCACAAATCCCTGCAGCAACCTCCCCATTCCTCCCCCCTACTTTCAAGATTATCTGCACCACTAATTAATCAGACTGCAGTTTAAAAATCCCGGCTCATCACAGCTGAGCAGTCGCCCGCCCCCCGGGGCGATTTTAAAAGTTCCTCTTTATCTAGGGCCCCCTCCATCTTCGTTACCTCCCGCACACGCGGCTCAACCTCGTCCACGAGCTTCCCCGTCCGGGGAGGTGCCGCTTCTAGCGGACGAAACTCTCCCTCTCTCCCCCCCCTTTTTCTCTCTTCTTCTCTCTCTCTCTACAGAGATTTTGCTTCCTCTTCTAGAAGGAAAGTTCCCATAGAAAACGGGAGGTACAAGGGCGAGGCGAGGGTAGAGGTGACCGTTAAGTGCTCTCTCTCTCTCTCTCTCGCTTTCTCTCTCCGCTTCGAACGTTCACGTGGAAAACGGGAGGCACAGGGACGAGGGAAGGCTTAGAGGTAAACCGTTAAGGGCCCTTGATTGGGATGCCACGTGTCGGTCTCCCTCACAAGAGGTGACGAAGAGTAGGTGCCGACAGTGACGTCACCAAAAATGCGGCAGTGGACTTCGCACGTGTTAGCCGCCGACGAAAGTATATTCTTATAAACATATTTCATATTAAATGGAATACTTTTTTTAATAAATAAATAAAATATATTGGAAATGGGAATATGGCTCTTCAAAGTAAAATAATATTTTTAAATTTAATCCCCTAAAATATAGAAAACCGGAAAAATATGTGCCGTTTTGGGCTCAGTCAAGAGAAACTTTAGTGGGCCGACGGTAGGGGGGTCGCACGTGTGAAAAATGAGGGGAGAAGCACTGGCGGTATAGTTATCTCCGTCGTCCTCGTCCTCGTCCTCGTGCATGGGAGGCCATGAAGGAGACACGCTACAGGAAGGTCTTCTTGCAGTCGAGCACACGCCCTGGCGGCACAATGGCCGCAGGCAAGCACCGTCGGTGAACAAGGCGGCGCCACCACCTCCTCGCCGGCGCCGGCGGCAGAGGGTCTGAAGCAGGAGAAGCAGTAAACCCACCGGAGAACAGATGATAGTCGGAAAAAAAATTCGTTGGGAGGGGCAGCCACAATTGGAGAGAAAGATGGGAGATGAGGGAAGCTAGAGTGTGATGAAACCGTTGCCTTGGTGAGGAGAGGGGTTCCTTCTTGCGAGACGGAGATGGGATTCTAGGAAGAGGCTTCCACAGTAGGGGGGGCGGCGATCGTACCCTTTCAACGTGTCCCAATTGTGGAAGAGAAGGACGGCTGCCATTTTGCCTCTCGCTTCTTCTTCTTCTTCTTCTTCTTCTTTTCTCTCTCTTCCTCTCTCTCATGTCTCACAGGGCCGAGAGAGAGAGATGCTCATTGACGGAGAGTGATCCGCCAAATGACCGAGAAGAGCGCACGCTGGGCCACCCACCATAATAATTGGAAATCATGCCAGCCGAGGAACCTGCTGATAAACTTGGAAACAGTCGACGAACCTGGGGGGATGGCCCCATGGCGATGCCGCCAACCCAGGTCAATTATCCAGAGGCTCTCTACAAAGTGTAATCGGGGTTTCTCCGTTGCCCAGAAAGGAAAGGGTTTGTTCCCTGGTTTTCCTTCACCCTCGTACCTTAACGCTCTTCGATTGGCCTGCTACCAATACTCATTCAGGCGACTTCTTCGATCCCGCCCTCACCCTTCTTCTCCAGCCACTCGTGGGTACCTAACCTATTTTTTGCCTGATCATGCGGAGAGCTTGAGAAATAATCGGAAAGAAGACCTTGATCACCGTGTTGTTCTTATCCCGGCGATGTTCTTCACTGGATTTGTGCGTGGGAAGAGAAAATTCTTGCTGTTTGATGATTCATTTTGACGTCGAATGTGAGCATATAATTCGATTTGTTCATGCACGATACGCCATCGTTCGTCCTGGCAGTTCTAAGTTATGTTCTTTAAATTCTTTCGCTCCCGTGAATTCTCGAGTCGGTTCGGAGAGTATGCTGTTCTTCGTGCTGTCATCTTGTGGGCACAATTGTGATCAAGGCCACGCTTCTTTAAAAGGCAGGCCCGACCCTGTACATCGTATGCCCACTAAGGGTAACGGGGGAAGAAATTGCCTGACTGGAGGGAATAAATCATCTGGTTGGAGCGAGGGAAGAAGATGAGAGAGAGAGGGAGCCGACTGTTATTGGGCGATGAATACCAGATCAGCCCGTGATTGGTATCACCCTCGGAATGGTTCTTTGCTCGCAGTAAACCCTTCAGTAGCAAAGGCAAATGCTTTCTCTCTCTCTCTCTCTCTCTCTCTCTCTCTCTCTCTCTCTCTCTCCTCATTTTGTAACTGGTTGAGATAGTTTGAACTTAGGGCTATTTTTTTGTGTGAATTACTCTCTTCTCCTTCCCATCTCCAATCGTTCTCTTCCTTAGATCGATCCATCTCTCCATCTTTTTTTATTTTCTATTTTTTTACATGTAGTATCAGAGCCCCAAGCTTGAGGATTGGGTGTTTTTTTGCTGTGGAGATCACAATAACATCAAGGAAGATTCAAAAGCAAAGATTGGCAAAGGTGAAAAGATTTCTGGTCTTAGCAACACATTGAAAAATTTGTGTAAAGTTTTTGAGAAAAAGCAACACCATTGATTATATGTCTGTCTAGTTGTAACCCTCTGACATCTAGTTGTACCATTTTTTAGATGAGATAAATGTAATTTTGGGGTATTAAAATGATGTTATTTTTTATAAGACTTATGAGAGTTAGTTGAGAAGTGTAATAAGGAAGGAGAGAGTTCTACATAAGATAGCAAAGAACTTTGAAATAAATATTATAAAACTTTATTAACTTTATAGAAAGTAATATCATGTCAATCTGCATAAACATGAAAAAAATTGGAGGTATTAGAGTTACAATTGAATAACCTCAAACTCTCCATAAAAAAAATGGAAGTCTTTTTATGAAATCTGGTGGATTTTTTTAGGGTTTATTTTTTCATGTTTGATTTATCTTTAATTAGATGATAATATTTAGAGAAGATATTTGATAAAAAAAATACTGAAAAAGTTTGAGAAGCCTTCCATCTAACCTTCATCATGATGTTGCTATTATTGAAGAGTCTAAATACTTATCTATTTATACTTAAAGTGAATTAACTGATTTTTTTATTAACACATGAAGAAAGTGTGAATAGATCCCAAAGATCTATTACTTAAGTATTCCAAGATAAGGTTGAAATTTCAAAAGAGTAAAAAAATAGTGAAGTCACTTATAATCAATGATATGATAACATGAATAGAGGTAGATGAACTTATTATAGCCAAAGTCATGGAAGAACCTGTGGTATATCTAATTTTGGACAGTAAAAATATGATGAAGAAAATAATCAAAATCAAAAAACTAACTTATAGAATAATGTAATATCTATTTTGTAAGAAATATGGACATATGAAATAATATTATTGAAACAAGATTAAACAACAAAAAAAAATATTGAAGAAGAGAGTTAAAAGCCAATGTGTAATTTTTAAAGAAATATGAGCATATTAAAACTAATTGTTTGGACATGAATAATGAGCAAATAAATATTACTGGAAAAATAATCTAAATATTTTTTTTCTTACTTATGCAACCTTAGTTACAAGTAAATCAAATAAATCATTTGTTGATAATGGTGTCATAGCATTCATATGATAGGTGAAATAAACTTATTTCAAAACTTTCATATGTTTATGATGTATGAAATTAAATTTGGTGTTTGAAATAGTGCTCTAATTGAACATGCAAATACATTTGTTCTTGATATATTTTTTTTTCTAGAGTTTGTATACAATTTACTTAGCACGAGTCAATTGATGGATTGTAGATATATGTTCATTTTGAAAATAATAAATATTTTATTAATCATAAAAAAAGTGACTTGCCTCCTATGCTAATTCTTAAGGTTGGAAAAACGATAATTACTCTTTATATTTCAAGACTTAATAAATTTATAATGATTATTCACTTTAATTTACTCAAATTATTACATCATGGAAATATAATTTCTGATTTGTCATGCACTATGACCAATAATGATATATGTGAAACGTATGTTTATGGCAAACAACACGGTTTATCATTTCCAATATATTTTTTCTGGAGAGCAACGTTTCTTGACGTATTTCATGCTGATATATGTGGTCTAATAAGGACTCTATCATTGAACAACAACTAATATTTTTATTGATTATTGATGATTTTAAATGTATGAATTAGGTATATTTTCTGGCTCATGAATCTGAGGCATCTTACAATTATCTTCCATCTTTAGTAAAAGAAATCTCCCAAGTATTCAAGTGGGATTTGCACGTCTTTATTCTCATCCCATGGGGATTTTTTTTATTTAAAAATTGGTGCTATATATCTCGCTTATCCATAACTCCAGGTCTGGATCTGGTCCAATTTGAACTATTTGACCCAAATACGTTAAGATTAGGCATATATGAACAATGCCCGTTTGAGCCTGTCCGGGGATTCATAGATGTGTACAATGCAATGGACGATCATATTTATCCCAGGATTCATAGATGATTTTCATACCAGAGTTCCCATACCGTATTATTTTATTTTATAATTATTTAGAAATAATTATGGATAAATAATTAGTATATAATTGGGGTAGGGGATCATTCTGACTATCCTTGGTAAAACCTGCAACAGAATTTTGCTCGTTCTTCACAGATCGCAGCTGAGAAATTATAATTGGTTCATTTTTGTGGAAGTATTTGCACAGTAAACATTCTAACCGGGAGAGAGCGCAATGATCCTACTGAGGATGAACAGATTGATGTCGTTGAAGGTAACTCCGACCATCACTTCAATAAACTAGAGAGAGCATCGCGTGGGAGAGGAGGTTGGCTGGGACGACGATCACTCTGACTCGATGATGTCTGCTTTTAATGGCGGATTCGATCGATGGGGGTTGATAGAGCGATTGCTGCAAAGAGCATGCAGCAGGGATGGAAGATCGCAGGAGATCGGCCTTTTTCAGGCTATAACCTTCATCACCACTTACTGGGTCTGGATCAGGTTTTGGAATCAAATGGCCATTCTTCTCTCTCTCTCTCTCTCTCTCCCTCTCTCTCTCTCTCTAACGCTGATCTTGAAACCCAAAATCATGTCCATATAAGATGACGAACAAGAAATTTAAAGAGTGACATCAAATCAAGAGCTGCCTGGCAGACGTCAGTGTAGACGAACACAGGACCTTTAAGAAAGAAACACAAGGAAAAGGGACTGCTTTCATAACGAGGACCAACGCTGAGTGGAAATGGCCTACCGGCGATGCTGCTACTATCACCCTTCCACCTGTTCTCTCAGCCTGCGAATGGTGCTCCTCACAGTAACCGCGCTAGCGGTGCTGAAAAAAGTCAAACCGGCTGGGTGAGCGGACTGATGGACAAATCCTAAGGGAAGATCTTTAAAACGGGTGAGAATCAAAGACACTCACTTCAAGGTGTATGCGCCTCCAGCTTTGACTTTTCCACAATCCCTGCAGAGCCATATACCGGTCGCCTTCCTCCTGACAGAATACTGGGACAGAGGGGAGTACTCTCAGTAGCTGACCCAATCACGGAATGCAGAAATAATTCTAATTCCTTCTACCTTCCTGAATTGTATAAATAAGATCGAGTGACTAGGCAAAGATTATTTCCGTTTTAGTTTTAGTTTTTTTTTAAAAATCATCGTCAACGAAGAAGGGGACCTCATTTTTGGGATTTCTTGAGTGTAAAAATATGAAAGATATGTGAAGAATGTTTCACCAGCCACCGACTTAAATGTCCTCAATTTACTGTAAATAGCCCCTGTAGACCCATTTACCAGTCAAGGAGCATATATACTTTATATAATGGAGTAAAGTATATGTATGAATATTGATGCTGTCTGCAACAGAGATGATTCACAGAAGTATCGGTGATAAATAGTATCACCCAAATCATCAAGCAGAGGTCGAGGATAGAATCGGAGACACCATGTGAAGCAGAATGGGAGTTTTGGGGGGAGGAAACGTTTGACATTTTAGCCTCTTTGATTAGTGATTCACATTGTCCTGGCGACTTCTTGTACGAGAAGACATTTAGGATGGTGAAACCTGAACCCGTGTGAAATTAAACAAAATGGGGAATGAAACCCCTGTTCTCAGAAATCAGAGGAGCATACCTTGCCGCAGAATTCACAGAAGTACTTTGCATGCTGGGACACCTCCATTTTCTTGATCTGCTTCCGCAAACTGGCACCATATCTGGTACCTGAGCATTGAAAGAAAGAATGCAAAATAAGGACAAGGATCAACATTGTAAAAGGGGCAATTTCAGATAGAGCAAGATTCCGGATTTCACACCGTATTTTCCAACAATTCCAGCCTTCTTCGTGCGCTTCGTCTGAAGACAGATCAACACGAACATTGTTAGGGGTTAGAACAAATCTCTAACAAAGTGAACTGATGAGAAGCTTACTGCAGTCATGTTTTCTCTACGAAGTTCCAAAAGTAAAGTAAATTCCTCAGCAGTACTCATCGACTAGCATTCCGCATTAATATACACATGCATGCATCTACCGTACCAAACTGGTACAGGACGACCTAAGATTTCATATATGAAATCACCGACGAGGAACCCGATCCAGAGCTACTTAATAAACGAAAAATTGAGAGAAAAACAAACAAAGTTTAACTATGAACAAATCCTCACTCCCTAAGACTCCTCCCTATGCCATTAACAGCGAAGACTGCTCTAACACATCTAAAAGAACAGTGGAAAAATACTAATCATGTCGGAACGGCGATAACAAAGAAGGTATACATGGAATCAGCCGCGAACAGGTCTCTACGTCATTGGTTTAACATGAAATTTGGAAATCTTACCATCGAGGCAGCGTGAGAGAGACGAGATGCTCTCTACGAAAAGATCCACACCAGGGAGGAGGCGGAGGGAGCACCAGCGGAGGAAGAGGGAGGCGGCCGTGGGGAGGCCTCTCGCCTAATAGTGTTAGGGTTTTTTGGACGACTCGGCAGCCTTACAGGGAGTAAAATTGACGGGCACGATTGCGCATGATGAGCGGGTCTGACACTTGGACCGATCGGTAAATAGTTGATTAAAATGGGGGTATACGAGTCATTTAATCCATGAGGGTTGGCGCGAAGGATCGTTTTCCCGCGCTTTCCATCCCCAACAACGCACCCCTCTTCCCCCCGCCGATCGCTAGTTTGCACTATCACTGCTGCACATCACAAAGGAGGACGAAAGGGAGCTAGAGAGAGGAGAGAGATAGCGAGAGAGAGAGAGGGAGGAAGGTAGATCAGAGATGGATGCATTTAGTGGGTTCTGTGTAGACGAGAAGTCGGTCCAGGTGGAGAACATCTTCCTGGAATTCCTGAGGAGGTAATTTTCCTTTCTTCTTGGAGTTCTAGCTTTCTTGGCTTGCCAGTGGCAGCAGCGTGATCTGCTTGATCTTTGTCTCACCCTGGTCAATGGATCCCCAGGTTTAAAGATCACCAGAACTCCATCGAACCGTTTTACGAGTCGGAGATCGAGGCCATGAAGTCCAAGGAATCCACTACTATGTTCGTGGATTTCTCCCACGTCATGCGCTTCAACGACGTCCTCCAGAAGGCTATCTCTGAGGAGTATCTCAGGTGCCCGTCTTTGCCGGTCATGTGTCGAACGGTTCCATCCCAATTTGAGAGGCTTATGTTGGGAGAATCCCTTCAGTCATTCGTCATCGTAATCTTGGTCTTATTTAGATTCGAGCCATATCTGAGGAACGCTTGCAAGAGGTTTGTGATGGAGTACAAACCTGCAGACAACAGGCCCACATTTTTCTTGGACGATAGCCCTAACAAAGACATAAACGTAGCTTTCTACAATATCCCGCTGCTGAAGAGGTATTATCAGCAACCGTCTTGACCACTTACCCTGATTTCTGGGCCTAAAGTTTGATTTCTTCTAATTTCCATTTTATTTTACTGAAGACTGAGGGAGCTGACGACATCAGAGATCGGAAAACTGATCTCTGTCATGGGGGTTGTTACGCGTACAAGTGAAGTGCGGCCTGAACTCCTTTCAGGAACTTTTAAGTGCTTAGACTGTGGAACAGTCGTAAAAAATGTAGAGCAGCAGTTCAAGTACACTGAGGTGACCCTTGAATATAAACATATCTTGCTATAATCCTCCTGGCCACAGTGATTTCTTTAGTTGCGATTTGTTCATACTATTTGAAATATATTGTACCTTTCTTCCTGATTGAATTTCTGCTTTATTCTCTTTTAGCCTATAATATGCACGAATGCTACATGTTCAAACCGAAGTAACTGGGCCCTGCTCCGGCAAGAGAGCAAATTTGCAGATTGGCAAAGAGTTAGGGTGCAGGAGACCTCAAAGGAGATACCTCCTGGGTCTCTTCCCCGTTCCTTGGATGTAATCCTCAGACATGAGATTGTCGAGCAGGCCAGGGCTGGAGACACGTAATCTATTCTTTTACTTTTTCTCTGGCTCTCCGGTTGAATTCCTATCTCTTCATTTTTAAAGTTCGTTACAATATTGGTACGTGCAGAGTTATCTTCACAGGCACCTTGGTTGTGGTGCCAGATATAATGGCACTAGCTTCCCCAGGTGAAAGAGCAGAGTGTAGACGTGAAGCACCCCAACGACAAAATGCTATTGGTGGGCACGAAGGCGTGAAGGGTCTTCGGGCTTTAGGAGTGCGAGACCTTTCCTATCGTCTTGCATTTATAGCAAATTCGGTGCAGGTCTGTCTGACAAATATTGCATTACAGGGTTTACTTTCAAATTTTCCTGCTTTTATCCGTTCTTCCTCTCATTCTTAAATTGTGTCAATCGTTTTCTAGGTATCCAATGATAGAAGAGATAGTATACGGGACAGGAGAAGGGATGGTGATGATGATGATAGACAGGAGTTTACGGTAATTTGAGTTTTTTTTCTTCTCGAAAAATATTAGGCCGGCTCGTGACATCTCAATGACAATGCGTTATAAAACATTGAATGTAATATTTTGATATGTCCTTGTGGTTGCGTTCGCCAACTAGCCCAGGGATTCTTCTGAAAATCAAGGACTTTGCACCTGAGACTGGCTTATTACTCGAGAACAAATTGACAAAACTTACATTCTGATGGATATCTTCTGAGCATTATGTTGTTCATTGCATGAACCGTGGTTTTGTCCTTTTTTCTGTATATTCTATAGCTTTGTATGAATAGCCATGATTGTTATATATGTACGTTTTATCTATCTTGCACAACATAACTATGCACTGTTACTTCTGCATGACACTGTGGATCTGTCTCATTCTTTTCTCTTCTTTGGTATACATTGGAATATCGACATCTATAATTTTTTCATTCCAGCAAGAAGAGGAGTATGAAGTTTTCCGGATGAGGAACACTCCTGATTTCTTCAATAAGATAGTCGACAGCATTTGTCCAACTGTTTTTGGTCACCAAGAAATCAAGAGAGCAATCCTTCTTATGCTTCTGGGTGGTGTTCACAAGTTTACTCACGAAGGCATCAACCTAAGAGGAGATATCAACGTTTGCATCGTTGGAGATCCTAGTTGTGCCAAGTCCCAATTCCTCAAGTATGGTTACGGATTTTGTGTTTTACTTATTTTACACTACTGTGCCACTTTAGTTCCGAACATGACCTCTTACATTGAAAACCAAATACAAGACTTGGCCTATTGAGTTACCAATTTTTTACGGCTACCCACAATGCCATCGTATAGGTACACAGCCAGCATTGTGCCGCGTTCTGTCTACACATCTGGGAAGTCTTCTTCTGCTGCGGGATTGACAGCAACCGTGGCCAAAGAGCCAGAAACCGGGGAGTTCTGTATTGAGGTAGTTTTCCTTCTAGAATGTTTCAACTTTTCCTCTGGGAATGCAACGTTTTCTGAGAATCTTGCACTCCTAAGCTTGATTCGATGAAATGATCTAGTGCTGTTGGTTCATGGTAGTCGAACATAAGCATCTCCATCTAGTACACAGCACCGTATTCTGGTTTTAGCAGAAAGTAATTTGAACGTTAAAGTGAACCTTTATTCTAATCTTCCACAGGCAGGTGCGCTGATGCTTGCAGATAATGGTGTCTGCTGTATTGATGAATTTGATAAGATGGACATTAGGGACCAGGTAATGTAATTATTTTTTCTTGGTCCAATTGAGATTTTGGACCAATGATAAAATCTTGAAAATGAAGGTTGCAATTCACGAGGCCATGGAACAACAAACGATCAGTATTACAAAAGCTGGAATACAAGCCACTCTGAATGCCAGAACATCCATCCTGGCAGCAGCAAATCCAACAGGGGGACGATATGACAAATCAAAACCACTAAAGGTAATTGTTTCTCAAATAGTGACTTTACCTTTCACATACCCATGCTTCAAGCCTTCACTTTGATAGAAATAAATGGCTGCCCATCATGTCCGCGATACCATGGTCTATTTAATATATGCATACACATTTAGCATCATCAGCTCTTTTCCCTTTTAGATTAGAGAAAATGAGTCAATAACTTGAAGGAACTAAATCATGAGAAGTGAATCTGATAAAGTTTATCAATCCAGTACAATGTAGCTCTGCCTCCAGCCATCCTCTCGAGATTTGATCTGGTCTATGTCATGATTGATGAGCCCGATGATAACACGGATTACCACATTGCACACCACATCGTGAGAGTTCATCAGAAGCGGGAAGATGCGCTTGCTCCGGCATTCACTACTGCAGAACTGAAGCGATATATCTTATATGCCAAGTCCCTGAAACCAAAGGTTTGCCACTCCTGCTTTTCCAGATATCTTCACGCCGGTGAGATCTTAACAAAGAAATGCCTTTGCAGCTAAGCTCAGAAGCTAGAAGAGTACTTGTCGAGTCCTACGTTGCTCTGCGAAGGGGTGATGCAGCTCCTGGAAGCCGAGTCGCTTACCGGATGACAGTGAGACAACTCGAAGCATTGATCAGATTATCAGAAGCCATTGCTCGAAGTCACTTGGACAAAGTGGTAAGTTAGCCATGTGCTTGAATTTGCTTCGTGGCTACTGATCAACATCTGTCTTCGTCAATTATTGCTGCATATAACCCACTGAACCCGTCCACCTCCGACCCACATGAAAATGTCCGGTATTTTCAATCACTTGGTTGGGTGCCACGTCATATAATTGCCTAATTATAGCAAATTTACCAGTTTGTCTGCACTAAAACCCGCAAGCATGGAGATATCTTTCTGCATCTGTGGGCCTGAATTGATTTATTTTTGCTCCTCATCTATGCAGGTTCATCCACCTCATGTGCGCATGGCAGTGAGGCTATTGAAGACATCCATAATCAGGCAAGAAGATTAGAAAACTTACTGCGGCTGCTGCCCCACATCGGTCACAACACCTGGAAGGCCTCACGCCATGTCTTTTTCCCCCCTTTGTAGTGTTGAATCAAGCGAGATTGACCTCTCCGATTTCCAAGATGACGAAGATGCTGCCGCGGTTCCTGATAGAACGGACGACCCAGCCACTCCTGCTGGTACGGAGCCAGCCGCAGCAGCGACTGAAGGTGAACAGAAGTCAATCATCCAATGGAATCAAATCGTCTTTTCCTCTGGAAAGTCAAACCCTCTAAACCAGAACACTTCTCCGCAGATGGCGGCGATGAGCCGGGCGGCCGACCGAGGAGGAAGATAACGACAACGGAAGAGCATTTCCAGAGAGTTACTCGTGCTCTCGTCTTGCGACTGCGCCAGCACGAGGAATCAGTGGCACGGGAAGGTAATGTCGATACCAAGAAGCGTAAACTTACTTTCAGTGATTCCCGTGGATGAAGAGTATGTCCCTAAATATCGTGTGAGATTTCAGGAAGCGGCCTGGCTGGAATGAGGCAAGGCGACCTCATCGTCTGGTACGTGGAGCAGCAGAATGCGCTGGGTGTCTACAGCTCCGTGGAGGAGGTGAAGAGGGAGGTCGAATGCATCAAAGCCATCATAGAGGTAATAAAAAACCCTGGCCGCCGTTGACCCAGAGCTTCCTACCACACCGTCTCTCGTCAACGTTGACTTATTAACATGGGTCGTCGTTAAATGCCGGTCAATGTAGAGCTTGATTCAAAGAGAAGGTCATCTGATTGTGATAGACGACGGCGGCGGCGACTCCGGGGAGGTGCCCAGGCCCATGTCCTCCAGGGAGAGGAGGATCCTCGCGGTAGCCCCCAACTATGTCGTCGATTGAAGGACGCACCCTTCCCCGTCTCTCTTTTCTTTAATTTATCAGTGTAGTTAAACATTTCTCAATTTCTTTCCTCGAGATGTTGAGAGCGGGCAGCCGCAGCCACCTGGCTGGCCCCTTCTCCGCCGCCCGCAGACGCCGGGCCGGCGGCGCCGCCGGGCCCATCGCGTGCCTTGTTTGGGAGCCGTATGTAAGAGTGGCGGTGACTTCACGAAAGAGCATATCGCTGTTCGAAACCGGACCACATCGTATCGACATACAGGTTCTGGGCTCGAATGGGCCTACGTGGTTGTCGGGCCCATTAGCACCGCCAATGGATCACATTTTTTATGCGTTAATCCGTTGTAACTGTGAGGGATTTTATTATTATTATTTTATTACTATTCAAATCTGGGAATATTATTGTGGCGCAGGGCTTCTGTTGACCATCTCTGATTATTGTTTCTATTATTATTATTATTGTTATTATTATTATTGCGGAAGATTTTTGAAGGAGTATCGGCTACTCCTTCGCGGGAGACGTGCACCGGCGGTGGAGTGGAGACATCCTCCGGTGACGGACCGGAGGAGAGCTTCTCCATTGAAGAAACTCCTCAGCTTCGTTCATCCTCCGACGGGTAGCAGAAGAAAGGGTTCCTCCCCCCTGCGGAAGAGAAACGGGAGCCCGTCGTTGTCGTCCATCGGCCATCGTCCTTTGTCGGAAGAGAGACCGGGAATTACTGTCTTGGCTAGGTTGGTGTGATCTCTGAGACGCCTCGCCCCGTGCTGTCTGCCCCCTTGCTTTTGAACGATAATTCGCTTGCCTCTTAACTTCCTTTTGTGCGGCCGGCTCCTCCCCCAGGCTCGTTGCTCCGGCGGAGCGAAAAGAATGGTCTCCGTGTTTCCATCTCCGACGCACGATCTTTCTGGGTTGCGCGAGCAACGGTTGCCGTTTTCTTGTTTTTTTCGTTTTGTCTTTTTTTTCGTTTACCTTCCTTTGATCCTGGTTGAATCGCGATGAGCGTCTACTGGCTGAACTCGGATTGTTCCTAACGTTATTGAAGCTGATTATACTGCTGGTTTTGCTCGATGTTCAGGCTGGTGGCTGTTCTTGGGAGAATCAAAACGGCAGTTCACTTTTTGAACGAACTCGGCATATTTTCACAGATTTCCGCCAAGTTTTGGGTTGGATAGTGTACTGGGGAGAGATGAGATTGGATTTGAGAAATATAACGATTATGTGGGAAATATGAGCCGTTGACATCTCTGTCATCAAAGACATCTTACCACGGTGGGATTAAGGGTGTTGGAATCCTTTTTTCTTCCTTTTTTACGATTTATTTTAAGTTCTAGTTAGTCATAGATAGGTAAAGGCAAACACGGTTGTCCTCCTAAGGCATCTTATTGTTTATCGTGGTGTTTTGACCTCCCAAGTAGATTACTTTGACTTTTTTTTCTTTTTCAGACAATCTGGTTTAGTATTTGGAAGATTCCATGGAGACATGTTATGTTTGCAAAGATGGAACGAGGTGTATTGTCGTAGTCTGAATGAAAGAAATCATGGATCAACTTTCCCCAATAAAATTCTTGAATTGTGCTTTCTTTACACCTTGCATCTCTCTGTTTTATTGTTGATGATATCGACCACATCGGCCCCTATTGTGCATGGGCTACGTGGAAAGGAATATATAAAACTAATTAGAGCTAAAGGTGTGGAGCGAGGCTCTTGTGAGCTGAAGATATGCTGCAGGTCCTGCATCGATTTGGTTAACTTATTGCAGGTGCATGAAAGGCATGGGCTACAAGTATGATTTTTTTTTTTTGGGTGGAACACTGAGGAAGGATATTTAACGCTTACACAAATATCAGAGTATAAATGCTTGGTGCAGCTTATTTAGAAGACCACTCGACCAGGATAAGGATGTAGTAGTTACGGAATTAAGTAGGGAATCTTCGGCAATGCTTAATCAGTCATGTTTATGAGGTGGTCTATGTTATATTGCAGCCACACGCAAATTCAATCGAGATATGGAATCATTTTTAAGTACTGCTGATTTATTTAGAGCCTCTCCATTGGTTTTTTGGTGCTGGGTATCCATAGAGCTATCTGTTCCAAGTGAATTTCCTCCTTCTGTTCGCTCAACATTTCAAATTCGAAGCTCATGATTTCCCCTCCCTTGCATTTTGTCGTATAAGATTCCAGCACTGGTTCCTTAGGCTTCGTAAGCTATCTAACCATGCAATAGAGCCAAATGAAACGCTTGCACACAGTTTGTTTCCATCATGCAGTTGAAAGAAGAAGGGTGATTTATACTAGACATTGGTTCTCTTCCTCATTGAAAGCTTTGCCCATTCTCTCGAAGATTAGAGAGGGCCCATCAGTATGCCAGAAAAATTGAGATCCTCCGGTGTGACTTTGAAGAGTCAATATCATCTGATGGATATCATCTATTAAGTAATTATGCTATCACAATCATAGACTGAATGCTCATTGAGAGAATGCACTGTGCTCATCTCAGTATCTAATCAGTTTGGGTAGTCTGCCATGAATTTACAGAGATTAAAAAGCTTTGATAGGAAAGTTCCCATTGTCTTGCAATTGGTGGATGATTAATGGATGCTACGCCTCTGTTGAAGTTGTTTAGTCTGCGAAGACTTTCTTGGACCTCCAGTACTGTCGGAGACCACAAGGTACATTGGTGTTTCTTTTAATTATTCCTAGTTTAAAAATTCTACTCCGGTTGGCATCTCTGCCTCCCATAAGAGCAGCCGTGTTGGTTTGCAGGCTGCATTGCCTGTCACAGAAGTTGAATCGTTTCAATTAGAAATTGCTGATGCAGAAGAAAGAGAAGCTCATCTGAAAGCCAAGTAAATTCTTCCGGACTTCCATTTTTTATCATAGTAAATTAAGGCCCTGATTCCATCGGATATCATACATCCTCCTGCCTCAATGTTACGAAATATATTCCTACATCCTTCTTCCTCAATGTTACGAAATATTTACCTTATTATAATTTCCTCGTATTCAGTAAACACTTCTTTGTGTCTTATATTGCGTATTGAATCATTTATGCTCTCTGGAGTAATGAACTTAGATGTTGATTCGTTTGGACAAAATTATGAGCTCACATGGATCCTGCCTCGTTCGGCATTCTCTGCATGGGCCTTTTTAGTAGGCTTTTTTCGGTTTTCGCTAATATTATTTTAACTCCATTTAGAACACTACTCAGATCGGCATGTTTGCCAAGGGCATACATTGCAGCATGCACCTCACATCTCTAGACTTCTCTCTTTTTCCATTAGATTAGCACTTCTCAGTTGCTTCCTCCCCGATTATGTGACATCACGTTGGCCTAATTTTCGTGAGTTTGACATCCATATTGCTCCATATAAAGTACTAAGCGCCAGTGCCTTGTGAGATGGTAGAAACTTGTGTTCAATGTACTAAGTGCCAGTGCCTTGTGAACCTACGTCAGAAATTCCAAGAGAACCCCGTTCGAGTACTTACTGATCATAGTATGGAAAACTTGATGATGCTCGATAAACTGTGATTGGTCATTGTTCATTCGTTTTTCTTTAAACAGCCTATTCTGTATTCCATCAAAACGAAGAATCCTCGTGGGGGTGAAACTTTCGATTAAGATGTTTTCATATCTGCCTCTTTTCGTGGTATATAATGCTTTTGAGATCAAGTGTTTCAGAACGTTCTTTAGATGACCATAGTGCTCACAAATGTGGGTTTTGGAACACAAATGAGGCACTTGAAACTTGTGATTATTCAGAGCAAATCATTTGGGTTATCTAACAAAAAAGTGTTTGATTGTTTATATTTCTGGATTTATTGGAGAAATATAAAATACAGTGCAGAGAATAAAGTACTATTTTATCTTCTCTTATTATTCTTTATACTATCATTCAATTCTACTTTTACTTGTATTTCTTTGAAGATTGGGTTTTTTTTTTATTCTTCTCATTCAATTCGTCACATTATCTCCCATTAGAGTTAAACTTCTCCACTTTTTACCAAATTTATTGGTTGCACCTCTTTTTTACTCCTCAGAGAGCTTATAGTTTCTCATTGGGACTGCTGTTTCTTCAAAAAAAATTTCCAGATTAGACCATGTTGATGGGATTCTGAGATCTGCTCGTCTTGCTGACTACCTATATGTTAGAACTGTAAGAATTCAATTTAGCATTTGATTGTGGAAGGTATATATTTTAATTCATAGTAAAGACTTTGAAAATTTTCAAATTTCTTCCACATTCTAGAGATGGACAGAGCTGCCTGGGGAGCCTCCAATAATAGATGATACTGAGGTAGATGACTGGCTTCCCCAGTTTGTGGTCTTTAGCGACTCATGCATCCTCTACTACCAGAAATCCACCGGTAATGATTTTTTTCATGTGATCTGCTGCTTTAGTTGGTCTCTAGGCTAGCTTGTGATCTGTTATTTCAGCAGACTTTATGACTAGCATGGCATCTCTAGGATCAATGCAGGGTTAGGTTTAGGAGATCTTAGGAGACCCATAGGATAGGATTCTCATGATCTCCGAAACAGTGTACTGAAACCCTCTTGAAGGCTTTCGGAGTTGGTTTTTCGTTCAGACTCTAAAACCCTAGAGGCTCTCTACCCTTTCTTCTTTACAATGCAACTCTTCCTCTGCTAATCAGATCTGCATCAATAGGCAAAAGCTAGCTAAAAAATCGTTTATCAGCCATGGCTAAATGCATTCTGCTGGCTTGCTGCAGACTTGAGCCCTCAAGACTCCATCTTATTATCCGATGTTGTTGAAGTGGGCCTGCTCCCGAGCTTTGAGAGAGGAGATCAAGAAATATTGCATGGGTTCTTCATCTTGACCAGTCGAGGATCAAAGTCTGAGTGTGCGAGTCTCTCTAAGGTACAGGTGAGCTCTTATTCCCATCACGCTTTATATTTTAGAGCGAGAGAGAGAGAGAGAGAGAGAGAGAGAGAGAGAGAGAGAGAGAGAGAGAGAGAGAGAGAGATCTCAGAGTAATGAGGACTGGAAAGAACGAATGAGAGACAGGTGGAAAGGGCCAAAAACCCAATCTTGGCTCACTCTAGGGGCTTTTGTATGCCCTGAGATTGAGGTAGTCATAGCTAGGGAGGCAAACGGGCTGGGCCCGATCTTGTGATAGGCCCATCATAGGCCCAGCTCTTTATATCTGGGCCAATAGAAAAGTTTCTGAATGGGGCTCGAGCCCATACCCCCGCGAAGGCGTGGTTGCTCGGAGAAGGCTTCTGGGTATGGCTCCTCTTTGTCTGTGGACTAAAATATTTAAAGAGAGAGCCCGGAATAATTGGGCCCGGGCTGGCTTCTGGACTTATCTTACCCAAATTTAATAAGATCCTTCCCCGCCAAACACTTTCTGATCCCGAATTCTTTTTCTATTTCTAGGTGGATTCGTGGTTGACTACGCTGCAGCTAATGGGATGCCACGTAGGATCTACATCAGATCCAGATGAGTTGACCGAGTAAAGTGGAGATCACATCGTCCATTAGTACATACGCATCGATAATAATACTATTTAAGGAATGTGTGAAAAAGTAGTATTTAAATAAATATTGGTCTATGCACATAAATTGTTGGGGCCCCACTCTGGTTCCGTACTATGTTGGACCGATGTCTTAACCATGAGTAAGATGGACTCGAGGTATGTGGCCCAATCCACGTGTCACCTTTGAAGGGTATTTTGGGCCAGCCAGTCCAGTCATATCCGGATCCGATTTGGGCTCAAGGCCCTAATGAGCCGAGCCCATTATGGGCCCATTCGGAGCCCAGCCATTGATGATCTGAGATGGGCCGAGATGGAACCCAGAGTAGAGTCGTTATAGTCAATGGGCGATTATTGATAATTAAAAACAGACCTAAAACCAGATATTATTACATATTGTATATATGCCGCGGGTTGGACTCGGTGGCGTGTTTATCCTGTGCTGGAGGCCCAATCCAGAAGTCCCTCCCCCACCTGCTTCCGTGGACTGTTTGTAACGGGTACGATGGCCCAATACGCCACGGCAGCACCACCGACAGCTACCTGCCCGTTCCCGTCAGCCGGTGACCCAGTAAAGTCAACGTGTACCCATCCGGACCGTCGAACTTCGCCGACTTACTCCGCTCGCGGAAATCTGACGGCGTGGCTACCATCCGGGGCCACCTGAAAGCTCCGGGCTTGTCCCCATATCGGATCCTCCGCAAAAACCATATATATTTTCGTGTGGCCCGGATTTCTACCCGGCGTCGACCTCGCCTTCAGTTGTCCGCACTCCATATTCCGTGTGGTTCGTGGGAACTTCGGTTCTTTTTTCTTTTTAGAATAAAAAGTATTTTTGATATATTTAAAAATACTAATTTCGGAAAGTATTCAACCCCATCTGCTCGTGAACCATAATTTTGCCGTTTTCACAACTGGTCGGCGGGTTCACTCCAAAAGCCACTGTAGTCGTCTCCTTTAATGTTTATATTTTAACATATATATATTTTCATGTTTTAATATACTATTTAAAATTATTTTAAAATGACCGGATTTATATGTACGTCGGTAGATTTATAGAAAATAATCAACAAGGAAAATAATATAGGAAATGCAAAAAACCTGAGAATATATTTATTATTTATTTATGTGCTCGCATAAAAACGAATTACGTTATAAAAATATTTTCTCACCTTGTAAATAAACGATAATAATATTTTTAACGAATTACTCAAGCACCTCACCGTGAGAATATAATAAAATTATTTATTTATGTGCTAAAGCACCTCACCTTGTAAAAAAAAGAAAAACGTGTTTACTTCACTCTCAAATGGTTCTCAGAAACCACCGCGATGGGGGAGGTCCTTGGAATCAACGGACGGAATTGTGAGCCCTAGGAAGGGACGGTCAGGAAAGAAACAGCTGGCGGTGGGCCCCGTTTGCTGGGGGATGGTTTTTCTAATTTTTCAAAAATTACTGCGAGCTGAGGGGCAGAGGCGCTGTCATAAAACGCCAACGTTTATATGATATATCTGACTGCCGAATCTCCACCCTTCCTTCCTTATCACGCCCCCGCCGCTTCATTCCTTCCTCTCCCCCCCGTTTGCTCCCTATCCTCCTCCTCCCTCCTCCTCCTTCCTATCCCCTTGACCAGCCTCCGACTCTTCTCCCTTCCAAGACGATGGCGGGAAGGTCGTCTCGTCTTCTCTCGTCCTCTGAGCTCTCCCGCTGAGCGCGAACCTCCCGTCTACCTCCGGCGGAAGGCGCCGGCGCCGCCAGTGAGATATCCTTCCGGCCTCATTCCGGGAAAGCAGCCTCCGTCTCCGGTGAGCGGCGCTCCCTCCGCCGTCGCTGTTACGCGCCGAACTTAATTCATCGATTTTTGCACGGTCTGACTGAGGCTGTCGCATTTACCAGGCTTCTCGCCGGGATTTCTCTCGCTTTTTGTTTTTCTTTTCTTTTTAATTTCGTGGAGAGATTGCCGTTCGAAGAGAGAAGAGTCTGCGGTTGTCTAATTACTCCAGATAACTGGCTCTCCGATTTAATTTCAAAATCTAGCACGCAGGAATATGTTTTGTTCGCAGTTTAATTCCGCCTCAATGCAGAGGTAATCCGGATTGGAGGAGGAGAGAGCTCTGGCGAGAATGGCGCCGAGGAGCAGCCGCGGCAGAGCCAAGGGTGAGAAGAAGAAGAAAGAGGAGAAAGGTGAGGATTAGAGAGAGAGAGAGAGAGAGAGAGAGAGAGAGCTTGATTATGTTTGCCTTGACTCCTTTGCTCACTGGTGTGAATGGCTTATCTTCTTCTTCTTCTCTGTGTTGTTCTTCGCCTCCACCACTGCAGCTCTCCCCGTGGTCCTCGACATCACCGTGCTCCTTCCCGACGAAACTTACGTCGTCTTAAAGGTACGAGGACTACCTTCCACTCTCTCTACTCTCCCTCTCATCCATCCGGGGATGTGACAGCTTAAACATGCCGTTGGTTCCCCAAGAAACTCAGAGAGAGAGAGAGAGAGAGAGAGAGAAGAGAAGAGAAACTCGAGGCCGTCATCTCTGCAACTGATAGATAGTAGCATATAGGGGAGAGAGTAACTGGAACCAGAGACTAGAGAGTAGTGATGCCCTAGTGAACACTCTAAAAGCAAGGTTAGAGAGAGAGATGCCGGAATGAATACTGTCAATAGAAAATCGAGGCCGCCATCTCTGCAACTGACTGATTGTCGCAGATAGGGGAGAGAGAAACGAGAACCAGAGGGTAGCGATGTCTGAGTGAACACTGTAAGAGCTAGCCGTAGATGAGGGGGAAGAGAGAGAGAGAGAGAGAGAGAGAGAGAGAGCGGAATGAACGCCGTAGAAGTACGGGCGACTGGATGTATTAGAGTCGTGTCAAAGAAAGCCGGGGATATTCTTCTTGGGGAGGCGGGCGATGTCCGAATTCTAGCTGCCACCAGTGGGAGTCCGCCACGATATTTGGCGTCACACGCGACCGCCACATAGGATTCGGATCCTCTTAATCCTCCGTTAACCGCTTTCTTTTTTTACCGCCGGACGATCTGGCGCAGGGGATATCAACGGACAGGATCATCGACGTGCGCCGGCTCCTCTGCGAGAACACCGTCACCTGCGCCATCACTAGCTATTCTCTCTCTCACGAGGTGCGTACAGTCAGTCTCTCCTCCTCTCCACCGCCTCGAGCGGCGAGCCTAAGGGCCCCACTTAATCGATTGTCTCTCAGCTCAGGAGCTAAGAGGCTCATAATCGGTCATGTTACATTCTTTTTATGGAATCCGATCGAGAGTTTGTAAGCGTTTTGCATGGGATTACGTGGGGAGTGCGTCGCAGCACTAGTCACGTGTTTGGGCTGAAGTTCTACCGTTCGTTGCAGATCCGAGGGTCTCGATTGAAAGACTCTGTGGATGTTGCCGCCTTGAAGCCCTGCGTGTTAACGTTGGTGGAAGGTATGTGGTCCCGCGTTCTGGATATATTTACAATAAAAATTTAAATTATATGCTTTTTTAAAATAAATATATTATAAAGGGTTTAATGTATAATATTTATGATAAATTCCAATGATCTCCGTTATCTTCTGACCTTTTGGTCCCCGTTGTTTTTTCCCGCCCGAGCAGAGGAGTACGACGAGGCTCAAGCGGTGGCCCATGTGAGGAGGCTGCTCGACGTCGTCGCTTGTACGGCCTGCTTCGGCGGATCGCCGGCGAGGGATGTCGCGTCGTCGGCGGCGGCTGCGACGCCGGCCGAGGCGGCTGTCAGCAGTGGCAGCAAGGAGGTCAGGAGCCCCAGCGGCGGGGGAGGGCAGAAGGCCCGGAGCAGCGGTGGCAGCAGCAAGCAGCCGTCTCAGGAACCGCTGCTGCTTTCTCCCTCTACGCCTCCGTCCAATGAAGCGTCCGCGGCGGCGGTAGCCGCTGCGGAGGTCGAGGCTGAGATGAGCGGCGCGTGCCCTAAGCTTGGTTCCTTCTACGACTTCTTCTCTCTCTCGCACCTCGTCCCTCCCCTACAATGTACGTTTTTCTTGATCCCTTTCTGACCTGATGCTGGCAAGTCTAAGCTTTGATATAGAGGAATTAAGTTTTCTTCCAATTTGCAGTCATAAGGAGATCTACGAAGCCCCTCCGACAAGACGAGAGTCCCTCCGAGGATCACCTCTTCTACATCGAGGTACATTCTCCGAGGCGGAATCACTACGTGTTATCTTCCTTCAGTGATGTGTCAAGTGGTGATTAGTTTATCCAGCATTTTGGCCATGGTTTCAGGTGAAGCTTTGCAATGGGAAGCTGGTGACTGTAGAAGCGCTGAAGAAGGGGTTCTATAGCGTGGGGAAACAGCGTATGCTCTGCCATGATCTTGTCGGGTTGCTCCGACGGCTCAGTAGAGCTTTTGACAATGTAAACAGACAATCCGCTCGCTCACTAAAAAAACCATTTGGGTTCTCTATCATGATGTGATTCTGAGCATTAATTTCGGGATAGGTCAAGTAGATAGTCTACCTTTCTAGTGGTCCTGTGATTTTCAAGTCAGACGTATTGAGCTGGGAGCAATTGTTCGATAGTATCAAGTCTAACCTTGTTGTGCAGAATGGGATACGAGACGGGTCAACAATAAATATCTTGTCGGAGAGATGGTGGTTTAGGTGCTGACATAGTTGGTAAGGGTAGGCGGAATTATGCGAGTGTTGTACAAGTAGAGCAGATTACTTGAGCTTATCAGACATTTGAACGCAGTTATCGTCAGAAACAGCGTGCTCATCAAGCTGGGTAGATATAATCGAATTGTAATCATCCTTCGGTTTTTCCGTCGCATATATCTTTTAGTAGTTCCGAAAACATCTAATGCACTGATGATGGGAAAGCAGATCTCAAACTCGTGATTTCCTTGGGCCCTGTTAGACAGCAAATATTTATTGTTTATTGAAGGAAACAAAGTAGGCTGCGCTGGCAACAATAAATGTTTCTGCCTTTGGATGTGGATGTCATTTTATTTTTGTTGGTGCTCTCTGAGCCAGATACTCAATTTTCTCATGCTCGTATAACTGTCTGATTAGTTTTCTGCCTTTCTGTATAAGTCAGTCTCAAGAATAAACAGTGGCATATTTTTTACGTTTTAAGATTAGAATAGCGAAATTTGTCTCTCCCTATTTCTTTCATTGTTTGCATTTGGTTCTTTGTTGGTGTGTTCAGAAACTCTTTGATATTAAGTAGGTACAAATTCAAGTATAAAATATCCTGATTCTCTGTTTGTTTGTGGTTTCTAGGCTTACGAAGATCTCATGAAAGCGTTTTCAGAACGTAATAAGGTCAGAATGCTATTAACTAGTCGTGTTCTCATTATACTTTCTGAACTTCTTTCCCAATTTCGATTCTTATTCTGTTCTCTCTGTGTACATATGCATGTCATTCTTCCATTGAAACTTTGCTCATAGTCATCAAATTAATGCTTCACAGAAAGCCTCTCGAATATTACTGTTTTTTATAGTTCTTTCTGTGTATATATCAGTGGATAAGTACAGTTTTAAACGCAGTGGGAAAACATGAGTTGTTTGCATCATCAGTGCATTTCTCGGTTCTTTGGGCCATGAACTCCATGCCATTTCGTTTTCGTTTTAAGTTCTTCCTGCTCCTGGCTTCTATATCAGATACTAACGGTTCCTCTTCTACAGTTTGGAAATCTTCCCTACGGATTCCGTGCAAATACATGGCTCGTTCCTCCATTTGCTGCTCATTCACCATCATCATTTCCTCCCCTCCCAGTGGAAGATGAGGCATGGGGAGGAAATGGAGGGGGTTGGGGTAGAGATGGCAAGAGTGATATGATACCTTGGTCTGATGAGTTTTTGTTTCTCACGTCAATGCCTTGCAAGACAGCTGAAGAAAGACAGATTCGTGACCGGAAGGTGTTCCTTCTTCACAGTTTATTTGTGGACGTTGCTATCTTCAGAGCAGTTGCAGCCGTACGCCATGTTATGGATAATACGTTGGTCGAGAAGGATGGCATTCTGTACTGCGACCGAGTAGGGGATATTTCTATTTCTGTCCTCAGAGATGCTTCTAACGCTAGTTGTAAGGTGGATACCAAGATCGATGGGCTGAGAACCATAGGAATTGGTGCCAGTAATCTCATTGAGAGAAATTTACTCAAGGGAATCACAGCAGATGAAAATACTGTAGCCCATGTAAGATACTCTTTTACTCACGATTCTCGTTTTACTTAGTCTAACGATGATTAATCAGCATTACATTTGAATCTTGCAGGATGTTACCACCTTAGGTGTCATCAACGTGAGGTACTGTGGATACGTCGCAGTTGTAACAGTTAACAGAAATGAGAATAGGACTGGCCCATTGCAGCAAAGAGTTGACATTGAGGATCAACCAGAAGGGGGAGCTAATGCATTGAACGTTAACAGGTTTTTTTCCAGTGCAAACCTTGTTTATTTTCATCCAGATTTATGTACGAAATTCATTTAAGAGATGTCTTATTCTTTGTGCGTGTTTGTTAACCACATTTCGTTTATTTCAGTTTGAGGTTGCTGCTCCACAAAAAGCACTCAGAACATAACAGAGGATCGAGCAACTCCCAAAGTTCGAAGTATGAAGATATCAGGTTAGCCCATGCCTTTGTGGAGGGAGTATTGACAGAGAGTCTTACCAAACTTGAGACTGAAAAAGTCAATCAGGACTCTTTTATGAGATGGGAACTTGGTGCGTGCTGGATACAACATTTGCAAGATCAGAAAAATGGCGATAAGGATAAGAAACAAACTGGCGAGAAAGACAGGAAGCAAAATGCTGAGAAGATTGGACTTGAATCAAAGGTTGAGGGACTTGGGAAGCCTCTCAGGTTTCTTAAAAATTCTAAGAAAAAACTGCAATCTGATGAAGGGAAAGATCTGTCCATGGCCAGTAGTTCTGATCAGTGTGTTATCGGGGAAATGCAAAATGTTCATCTGCATGGTGCAGGTTCTCCTAGTGAAACCAGTGCCTATGAGAATGAGCAGGAGCTTAAAAAGTTGTTATCTGAGGCTGCATTCATACGGTTGAAAGAGTCTGAAACTGGTCTTCATCAGAAGGTAACTACTCTAATAATTTACACTATATTAATTTTATTTCCATTAAGCTTGAGAGGATACATTACTGGCCGAGCATATAATATTCTTTTAACGCCAGTGAGAGTATTTTTGAGAGACGTTTTGATTTTTTGCTTTTTCTCCGTGCTCATTTATTTTATTATCCACAACGGGGGTCGGCTAAGAACTGATCCAGAACAGTACAGATATGCAGATGATACTAGGTCCTTGCATGCTCTTTATGGAGTCCATAAATATATAAAAGAAATATCAATGGTTCATTAGTCTCTTTCATTTCGAAGTTGATGTACATAATTCAGAAGCCTCAGACCTTCCCAGGGATACTGAACTCTGCTCATCAATCATCAATTTGGCACCCTGATTTCACTAAAAGCCGTGGAACATAGCAGAACGAGAGATATTCATATGTTATTGCGGGTTAGCCTACACATGTGTCGTGTAGGTTTTGAATGATTTGATTTTATACAGGTTATCACCTTCTCTTATTCATTTTGTTCATCTTACTTAACGTAAATAGTCACCACAAAATTGTTTCCGGATAGTAGTTATCCAATAGATGCGGTAGGTTACATAATATAGCAATCTTTATGTTTTGCCTTATTTTATTTTCTGAGTTCCATGAAGGTTTTCCTCGAAGACATGAGAATAACCCTCCCCTCGACATTCAGTCTTTGCAGGAACTCACTGAAATGGCTCAAAAGTATTATGATGATGTTGCTCTTCGAAAACTGGTAGGTCTCCAATACACAGTGGGAAAGTTTTTTTTTCCCCTCTGTTGAAGTTATCTTTAGTGATATGTGTGTTTTCGTGTTTAGGTTGCCGATTTTGGGTCGTTGGAACTTTCACCCGTAGATGGCCGGACTCTTACTGATTTCATGCACACTAGGGGTCTGCGGATGCGCTCTCTAGGATGCGTTGTAAGTATTTTTCTCATGACCCTGTCCACAAACGTAGGCAAAACAAGCTCATTTTTGCACAGAATTCTAAAATGCTCGCTTGTATCTCATGAGCTAATTGGTGCTTGCATCTTATTTACCTAGGTTAAGCTTTCGGAGAAGTTGTCGCATGTGCAATCACTTTGCATTCATGAGATGATAGTAAGAGCCTTCAAGCATGTCATCCGCTCTGTTATTGCAGCTGTTCCTGAGACAGGAGACTTAGCTCCATTGATAGCTGTCACTCTAAACATGATGCTTGGTATTCCTGATTTTGGTGAATCCAACTCCAACGGCAAAGTACATGGTATTGTTTGGAGATGGCTGGAGACCTTCTTGAAAAAAAGATATGATTGGGAACTTACAAGTTCACATTATCGAGATATAAGGAAGTTTGCTATATTAAGGGGTCTCTGTCACAAGGTAAAAGATTTGCGTGTGACAGTATGACGACTGTCAGGGGAATACTCGTCCTTAATATTCTAATACTGGCGTATACCTTTTTCTCCTTAGGTCGGTATTGAGTTGTCACCAAAGGACTTCGATATGGACTCTGCAAATCCCTTTTGCAAGGCAGATATTCTCAGCCTCGTTCCTGTCCATAAAGTAAGGGTTTTCCGTTTTATAACAAATGTTATTGAACAGAATAATTGCTTTAGCCAGTGCACGGGCTCACATTCGTTTCGTGATTCTTTGTAGCAAGTTGCATGTTCATCTGCAGACGGACGTCAACTTCTAGAGTCATCAAAAACGGCTCTTGACAAGGGAAAGCTTGAAGATGCAGTCAGTTACGGAACAAAGGTGTCTGACATAAATCTTGTTCTTTTTTGTTGTCGTGTATTCTTGTTGCCTCATTTTCTGCTTAACAAAGTTTTATTTATAATTTTGATAACTATTTTGCCATAAATGCAGGCACTAGCGAAACTTATTGCAGTATGTGGCCCTTACCATCGTATGACAGCTGGAGCGTACAGTCTCCTTGCTGTTGTGCTTTACCATACAGGCGACTTTAATCAGGTTTTGAACGTCGCATCTCTTCTTTTATCATTTTCTGTACTACGATCTGGGGCAGGATTTACCTGTCTCTGATTTTACTTCGTGTGTATCCCACAACCTCATGTTATTGGCCATATCTGTTAAAGAAAATTAGGATCAGCTTGATAAATTATGATACAGAGGGCATCTCTAGGATGTAAAATGATCGATGTTTGTGAACATTAAACTGATTGTCTATTTTTTATGTAAAGATGGATTTTCCCAATGCAATTTTTATGGTAGGGGTTTTTTTTTATAGTTACTCATCTAACATCAGATGAGTGGATAAAATTAATCAATGGTGATTCACTATCGGCTGAACATAAAAGGATATTGTAATGGTTCCACAGGATCCTAGTTTCTGGATTCACCTTGTACTCATATCCATTAGGCTGAACATTTCTATTCACTTAGTTATATATTATGGCCATTTCAATCGTTTATTCTTTTCCATTTTAACCATCAAAAGCTGAGCAGGACATGCCCTTCTATCATCCAGCATTCTCCTTATCCTTCATTGAAATTTCGAATAATTTCGTGCATTTTTGGACCCTAATTTAAATAGAAAGCCCGAATTCACCCTCATAATATGGGCACAATGATCCTTTTTATTTGTGGGTAGCTTGGTCAGTCGCCGATTTCATGCCTTTATGTTATCGTTGCCTGAGATCCATTAGTCTTTTTTCAATGTTTCGTTTCTTGTGCATTAAGGGTGTTTTTCTGTGGAGTTCTGGATGGATTTGCTTAGTAATAATGTATCTCTTTTTTTTTATCTATTTCTCCATCAATTAATGACACTTTTTTATTTTTTTACTATATCCGGATTAACTAGAGACAGCAAAATACGTTGATATCGTTATGAGAGGAGAGTTTTAATGTGTTAGAACGTTTCAGGCTACGATATACCAACAGAAGGCATTGGATATTAATGAAAGGGAGCTTGGTCTTGACCATCCTGACACTATGAAGAGCTACGGAGATCTTGCTGTGTTCTATTATCGACTTCAACATACTGAATTGGCGCTGAAGTGAGTTAGATTTTGGAAATATCAAGAACTTTCCGCCATTTTTTTTGAAATAACCAACTTTTGATTGCATCCTACAGTTTTTTTGTCGTGAAAGAAAGCTATATATATGTTCTAACCCTCTCGTCTGTTTGACATAAATGCAAAGTCTAAAAAAAATTCATGAATTGGATATTCCTGGTATATATAGCGCATCCTATTAGTTATGATTGATGTGAACTCTTGTATTCCTGGTTACTGAACTTAAATGCAAAGCCTTTGACGTAGCGTCTGCGTTGACATTCTTGGCATATGCACTTTACATGAGATTTTGCATTGTAACATTTCAAATTAATCCGGTTGAAAGATTTTAACCTAAAAAATACACAAAATAAATTATGGCATGAGCCTCATGCCTGATTCACTGCAGTTGCCTATTTGAGTGGTACCTCGATCAGTATGGAAAACCAAAACCCTAAACAAACCCCGTCCTTAAACGGCAGGTCCATTTACTACTTCTCACCAAGTAACCGTTACCACCGAACCCAACCCAAACCAGAGCCCATTCGAAGAAGCCACATAGATGCACCTTAACCAACAGTATGGAACTTTCGATGATTACAACCACGGTAGCCTCACGGGACCTTGACTAAAACCCTGACCTAAGTGCATAGTGAATTATAAAGCGAAGCTGATAACTCCTCAGACTTACTCAGTATATCAATTGTTTTTTCTTATTTTCTTGTATCCTTCAGTGAGATCACTAATTGAGCTAATGATTGCCATCAATGTCCTCTATTTGTTAACATCTGAGAAACAACAGAAACAAAGTGGAAACAGCAGTGATAGTTTCTTTTCTAGTGTCTTCTTTTATTGCCTTTAATATTTTGAACTTGGATGTTATCCTTGGCTGTGATATTTGCAACCTTTAATGTAATTCCCATCTTTTCAATCTTTTTTTAAAGATATCTTTTTTAAATTGAGGTTTTTTGTAAATTTTGTGTATCATACTTAGCAAATCATATATACTAATTGTGATTCATTGTATTGTTAATCAGGTATGTAAAACGTGCACTGTATCTCTTGCATCTTACTTGTGGCCCATCACATCCAAACACTGCTGCTACATACATCAATGTGGCGATGATGGAGGAGGGCCTAGGAAATGTACATGTCGCATTGAGATATCTTCACAAAGCATTAAAGTGCAATCAAAAGTTGCTTGGCCCTGACCACATTCAGGTCTTCTTCCCTCTCCATATCTTCTGTGTTTTATGGATTCTCCAAATTGCAGCCAGTGTCTAATTGTGATTACATAGATCGCAGTTTTTGTATTTCTGGTGTGATCTCTCTGTGTGTAATTTTTCTTTAGTTTGATTATCCTTGATTTCTTTACGCATATGTGCAAGTGTGTCTTTGGGGCGGGATATGTTACACCGATCAATCAGGTTCTTCGAGGAACATTACTTCACATAGTGAATGAGGTTCTTTCAAAACATACATTTGACTGGTGAGGGCTGCGGTATATGTAAGTGCCTCATAATGCTGTCCCAAAGAAGGAGATGACTGTTGGGGCCTAATCAAGACAGTTCATCAGGATTTTAAAATCTGAAATGCTACGAGGTTCTTTGAGTGCATTTTGATGATGTGAAAGTCCCTCCTGCTTCGATCTAGTTCATGATGTGACAGTTAATAAAGTTAACTGTCTTTCACAATGATGCCTGTAGGAAAATATAGTCGTCCCCTCGTTAAATTTTCTTGAACCTTCAGGCTCGCCATAAGATTGTTCGAATTGGCATATTAACACCCGGCTTTGATGATGATTCGGAAAATGGCCTGGCTACTTTTTCTGTACTGAACTACTGATGATGTAATAATTCCTTTTTTCTAACAATCTGAAACAAGAGTCATAGTTTGAGATTTAGTCCAGGCTGTACCTAGGTAACGAGAGCAGAATATGGGTTTTATTTTTATAATCATGATTGATATCACCGTTACTTCTAACATGTTCTGTTACAAGGAATAGATCATTTAAAATTTCAAGTGAAAATTTTGCCCGGCACATGATTACTTATCCATTTTTGTCCGAATTTTGGTCCAGACTGCTGCAAGTTACCATGCCATAGCCATTGCTCTCTCCCTAATGGAAGCATACAGCTTAAGTGTTCAGCATGAGCAGACAACCTTAAAAATTCTTCGTTCAAAGCTCGGTCAAGATGACTTGAGGACTCAGGTATGTCTTAAAACAATTCTACTGGTTTTCATAATTTTCTCAGGCCTTGTTCAGCGTTTCTAAAATAATGTTGTTGAACTCTAAGGACGCTGCTGCATGGCTTGAATATTTTGAGTCGAAGGCTATTGAGCAGCAAGAAGCAGCTCGAAATGGTACTCGAAAACCTGATGCATCTATCGCGAGCAAGGGGCATCTGAGGTGTCTTTTTATATCTTATATTGAACAAATATCTGTAAACGTGTTGTCCTTGTCTTGATTTAAAATCCTGAAATATTTTTCAACAATTTTTATATCGAAGCACCTGCCAGCATGCAATTTATCGCATATCATATTGTCTAGATATTGTTCCCTGTTCGTTATGTATATAGTTAACCGTTCAAATCAATAAATATTAACTTGGATTTTTCTTAAAATACTACTGTGGTTTGCAGTGTATCAGACCTACTTGATTACATAAACCCGGATCAAGATTCTAAAGGAAGAGATACAGAGGCGGCCAAGAGGAGAATTTTGGCTACAAAGGTACTTCTGATTCACTTTTAAATATCGTTCAGGCATCTGGGAACAATGTAGCAATCTAGGAACACTCCGTGGCCATAAAGAGTTTCTACGCTTCTCTGATCTTACTGGAACCATTCGTTGAACTATAGGTTGTTCATAAGTCGTGGAAATGCATAATTAAGCAGATGATTGCTAAAATAACGAAAGACCAGTAGTTCATTGCTCAATTAAATTTTTCCTTCAGTTCTACGGGGATCAAGCAATGTTTAAGGCATTTGTGTGTAGTGGAGATTCTAGTTAGAGTCAAAACTACATCTAAATCTTGTACGAGATATGAAGATGAGTACAAACACATGAAGAGATGAGCTTTATTAAATTAGAAAAGGATGCTCTTGTATTTAATTAATTTATGCCAAGTATAGAGAGGGACTAAAATCATGAAAGTACAGCCTAAGGTAAAAACTTTTTGTGGCCGTCTAACTCTTCTCCCAGAAAAAAACTACGCATTTTGCCTCGGGGATGAGCGCTCATCTATATACACTAGAGTAGATTAAAAAATAAAAAATTGAAACTAGGGTTTCTTTTGATCCTTTTCTGAATTAGTGTTAAGTATTTCTCATCGTATTAAAGCTTTAAATTGGTGATATTTTCATCTGAATTAACTATAAGCCAGTCTCTTTGGGAAACCATTCTTCATGTACTGATATACGGACATATTTTTGCCAGTTGAACCGATAAAAGGATGTCCTACTAAGTATCCTCAAATGGAGATATTCGAGCTATTTTGATTGCCTTAGAATGAACCGGGATTATTACTTATGCTCTCTAATTTATGAGTTCCTACCAAGTTGTGTAGTATCCTTCTGTTCTTAAAGTTCAAGTAACCACGACCATTGGTCATTTGATCGCTTATTGACGTAGAATGTTACTCTCAGGTTAAGGTTCGCTCTGCCAAAAGCCTGAATTCTGCAAGCTCTGATGCATTGTCGAAAGATTCCAGTACTACTGCTTCAGAGGAAGAGAAGGAAGAGGACGAACCTAGGACTAATCCAGAGGATAATGTAGCCGTCCAAACAGATTTTCAGCCTCAGATTGAAACCGGAGTTCAAGGGCTATCCAGCGTTGCTCAACAACAACCCGAAGTGATATCTACAGATGATTACACGGACGTTGGTGAATTGCAGACAGAAGTGAATACGGGGGCAGAAGAAGGGTGGCAACCCGTTCAGAGGCCAAGGTCGTACGGCATAACCGGGCAGAAGCTGAGGCATAAGCGTGCAAATATTGGAAAGATCTATGGCTATCAGAAGAAGGATGTCAGCCCCGAAGTTGCCCAATATAAATCCAGGGACTCTTATCCGAACAGCAGATATTACTTCTTGAAAAAGAGAACGGCAACTTCTGCCTATTCAGAGAATAACTACATTAAAGTTCCCTCACCTGGCAGCAAGTTTGGACGCAACGTCAGGTCCATGACATACAGAGTTAAATACGTTCCAGCACCGAACATAATGGAGACGGTCGATAGCACCAGAAATGCTGGCGATCAGAAGAATTCTACGCTGGAATCGTTGGCATCTCCGCCTTCTGATCAGATCACATCCAATACCCAGATTAGCACTCAAGAGGACATCGGCGATCCGTCCAAGAGCCATTCGACTGTCGCTCTTGGGAATTCCCTGTCATATAAGGATGTAGCCCTTGCGCCTCCTGGCACAGTAGGGAAAATTCCGATGAGAAAGGTAATTGGCGCTTCGTTAGACAGAGAAGATACGACTGGAAAGGGCAAAGCCAAGCCAACGGAACAAGCGAAAGTTGACAACTCTTCAGAAGATCTCTCTATTCCTGCAGGCCTTGGCGATGACAACGCAAGGGACCAAGATGTCAGTGAGGAAACAGAAGTCGTCGTTCAAGTACAGGGCCACGTTGAGGTAACGAAAGCGATCCCCAACCAACCACCTTCTGAAACTACAGCGGACGCGCTTGGAGGCATTTCCGCTGGGAGTAATCTGGAGGATGCGGCCCTGCCTGATGAGGTTCATGGCGGAGAATCAGACCTCTGCGCCAAGACTGAGGGTGATGCTACCACTACAAGGAGCTCCGAAACCATTCAGACATCTCATGAAGCCTCACTTGGTGGAGTTGACTCAGATGATTCGATTCTTACTTCACCTGGCGTGCGGGTCGATGCTCTTGAGACGAGCAGTGCTGACAGTCCAAAGGTACAGTCGCCTTCCACCACCTTTGACGTGAGAGAAATGACTAACAGAAAATTGTCCGCCTCGGCTGCACCCTTCAACCCATCTGCTGCAGTCATGCGAGGGCCAGTCGTCCAGAATATAAGGCTCCCCATAAGCAATGCCATTCCCAACGTAGCCCATTGGCCTGTTGCTCTCCAATCTCACCCTACTCCTGCGACAGTCTTGCCAACGCCATCTCCCATGTGCTCATTGCCCCTACACCCTTATCCCACATCTCCTCGGCCGCCTAGCGTCCCCCACCCTGTGCCTTTTGCCTACCCTTCTTATTCTCAGGCTCAAGCCGTGCCCAACACCCTGTTTCCCATGAACACAAACATATTCCACCCCAACCACTTCGCATGGCAATGCAATATGCCGCCAAACGTCCCGGAATTCGTGCCTGGAACAATGTGGCCGTCCTGTCATCCCGCCGATTTCCCCATCATGTCTCCGGTCATCACCCCGATCGCCGAACCAGTGATTGAGCCGAGCATGCAACCAATCAACATCGAAAGCTTGGACCCAGCTCCTCCGACGTTGTCCAAGGATGGGGAAGAGACACAGAGAGAGATCAAGGTGGTATCAGAGGTCACCAACGACGGGTCTGAGAAGAAACCTGAGAATGCGGAGGACTCCAGTGGTGAACTGAAGAGCGAGATTGGTGAGTCTCAGCTTCAGAGCGTCACCACCAAGAAGAACGACGGCGAGGGGAGCCTCAGCATCTTCCTAAGAGGGAGAGGCCGCCGGAAACAGACCCTCAGAATGCCGCTGAGCCTGCTGAACAAGCCCTTTGGTGGGAAGTCATTCAAGGTTATCTACCACAGGGTGGTCAGAGGAAACGACTCTCCCAAGCCCACCAATGCTTCCTCAAACGGCGAGGAGAACGCAACCACTCCGGCATGAGAAAAACCCTCCTTCAAGATTTTCTGTGGCCACTAGATGCAGATTCACAGCTCCTCTCGCAGGAGCTGTTCAACTTCGGGTAAACATTTTTGCTAGAACAAGAACACTCAGAATGCACCTGCAAGAGGGAGCCGGACCCGCTGACCTCACTGTGACGTCGAAAAACGCAGAGGTCTGTGCCCCCACCCCGCCCTCTCCTTCACATCATGAAAACGAGCTTTGACCTCTTCCATTTCATTTAATTTAATTTTTTTTTTTTTCTATGTAGGTTATCAGGCTCTTTTTTCCCCCACCTTTTTCCTCTTCCTTCTGAGATTTTCGTCGGGGCTGTACAAAAAGGTTGCTTAATCGGGAGTTGGAAGGAGCAGAGTCATGATATGGACTAATCTAGGGACTATCGAGAGTATTCTTTTCTCATTTATTGGGCCAGAACCTTCTCTCTCTCTCTCTCTCTGTTAAATGGGCTCCGCCGCGTCTCCTCTTTCCTCGAGCACAAAAAAAAATAAAAAAAATTGGCTCTCCCTATTTCTTGAGGATGATAATAATTTCTCATCGCGATCCGTCAGATGTCTCACATTTTTTTGAAGCTTTTACTATCTGACCATTTTGTACCTGACTTAATTTGATCCGTCCGTCTTTTTTATGCCTCAATTTTGGTATTTTCATGTATATGTAAAATACCTGAATATTTTTCAACTTAATGTTGAAGCGGTTGACCTATGTGTTGACCTTTTCTCAGTGGTTATTGGGTGTCCACTCTTTTGCTTTCATAATGTTAAAAATTTCTTGAAAAATTTATTATTATTACATGCTTTAACGAGACTTGATAGAGAGAGAGAGAGAGAGAGAGAGAGAGAGAGAAAGAGATGGGATCCCTTTGGTTGAGGTGTCAAAACATGAATTGGTTTAACAAATAAACATGTATTGCACAAAACTCTAGACACAGGCTCTAGATGGCTCTTGTTGAAAGGCCATGAATAGGTTGAGAGACTAGAGAGAGAGAGAATATAATAACTAAGATTTTTGAAGTCTTATGTTCATTGATAGGAGATGGTGAGTCTCTATTCTCTACACAGAGTTCTTCACGAGGTTCTTTCGACCTCTTCTTTCTATGGCCACTCAACTCCTCTTTATAGATGAAGTCCTTTGGTGTTAGTGACCACCTCTCATCTCACTTTGATTGAGTCTAATAGGACTTGAGGCTTGCCATACTTTATTAGTGCCAAGTTTACCACAATTTTCTATCAAATTTCATCCACCACACACATCTCTTATCTTACAAGATCTCATGTGTGGTTGTCCCCTTTGGTGTTTGGATCTCATTTACCTTATTTCCTTCTTGGGTTGGGCTAACTTTTTCGATACCTTTTTCCATGTGAACCTATTTGGGTTGTTAGGGTCTCAACAATACTCTCCCCTCCTATTTACACACTTTGTCTTCAATGTGGAAATTAGGAGATTGTCAAAAGATGTCACGGGCATTCTCCTAGGTGGTAGACTATGAGGGTGGTAGTGGACGTCTACAACTCAAATCAGAATCACCGTCCAATGCAGGTCGCTATCTATTAGTAACTTAGGCATTGTTAGGGGCTCCTCTTGTTGCTCCACCTTCTTTAGTTGGGACACATGGAATACTAGATGGACTTAGCTTAAGACAAAAAGGTCCATATGCCACTAGCTCAATATGGTGAAATGGGCCATAAAAATGGTGGCATACTTTGAATGCCCTTCGTTGCTCTACCTTCTTTTGCTCCACTATATCAGGCTAGTGGCATACTTTGAATAGACCATAAAATGAGGAGCGAGTTTTGTGTAGGGTCGTCGTGTGACTGTAGTCTGGTGGTAGTGTCGTAAACAAAGGTAAACCCATTCACCTACCTAGAATCAAGTTTCATTTACTTGAGGTCAGCAAAGTACTTCATCTGAGCTTAGGCACATGCCAGATTGTCTAAGTTGTGTAAAGATCTCTTATCACTTTTGTAGTCATTGCTCTAAATCATTCGAGGCAATTGGCTTGCTAGTGAAATAGATCAAGGTGGGTAGACTTCTAAAATGGGCTCATCCCTATAGAATAGTTAAAGTTCATGTTGTACTAAAACTCTAATTAGCCACCTCTAATTGGTTCTTGATCTATAGATGATAAGCATTGATCCATCTAAGTGTGATCCTTTATTAATGGAAGAGAGTATGTAAGAGGCTGCTCATGAAGATCCGATCTTGATTGGTAAGGATGGACCTTGAAAATCTGCACAACTAAACAAAATCTTAGATGACCACTATCGTCACTATGTTGTGAAGGGGTGACAAAATGTAGAAAAATGAATATATTTATTGAGTCAATCAACGACAACTAGAATGACATTCTAATCATGGGAGATGGACAATCCTTCAATAAAGTCCATTGTCAGGTCTTCTCATATCCAATTTGAAATGAGCAAAGGTTAAAGAAGTCCTACTAGTGACAACGCTTCTAATTTACTTCTCTAGCAACTCGAGCAAGTGGCCACATAGTGTACGACTATTGCCTTCATTTCCTTCTAACATACATTTTGTTTGAGCTGAAGGTAAGTCTAGTAAAAGTTAGAATGACTTTCCATTGTTGTGTGATGAAACTCTCGTAGAAGGGCTAAAGGAGACGTGAGGTCACCAATATCATGATTCATCCTCGAGGGAAGAGGTTACTTTACTGTAGTGAGTAGTGTCTCTATTTTGCTGATTCAATAAGTAGTTTCTCAATAATATTTCAAAAGTATTGGCCAACCTAATTCTCCCAAGTAATTTTGGTAAGATTGAACACCTTCGGGCCAAAAAGAGAATATCTAAATCTATACTTATTCAGGGGCATGAGACAAAACATCTGCCGCTCAATTATTATGGCTTGATTTGAAGCATATCTTGAAGTTAAATGAGATAATATTTGTCAACCACTTCAGATAATTAAGGAGTATATGTTGTTGTTCTACTAATCTATACAAATCTAGAACCGATAGTCAAGAAGGTAATGTCGCCATTTGAGATCAGTTTGCACTTGTAAGTGGGCTTTTGTAGACGAGTTGACACGAGCTTAGCTAAAGAAAGCTATGGGTCTCTGGTGTTGCATGAGGACAACTCCTACTCTACGACCAAAGGTGTCTGTCTCAATCTCAAACATGACGAAATTTTTTGACAAGGTGAACACTTGAATTGTCATCAGGGCTTGTTTGAGCTATTGAAAAGCTTCTTCAAGCATTAGGTTTCAACGAAAAGCCTCCTTATTCAATTATTGTGTCAATGGCCAAACAATCTATCCAAAGCCATGGATGAAGCGGCAATAATATCTCACCAAGCCCAAGAAACCTCAGAGATCTCAGAGGGTTGTGGGGGATGACCACTAATAGATGGGGGTGATCTCTTTGAGGACTACAATAACTCCTTCAACTAATATCCAATAGCCTAAGTACATAATTCTCTTCTAACTTAACAAACTTTTTTCTAGATGAATGTGAAATTGGTATTTGTAGAGAACAAAAAATACCCAGACAAAATGACCCTTGTGTTCCTTTCTAATTCAGTTGTAGATGAGGATCTCGTCAAAGAACACCGAGACAAATCATTACAAAAATGTATGTGATACATTCAAAAAACTATTTTTGACACATCTTTCATTCAGACGTGGACTTAGTGGTAGTTAGATTGTAGGTTGAGCTTTGAGAAGATAGTGGCTCCTTGTAGCTCGTCAATGAGCTCATATGTGACTGAGATAGAAAATTAGTCTAGAATTATTACCTTATTCAACATGTGATAAGTTACACAGAAGCATCACAAACCTTCTTTCTTTCAGATGAGGAGTGTCGGGCTGGAGAAAAGGATGTGAGAACGTTGGATGAGCTTAGTCACTAGCATGGTCACCACTTACTTCTCTAATTTGGTTTTCTCAAAGTGACGGTAGTAGAAGGGACAGACGTGGATTGTCTAGCTACTTGGCTCTATGATGATACAATATTCATACTCGTAGGTTAAGAAAATACCAATGATGTTTGCGAAGACCTATGAAAAATGCTCATGAAAGTTCCCTTGTTAAGGGTTCATTTGACATTATGTCGTTATTAGGCCCTAATTGGAACATCTTGAAGTATGCTTCCCCCTTATATGGTCTCCTGATCAAGGTATCCAGTTGATGTCATTTTCTTTGATCAGAGGTTTCCACCACAATCATCACCTTTTTTTATCGATAGAGTATGATAGTGTCTAGACATCCAAATCAAGCTCCAACTTGTGTCTTTCTTCAATTCAATGAATCCCTAAGATGTTATCGACTGAGGTAAGGTGAAAGACATTTGAGATGATGGTATTCATGAAATCAATAATGAGGTTGTGACACATTTTTGAGATGAGGATTATCTTGCCTGTGTTGGTGGCTTCCTAGTAGGGTGTTGTCTTGACGGTTGATAGTTGTTGCTCTCAAACCAAGTGACTATTGAGCATTACTCATGTATTGAGTAGACTAAAAACTTATCACCTTTAGATCATTCTTTTGAAATATATAGCTTGCCCATGGAGATGACCAGACATGAGTGGAGGAACACTTTGAGTTAGACAATCTTGCCTTCATATAGTGATGGGTCGTATGAGAACTCCTTTGCTTGTGTATCATCTGATGTTAAATTAAAGTCAGCGAGAGTGAATAAAATATTTAACTCTTATTTGCACCAATAGCTAGGTATGAATTTCTCATCGTAGTGGAAATATAGGCCTTGGGCCTATCACACTTAAATTTCATCGATTGTGAGATGCAGGCATCAACAGTGATCGGTCAGAGGTGTTCTAGTGGTAGAGATCCATGGGCCTATTGCCATTGGTCCAAGGCCCTATCCTCCTTTGTGATTGCTTGCGTCATACAGTGGAAGATATATTTGGCACCCATCATACACCGAAGACCCTCTCTTCATCCCCCCTCCTTGTTGTGGTTGACCTTTGTTCGTTAGTGTCATCAATTTTATTTCAACCCTCTAAGTGGTTTACATCATTGGTTCTAGGCCATGTGGGTTGAGGGTGATCACTTATGCATGTATATCCCACTAGAAACTTTTGAGGAAGTTGCCTTTTAGATTAGCATCTGGCACGTCACAATGTATGCGAGACAATAGTTTAAATTGTTCCCAATAATCTTCCACTAACCTCATCTGCCTAAGTTTGATGAATTGTTGACTAAAGGAGCTAGAGTGTTTATCTTCATAGCATTCCAACAACATATACTTTAGGTCTTCCAAGATGTGGAATGATTGTCGACATTCAACTCAATGGAGCCAATGGAGGGCCTTCCCATCCATGTTGATACTCACCTCTGCTAGTTGTTAAGGCGCCATTAATCGACAGGTGGAGAAATATATCTCCACGTGTTATATCCAGCTTTCTAAGTTAGAACCTGTGAAGATGGAAAACTTCAATCATTATCAGGGGTTGGGTTCTAGAGGTACTCATGGTTGGTGATACCCAAGCAATTCGACATGAGCGTATGAGTTGGCAATTGAATCCTCTTGGTAACAAGGGTTACTTGATGGAACTGGGGTTCAGCTTGCACTAGTTTCTTTGAGGGGGCACTCCTCTGATGGCTCCAGGATAAGTTTGACCTTACCAACTCAATTAGGAGAAATGCATACTTAGCACTGAATATTGTTCAAGATATGGGCCACTGGTGCTAATTGATGAGAGACTGAATTCAATCTTTGGTTCATTGCAACCTACTTTACTCATATTGCTTAGAGCTGTTTGATGTGAGCTGTCAAATTATTTCTCATGAGGTGTCAAAACTCTTCTAACTCTTTCGAGAGAGAGTTGAGTTTGGGGTAAGAGGATTTAGGCTCCATGTAAATTGTGGTTCGGTTTTAATACCAATTGATGAAATCTCTTTGGTTGAGGTGTCAAAATATGGACTAGTTTAATAAATAAACATGTCTTGTATAAAACTCTATGCACCTGGGCTCCAAATAACTCATGTCGAAAGGTCGTGAATGGGTGGGTTGAGAGATTAGAGAGAGAGAGAACACAATAACTAAGACCTCTGAAGTCTTGGGGTCGCCGATGTGAGATGGCAAGTCTTCACTTTGCATAGAGTTCTTTGCAAGGGTCTCCTGACCTTCTCTTTTTGTGGCCACTCAACTCTTCTTTATAGCTAAAGTCTTTTGGCGTTGGTGACCACCTCCCATCTCACTCCGATCAAGTCCAACATGACTTGAGACTTAACACGCTCCATTTGTGTCAAGTCTGCCACAATTTTCCACTGAATTCCATATACCACACACGTCTCATGTCTTGCGGGCTATCCTGTGCAGTTGTCTCCTTTGGTGTCTGGATCCCATCTGCCTTGCTTCATTCTTGAGATGGGCCGGCTTCTTCAAGACCTCTTTCCCTATGTGCCCATTTGGGTTGTCAAGGTCTCAACAGAGAGAGAGACAGAAGTGGGCCCTATTAGTTGATGACCCATTAAGACCCATATTAGATCCGAATCCGTGAACAATCACATCAGATCCGAATCCCTTGGCTAGGTGGGGAGGGAGGGACGGGGGAAGAGAGAACGCTGAGCTTTTCCGGCCCATTACGGCTGACCTAAAATCCGGAAACCCATTGTGATGTGGATCCGTATCCGTAACCGTCAAAGGCGAACAAGAAATGTCGGGTCGGATCCGGACAACTGTCGGACCAGTTTGATCCGTCCAATGCGGTTGTATCTTGGCTGGCGGAGATTAGATAGTCTCGGCTCGCTACGATATCCCTTTGCCCGCCTCTTTCTCCTCTTCTAGCGACCGCTATACGGGAACCCTAATCCTCTCGGGGATTGGATTCTCTCCAGTCCTGTCGCTGCGGCTCCAGGAGGAAAGGGTGTTGGCCGGCGCTTGTTAGAGAAACTACGCCAAGATAACCGCGATCTCCCCTTCCATTGGATCGGTGAGTCCCTCTTTTTTGCCTCTCTTTCGACCATTTTGTTGTCGGATAATCTTCGACCTCAGGTCTCTCCTTGCGGGCGGGGTCTCGGTTTGTAGGCGGCAATCGGTTGTGACTCGTGTCTCTTTCTGTGTTCGTCAATCTCCATGTATTTACTGGCTTGCATCCCGTGCTATTCCGTACTCATTTGGGGACTGCATAGCTGTTTATTTGGAAATCTGTTTATTTAGGATTAGGTAAACAATAGTGGTTGCAGAAGGACACGGTCATCTTCCCTCTCTTCTCGTACGGCATCACCGGTTCTATAGGGGATTAGCGGAGTTTCTTCCGTCCTCCGTTGAATCTATTTTCGTATCTAAAGGGAACAAGCTCTGAAAATGGCATCCGTTCTATCTGCACCTCCAAACACACCTTGTCCACATTGATTCCTTGAAGACTGTTTAAGTGTTATTTTAACCCGTAGAACACGAAAACCGTAAAATAGTGTATCAGCTGCAAATCAATAATTTTCATGTCGCTCCCAAAATCTGTTATTCCTCTCCTTAGTGCATTGATTTCAAATGTAAATTGCCTTATTGTTCCTGTCATCTGTTCTTCCTCCCCTATCCTAAAGGGCCAGGGCAGTACATGTAAGACCACCTTACCCCGTTTTTCTCCGAGGACCTTGAGCACAGAAAAGCCCTTGCTCATTGATCGCAGGACTAACTCGTAGAGAATGCCCTTAATGCGAGACACTACAACGATATTATCTGATATTTATTTTTGCTAACGACGGAAAGCCCAGTTATCTGCAACTTGTGTCAATGCCGTGTTTTTTTAACTACGTCGAATATAGAGACAGAATAGTGTCCAAACTATTGAAAAAATATCTTTCGAATAAAATCTTTCTGCTTCCAGCTGCTCGAAGGTTTGACATTTGACACTCTCATCCTGAGATTGGACGACTATTATTTTTTTTCCTGCTAAAATGCGCTTATTTTATATATTTAATCAATATGATGCCCCAAACTTTAAATCATTTTAATCTTCCATCGGCAAGCACCTGGCATTCTAGAAAATTTCCATCACCCTGCTCAGTTGAAAAATTGTTAACGTATTGTGGGCTGGCTTCTTTTGCTTTGTCTTCAATAGAACTTACATGATTATTTTTTTTTAAAATCTTGTACAGCCTGAACGCGAAATAGTTGTTTTGGCATTAAATCATTCTACATGTGCTGTACGCCTTTTTTTTGTTGATGTTTTAAGCAGATTCTTGCTTTGTTCTATACATGCTGCTCATCAGACTAGTGAGATTTTATGTATTCTAAGACTAGAACTATGATTTATTCTTTTCTACCCAGCGGCTATATTTCTGTCTCTCACTCTTCGATCCATTTCATGCGCTGTTTTTATATATTATATTCCATTATACAATACTTTTATGTGCTAGATTGTTTTTTTCCTGTTATCAAATGGCCAACTTATATATTTAATACTTAGGGTTATTTGATCTTATTTTGACCATAATGCTTCGTCAAGGTTATCGACCTATCTCCCTAACCATATTTCAGACGAAAGAAAGACACGGAAGATATATTCCCCTGTTTATAAGCATATTTTCCCCCAGCATGTGTGTGAAAAAAAAAAATCATTTTTTTTATTTATGTTCCTTTCAGATGGCCGCAAAACCTTTAACAACTGAAGCTATTGCATTGACAGAAAAGAAAATGGACATGAGCCTAGGTATCTCTTTTTTTTTCATATACTTGAAACGTTGGTTTTTCCTGTATTTGTTTGGAGGAAGTAATTATCAATGCTTCGTTGATGTTTGCAGATGATATTATCAAAATGTCCAAGAAAAACAGTTCTAATGGAAAAAAACCTCCTAGGATTTCGGTTAGTCCTTTCTCCATGATTGGTTCACTCTTTTTTTAGCCATAATTCTATTGAGTGCTGACATTTCTATCTGTCCTTTTAATAGAATAAGAGCCGAGGATTCTCAAAACCTGTTGCTCCCCAGAGGAACTCCTCCAAGGCTCAAAGATTTACGGATTCAAGAGTGTTGGTTAGACAGGTATTCTGAAGCTTCTCTATGAGATATTTCTTGGTCCCTTCTACATGCTAATTTCCGAACTTTATTCTGTGTTTAGGGTGTACTTGCGCAGAAAAGAACTAATTTCCGATCAAATCAGTTTCCTTTGACTACTGAAGTTGCTAGAAAAGCCCAGGTTGCTCCAATTCGCAATAGAGGGGTCAATTGGCACAACCAGAGGTATGCTTTTGGGTATAATGCTTATATACTGTATTTTTTGCCATTTTCTATATTATGTATTTTTTTCTGGTCAAATGCTTATACACTTTTATATTTTTAGGTAAATAATGGTCCCCTCATTTCAGTTTCATCCTATGTTCCTTATGTTTCATTATGTCAACATTATCCATGATGCAAGCCCAGCTACAATAAGAGTGATGATGTTGAATTTGACATTCAAGGAACTATCTCTGGGTCTTATGAATACTATGGTCTGAATAATAATTTCAGTTTGGACATATTTTCATATGAAGTTGTCGATTACCTCCGTTACATTGCAATGGAACTTTGTGTCAACGTTCTGGCTAGCGCAGTTTTTGTGGAGACTGCAGAACTCTGTTCGAAGTTAATCTCAGCTGCATTTATCACAGGCAAGGTGACACTGTAGTAGCGTTTATGCGTGCGGACCAGCGCTTATTGATGCACGTAACATCTTTTGGTTCAATTAGATTGATGTAGATTCTTGCCTAAAGGTGAACTGAAATAAATAGGTTCCAAGGTGCCCAAGAACATATTGTTCAAGGTTATTCAAGCTATGCAGTTAGAACCTTTGGATTCAAACAAGTGATTGACTAGCAATTTGTTTGTTTTGTGGAACTCGTACTTACTCTATGCCATCTGCTACGAAATTTAGGGGCCAGTTGCATGTGAGGATTCAGTTGATTCTTTCTCCATTTGCACTCGTCTGTTCTTTGGAAAGCACTGAATTTTGTGGAAGAATTGTCCTCCTCCACAACTGAATTCGTCGTCATTGCCTTCCTTCTGAGGATTCATAAATAGAAATCCATGATACCTGCTGTATAGTTCTGACAAGGCAACCTGGTCTGGGATCTACAGTATGTCTATCCCCAAGCAGTGGAGAATGACAGATCCGTCCCTCCAAAACGCGGGTCAACTCAAGTCAAACCATTTTATCGGAAATGGGCTGACATTCCTGCCGTCATTTTGTATCACACGGTCAACAAACCTTCTCTCTGAAATCGTGGCCTCCATCGACGCTCTGTGCAACTGGCTGCGATGATCTGAGTGGATGCAGTGCTAAAAACTGGAATCAGCCACACCATATCATATCGGCAACGCTCGCAGTTTCTCTCTTAGCCGGAGGCCATTTTGTTTGCCGGGCGGCGTATAGTATTATCATTGGGAACCATTTTAAGCATCATTTTCTGATTCTTGCCATGCATCATTTGCTGCCCCCTCCTGGTGAGTGATGATTCTTCCATGGAGCTTATATGGGCCACACTCTTTATGGGGGGTACAAGACCGGAGACTGGTATCTTCCCTGTCATGTTTGTGGGCGTTGTTGATTCTCTTTGACTTTTGAGAGGGTTTGACCGGTGTCTCATGTGTTGAGATGGTGAGTCTATTCTGAATCCTGAGCGAAGTCAACCGAAATGTGTCCCTCCACAGGCAGAGAGCTCAATCTACTCTGAGTGGGTAGTGAACTAAGGTTTATTTATGGGAAAATCAATGACGAATTTTTGATTCCTGGTGCAGAGTTGCAGCAGCCCCTCCCGCCCAGATTCGCGCTCCTGAAAGCTCCAACGTGAAGGTAAGCTCTCTTCTTTACCTCACTTGAAACTTTCTTCGTCTCTCCATTAGAGAGAGAGGAGCTCGTGCGGTACTGACGATGTTTAGCACCGGCGCAGGAGAACGCGGTGAAACCGCGGCCGCAGACTCTGGACGCCCTCTTCGCCAACATGAAGCAGCAGAGGATGAGAGCGGCGAATCAGCAGGTGCTGCGTGGCGCCGGCGGAGTGGGCGGTGGCGCCGCCGCCGCTGCCTCTGGCGCGACAAACCCGCAGCGGTGGCGGGGGCAGCAGCTGCGCGGTAGGGGTGGTGGATTTCTCGTCGGCGCCACGCGTCGGCTGGTAACCTCCACTAAACGCTACTAATGAAACGTCACGTCAGATGTTTTGGGGGTACGTGTCAGCTCTATGTCACCCGATGGCCAACCCTTATCTGTTGTGCAGTTCTTTTCCCATCGCCTGCAACGTCGCTCGCCTTCGAACCACACTTCTCTTGTGGTTTCTCCTTACAAAAAAGACTAGCTCTGTCTCTGTCTCTGTCTATCTCTGTAATCTACAAGGGAAGCGGATCTCGACAAGCTGTGTTCTCCATCTTATTTAGAAACTTTCTTTTGCACAGTGGTGGTGGGCTCTGAGCCCAGCAATGGAAAACGTACTACTACATCATTGAGTTAGAATACAGAAGAAGATTGTGAGCAGGTCCGGAGGCCAGCTCCCTGGCGATGCGCCTGACTCTGAAGCAGACAACAGACGAACAGAAGCTCTACGACTTGGGAGGCCTCCCCACCTCTGACTCCTCTGTCCTCGCAAACCTTCCCCGTACCCTCGGCTGGCTGTCCGCCAACGCCTTCCTGCAAGCGTACTGCAATACAGAGAGAGAGGGCACAAGTTCTTATTCTGCTTCGTTAATGGAAAAAGGCCAGTTATTTATTTTTTATTATTATTATTATTATTATTATTATTATTATTACTACTATTAGCTCACCTCGATCTTCCTCCCGAAGTTCCTCCTCGTCTTCTTCTTTCGGTATCTGGAGAGCTTCTGCCTGCGCTCCTCGATCCTGTCGAAGTGGGGAGGAGGGAGAGAGGGAGGGAGGTGTCTGAGCGTCGTACCGTTCCCCCCAAGGCTCTGCCCGCAGGAAAACGCTTACTGAGCTCTCAAACTGAGGTTGCAGAGGAGGAAGGGATCGTTCAGTTGTGGAACCTGGATGTCTCCCTCGCTGTGGGCTCTCCTCATTCCGAATACCGCTTGCAGGTCCATCCCCTGGAAGTCCAGGAAGTTGGGCCTCGTGATTCGGCCTCCTCCGTTGCGCCGCCAGTCCTCAGAGGTCAGACAGCCGGAGCTGACGCTCCTTTGCATCGGCCCCTCGCCGGCGACCTTGTCTCTATCTCCCTCGATCGACGAGATCTTGGCGTCCTGCTGCTGCTGCTCGGGGGAGGCGTCTTCTTCGATCACGGATTTCAAGGGTTGACAGTCGTCCCCGATCGGGTCGATGGTGGCGCGGCTGATCTCCTCCTCCGCTGGGATGGCGCCGTCGCCGGTGGACATCATGGAGATGGCGGCGGCGACGAGGTCGAAGTCCATCGGCGGTTCCTCGATGATGGGCTCCGGTGCCTTGAAGAGGTCTCCTTCTCCCCCCAGATCGTACTCCGTCACGGTTGAGCTCTGCAGCACGTTGTCCTGCAGCAGGAACAGTGCGAGAGTGAGAGAGAGGATCGAAAAATCTGTTCCCATCGATCGGTCCCAAGTTCGGAATTCTAATTGGCTGATGATTTTCAGATCAGAGCAGATTTTATTTCACGGGGATGATCCGAGAGTCGTTCTCCAATCGTCATTTCGGCAGATCGGAGGAAGATCTTCTTCGATCAACCAAGCCGGAGATCGGGGAAGACGATGATTACCAGGTCGCTATCATGGAGGCTGCTGCGGTCGATCTGCAGGCGGCGGAGCAGCTCCACCTGCTGGCTGTGGTAGAACTCCGGCAAGATGCCCTGAAAATAGGGGAACATCATCCCCGTCTCTGCGTACATCTCCCTCCACAGTTCTCGCCGCCCTGCTGAAATTAGGGTTCTTCCAGTGGAGGGCAATCATAGACGACGAGCCCCCTCCGAGATGCCTCGCTCTCTGCTCTATATATAGCGAAAAATGGCGGCGTAGAGAGAGAGAAAGAGAGAGATAGAGACAGAGAGGAAGGGGAAGGAGAAGAATCCTGGTGTGGACGGGAAAGGAGAAGGATAGAGAGGTGAGATGATGGTGGGGGTGAGGTGGTCCTCGGGGAGCATAAAGAAGATGAGAATCCTTCCTCTACACGACAAGCCGTAATGGCGATCTGTTCACCACTTTCTCTCTCTCTCTCTCTCCCCTATGCAATTTCCCTCACCCTCCTTGTCTTTTCAGCTTTCTTTCTCCCTTTGATCGGCCGCCGATGGAGAATTTCCAGAACATATGCTCTAATCTTTCTCTCTCTACTCTCTCTCTCTCTTTCTGTAAACAGAGCTTCTTCTTTCACCCACGAGGAGAAATCTGCAGAGAGAGGATGGGGAATCGCAGATGGGACAGGCGAGAAAAAAGTGCCCGTGCCGAGTGCGGACAAAGACGGCTCCGGAGAGTTGACACACGGGGGAGACGGCGGGGATGAGGAAGACGACAGAGGAAAAGCTCGGCGGGACCCCGTGGTGGACAGTCTCCTTCTTCTTCCTCTTCCAGGCCTGCGAAGAAATTAGGTTTACGGCTCCGACTTTCGCAACGGGCCAAAAAGGGGACTGCAGACGGGGGAGAACTGGTGCAACTTACTGCTGTGGCCTTCTCGGTGGAGCTACTGCTGCTGCTGCCCCCGCCATTAAACTACAGAGCCACTGCGGGCCCGGGACAGGGAGCACCATCATGTTGCCCTCAGATGGCCGATTAATGGCGGCAAACCCTAAATTATATGCCTCGGTGGACGTCAGGGGCGACGTAAGGCAAACCCTGCTTCCTCCTCCCAATGATAATGTCGGCCGAAGGCCCCCGTGTGCCATCTGCGAGCACAGGGAGGGGAGCCCGGCGAAGATTCCAATGATCCGGAATCTTCAGACGACTGTGGCGGGGGTTCGAAACCCTAAAAGCAGAGGACAATCCATGGCGGAGCGCCAGAAGAACTCTCTTCTCCACCCCGTAGTCTCCGACGGCCGGCCACTTCACATCGCCTTCAAATCAGTATCTCCTCGGCTGGGGACGGGCCAGCTGGGAAGTCACAGAGAGAAGGAACCCTAAGAGCCTATCAGAAACCTGCAAACCCTAATTGGCCATGGATTCGCCGCTAATCGGGTGTCCACCACCGCAGGAATGGCCTCAGAAAGATCTTAGGGGACAACAGTGAGTCGCTGTCGAACAATGGCAACTGCCATCCACCGCCGCCTTCCTCACGAGAATATAAGGGACAGGACCTTATCACGGAGGCGGCCCACGACGGTGACACCGGCGGCCCATGACGACGATGACGACGATCGCCCTCTGGGTACGCTAAATCCATCATCATCATCATCAAGAAGATTTTCATAGTCTGGATTAAGAGGATAGAAGACGACGGTGAAGCTGCCGTCCAATTGGCCGAGCGCGCTTCCCGAAATCGCTGATGAAATACGCCATCACTTCGACTTGACTTGCGGACGTTGACTCCCACATGATAAGTAAACCTCTCTTCTTCTTCTCTCCTTTCACTCTCTCTCTCTGTCTCTGTCTGTCTGTCTGTCTCTCTCTCTCTCTCTTTATGCGGGAACTTCAATGGGCCCGGCTGGCGGAGATATTATCCGGCCCAAAAGCACGGAGAATTCCTAACTTCCCCGTTATGCATCTGGGCAGGAGCCCATTTCTTTGTGTTTTCTCTCGTTGCCCCCATTAGCGCATTGAATGGAAAAGGTCGTAGCCCATTTTTGAGCATTGGCATCGGCCCATTGGTTATGTTTGGGCCCATTGCGAGATCAGAAACGAGCGGAGAGGCCAGTCTTGGGATGGCGAACCGGATAAACGGCCTCGTCTGCCGCCGGGAGGACGGAGTGCTGCGAAGACTCTCCCTCTCGCTCTCTCTCTCTCCTCCTTCTCTCCCTTCTCTCTCTCTCTTCTCTCTTTCTCTCTCTCGCTTCTCTCTTCTGATGGGGGACAAATTTAGAAAATCAGATTATCCTTCTGAATTGAGGTACATCAAATTAAGGTTTGTAAAGAAGGTGCTTTAAGACTTTCAAACTGGGGTTTAAGTCACTATGCTTGATCACGCAATTAAGGAAATTTGAGACCGTTTTAATCACCTTAATTAGGGTTGCTCATTCAATAAATCAGAGAAGACTTATTCCGGAGGAATGGATCACCGAACTTTGGAATTTAGTAGCTATTCTATGGATACTCACTTCTAAAGCAAGGGAGTTATAATTCAATTAGGGAATTTAGTAACTATCATATGGATACTCATTCAATTAGGGTTATAAACTTTGATCAATCACCACAATAATTTAGAGGTAAAGATACCTTGCTGGAACCCTTGAAAACTCTTAATAATTCTTGGAGTAGTTGGTTTGATCCTCCTTAGGAGTTCCACACTTTGAGAAGAAGATGAATGGAGAGGAAACAGGGAGGAAAAGAATAAAAGAGAAGACACTCCTAAAGCTGAAGATGAGGAAGAGAGGGAATTCAGTGAAAGATGGAGAAGGAAAGGGAAAGAGATAAGATCAAGGAAGAGGTTACAAGGGAAAGAAGATGGGAGAGAACGGAAGTGAGGGAGAGAATGAACGAGTAAGGGAGAGACGGAAAATTGACATGGATAGGAGGCGAGAGAGAGAGAAAAAGGTAGTTGTCGTGGCGATGACTGCCGGAGAGAGAGAGAAAAAAGGTGGGTCTCGTGCTGACTGCAGGAGAGAGAGAGAAAGGGGCTAAACGAGGGCGCCAGCGGGCGAGAGAAAAGAGACGGCTCTCATGCTGACGGCGGAAGAGAGAGAAAAGGGGGCGACGGGTGATCGGCGAGGAAATGGAAGGCGGCGACGAGGCGGACAGTGACGAGGCAGAACGGTGGTGGCGAGGCGGACGACGAGGCGGCGGAAAGGCGGCGACGGGCGGCGGCGACGGGCGGCGGCGACGGGCGGCGACGGGCGGCGGCAAGAAGGTGGGAACGGGAACGACAGGGCGGATGGCGTCGGGGCGGACGACGAGGAGGACGGGATGATGGCAGCGAGGCGGAAGGCGAGGAGCAGGCTGGCGGCGACGGGCGGTGGTAAGGCGGTAGAAATCGTGACGAAGGGGTGGACGGAGAAGAGGCAGAACGGTGGCAGCGAGGTGAGCGACGAGGAGGCAGAGAAAGAGAGGGGAAAAGGGACTAGGGAAGAGATAGAGGGAACGAGGGGAAGGGGATGCCGGTGGAGGAGAAGAAGTGGAAGGAGGGAGAACGAAGGGGTTCCGGCGGAGGAGAAGGGGAAGAAGGGGAAGAAGGGAAAGAACGAGAGAGTAAAGGCGGGAAAGATAAGATGGTATTCCATCTTCCATTTATAGAAAACGAGATGAATGAGAGAGAGAGAGGGTAGTTGGGCGGTTAGAAACAACTCTTGGGTAGAGATGGTGTCTCCATGGGCCCATTGGCTGATGGGCACTTCCTCCATGGGCTCTTCTTCTATGGGCTCTCTTCTTCTTCTTCTGGAGTCCTTTGAATAAGGTGAATCCTCTTATTAGTCCAAGTGTCAAAGTCAGTTTTAACTGAGGTGGGAATCTGCCCTTAGTCAGCTTTCTGGATCTCAACATCAGTATTCAATTCTCTCCCCTTGTTCTGTTGAAGTGTTCCGATTAGTAACCTTTAGGTGTCTGAAGTATCCAATCGAGGTTGATCATTTTCTAGAGTTGACTCCGTTGAGTTGACTTTAGATGAAGAGATGTTTGGCTCAATCACTCCATCATCTTCTGTCTTCCTCTCTCTCTCTCTCTCTCTCTCTGCGAAGACTCCCTCCTCTCTTTCTCTCTCTTCCTCTCTCTCGCTTCTCTCTTCACTCTTTCTCTCGCTTCCTCTCCTCTCTCTCTCTCCCTCCCTCTCTCCTTCTCTGCGAAGACTCTCTCTCTTCCTCTCTTCTCTCTCTCTCTCCCTCTCTCCTTCTCTGCGAAGACTCTCTCTCTTCCTCTCTTCTCTCTCTCTCTCTTCTCTCTCTCTCTCTTCCTCTCTCCTCCTCTGCGAAGACTCTTTCTCTTCCTCTCTTCTTTCTCTTTCTCTTTCTCTTCTCTCTCTCCCTCTCTGCGAAGATTCTCTCTCTTCTCTCTCTCTCTCTCTATCCTTGTAGAAGAAGCTCAGGTATCTCCGGCAGACGACGAACTCGTCGGAATCGTGAGAGGAGCTATTCGAATCCTACGGCTGCTGCCGCCGCTTTTCCCCAAATAGGCCGGGCTCGGGATCGTATTAGCCGCTCGATTAGCAATACTTTTGACTCGAAGTCCGCATGCACTAATTGACCGACTGCTACACGACGTTCGATTCAGCTTTTTCCTAATATCTGATGTCAACTCAGGACATCAAGTCTATGTTTTCACGCTTTTCGGCGACCAACTGCGTGACGGCGTCGTAGAACCAAACTAAGACGTCACTATTTAACTCTGTAGGGTGTTTTTTAAAATCCTCAATGTGGTCGGTGCCCTCCGAGAGGGAAGTCAACGCGCGGTCGCGTGGGACGACTGAGACCACAGGAAGATAAATGTATCTACCATTAATGAATAATCATTAGGATTATTTCATTTAAGATATGTTAAATATATATTTTTTATATTGGGTGGGTAAATATGATGTCGTCGAACGATATTACAAGCATTTAATACTTTAATTAATAATATATATTTTTTAATCGAGGAGAATGAACCAAATTATCGGGTGATATTATAATATTTTAAAATGGACTTATAGAGAAAAAATAATCTGGGTAGTACAATTGCTATCGACACATCGACGAGTCGGCGTGACTGCAGGGGACCCACTGACTCAACTTCTATCGTGTATATCTTCCTCTGTTCTTCCTACGACGAGGATCGTCGCCCCCTCAATCCTCGCCTCTCGCCCTCTCTCTCTCTCTCTGGATGGAAGCACCAAGCAGAAGGAGGGAAAAGGCCCATCCTCCTCAGAAGCTGGAGAGGAAGACGGTGGAGAAGAAAAGAAGGGCACTCATGAAGTCTCTCTTCTCCAAGCTGGACTCTCTCCTGCCCCCCTCCAAGGTACTTGCCCAACCTTCAGAATCCCACGGCGACCACTCTCTTCTTCCATCACAGTCCCATCCATACTAGAGAGATAAACTCTCTCTCTCTTTCTCTGATGCGCAGCGAGGGGCTGTGGGGCAGTCCGACCGCTTGGACGACGCCTGCAGCTACATAAGAGAGACGAGAGAGAGGCTGGCAAAGATGGAGGAGAGGAGGGAAGCCATGGTCAACGCCAACGCCGGTTGCGGGACCCCTACGGCGGGCGGCACCGCATCAGGCCCGGCGGCGCTCCCCCACTTGGAAGTCAGAGACCTGGGCTCGGGCGTGGAGGTGGTTCTCGTCAGCAGGCGGGCTGATCAGCCGGTTTTCTTCGAGATCCTGCGGGTGATGGAGGAGGAAGGAGCCGAGGTGGTCAACGCGGGCTTCGCCGTGGCCGGCGGCGCCGCCTTCCACAGCTTCCACTCCCTGGTAAGTCCCTCTCTTGCCCCCCATAGAGACGGTGCAAGAAGAAACGGGCCTCAGTCACTCGCTAAAATCGTGCAGGTTTCGGAGAACGGGAGCAGCCATGGCGATCCCCTGCGAGTGGCGGAGAGGTTGAAGGAGGTTGTCCGAGAGCTAGCCGGGGGCGCTTGACGCCCCCCCGTTAGCAGCGTTGAAGGAGACGACGACGCTTCGCGTCAAATGCGGATTTTAATTATACTATACATTTTACAATTTAACCCCTATTTTATTTTTTTATAATTTATTTTACATTTTTAGTAAATGTTCTTTATGCCCTAAAACGTGGTTGCATCGGGGGAGAAGATGATAGAAATATAAAGCACTGTATGTCGTCTTCCGACGGTGGGGTTTCGGATATCGTAAAGTGGACTCCATTGCTTCTGGGCGTGGTAAATTATCGGGCCCAAATGGGTCGATATACTGAAACTGGGGCCCATTTTGTGTCCAGCCAGATTCTATCTAAGCCCATTAAAAACGGGGCGACAACGGCCGTGAGAAGAAAACAGCACGTGGAGATGGCGGCCGTCGCTGCCGCTCCCGCGGCGGCGCTGGCGGGTCGGTCGTCGCTGAGAAGGGCATTTCTATGGTCTTCGCAAGCTCGCCGGCTATCTCCTCTCAAATTCCCCTCGTACTCTCGGGGTAAGAGGACGGGTACGGTCAGACCTCGTTGGTTCCTCGTCTCTGGAAACCACGAGAAGGGGCGCGTCTGAACGGCGTATTTGTCACTTTTTGGTACAGTTCAGGTGCGCCATTCGGAAGTGGAAGCTCTCGGGAGAGACGGAGTTTTCTGTGAGATAGCTCCCGGAGGGATTGCGGATAAGAATGTCGCGGAGGCCGTCAAGAACGTAATTGAGATGGTACTTCGTTGCATCACTGTTTTTCTCCCTCCTCCTCGTCAATTTGTTGAGTCATAACGTGATACGAGTCGGTGGAGAGGATCTTTGTGCCGTTTTGATTCGTTTTTTGTGGGCGGTGGCGTTCTGGGAGTCACTGTCAGTGTAGGTCTTCCTGACTATTCATCGATTCCTTTTACTCTTTTCAATATTCCGATCGTCAAAACAGTCACGAACATTGTATGAAACTGTGTCAATCCGAAAGCACACAAGATAGCACATATACATCCCCACTGATGAAACTTGGAGCTGACTTTATTCTGGCATCGTGTTTTCTTTATTGATTTCATGAATTTATCGGCTGACTTTTTTCTGCATTTTAAAAAATTTCACGGAGGAACCGCCTGGTGACATCTGCACATATCAAATGTATGGTTATATCATGAAATTTGAATTTGATCCCTGAGATTATTTCGTATAAAATAGATAGTTCTACCATGTCTTCACTTATTTAAGTCAATATGATGAAAATGTTATTCACTAATCTCTTTTTGTGGTATTTCATCTCTGTGAAATAATTAGTCTTCCATTCATCGAAGCTATGTTTCTCAGGTCCGCAATCGTGTTTCATCACTTATGCCATTGATTTATATTGCGTTGACTCAATGATTCTCCTTTAACCAGGCAAGAAGGGCCTCCATACGAAGAAGCATCATACACACAAATTTTCTTACTCCACCTGTAGTGAAGGAAGCAACAATGGCCCTAGAGAAGTTAGCTGATGTCAGGGCCGTGGCCCAGGGAGGATACCCTCAGGTAAGCGTTACTCTGTACTACTTCTTGTTGACTGCTAGATTTAACTAAACCCTACTTCTCATTGCCTAGCCGCATCCCAATCGTCTTAAGAAATATGTTGTGCCTTATATATGTTTGAATTGTCAAGGCTGAGCGTTGTCGGATTTCTGTTGGGCATCCTGACACCATGGAAACCACTCCAGATGCAATTTCTGCTGTGAGGTATATTCAAATCTCTTATTATCGGAAATCCTAATGCATAACTGGCCCAAGAAGGTTCAGAAATGCATCTTATCATTTAAGATAGATCGGTGTGCACTATTGATTATTCAGCAGTATGTTCGGTGGTCTCCTACACAAGAACGGACTGCTAGCCCTTTGAGAGGATGAAGCTTGTGCAGGATGAAACAGAGACTAAGTACGAAACAATGAGGTTCTATACGCTGAAGATGGGTGGTGCTGCTGTGGATGAACTTATATCGGATCTTGTGCCCTGCAGACTAGGAAAGCAAGCTTCCTGTGTAGAGGGCCTTCATCAGGGTGCCTTCTTGGTGCCGTCCTCGTTTTTTTTTTTTTTTTTCTCTGAAAGTGTCGTTCGAAATAATCTCAATATATGTTGTTATCCATTTTCTCAAGGTTAAAAATCCTTCCATTTTTTAAAAGTAAGCTACAAATTTTCTTCGTTCTTAATGAAGCAACTGAATAGTCATTTCTCCCAGAATCTCAGGGAACTTTGAGTTTGACCCTTGCGCTCATGGCGACTTCCTTGGAGCAATCCTGGGTACAGGCATCGTGAGGGATAAAGTGGGAGACATATTATTGCAGGTAAATATGAATCTGCCTAAAGTCTCCCTGCTTGTCTGGTGATCTTCTCTTGGTGCATATGCTTTTATAAGTATCAATAAAATAGTTTTAAAACGCTTTTACCCAGGGAGAAAAGGGTGCCCAAGTCCTCATCGTGCCAGAACTCGTTGACTTCCTCGTATCAACATTAGACAAGGTCAAGGTCTCTTGGCTTACTGTTTCTATGTAAATGGTCTGCTCACGGAACCTTAGTACACATGTTGACCCAACTGTTCTTCATTTTCTTTTTGTTCATACATATCAAGTGCAGACAAAAGGAAGTTGAATGAAATGATACCGCATTAACTGGTTTTTAAAGCAGTTATGATCGTTTCTTCTTAAGGATTTACATTATAACGCCAAATTCACGCACAGATTATGTAAAATTTCTGCTGTCGATCTTCCCCACCCTACAGGTCGGCAATGTTTCTGTTTCTTGTACGGAGATACCATTGCTTGCCTTAGAGTATGAACCACCAAGGTTGGCGATCACGTCTCCATTTGCCTTCATCTCTTAAAACGGGTGTTTACTCTTCCTTGGTCTTATCATCCATGGCAGGACAAGGTCGTTTAGAACGATAGAAGCATCACTCCGGGTCGATGCCCTTGCCAGCGCAGGATTCAAGATATCACGTTCAAAGCTTGTTTCTTTGATCAGGTCTGTCTTTTCCATGAAACCTGGCGAATTCATCGCTTCTCATCCATCACCTGCGCCGGCCACCCACGTCTCCATTGATTCATCTAACTGTAGATTGTTTCGTTTCAGCAATGGAGATGTGAGGGTGAACTGGTCTCCTGTCACGAAGAACGGAGCCACACTCAAGACCGGCGACGTCGTCTCTGTCAGTGGGAAGGGAAGACTGAAGGTATCAGCTGCTGGCCATGAGAAGGTATCAGATCTCTCTGAGCGTCATCTCTGAACATGATTCTCCATGTCACTTGCAGGTTGGGGAGATCGTTGCTACAAAGAAGGGAAAATTTTCGGTTGAACTCATTCAGTATTTATAAGAGAAAAAGACAGAAAACAGAGAGGAGGTGGAGAAGATGAACTCACGTAGATCATCCAGCCACCGGAATCGCCTGAAAAATCATTCAAATGGCGATGCGATTTCTGTTCTCTTCTCTCATTCTATCCCTGTAAGATGCCAACCAGTTAGTAATATACGCACAACGGTTGAACTTTGCATTGATGTTACATGATAATATTACATTTAGGTCCTTATTTTTTCATGAAATTTATTCTAAGGTTTGGATAGGTTTGGGGCCTATTTTTCTATCCGGGGTTAATTTATGGGCCCCACTTTAAAAAAAAGTGTACAATCCGAATCGTCATTTTCGGCATAAAATGCGGTTTATTTTTATGTTGCGTGTTAATTGAATAATGATGGGGTAAAATTAAAATTTTATAATTTAAAAGGGGCTGTGTAAAAAATATTCACATCCGCACGTTGGCTACTCGTGGGAGCCCAGCGAACGTCACCTCCGTTCCACTTCCCCGCAGGAGAATCGTAGCTTCAATAGACGACTAACATTTGGGAGGATGCCGCACCCAAAACTGCGGAGCTTTTTAATTTCTCGAAGCCTCGCGGGTTGCTGGACGCGCACCACCACTGAGAAGAGGCAGCCCGTCGGAGTGGGGAGGAATCAGGGAGGAAGAACCATGGCCACCGCAGTGAACGGGGGAGTGCCTCTGCTTTCATCGCAGGCGTACCTTGAGAGCACGGCTGTGAAGGAGACCCGTGGACTGGTGTCGGAATTATGCCGGCAGTTCTATACCCTCGGCTGGGTCTCCGGCACCGGCGGCAGCATCACCATCAAGGTCCACGAGGACTCAATCGTCAAGCGGCAGCAGCTCATCGTCATGTCCCCCTCAGGTGGCATCCAAGTCACAACCTAGAGTTCGATGCTTGCTTTCTATCTGCGGTTTCCTTTCTCCGATTTCTCGTTGATAACGGAACGGCGACCACTCGTAATTCCTCCGATCATGCGTCTCTTCGCCGGTCGATAGGCGTGCAGAAGGAGAGAATGGTCCCTGAAGACATGTATGTGCTCTCGGCGAGCGGCGAGATCCTGTGCACCCCTGTGAAGAAGCCTTACCCGCACAGGCCGCCAAAGTGTACTGACTGCGCTCCTCTCTTCATGAAGGTAAACACCGGGGTCTGTTACTTCGTGAAAGATGAGATGAAATTCTTCTTCTCGAAGAGGAGTTGTGTACTTATTAAATTTATCAATGTGTGAGTACAATCGATGTTGCGTCTTGTACTTGGGTGTCCTTACCCCAAATATCTGCTCGTATCATCGTCTATGTGGTCTCATTGTTTGTTGCATTTGCGTGCGTCAAATTCAATCCTCGCCACTCTTCAGAACGTCTCAATTCTTAAATCCACTCAGTTAGTCAATTGTAAATGCCTTACTATCCTTATTCTTTTGACACTTTACATGTTGTTGGCGTCCTTTGATTTCTTCTCTGGTTTTCACAAAATGTAGATTGACATTTCTACTTTATTTGGGTTCGGTTTATTTTCCTTGCATTTCTTAAAAAGGGCTTGTTGGTTGGATTTTAATTGTCATACATATATTTTAATGCTTTTTAGGCTTATGAAATGCGCGATGCTGGTGCAGTCATCCATAGTCACGGGTTAGAGTCCTGTCTCGTAACGATGCTGCATCCTTTCTCAAGGGAATTCCGGGTAAAGCTTTTGACTTACGTCCATTTTTCTTCAAACGTTACTCTTTCGTGAGTTTTTGACGATATTTCTTTGCTAGATTGATATTAAATATGGTCCTTCTATTTGAAAATTTTAACCAATAGCACTTACTGGTTTCAGTTTTTTACTAATGAATCGACAGTTCTATGACATTACTCATACTTCTATGAAACTTTTTGACCATTCACATGTGCATTTCACATCTACTTTATTCACTGTGTTCATGTAATCTTCTTCTCTCCAGATAACTCACATGGAGATGATAAAAGGTATCAAGGGCCATGGCTACCATGATGAGCTCGTCATCCCAATAATAGAGAATACCGCACATGAGGGCGAGCTCACAGAATCCCTTGCTAAAGCAGTATGCTCATTTGAATCTCTAGGCTTTTGATGACTTATTTCATTAATGACTGCTATGAGTAGCTAAATCAAAGCATGCAATACCTAGTTGAGACTGATCTCACAGGGAATTTAGGATTCAGATATCTAATTTTTAACTATTTGAGCATCAAATTACGATTTATATGAAATCTGATAGTCAATGTTGATCTCCAGCACTTCAACTATTATGAAATTTTGTGCCAATTGAGAGATGTTAATCCATGAATATTTTTGAGGTTGACATAAAAAAAACGAAGCATTTTATTTGTGTGTTCTAGTGGCTACATTGTGGCGGCATACATTGAACATATGTAGAATGACACCATTTCATTTCTAAAATGAATGTGGTGAAGGACTACAGTGATGGTGTCAAAATGATGAGTCGATGTTTAATTATCTGCTATGTCTTTAGAGAGTGAGAAAATACCCATCCTCTGATTGAGACAGTGAGTCAGCTTAAATTCTGACTTTTTTAACGTGGATGGATTGCAGATTGAAGACTACCCGAAAGCTACAGCTGTTCTTGTGCGTAATCATGGAGTCTATGTTTGGGGAGATTCCTGGATCAACGCTAAGACTCAGGTTCGTTTCCTTTTTTACGAAGCATGATATTCCCTTCATATTCTTAATATTTTTACTTACTCTTATGACACATGATTCCCAATGTGTATTGAAAGCATATATCGTTTAGCACGTATGTTTCTTCTGCTTACAAATGATTTGTTATTTTCGCTGATCATGTTTGTGTTAGAGTATGGATAGTATAGCCAATGGGTTTTTGCCCATCAGGAGGCAAGTTAGGTTACTTTTATGTTAGTGGAAAGCATGAAAATAATTTTTCTGAATCCAAACTGAGGATTCGCAATTATTGTTCATTCTGATATGAAATTACTCCTGTGTTGCTGTTGCATTTATGGTGTATCTGTTTTGCTGTGATGATATGAAAATATGTGCTCTCCCAACTGAACAAACCAATTTGTAGCTTTTTTAATGAAAATCACTGTCCAACATTTCCTCTTCGTTACTAGTTGAAACATGGACGAAGGAATCACAAGGTACTTTCTGGAATTGAAGGAATTGACCAATGCTGCTCATTGCTTATGCGATGAGTGTCAAACCTGAACCAGAAGATGGTTTAAAGATAAAACAATGCATAATGTGCACTGAAAATCTAAATGAACATTTGGCGTAATTTTCTCAGTTTTGATGTGATGAGTTGATTGTACATCCTACTCTTATGCCTTTCAACATGTTACGGTATTCTGAAATGCGTTTCTCATTTCTTTTGTATCATCTAGGATATATTAGTTGATATCGAGGCTTTGGTCCTAAGATCGTTTTTTATTGAGTAAGAACTTGGGCCTAGTTGAACCCTGTTATTATTTAACAGTATGTATTTTGTTCCGTCCCAATAATAGTCCCGCCTTGGATAGCATCTCTGCTGATCTGCAACGTTTTGAAATGTATGCCATCGATAACCAGATGCTGCCTTCAAGTGAAATACTGTGGAAATAGCAAACATTCTTATGTTTCAATGCGAAACTTTTTGGCATTTAATGCTTTTCGGTGAACGCAATTGTCAGAGTATGCTCGGTGGATTAATTCCTCATAGAATGTTATTCTTATAAAGTGATTTATTCGTGAATATGTGCTTTTTTGTGTATCCCCTAAATGAGTTTGTTAGGATTATTTTACCCGTTGTGTAACTGGCATGGTTTTTTCCAGGCTGAATGCTACCATTATCTTTTTGAAGCTGCTCTCAAACTCCATAATCTGGGTTTAGATTGGTCTACTCCACTCCATGGTTCGATTCATAACTCGAAAGGATATGAATATACAAATAGACAGCAAGCCGGTTCTGTGAAAGCTCAACTTCAGAATCGGAATCCTGTCCCTGAACCATCTAGAGTAAGTGTGGCACTTGACTCTGTCATGTCTCAGAAACCACCCTCTTTAGGCTCTTCTCTGCATTTACTGTTTCCATTTTCTTTATTAGGGCGTTTTTTTGCATTCAAAAATGAAGTATGTTTTTTTCGCTGTTAGATGACTTGAACCCACTGTTTTATTTTTCAGCATTGTATCATCCTTGATATTGAAGGAACAACGACACCAATATCTTTTGTGACTGATGTTCTGTTCCCATATGCCCGTGATAATGTACGGAAGCACTTGACTGCCACTTATGACAGTGCTGAAACGCAGGATGATATCAAGTTGATACGTGCTCAAGTAAGAAAGGCATAATTATTGTCGCATGTTGATTTTCTGCATTCGTGTTTTCATAGCTCTTTCGAATTTCACTAGAAGAAGCATATAGTACATGATCAGAGGTCTCTATTTGACACTCTTGGTCAAAACTCTGTGTCATTTTTATTTTTTGCAAATATTGGTCGATACTTTCATATCAAATTTGATGTTGCGCATGTGGTTCTTACCTCTGATGCAATACCCACCGCAATATCTTCTCTTTTAGGCTCTTGTTCTTGTGGAGCCATTCATGTGAACCCCAGTCCGTAGATTTGTCCATTTGAATATATAACCTGCAGTGGAGTACACTCTCCCTTGCTTTTCTGTTGTAGAAATTAATCTATGATTATTTCCTGCGCTAAAAGTTCTTGTTTGGCCGTTCTTCTTCATGCTTTGACAACTCTGCCTTGGTGGAGCCCACTTTCTCACTTGGCCTATTATTCACTATCATTCTTCGCGATCAAGGTTAACTATTTGTCTATAACAGGTTAAGGATGATTTGGAAAAACGTGTTCCTGGATCCGTTCCTATTCCTTCCGAGGATTCTGGGAAAGATGATATAATAAAATGCCTTGTCGCTAATGTAGAAGCAATGATAAAGGCTGACAGAAAAGTCACTGCTTTGAAACAACTACAGGTGATATGTCTGTTCATTGAATGGTGCCCTCCATAGTAATCCAGAATTGCTTACATTTTTATTGCCTTTTATACCCGCATGTAGGGGCATATTTGGAGAACTGGGTTTGAGAACAAGGAACTTCAAGGGGTGGTGTTCGACGATGTGCCAGAAGCCCTGGGCAAATGGCAAGCGACTGGCATCAAGGTACTAATCATCGTGGCCCATAACTTGGTGATCTATAAGAACCGCTCTCACCAGTCAGCTAGTTCAGCTCGTGCAGCCGCTCCACTTGGTTTTGTTGAATCTTCTTCTGTTGATCTGTTGTTTGATTTTATTTACACACACCCATCTAATTATCTCTGCAAAATAGTTGTTATTTTTTGTCTTTTCTTTGGATTATTCTTCCATTTAAGACAACTCTTAAGATCCTCAACCGGAATGGACTGTGAAATCTTGTCCTACAGGTTTACATCTATTCCAGTGGCAGCAGAGAGGCTCAGAGGCTCCTCTTTGGGAACACCGCACATGGTGATCTGAGGAAATACTTGTGTGGGTTTTTTGATACCACGATAGGGTGGGTTTCCATATTTTCACCTCCCTTTTTCCCTTTAGAGTTTTTTCATGCAACTTCTCTCTCTCTCTCTCTCTCTCTCTCTCTCTCTCTCTCTCTCTCTCTCTCTCTCTCTCTCTCTCTCTCTCTCTCTATGCCTGTGACAGCAACAAGAGGGAGTCTCGCAGTTACTCTGAGATCTATCAGTCTGTGGGAGTGGACAAGCCCTCACAGATATTATTTCTGACCGATGTCTACGAGGAGGCTGTTGCAGCAAAGGCGGCTGGTAAACGCTCTCGGTTCCATCCATTCAATTTCTGTGTGGATTTATTTATTTTCCGCCCAAACTACGGTCCGGATTGAATCGAGATCGTCGATCCCTTCCGATTCTTGCCACCCGATTCCTCACAGTGAGATCGAAAATCCCTGTCAGACCTACCTGGCTGATAAATAGACTATGCCATTTTTGGAAGTGATTTTTTCGTTTGGGCTCATCCGTTGACTTCTCCCTGTGGCAGGTCTGGAGGTGATTATCTCCGTCAGGCCCGGGAACGGCCCGCTCCCCGATAACCATGGCTTCACAACTGTCACCTCATTTACCGAGGTATGAATCAGCCCTCTTCAAATGCATATTTTAACAGGGTTGGGATATGGAAGGTGGGCCCTCTGATGGGCACCGAGAGACATGACGTTTTATGTATCGTTTTGGCAAAAGGGGGGGGCGGGGCTCTGACACCTGGCTTGTCCTCCACGTCATCTACCTAGAGTGAGAAAGTCTGAATGCCCGCGAGCACTTTGACGTGTTGGATATACCTGTTCGCCGTTCCAGGCCCATCTATTTTAATGGGCCGGGTAAGCGCGCCTGGATATCGACGGCTGGACCGGACCATTTTGAGGGGTGTCGGCTCAGGAATCTATTCTTCGTGGCGCGAGACCTTTGACCCTATATATTAAGGAATCTAAGCGTAGGACCCTTTTATGATTGAAGGATTTTATGGGGGCTACAGTATAAAAAAACACATTCTAGTTCTTTGCGGGATATTATCTATGACTCCCCATAAAATCAGTGATTTTATGGGGGCTATAGTATAAAAAAACACATTCTAGTCTTCCTAAGCCTTTGACCCTTTTTTTAGTCAAAAGGGTTAACTGTGAGGGCATATTCTAGTAATGCCGTACAGAAAATTAACTGGATATATCATCACAAGAAATCAATTTACATGTTAGAAGTAATCATTATTTAGTTCAAAAAATAATAATCTTATTCGTTGGTTGGTAGCTGTTTTTCGCCATTTAAGCTCTAGAAAAATGCAAAAAATGGTCTGGTGAGAGAGCAACAACCATGGCAGCATTCAGGACAAGTCTCATTGGCATATTTGGAACAAAAACTTCATATCCAAGGATGAGCACTCACTGGACTTCACAATTTAATGTTTTTAGGTCAACTCACTTGGCCTGTGAAGATCTCAAAGAAAACTAGAAATCCTTTTTGAGCTAGAAAAGCAAGCTTTTTGATAGTAGATGCTCCCTTGACTTTCATCCCAATTTATACATAACAAAATCATCAGATGAGGGGACCTCTTCATTAGACTCACAACCTTCATTGTTTTAAAAATGTGGATAAGGCCCGATATCATCAATGCCAACATGAAATATATATTTTCATAAACCTGGGCATTATCTTAACATATCTGAAAAATGAATTTTGATACAACTATGTAAATAAAGATAGCTATTTAGATCCCCATTGGATGATAATATTAGTTATCTAAGCTTGCAGCTGCTAATATCTCTCGGACATAAATGTTACTAAAAATGTGGAGTTTTCATAATCTTCTTGTATAGGCGCTCAGGAGTTTAATAAAAAAAAAAAGTAAAGGAGCTACTAAGTTGGGATAATTTACCCATCACCAGAATGAATTATAGTTCAATCCATGTGCTAGTTATCCATCTCATTAAGATGAATAGCATACAAAGAGGCGAAGGAGCTTCAAGCGTTAGTCCTTGTGAAACAGTGCAGTGGAGCCGTTTCTAAATAGCCCAACGAGGTCACGTGACTATGGATAGAAATTAGTCTATGTGAGGGCATCACAATCCAACGAAGAGAGAGAGAGAGAGAGAGAGAGAGAGAGAGAGAGAGAGAGAGAGAGAGAGAGAGAGAGCAATTTGGTGGTTAGGGTAGGGTTGTGAGGGTAGCATTCTTTTAAGGGTTAAATGGAGTTAAAATCACTCATCTCTTGTATTTTTCATATAGGGACTGAAAACAATGCCAACGAGAGTTCTTCTAGGCACAAAATAAGAGGGTTTTCAACAATTAGCATACTTTTTGAGGTGTTATAACAAAAAAATAGCTACTACTTAAAGCATTTTAAGCAGATCGATTTAGGCGCCTAGGGTTTTTCTCAGCCCCTCCCTCCTCTTCGTCCATAAAGCGGTTGGTCCCTTGCCCCGGGCTATAGCTGTTGAGTTTCCTTCTTCTTTCCCCACCTCACCTCCGATCTGCGCCGAATCTCTGGTTTAGTTTCCTCTCCCTGCATTTCGGTGTGCCCTCTCCGTGCAGATGGCCCTTTCGGCATTGCGATTTCTCCTTCTCCGGTTTCTATTTCTTCTCTGTGCCGGGAGGCGATGATGAAGAATAAAAGTAGAGATGATACTCTAATGTGATTCATCTTGTCTAACAAGTCTACGCTGCGTTCTTTCTGAGTCTCCCCTTCCTTTCCTCTCGCTCTCACTGTTACCTGACCAGTGAGTGTGGAGATCTCAGTCGCAGATCTCCAGTTTTGCTCTTCGATAACACGCTATTTCTTTTTCTGAGCCATGCGTATCAATAGTTTGAGTAAAAACGAAGTTTATCCTTCAATTATTTTCCGTTCGCAGCGAATGATCCAAGTTCATCAGCATTTTCGGTTTCATATATGTCATTGATGGCCGATGGTCGAGAGCGTAGAGGGTTTACTGTTACGGATTAACTCGGAAAGATTATACGCCATGTCGCAGCTCTTCATCCAGTGAGACGAATGGCTAGAATCTGAGGTTTCACAGACCTAAAAATTTCGCTGGCTCGAATCTGGCGGTAAAAATGTGCGCCAAAGGATTTCTTAATCTTATCGTAAATCGACTGACGATCTGATTTTGTAGTTGCAGAATCTGCCGTCCTTGAAAAATCTCATCTTTATAAATCTGTCGCCATGGGAATTTTATGAGTATTACAGAAATTATGGAAAGATGGCGCCCGGCGGCGGAGCATTGGAATAAAATCTGCGGGCACTCTGTCGCAGATAACCAACTGCGGGCTTAACATTGGCAAGGAGGTCCCGTTGGGTGAGGCAGGGGATGGTTAACGAGAGAGAGAGGGGGGATCGAAATTGGTGGAGACGCCATCGGGGTTTGGTGATGGCGGCCCGAACGCCGGAGGGTCTCCGCCGGGGACCGGAGGCCTCAACCGATATTCCTCTCGGCTGTGAAACCTCCAAAGCCGGGTAATTAACGGAAATTGTGTTTAAAATCCATGAAGATTTAATTTTTATTATATAATAGTCATACAAGGTTTGTATGTTCCCTATATGGTCCATTTGCCAACAGTTTGAGGATAAGGGCTTATATTAAATCTTTTAATTCTGGGGGCTTCATAAATATTTTGAGGTTTTAATGTCTTTTGTACATTTTTATAGAGGTATCTCTAAATTACAGGGCTGGAGAGAGGGGACGGAAGGATGTGTTCATCATCAAGTGCCCATTTAGAACGTGTATACAGTCCTAATTGTCACATGGGTCATCTCGTGTGGTAGTGCCTAATCACCTCACTGGTCAGCCTTTTTTCATTTCTATATTTCTCTGAGGTGGAAAGGATTTGGGGAAGATCTTGAATTCTCCCTCCTTCATAGGGGACCCTTCTATTGTTAAAGCTGTCATTACAACATATTTGCACCACTTTTATTGCTCTTTAGTTTGCCTCTCGATTGTTATGGTGACTCGTGGGAGTCTCATTTGCTGTGTTTTGTTGTACTCTACTGACACCTATTATGAGTTCCCTCCATCATGCAGATAATGTGGTTGCTTGCGTGCCTATTCCCACCATTGTGTAGGAATGGTGGTCTCACATATGCTCACCCTCATTGGAGTGTTCATGTGTTTTTCCATCTCTGTTGTTTGTTCATCATCTCACTAATGCCCATTCGTCATCCACACCTTCTGCACCAGGAGTGCCCACCATGGATGCCTACCACACCTTCTCTTGTCACAATGGTGTCATCCACATCAGGAGTGCCTACCATGGATGCCTTCTACAATGCACATCCATTGTGTTTCTTCTATTGTCCTCTACTAATTTGATTTATGTTTGTTCTTGCCCTTTGTCTATTACTCATAACATTCTCCCCCTCTTGCAAAGTCTAATGTACTCATTGGAAAGGAATAAAGGTAGCTCTCCGCTTGATTTTTGAACAGCCAAAGATCATTTCAGTCATGCCAAGTAGTTGCCTCTCGTGCTTCTCATTATATTAGGAAACTTATGTGTCAGTGGCATTGATAGTGACCTCTGTTGTTTGTCACTTGATAGTTGATGATAGTTTTTTGCTTCTTAGTAAAGGAATAAAACAAGATGGTTATTATTTATTTATTTCTCCTTGAATGTCGTTAATAGCAGCAATTAAAATGATGTCATGTTGCTAAACTTATAGTAGACTTGTGATAAAATCTATGGCAATGGTGTGCCATAATACTTCTTTAATGAGAAGTTGGTTGGAGCACTTTTGAGTAATTTTCGTCATTCTATTTTGTCTTGGTAAATGAGGTAGCACTTGGCATATGACTCGACATCTTGGTCGATCTATAGTCATAAAAAGTCATGACTCTGGAGTGTAAGTATTCATTGGTGTCTTGGATGATTAAATTATGAGATGTGAGGTTTTGTGAGTCTTTATGATCAATGTCTATCGAAGGTTTTGGGCATTAGATGTGGTGTCCCCTAATTTATATAAAGCCATTGTCTACCTAGAGGCATTTAGGTTGTGGATGTTGTCTAATAGCTTGAGCTTGTGGTCATCTTTGAGAGCATTGACATTTATGGTGATGTTTTGTGGTCTTAATCTGTATTATATTGTGAAATATAATTATATCATGAATTATTATTATTGAGCTTTTTTAATACTCAATTTGGGTTGTGGTGAAATAGTTGTCCACTACGTTATTTGAAAATAGTGAAGTGACTATCGAGTAAGTAATGTTGCTAATTCCATAAACAAAGCATGATGGCCATCTTTCATTCATGCATTGAGTGTTGCACCTTCTGTCGTTGAGCTTATGCCTCTCTAAGGCAACAAGATAGTCTCCCAATTGAATGCACCTTTGATGATGCCATTGTTGCTATAAGTATAAATTATATATAGTTTGGTGAGTTGGGGAGCTAGAGAACTAACACGATTATAATTGTTTCCCCAAAGTCAAAATGCCCACTTGTTATGTTCATCTCATTTTCATGTAATGTCATTATATAGTGGGTTGGTCAAAATTGTTGATATATTGTATATTTGTTCATGCTCACTACATTTATATTGATGATGTGTTCTAAGGAATCAATCTTCATTCAACTCCTTGATGTACACTATCTTTTGTTGATGATGTCCCTAAAAAAATAGTTTTTTTAACCTCAAATTTAAGATTTTAAAGTAGATAATATATTATTATTAACAAAAAAATAATATATCAATAAATATATTCTACATGCACTTAGTAGTTACTATTATAAGTCAAAATGTTTTCATAATAGATGAAAATGAAGTCATCTTGTTGACCCTTAATTTTGATACAACAAGCTAAAATTTTTATATTGAATATTTAATAAATATTATTAGAACTTATGTTAGAAGTTTAATATTTCTAAGAAGTATTAAAGGCGTATATTGAGGATGTTAGAGTAATCCTCTGGCTAACAAATGAATTCACAACATTATTTCTTGATAGATTTATGTGTTGAAACTAATACAACATCATAGAGGTTGTTATAAGTATAAAAATAAAGTGTAAACACGTGAAGTATTTACAAAATATCAAAAATATCAGAGTCACTAATAAGATTTAAACTCAAAACTTGAATGATAGAAAGTTAGAAGTCTTAGTGGGAAAACAATTAGAAAACCAAGGAATATTAAATCAAGTCAATGATTCAAATAGAGAACCTAAATGTCAAAAAGTTGGAAGCCTATGTGAGAAAAATGTTTTAAAAATAAAAAAATACTAAGTCAAGTGCATGATTCAGTCTTAGAATATAAATGACATCAAGATGGAAGCCTCAACTAGAAAAATATATGAAAAATATGAAGTAACAAAGGTACATATAAGTATTGAGACACTTGAACAATGGTAAGCTAGAAATCTGTGTAAAAATATACAAAAAAATCAGATATCACGTATCTATTAAGACTCATATTAAATATCTATACAATGATGCTTCATAAACAGTTGCGAGAAGATATTTAGAAAATCATGAAAAGGTGAAATCATTGTCAACATTCTAGACAATGACACATTGACAAAATATACAAAGATATCAACATATTAAATAATTTTATTTGGACTCAACCCCAACAACAAAGATATTCATCAATAAAACCTAAATCTGCAGGCCAAGTTTTAAATTCCAATCAATGTGGAAATAGTAAACTTCAAATAAAAGAATGAGATAATATTATTAGCACGTAGATAAAGCATTTTTTAATTCATGTGATCATCTTTCAAGACACAAAAATATAAGAGAACATTAGAGAATAAAAGAAAGGAGGTTATGAAGAAGAAGAAAAAAACTTGAACAAATACATTTTTTTAGACTGTATATCTACATTGTAAATAATAACTTTCTTCATCTATCAAGGTTCAATAATCGTGTGCTTCAACAAAGAATTGAAAGTTACATCAATACTTTATTCAATGGTAGTGATTTAAAGAAATACTCTTTCTAAAGGCTAACTCTCTCTTTCAAGCCTAAGGTACTTAAGTGGTGAGTGAATAAAAGTTTAAACTAAAGCACATGGTGATGAGAGTCTAGTTGTGTCTATGAAGGATGTGATCTTTGAGGAGATCGAAGTAATGTGATTTAGTTAATAATCCTCATAAATCAATGTATATTTCTAAGATAAAATAGTAAACTTTTGTATAAAAGATAATTTGGGTTGGAAGTAGTCAAGTGAGCGGTAACTTAATATAAAAATATTTTGGCATATTTGGTGGTGACAAGAGAGTTGAAAAGAAACATGTGTAGAGAGTTAGAGAGCCTTGAGTAAACTCATACTCAAAATAAAAAAGTTCTGTGAGCATTTGTGTCAACACATTCACTCAAATATAAAAAACAAGAATAGAACAAGAGTTGTGAAAAAATCAATACACCCCCCTACTATCTATGCATTTCACCTAGTTTTATTGAACCCTTCACCAAGTATAAGTAAAAAATATAGTTTATTAGGATATGAAAAGTTGTTAGACAATTAGTCAATTAGAATAACATTCTAAGTGAATTCAAAGGAGTTGTAATTGATCACATATTAAATTTTTAATTAGTTTCTTCTATAAATACAAACTTGATATTATCCACTTTTTTAGGTTGAGCTTGATGAAAACCCATTGATTGAACATGTGTTTAACATTGAGGATATAACATTTGTTATCAATAGAGATTTTGTTGAATACTTGGTAATCTAGGTACATCCATAGTATGTTATCATGCCAACCAACTAACGTAGGTGATATTCTGATCATCCATCAATATCATGAATGAATTGTAATTTGTTGTATGTCTATATATAATGTTCTCACCAAAAAGTCAAAATAGCAACATCATGTATCATTACTTGCACACTTGTTCAAACATGAGTATTTTCCACATGTGTTCGTCCATTGTTTGCACATTTCACATCACATGTTCTCACTTAATTGCATACATTTGCCATGTTGTCTATGCCCACCATGTGTATTTATATGCCATCTTCTTTTGATGTGCTATATATACTTAACACTCCATGCATACCCATTATGTTCCTCATGCCTCTTCATACTACTTTAGCATTCATTTTCATTTTGATCTTCACCTTATCTTTTATATTCATTTATGGTTTCTTTCGTGATCTTGATTGTATATTTATTCTGTGATTTTAGATGAATGTAAGATTTTGGCATTCTAATTTGAGATGAATGTAGAATGACATTTTCTCCCTCTTAGAGGTTCTCCAATTACCTATTCATGAGAGTCCCTATAAATCTTCACATAATGATCAAGTTTTTTTTAATTTCTTTCTCTATTTTTATGTGATATTCTTATTTTTATCTATTTTTGATTTGATTTGTTCATTCTTAGTTTCATTGTCCTTATTCTTCCTTTATAATCTATAATGTCTCTCTTAGTAGGTGTAGGAGGAAGTGGGTTTGGCATATTATATTATACTTATCTTGTTAATTATTTGATTTTTTTTGTCTTTTTAAAGATCTTTTTGAAAAGACTTCATAGGTTAAAAAGAATTCGAAGGTTAGTAGTCCCTTGAGAGAGCAATGCCAAAGTATGCACCTTATGATTTTCCATAAGAATTATGCTCTTTTTGCCTTCATTATTTTTAATTTTGTCACTTCTCTTTATTACAATTAGTTACTTTTGTAATTTGGCTAGTATTGTGACTCCTTTCTTCTAACCCATAGACTTCAAAGACATTTTTCTCTCATTTGCTCTATTTCTTGGTGTGGAGGGAGATGAATACTCTAGAATTCTAACATATTTTACTATCTTTTTCTTCTCTTATACTTGTTTTGCTCATGTCATAATGTTCCTCCATTTATATATTAGATTTAGGGTTATGCAATTGGCTAGATTTGACCATGAAACTAGATCAACTTGGTTGCTCCTTTGTTTATTTTGGATTTTCTAGATTCATATTCATGATTTAATCTCAAGTGGCTGGTAGTCCATTAGAAATTATGATTCATATAGTTAGTTGATATCTATAAAAAAGGTTTAATGGAATTGGTAGGAAATCAGTGTGCACTTGTATGGTGGCACTATGTAATCTTGTTGGAATTTTCGTCTATTATTATGATGTTAGAATAGATCTTCATTAATATAATCAATAAGAATTAATTTTATTAATTGATCTAGTTTTTTTAAAGACGTGACTAATTTGACCAACAAGAGACAATCAATGATATAATTATCCTTCTTTTTACCTATTGATTCAAGCAACCTTATTCAAGGTTTTTTTTTATCTTGTAGATCTAAGGATTGTCAAATAAATTCTTATGGACCCAAAGATTTGTGATTTTCATGGACTATGGATTTTAGTCTTGATTTTCATTCTTCAACAATTTCAAATCTCATATGTGTATACAAAGCCTGATGTTATTCTAGAACTTTCACTACATCACTCACCTAATACAAAAGTAAACACATGATTATCAAAATGAGACTACCTCACTCATTGTTAATCAACTTTGAGTCAAATTGGTGTGTTAACTCTAATTCAGATTCTAAAGGGATTGCTTTGTTGTGTTCTATGTACTTCAACTTATATTCGTAATGTAATAAATTCAAACGGTCAACTTACACATAAGGCATCATATGAGAATTTTTTGTACATTAATTAGAAACATTGACATACAATCATACATTATTGTAATATACTCATTGCTAATTGATTATGTTGAATGACTTCATTAATTTAACATCATGTACTAAAATATGTTGTAAAATGAGTGCTAGGGTAATAGTTAACTTTCTTCCATGATATTTACACAAACCCAAGAGTTGAAGAAATAAATATTTAAATTGAATTATAATAATGAATTGTAACTCTTGAAAAATATATTATTTTAGTCTGTACTAAGCTGATGCCCAAACACACTATTATTTTCAAAAACTAGCTCGTCAGAAAAAATATTAAATCAAATCCTCTTGCATAAGAAAACCCAAGTTTGTTATAGAGAGAAAAGGGAGTTGAGAACATGTCAAAATTTAAAACATTTTTATAAGGCATCAATCTTTCGTAGGCCTTTTTTTTTCTCATTAATAATGTTGGATGGAACATTGAGGAAAACAAACACACTTATAAGCCTACACTTCATATAACTAGACAATGTGCAACATTGACTTTGATAAGCACATACTTTTAACAAACATATTTAGTTTTTATATTTTAAGTGTGCAACTGATATGATGGCAAAATCACTCCAATAATGCTACAAGAATAGTTATGTGCAGCTTCAAGACAAACCCCTCTCCCCCCCCCCCCCCCCCCCCCTCTCTTCTTACAACATGCAACACATGTAAAAGTTGATTCTACCAATTGCAACTAAACGCCTAATTTGATGCTACTTTAACGCTATTGAATTTTTGAGTTTTTCTACATCAAATGTACCATGTCAACCAACTGGAATCAAGAGTGCAAGCATAAACTACTTACCGATCAATCACCATGAATGAGTCTCAGTGCCCGTTCCTGCGTTTGAAAGTCAAATGGTATGGTGTCATGAGTTGTTTTGCTCTCAAAACGGACGAAATTTGGTAAATAAGAGGGGAAGCATGCCATTTAATGTCTAATTTCTCCATTATGCCGACTCTGCCCAGTTGCCCAAACGGGAAAAATCAGCGTTGGGATCCGCAAATGAGGGAGATGCTAGTCCTTTCAATTTGTACAGAGATTTTTGCGCTTCAGCCTTGACCAATCCGTTCAATGCAAAGACCTGAAGCGGTTACAGGTTGATGGAACTCTCACATCATGCCTAACACAGATATTTCAGCCAACCGTGGTGGCTCTTGACTAAGAATTGAAATAAGAGAGATGACGACCCACCTACAGAAGACCATGCCGACGGGTAGTATCTCCGCAGTCGTCTCAGGCTACAACCTGAAAAAAGCATCGCGATCAACGGTCAGGGTTGGAGGAAATTGTTTCCTTTTTTTGAAAGGGCTGAAAGAGAAACGGCCAACGGGGAAAGATAGCTACGTGAAAATGTGAGGGCGGCTGCGAGAGAGCTGAGGTCGCTTCATTGGTGAAATAATGAGATTACGCAGAGTGGCAGAGGGGTTGCTGACGCCAGTTCCGAAAATGGACCGGGAAGGTCTACTCGCTGCATCACGAGGACCCGGCGCGGGCTTCGCCGGCGAGCCTCCAGAAAGATCGAACGGACCCGAGTTGGATGCCTTCTGTCTAGGTGGAGGCCACATGTCTTCTCTCTGCCCTGGGGTGTAAGGAATGAAAACCGAACGATCTGCGACAAGTAAATCATCTGGCCCTCTTGGGGATCTTACGGGTAAAAGCTTACACAAAGTTATGATGATTAATGACCCTAAGCAAATAAGTAGGTGATAATGGCAAAGCATTCGAGAGCAATGTGTGGCATTTAAGGCAATACTTTACTTAAAATGTACAGAGGAAAAATTTCTGGAGAATGAGAGGATCGTCATGAGGTAGTTACGGTTTTGGTTCAATATGGATGCTGTTATGTCATTACCTTGTCTTATGGACTGGCGATTATCCTTAACGTTGGCGGGGCTAGAGAAGAAGTCGGGTTCAGCTCTATGGAAGAAGCTGCCGGCAGGTTGAATTGCCGATCTTTTGAGCAATTCGTACTCATTTCTTAGTTGATCGTACATCTCATCAAGCTTTCTTTTCTGTCTGGTATCATAAGATAAAGATCAGAGGAATCCCCAATAGCATAGGTAGCTGATTTTAAAAAAAATACTCTTGAAACTGCGGAGAACTGACCTCGACTTCTCCGCAAACTTTTCTTGGAGTTCTTGCTTATCCTTGGACAAACTCTCCATCTCTTGCTCCAACATCTGGCACCTCTTGGTCATTTTCTGATATGCCATGTGCACTTGCTCCAGTTTCTCACTAAATTTTTCTTGCAAGAGCTCACACTTCTCCCGACACTGTCCAACAATTTTATTCATTTTGTATTGCATCTCGAGCTCCTTTTGCCCAGTGAAGAACATCACACTCTTGTAGGCACTTTTCATCACTAGTTTTTAATAAGGAGAACACATATTTAATTGCAATATTAGTTGAATTTTGACAAATCTTTCTGTTTCGTGATCCTCATCTTGTTGTTTTTCTCCTGAGAAATGTTGAACTGAAAGCCTCATCACAAGTAATAGTACTGTAGGTTTCATATATATAAAAAGAGATCATCCAAGACAAAGGATACATATCTGGGGAGAAACTCCCGCCATTGCCATCTGCAGCATAAAATAAAATAGAATATTGGACTTTAACTAAGAAGTAAATGTGCACGATACAGCAAGTGGAATATCCTTACATTTATCCACTCATCGCCGGGATTTATATCCACTGGTTTCATGAGGCTATAAAAAAAGGTAATTGCATATAAATGCATCATGAAATATCCCATAACAATGAAAAAAACACAGTAATTTTTAGGACGTATATGCACGTTTCACATTTTGCCTTAATTACAGGGGATAATTTTTTCTCACAAAATAAATAGCTCCAGCGTATAATCAAAAGTATGTAAAACTGCTGACCTTTTAGAGAGCACTTGATCACATATAGGGCAAGCGGCATCATTGCTTAGAATCTTTCCTGCATCTTCCGTGCCTTTTTGAGAAATGTGTCAAGGTTATAAATTGAAGCGGATAAACCTCCAGTTTGAGACGTGAAAGCTAACAGAATCACGGTTAGAAAAAAGCAGGTTCTCAACAGCAGTTCAAATGCACTTGCCATCAGGATACACAAGAGATGACCACATGTTGTTGATATGGCCCTTCCTTCCAATTCGCGCCAGCAGGCGTTACACCTCATCTCACGCCTTGACCTTTAACACTGTTCACTGTATCTAGGAAACAATGAACTATTTTGCGCACGGATACAATCGTCAGCAGAAATTTCCATTTAACCTGTTAGAAAAATGATAAAGAGGTCATAAAATCTCCATCAAGACATCGTTCCAAGCTCGGTGACTGATATGGCGATAGACAAAAAGAAGCATCAAACTTAAGGAGGTAACTTTTGAAAGAGGAAAAGATAATTTCGAGCAGGTAGTTATATTGCAAATCAAGAACTAGATGCCAGGATTGCGTGACGAAACAATTCATGTGACATAGCAGAATATGACTGAATTAAGGACGTTAGAATTCGTGCGTTAAAACGGTAGCCACACAAATTTCGACAGAGGCCGTTAGAGCTAGGGCAAATAAAACATCGTCTGGGGAACCATAGGAGGGGCATAGCCATCGACTCAACAAGCAAGAAAAAGATAAATCCCAATGAAGGAGAGACCATATACATCACGAACCGAAACATCCAGATAAAATAGAAAACCAGTTGATCAGGTTCGATGCCATAGAGCTTTCCATTGATCTGGCTAAAACAGAAGGTTTACATGACTGGAAATCCAGAGATTACGATCGGAACCCTAAAAATTAATGTAATCGAGGCACATCTGAGCAATTTTTATCGCACAGAGGAATACATAAAACGCGAGTTCACTAGTCCTCTTTCCAGCGCTGGAGCTGATAATCGATCGGAAACAGAACCTGACCTGCTATATAGCGAGAACTGGGAGCCTCGATCTCCGGCTACCGCTCCGGAAGGAATCGAGAGAGAAAGGTCCTTGGCAGCAGGGGCCGCCCACCATATGGTTCGAGAGCCCGACCAGAAGAACGCAAAATCGAAATCGAAATAACGGTTTGGCGCCAAAAGCCAAGCGCCGCCCCCCCCCGGTCCCCCTCCCGGAGGTGGGCTGGCGGGGCCTCCGAGTGACACGTCAGCAACAAAGAACCATCGCCCTCCTGAAAAAAGTAAAAAACCGGTGGGTCCACGTGGAACAGACTGAACCAAGGCATGCGTGACACGTCTGCGAAATGCGTGGACAGTTCAGTTGTACACGCGTACTGGCCACGTATCATTCCGGGTTGACGCGATGGGCCCGTTGCCTAAGAACTACTCCGATATTAATGGCCTCTAATTTTAATTAAATGGACAGCCCGTCTTGTATCGGGCTTCCAATGTTTGCAGGCCAGTTGAGAGGAATAGGCTCCAATGATCTAGTACACGTGGACTCGGTGGGCCCACCACTCATGCCATCAAAAGCAGCCGCGTTGACCTAAGAGAACCCGCCGACATACTTTCAGGTTGGCAAGATATTTTCAGAGCCAAACTCACGGGCCACCCGTTCGGGCATCAGCTGAGTCACCGCCACATGGAGCTGAACGAGGCTCACGCGGAGGGGCGGCGGCGGCCAAAGTCGATGGACTTGCCGAATCGTCAGGTGGGGCGTGGACCACGTGAGCGGTGGGCGGACACATCGAGGCGAGAAGATACTAACGGTCCTCAGCACAGAAAATATCTCCTACCGGCGCTTTTAGATCCCATTAGTCACGTGGAAAGATTCTCCGCCACAAGAGCTAAATTAGTTTTTGGAAATAATAATACAATACATAATGAAAAATACACCACCTGAGACGTCCAGGTCAACGGTTTACGCGATGGTCAAACCACTTTGATCCGGATAATATACGATTTCATGGTCATTTTTATATTTGTTAAACGCGGCGGTCTGTACATTATTGTTTTAAACAAATGGGGTATAAATGTATTTTAAAATAGAATAAAATGGCCCGGAAACAAATAATAAGTAATAAACCGGGGTTTTAAGTAAATAATAATAAGTAAAGTTTCGGGAATAATATCTACTGAGAATACAGAAAAGGTCCAAATTGTACGGTGGGCAGCCCGCGGGGATCCATAAGCTGTCTGAAAAATCCTGGAAACTATAAGACAGCTGGGTGTTCCTCGTCGTCTGCCGTGAGGCCGTTCGAAGACGGCGATATCGCGGAGGGCATTGACTGATCCGGGCGACGATCCGAGAAAGGGAGGCGGCGGCTCCGGTTGGGTTTTGGAGGCTTCCTTCCGCCGCGGGTGCTGGTAATCTTGCGAGGATGAAGATACAGTGCAACGTCTGCGAGGCGGCGGAGGCGAAGGTGTTGTGTTGCGCCGACGAGGCGGCGCTGTGCTTGGCGTGCGACGAGAAGGTCCACGCGGCCAACAAGCTGGCGGGGAAGCACCAGAGGGTGCCCCTCACGGCCGCCGCCTCCTCCCAGGTCCCCAAGTGCGACATCTGCCAGGTCTGTGCTTTGACGCTTGCTTCTCTATTGCTCACCAACTCGTCCCACCCGGTCGCTTTGGGAGTATAAGTCTTGGGTTGGAGTTAAATATATAGTTTCCAGATTGATTTGATGTTTTTTTCTCCAGATTGATTGGGGAACAACTGGGGAATAAGTTTACTCGCGATTACATACCATCTTTTCTTCATATTTTTTTCGTGATTGGATGAAGACGGGCAATTTTTAGAAGCGGATAGCGTTTTTTTCGTATCTCCAAGTCAACCCTTTCATAGGCTTTCAACGTTCAAAGTCACGTCGAGGAAGCAAACAACGAACACAGAGCAGGGAACCCTTTGTTTTCATCTTTTAGTGGTTTATGAGTCTGGGTTATTGTTATGGAAATGATCTATTAGCGGGTTCTGAGATTGGTTTAATGAATTTGGGAGCCTTGGTTCAAATTTGATTTAAGTTGGATTGTTATACTTCGATTTTTGGGAAGAGGAAGCTAGTGAACCATATTTTTGGATCTAACTGGGGCCTCTGAGAGTGGATATTATCCTCTAGTGTAATCGCAGATCGGTTGACCAAATCTCATTCTCACATGGGTTGGGGGGATTTGGCATCCTCTATTAGGACTTTGTAGAAAGTTCACCCATTTTTGATTCATCATCTCATCCCCATTCAGGAGCTGCAATTTACGTGTTGGTTAAATTCTTACATTTGTTTGAAAGTTACCAAAAATTAGGCATATCTAAAAGATTGATACTTGATTTGGTATGGCAGTGGGTGCGTGAAAGACATATCTAAAACCTGGATTATATTCAATATCCTAATTTTCCAGCCAGAAATGTCCAGCTTTCCAAAGATCATGAGCAAATGAGCTATCTTTATGAAAATATTTATTTATGGTATGAGGCTCAGCATGCGCCCCCATGGTCTTGAGTGCAGTATAATGAAATTTACTCATCTTATCATGATTTGGCGCTTATGTTTACTCAGATCTTGTTGTGTAATTCCAGGAAGCCGCAGGCTACTTCTTTTGTCTGGAGGATCGAGCCCTGCTATGCCAGGAATGCGACATCTCCATACACAGCATGAACCTCCATGTGTCGGCCCATCGAAGATTCCTGCTTACAGGGGTGAGAGTGGGCACCGAACCTGCTGAGTCGACTCTATCCTTTGCTGAGCAGCAGCGGAGTCCATTGGTGGTTAAATCCCTACCGAAGAGAAGCTCATCCACAACATATTCTGGTGAAAACAAGGAAACGGTTCCCAGTCAAGTGGGCTGGGCAGGAAGTCAAGCAGACAACAGAGCTCCATCAACTGGCACCCTTCTGACTGGGGGCATCACCGACTGGCAATTCGACGAGTTCTTTGGAGCTGATTATGGCCACAATTATGGGTTCACAGTTAATGAATCTTCCAAGGTACGAAGTGGACCGTCATCGGTCATTCTCTTTCTCCCTCTAATTTGGAAATCAATTATGGAAAACTATTTGATGCCCAGGATAGATGTTCTTTCTTTAAAATCCACGGACCTTTTCTTAGCTACTTGATCCATACAAAACTGCAATCAGAAGTAAACCCATTTAACTAAAAAATAAAATTATTTTTGAAGTTGACCGATTTAAAATTTATGAGTTTGCAGACCCCTTAATCAAGCATTAATCCTTTTTCTCCTCATATGTTATTCAATAGGGTGACAGTGGAAAGCTTGGGAACTCAGAGGGCTCCCCAATCTACCACCCAGCCTGTGAGGAACTGGAGGTCGACTCTGTTAGCCAGGTGCCTGAGGTTCAGTGGACAGTACCCGAGATCCCATCCCCACCCACAGCCTCGGGACTCAACTGGTCAAGGAACTCCTGGAGTCATACTCTCGCTGATCACACTGCATTTGTGCCCGATGTGTGTGCCTCATCTTGCGAGGATACTCAGCAGTGCCGGCAAGGTGCTAGCTCCATGAAGCGCCAGAGACCACGCTGAAGAACCCACATGGAAGTTAAAGGTGGCACCATCATTGCGTCCTGGATGGCCTCTAATCCCTGGCCCCGGATCCACCTGCCTCTGTACTGGCTGCCCCATGGTCGGCTGTCAGGTGGGTCTGGCCTGGTTGTGCTTGCTTGGTCCTTGCCATGGAGAGGCAGCAGCTTGAAGAGCAGTTCTCGGCTCAGATCTTCTCTGGGTTTTGGAGCCCAGAGGCCTGCTGATGGGGGTCCCCTTCAGCCCTGCGGGGATACCTGATGTCATGGCGAGTCTGGAGAATTGTCCTTACCACCACCACCATCATCTCCCATCTGGAATTCCAGTTCTCCTCAGGTTGTTTGTCGGGGTCATCTCCCCTCCTGGGTAGTGCCCACGTTTCTGTTGTTATGAATATGTTGTATGCTGAATAACCTCTGTTGGGAGAATGAAGGGTAAAGTGCTTAGTTTTTTCTAAGATTTTTTGATTTTTCCTTTTGACTTTATCACATTCTTGGAGTGCTTGAATGTTTGACCGTGATGGTGTGGAGATTTTTGGCTTAGTGATGCTGGGACCCACATTCCTGGTAAGCAAATAATCAAGCGTTGGTAATATGGCTGGTATTGCTCTGGGATGTCATGCGGTAGTGAAAGTGTCTTTGGACTTTTGGACCGGATTGTTTCAAGCCTGGTTAAGGTCTTAGGAGAAGTCAGCCATTGACTTTTAGATTCCAGAAGACGGAAGTGCATTCGATTGGTGTTTCCTCGCCGAAGCTTATGTCCACAGAGCTTCTACGCCGCGGTGCACAACGCCGGATTCACGAGCGCGCCACGTGTATCTTATCACGAGACTCGCGACTCTCGGTGCTCCGGGGCGTTGTGCGCCCGGCGCGGAGCTCCTGGGCCGCCTTATTTAGGCCGTAGGTGTTGGCGGCGACTCGATTAGAGCTCCTCTGGCATTAGGCTTTCTTAGTCGGGGTAGATAAATCCCTTCGCAAGATTAGGGTTTTTCATCGCGGAAATATTTCCCTGTAGAAGATCTTCCCCGAGCGTATCACCCGTGTTTCGCAGCTTAGAGTTATTTTGACTGCCATTCAGTCGGGTGAGCCGTCCCTCCACACTAGTTTATTAAGCCTTGGGTTACGGGAGTGGCTGCAGGATTTTTACGAGCCGTTTTCTTAATCGCTGAACTTCTTCGCGGATTCTGATTCTTCCCATTCTTGTTCAGTCCTTCTCTATCCCGCCGGTTCCTTGAGCGATCCGCGCAGTATTGCTGGGACTGTGCGAAATTTTCATACTCGATGCCCAGTAGGGACCTGGGCCGTAATCGTTATTCCTTTCATTTACTCATTTAAATAGCGACTGTATGCTTTCGACATTTCCGATTGCTTTTCTGTCGTTAAGTTTGTATCTATGGGACAAAGATGAGTTTCAAGTTCTGTTTGGATACATCCCCTACTTGTCACGGTTCTTCATGCCCTCATTTACTAGATATGTATGCCTCCATCTATTGTTGGTTTTACCTATCGGAGTACCTATCAAACACGTTGTCTTTAGAAAGATGTGTGCCTTTGTTTGAGTTAATTTCCTTTTTTTAGCTTCAAGATAGCTACTTTTGAATTCTATCTATTTCTCGTCAACGTTTTAGTTATTCTTTATTTGGGTCGGACTGAGGTTTTTTTTTGTTCGTGAATGATGCATTTATTTGCGCTAATAGTTATTTGGAAGCCTGATATATATTACATTTGATACTCAGTATGGGGGACGCTTCAGAGTCAGACCTTGAACGTGCAGAAGGATTCAAGCTTCAGGCTAATGAAGCATTTAAAGGTAACTAGAATTGATTAATCTTTTTTCCGCCATAAGGGTTCATTCTATCAATTCATAATAAAGAGGTAATTTCCCGATGTTTTAAGCTGGCATGAATGTGCTGCTTAGTATCCTTAAGCACCATACCATTGGTGCTGTCTCTATTCTATCGTTCGGCCTTAAAGGAATTTTTATATTGTTTTGTTCATGCCATTTTTTTCTAATGATCTGGGATATTGTTGATTGTTTTCAGCTCACAGATTTTTCCAAGCTGTCGATCTGTATAGTCAAGCAATTGAACTGAATGGCCTAAATGCTGTCTATTGGGCAAACCGTGCATTTGCCCATACTAAACTTGAGGAGTATGGAAGTGCCGTGCAGGATGCAACCAAGGCTATTGAAGTTGATCCTAAGTACTCTAAGGCATGTGTTCCAACTGCTGTTCATATTAACCTCGCATGTAGGTTTTTAAATTGACCTGGAAAGTTAATTTTCATATTTGACAGGGTTATTATAGGAGAGGTGCTGCCTACCTTGCAATGGGGAAATTCAAGGAAGCCTTGAAAGATTTCCAACAGGTGCCCACCGTACTAGTGTGCTTCCTACTTATGTGATCTCAGACTAAGAACATGTTTCTTGTTATTTCGTAATTCTTTTTAATAAAAGTTTACCGAAGACAATGTGCCGCTCAACATTAGCTGATCGACTATTGTTTCACGAAGAAACCTGCTTGATTGAGTTTGTGTTATATGGGCATTGCAATTATCTAAACTTCCATCTGGTTTCTTCTTCTTTTTTTTAATAAAAACTCGAAAAAATAGGATTCATGCCAATGTATAACGACTATTGTTTCACGAAGAAACCTGCTTGATTGAGTTTGTGTTATATGGGCATTGCAATTTATAACGACTTACATTTGCATGAATCCTATTTTTTCGAGTTTTTATTAAAAAAAAAAAGAAGAAACCAGATGGAAGTTTAGATAATTGACACAACCAAATATTAAAGTGCATTGATGGCGGGAAATATTATAAGTTTCAGGGAAGATAATGACTCTTCTGTGAGGGGTGTAATAGTTGATGCTAGAGTACCTTTTTGTTTTTGAAGCTAAATATGGAAAATTATATGGAGTGGCATGGGCTGTTGGATCTGATACCCTTTTGTATTCTGATTCTACTCCCCTGATGGAGGAGCTAGTCTCCAGCTTTTCCTGCCTTCTTCTTTATACTTTTTCAAGAAATTCAGGCACCTTCTAAAGGACCTTTGCAGGTTTTAAGTACATATGACATTGGTAATTACATATTAAATGGATTATGGTAGTTTCCCTGGTTCTATTTTTGCCTCTTTTTTATCTCATGTTCCAAAACTATTCCAAATCTTCTATTTTTTATCTACTTTCCTGCCTTTTATCATTTAGTGCATATTATCGTCAAATTCTGATTCAATGGATGATTTTCCCTTGTCCAGAATAATACTAATCCAACACACAACAGATAAATGTGACCAATTAACCTGCTAATAAAATTACTTGTTACAAATAAGATCTTGTTGTTGCATCATTTCTTTTATTATACATGTGCTTCACTTCAGGTGTTGATAATTCTTCATGTGAATTCCCATAAGGATAAAATATGATCTCATTAATATGTGATGCATTCAGTTGAAAAGGATCTGCCCAAATGATCCAGATGCCGCTAAGAAGTTGAAGGAATGTGAGAAAGCTGTGCAAAAGATCCGCTTTGAGGAAGCAATTGCTGTGGATGATGCATCAAGACCGTCGGTAGCTGATTCTATTGATTTTCATTCGATAGGTAGTATCTGATTCTGAATTGTAACCCCTCCCCCACCCCTCCTCTCTATCATCATAGTTTCTCTGTTGTGCTGATGTGGAAGATGATTTATTACATCTCTTGTTGAAAGCTCGTAATGCTTTTTTTGTGGAAATTTATTTTATTTAGGAATACATTTGATCACTTAATCTCCCTAAAAAGTATCTTTCAACACCCAGAACTCAGAATTGGATCGGTAATCCGGATTGACCCGGGCCCATCCAATCTAGAAACTCAAGTAGGTCGCATGATGCAATAAGAATTGATATACCTGTTTGATTATTATCCACTGCCTCCCTCCATCTGACAATCTAACAGTTTGCCCCTCACAAGCATCGTGTTCCCTTGATTGTCTTGTTAATGTGGTCGTCTGGATAGATCATTTCTTAAGATGTTGAGCATTGATTCCACTCTATTGTCTAGTCAAGTCTGAAGTAATTAACATGTGTCGAGCCAAAGATACTACTTGTGCTTAGACTAATCTCTTCCAATAGTCAATTATTAGCAACAAACTTCTCTATATAACGTAGTAATATCATAGATAAATGTCGATTAACTTCTACTTTGGCTCATTATATCAGAATAGCATCTTGTGCACGATTTTTTGTACCAGTAATAGTATCTTAAATTCCGCCATTTTTTCCTTCCACGTAATGTAATCCGTGTTAGATGGAATGTGACGACCTCTTTTGAATGCTGTCTCCGTTAGTGTCTCACAAGATTCTTTTTCTTTGCGACTAGATGTTGAGCCTCAGTATGCTGGTGCAAGAATAGAAGGAGACGTGGTAACTCTGGACTTTGTGAAGAAAATGATTGATGATTTTAGGAACCAGAAATCCCTGCATAAGCGGTTCGTAACTATCAAAGTGTCATCCCACATTCTGTCTTGAAGCTTAGTCCGATTAATTCATGAAATCTTTTCATATTGTCTTGTACAGATATGCCTATCAGATAGTTTTGCAAACTCGGAAAATGCTTCAAGCTCTGCCTTCTCTCGTTGATATAACCGTGGAAGATGGAACTCATTTTACAGTCTGTGGTGATGTGCATGGTCAGGTAATACACGAGATGTTAATCCAGCAATAGTTTTATATTTCAATTGGATATCTATCTCAATAGTCTCCAATGTTTTACTGATATTCCTCGAAAATAAACCTGTCATTAGGCTTGTATCCACAGAAACTTGTAACACCAGTTCAAGCATTTTTTTCAATATCTGAATCCTCGCCTTTTTTATAATCTCGCTCTATATCCTCCGCCTCGAAAATTCTGAAGTATGCTGGTCTGAAAACCTATTACCCAAGATGGCATCCTTTTGTCCTTGATTCATCACTGGATTTTCCTCCTCAGTCAGATAAGTAGTTGTCTCTTCGCAATCCATTATGGTAGAAGTCGCCTTGCCACATGAGAGATACAAATGCCTTCCGCCTAGTAGCGTTACCCCATTTGGTGCTATATCTTGGAGGCTGCTTTGATTTCTTTTCTGTGGTAATTTTCGTTTAAATATACGAAAGCATTTCCCATATTCAATGCCCTGGGATGCCAAATTCATTTCTTGAAGAACTTCAATTCATTATTCACCCTGGGGAAGTGTACCTTATTGCTGGGAAAGTTTGACTATTAGTCCACATAATCATAGACAAAAAAGCATATAAATTTGTCATTGCTGGGTTAAAATGCTGGACATCTTCTTTAATCAATGCCTATGAAAATCTTTCTTAAGATAAATGATAATCCATTGCCTGTAGTTTATATTGCTTTTGTTTTGCCTCAATTTTGGGCGTTACCTTGCATGAAACGAACCTATTAGATGTAATTATCGTCCTGCATTTTTGTCTTTTTTCACCTCTGGTTATCTGACATTGTTTACCTGGAAAATTGCAGTTCTATGACCTACTAAACATATTTGAGCTTAACGGGCTTCCTTCGGATGATAATCCGTACCTCTTCAATGGAGACTTTGTAGATCGAGGGTCCTTTTCTCTGGAGGTCATTCTCACATTGTTTGCCTTAAAGTGTATGTCTCCACAAGGTAAGTGATTTTCGCAAGCCGGTAGACAGTAGACTCTTTCTTATCTTATGGTGATTTGGGAATTATGATAATTTATCTCTTGTACGTTTTATCCTATACTTGGGGAAGTAATATTTCTATATGGTGCGGTGCCTGTCTGTCTTCCATTTAGATTCTAGTTCAAACTTGTCGTTTCTATCTGTCAGCGACATATTTTTTGTAGCCATTCTTGCCTAGTGGATGTACGATAGCTGTGCTGTCATGTGAGCTGCCCTGGGTCATTTTCTCTAATGCTTTTACTTTCTTTCGTTTTCTCCATTTTTACCCCTGCTGTTGTGTTGAAGATCCTTTCTGTTTTAATTCATCGTTTAAATCAGGGCTGCTCCTGCAGCCAACTATGATATGTCTATTTGAGGAGAGAAATTAGAGACAATCTGGGAACAATTTCTGCATTCCACGTCGTTAGCAATGCCAATCTTTCAGAGAAGCAGTTTTTTTCTTTTTGTGCAACTAGGAGAACGGTATGGCCTTATGCCCCACATGAGAGATGCTCTATTGATCCTAAGCTCAAAGAGTAATTATGTAGATACCCTTGATGAGTTTTTTTTTCCGTGATGTTCCCCACTGTTATGCTTTCTGGAATATATTGTTTTCCACTAGGAGGGCATGATTGTGTTCTTTAGTGTTAGGTTTTCTTATAAAATGTGGTCCGATCACTTTCCAAAATCTTGTAGTAGGCTGGAGGTTATGAGTTGGTATAAAAAGAAGAAGCTATGAATGCCAATAAATGAATGATCATGCACATTCACGATGTTTGCAGCGACATGAATTTAATGAAAAAGGAGAGGTTTGATCATACATGTTCCTTAGGGCTTCATACTTCACAACGCTGAAAACAACATCCCAGCTCTGTATTTTTCTGAATCACGGGCTACTCTCATTATGCTCTTAGTTTCTGTCCTCTTTCTCTTGGGTACAGCTGTGGCTAATTTGTCAATCTGTTTGAGCAACAGAAACTGACTTCGGGGGAAGCATGGTCTGTCTCGTGTGTAATGCGTTCGAATTTATTTATTTATTTTAATAGTTATATTATGTTTAACTTTATAAGTGTAATCAAAATTTATGAAATCATTCAGTTGTGTAGATGTCATTGAATCTTCATGATCGTCTGTGCTGACTGCTGTCGAAATATTTTCAGGTATACACCTTGCCAGAGGGAACCACGAAAGTAAGAGCATGAACAAAATCTATGGATTTGAGGGGGAAGTCAGGTCGAAGTTAAGTGAAACGTTTGTAGAGCTCTTTGCAGAGGTTTTCTGTTGTTTACCTCTGGCTCATGTCATAAATAATAAGGTTCTTGTAGTTCATGGTGGACTGTTTAGTGTTGATGGAGTGAAACTCTCTGACATCCGAGCAATCGATCGGTTTCATGAACCTCCTGAGGAAGGTGTGTACGTTAGGCTGATTTCTGTTTTTGAGAAATTTCTGAAGGAGAATGATGATGTTCTTCGTGATTTACACATGAACTATGTCAGATTTAAACCGAGCTATTGACCCGACTTGGGATCTTGGTTATCTTTCTACAGTTGGGCTGGGGGTCTAGCCCACTGACACTCCTCTGGCTCCTTACCTCTCATTCATCCCATTCTTTTTGTTTCTCTCTCTAACAGGATTGATGTGCGAGTTGCTTTGGAGCGACCCCCAGCCTCAGCCTGGAAGGGGCCCAAGCAAGCGAGGCGTTGGCCTGTCCTTCGGTGGAGATGTGACTAAACGGTTTTTGCAGGAAAATAATTTAGGTGAGCTGCCCTAATTAGCCCTCAATCCGCCGATTTTCTCTTTATCCTCGTTAACAATGCATTATTTATTATATATGATACCTGCTCTTCCGCCAGATCTGGTCGTTCGATCCCATGAAGTGAAGGACGAGGGATATGAGATTGATCACGATGGGAAGCTTATTACTGTCTTCTCCGCTCCGAACTACTGCGATCAGGTGAAGATAATTCTCCCGTGCAAGCTTTCAGCTTTGGCTGAAGGGATCTTTATCTCGTGATGTGGTGTGGATGAGTGCTGTTCATCTGTATCAGCTCGTGATAATTTCTTTTAAAAGATGGTAGAAAACTATTTTGTTTCGAGGGAGATTGTTTAGTTTAGTGGGATTTATGACCCATGGGCGGTCGCTTGATGCAGATGGGCAACAAGGGAGCATTCATACGATTCAAAGCCCCCCAATTGAAGCCGGATATCATCTCATTCTCGGCTGTGGTGAGTGATCTTATTTCTTGATGATTCCTTTTTATGACTACTCAAATTCCCTCTCTCTCGAATTTCTCTCTCTCTCGAATTTCTTTCATGGGAATTCTGAACTGTCAATTATAAGTTTGGGTCTTCTTGATCTGATGGAGAATGTATGAATCTTGAAATCATGCTAATTGAAAAAAATATATCTGGTCATTAATCCACCAATCATCAAGATATAATTTGTCATTAACATTATGCGTATGTGTTTAATTTTCTTCTTGCAGCCGCACCCGGATGTGAAGCCGATGGCGTATGCGAACAACTTCCTGCGGATGTTCTCCTGATCTCCGAGGTTCTTCTTCATGGGGGCGTGTTCCATTGCCGTAAAAGAGAGAGAGAGACAGAGAGAGATAGAGAGGAAGGAAATCCGATAGAAGCTGGAGTTCGTCATCTCTCTGGAGGTCTCCAGTGGTGCAGCTTTCGATTAAGTTTATTAATCTCCCGGCAATGGAGTCATCGTCTTCGTCCTTCCCCTCCCTGCGTGTAATCCTGCTAGCCTTCTTAGCTCCTCCCCCCCGTCGTCTCCTCCGTGCCATTTTGGTCCCTCAATTCTTGCCACTGGACGGTGCGTGCTGAAGCTGTAAATTATTCTGAGACCTCCAAGCTCCCCCCATTCGGTTGCCCATTGGACCTCTCCGTTGTGGCTGCCCGCCAACCAGTAGAGAGAGAGGGAGAGAGCAACTTAAGAGAAAAAAAAAAACTCTCCCCAAGTCGCTGAGGTTCTCGCCATGAAAATAGCACAGAGAATTGACAGAGAGTAGCTCTCCCTTGTGGCCAGCCGTCAACCAGTAGTAGAGAGAGAGAGAGAGAGAGAGAGAGAGAGAGAGAAGAACTAATCTTCATAAAAGGGTTTTCTTCCGCACCGGACCGGATAAAGTGAAGAGGTTTCCGCCATGAAAGAGAGTAAGAGAATGAATGTACAGAGAGGAGCCAAGGGGGAGGCGCAAAGAATGCTCCACAAAATGATGGGGGTAGAGAAAGAGAGAGAGGGAGAAACGAAGACAACTTCAGTAATTCAACAGGGAGTACTTGGCCCGCACGACGATCTTCCCCTTCTCGATCCCGAGCTTGGCGCCGGTCACCAGCCAGTGGCCGGGGCTCTCCTGCGGGCCACGGCAGACCTCCACCGTGTCCACGAACTTGTCTAGCTTCCCGGCAGCGGGGCCGTCGTCGGAGCTCTTCCTCTCACCGCCGGAGCTCGACGGAGACGACGACGGGTCGTCGCCGCCGCCGTGTTGGGTCATCACGGACGGGTCGTGGTCCCAGACGGACCTTCGAATGGTGCAGCCAGGGACCTTGGAGAAGAGGAGCTTCAAGTGGAGGACGCTCTTGGCGCCGAAGTCCCAGACGCCCAGCTGGGCGCCGGTGACGATGAAGACGCCGGAGAGGTCGCCGATGGTGGTCTCCGTGTTCTCGATGGGGGCGGTGCTGACGTGGGCGAAGTTCTTCCACTTGATGGGCTCGAACCAGCGGCTGTCCTGCTCTTCCGGGCCCTGCCACCTCGGCGCCCCGATCGCTACGTGGGCGTCCCAGTGGGGCTGCAGCACCTTGGGCAGCGAGGCCAGGTGTTGGAGGTGGATGGCCAGCCTGTTCCGCTTCCCACCTTCCAGGCTGAGCCTCAGCCCCGTGATGGGTTTCCGGCCGACCGCCACCTGCACAGACCAACACTTTCTCGATTCAGAAAGCTCCTCCTCCAATCGGAAACACGACGACGGAAAACCTTCCATACCCAGTAAAATGAAGGGCATGGGACTAAACAGAGAGACGCAGCAAGCAGAAGAAACGGTAAAAATGGGCGGAGAGAAATTCCGCCATGACGATGACGAGGTTAGATGGATGATCCATTCATGGGAGCTGAACTGCTCGTTCCTCCACTCCAATCCGGTCCCAACCAGCCGAGAACACTGGGTTCGAGCATAAATGGGGTATCTTTCTCAGTCTTAATTGGTTCCAATGCATTTGAATAACGCATAACGTGAGAGAGAGAGAGAGAGAGAGAGAGAGAGAGAGAGAGAGAGAGAGAGAGAAGCTGAATACAACCACCAATCTATGAAACAGGGCGGCGAGGATCAGATTATTTTCGTCGAAAGGGTTGACTTCCCGTGAACATTGTTAAAACAAATAAATTCGCGTGCATGCTAGGTATAGATATGGTAAATTCAGTAGTGAAATAAAAAACTGAACCAGATACCTGCTCTGCGCTGATATAGAGCTTCGGGCCCATCAGACTAAACTGAACAGAAGGACACACGGGCTCTTTCCTCTGATGCCCCGGAATGGCGTGAGCCTTCACAGGTGCCCAGTCTCGCTGGACTTGGAATTCCAGGAAATACTTCAGCTCCTCAACGGGAGGCTTGTCTGAGAAAGTTCATCAGAAACAAACGCAGTCAACCAAGAATCAGAATGGCGATGAAGATACTTTGGTCTCCAATTTCTACCTCCATTCCTTAATCATGTAAATAAACAACATGGTTTTTGGAACACATGATAGTAATTATCGCCAAGATTAAAATGCATAATAAAACAAAATAACTAATGATGATGACGGCGATGAAGATGATATGACCATTAATGTTGTACTTATGAAGATTTTTATTTCTTCGGACCACAATTCATCATGAAAATGGAAGATAAATAGCAGGAAGATGTTGTACTTGAATTCGTTCTGTCAGAGGTCAAATTAAGTGAATGTGTGTGATGAAGCTGGCTTCATTTTTCTGACTACCAAGAGAGGGGTTTAATGCAAATAGAGACAGCACAAGGAGACATAAGTTAGGCGGTATTAGCTAGAACAGAAATATTATCATAAAGATGGGCCAGCTGCACTCATAGATGGCCCAATAAGTTGAACATGGTAACAGAGTCGACGATTGCTCTTGGGCCAAAATATTTTCCTATCAGTGTAGTTAAGAATAGCACCATATTTATTATCATAAAATAAATATGTAATTATGAAGATAGCTCTACTCCACTGATGGCCAATTGGCTTCGAGATGGAGGGCCCAATTACTCTGACTCCTATCATCCAGCCCAGTACAAGACTAATCCATCGAAAAGCATCCAAGTTCTATGCTTGACTTGACAGATTAATAGAATTATTGGGCTTGAGGGATTGAGGGATCATTATATATGATTATGGCCGGAGAAGGCCTACCAAACTTTTGTTCCCATTTCTTCACAGTCATCATGATCTCTTCACTTATCTTTGAGGTGGGATATAAGCTATCAGGGTAGGGAATGAGTCAACCGTCCCCCCACATATGCAGTATGCTTCCACTGTCAGCCCTTTATGATAGAGTATTGAATACTCTATTTTTTCTGTACCTACACCCCAAAAATTCTCATTTATCAAATTCCATGCCGCCTGTATCTCAGGTTCTAACAAATCCAGGGTTATAAACTTGATGGAGAGGACAAATAGCATCAAAACCCTTGAAAAATTATGAGGATGTACTCTTCAGGAAGATCTGGCCTTAAACTAGACAAGAAAAATAATCAAGGATCACCCTACAACATGTGACTATTTGGTCTGACCTGGTTTTCTGGTAGATATTAGAGACAGGTACTGAAAACCAAGAATGTCATCTAGAGCCTAGAGCAAATCTTTCAACCCCTGCTATGTTTTCATCTTAGAGACTCCTTGATTCTTTCCAAATGTTAAATTGACCTGTGCAAGGAGGCACGTTGAAATTGGATGGGAAGAATGATCGAGAATTGAGTTAAGTAATAAACTTACTCAGAATCAACGGGTTTTTAATTGGATGATTTGATGGAAAATCGATTTCTTTGCACCAAGACGCCTTAAAACTACAATTCATCATCACGCATGATGGCTTCACCGACATTTACATCACTTCTTACAGGACAGAAATGGTCGTCAGGACTCTTGTCCCTTGGTAATGACTGAAATTTAAATTATTTGATTAAAAGTCATGGTTCCATTGTTTTTTGCATTATACATCAAAATATTATCAAATAACATATGGGTGGCAAGAATCCATTACTGTTTAGAGAAGAACAAAAACAATTACCCACTCACAAACAAATTTTACTGAAGGATTGGCAATTAAGATAAGATTGCATTGGGTTGCAGTGAGGAAACAGCGAGACAATGACACATAAACTTACGTTCCAAGTATAAACCAATGGCTCTGGCGAGATGTTTTGCTCCAGGCAGCCCATTCAGAAGAGAAATTATGGGAAGAAATGTCATGTTGATCACATCTGGTGATGACGACACAGAGCTAGCCCATTGGGAAAGATTCTGAACAAGATCGTCGCCTCCTCTCCTCCTAAAAATCACTGTAACGTCCTGCAGCAGGATGGAATCGTCAAGTGATTCGAAAGGGACAAGTGTAACCCAACAGATGGCTCACAAAGAGCGAGCCGGAAATAAAATGGTGATGTAGATACATATAGAATGATACAGGAGAGAAAAGCAGCTAGATTTATACTGTCAGTGAGAAATAAAGAGACCATTAAAAAGTACAGTTTAATAACATGTATTTTGATGAGGCAAGGAAAGTGGAACTAAAGTTTCAATAAAATAAACAAAATACCGAATTGAAAATGAGTTGGAGAATGTTTCGAATGTTGCAGTTCATATTTCACTCATTTATGAGAACTAAATCCAAAAATATAGTCCTCACATTTTAAATCAACTAAAAAAATGTGACGAAAATTGGATCCCAAACAAATAAGGGAAGCTAGCTTTGTCAGTCTCATAATTATTACAGCTGAAAGGAAGTGCTATTTAGGCAGCACTTTTTGCTGGCATAGTGAGTAGAAGAACAATACCATAGGATATGTAGAAAATATAAGAGAAACTAAGACGTAGAGCAGTTAAATAATTAAACAGTTTGATACTTTATAGAATGTTGCATGATTTATTGTCTGTTTTCTCATGTCCTTTTCTTGTGAGAAGGAAGACAATGGTGCCACATCAGTCAGTAAGGAAAAAATATGAGAGCATGAGGGAAGGAGGTAAATAGCAAAGACCACAACTTTCGAAGAATGCCCCTCCCCCAGGAAAATAAATGCTCAGACCATAATCATAGTAATTCCGAGTGATCTCAGGCCAACTGATTCACAAAGTTCAGCAAAGATCAAACGGTCAATCATTGTCGTCAGATTTAGGAAGAGAGTGCCCATCACACGCATATTCCTTGACAAAGGGAAATCATCACCTTCCGTCCTCAATGAAGAGCCCTTTCCCTGCTCTTGTTTGGTTGTGAAGCCTATTCTATTACCAAACATCTATCACCTTCTTCGGTTCTACTCATTTTCTGACATTCCATAATTTTCCTTGTATCTCTCTTATGCTAACATTATGGTATTTTCCTTTTGATCCTCCTCTCTCTGCAGCTATATTATTTCCGTTTGATCCTTCTCATTCTACAACTACATAAATTTTCCTTTGACCCCACTCATTCCACACCCTTTTCTTTTGGCCCTCCACATTCTAAAATCCTATTAGTTTCCTTTGATCATCCTCATTCAACAATCATATTACTCATGAAAAGAATTCACAGGTACACCCATGGCACATACAGCAGATTTTCCTACTGGGTAAAATTAGCCCCCAGCAAGCTGAGACAAATAAGCTGCCCACGAGCCTTCTACTACACCATAGCTCATCTAAACATCCATGGAGGACCTCATTTCCATGGCGCACTGATGACTATAGAATTCATGGTTGAAAATTCAGGGAATGAACACAAATGGAAGCATACAGAGAAACATCAGTTCTTCAAATTATCTCCAATGGAAGCTTACCTCTTTCCCACTTAGATGTGGAATATTTGAGGGCTGTGGATGTATCTCCCTAGTGTAAAGCAAGGAAGGATCTCCTCCCTGGTAACATGAATGAATTATAAATAAATCCACAACAAAACTAGCCTTATAATCGACATGAAGATATGAAAATAAAACCTGATCGTTGTATTTGGAAGAGTTGGGGATGGGCTCATTCTCCAAGTCCAAAAACCTTTGGTCGCCAATATCTTTCACATACTTTTCAATGTCCGGCAATGACAAGAGAGATGAACTATGCTGCTTGACATAGACTACATCTCTGCCACCGATGGTCACTGAGGTGATTATATGGGTCCCAAAGTTCTCGATGAAGCTGGAAAGGAAAAGAGTCAACAATTGGCAACATGATTTCCAGAAGTAGAGGCTGAGATGTGGGCATCACGCTGCCAACCTCGCCAATGAAGCTGGCTCCCAATTGCGGGGAACTGCGTTCTTCACATCTTCTCTCAGAGTCAGCCCAGAATTCGTCAGCCTGACTTTATATAGAGGCATGAAGTAGCCATCCATCACGAGGGCTTTCGTGGAAGTCACATCGATCTTCCAGGAGCCCGTGAAATTGAACATGGAGTTGAAGCCGCCCAGAGGCATTGATTCTGATAAGCCGGACTTCTTGTTGAAGTACTCTGCCATCTGAGATCATAGAGTCATCCCATGTCAGATTGTTGTCATAGAGCGGGCGACAATAATATCATTCACAGAAAGGATGGAGCAGTCAATACGCATACTTGTGCATTTCAACAATGAAACTGTCATTATTTGAACGAATATCGTGATAGATGAGGCATTTCGTATAACATCAGGCATAAATACATGGAATAAAAGGGATCAATCGAACGCCTGAAGATGTGGAACGGAATTCGTCCGAGTCCAAGGATGGAGCCGGATCATAATTGGGAAATCCAGAAGGAACTCAGGTGTGAGGAGATCAATCAGTCGGCCAGAGACGTACATGGTGGAAGGATAAGACACCGGTTGTCTCCCGTCCGCCCTTCCCTGGCAAGACATCAATGCCAACGGGCACCTCTTGGACAACGACCCCCTCGGATACGCGAATATCCCTCGTGTTGCCCTCGTTAACCTGGACGAGCCTCGACCCGGGGGCGCCCTTGCAGTAGAGGAGGCGGGTGTCGGAGTTGACGTCGAAGCCCCGTCCGAGGGCCTGGATCGCGTTGACCAGGGTGGCCTTTACAGCCGCCGAGACAGCGGCGGCGGAGTCTGACCTTTCCGACGCCCCCCCTCCCTGCGCCGCCGCTGCTCTGTGCAGCCTCTCCATTCGTTTTCTCTTCACTAGAGACCGAATGACAGCACCAACAGCGTGATAGAAAAGGCGGACGGAGAGGAACACGCGGTTTCTGCCGCCACCATTAATGCATCAGATGGCGGGGAATTCCATCGTGACACCAAATTCCTCACCTTCGTCCCCAACACTTCCCGTCATTCTGTTCCACTCCGCGTTCGAAATTGGGATCCGCCCGCTCGGGACCTTCAAACTTGGAGGGATGGAGGGGCGGCGCGACTGGAGGCGGTGGGGTAAGCTTAGGGCCTCGCCGCCCCCGATCTGACGAGTCTGCCTGGAAAGTAAGCCCTAAATGTTGTTCCTTTCTCATTCAGACCAGCCGATGGAAGACATGGCTCTTTTGACCACTACTGCTCTTGTAAGAGCTCAAAAAGGAAACCCACCCAAAGTCAAAACTCCAGCCAGAGAAGCGTTGACTGACGCTGCCCACTCAGCGACTTCGTCGCCGACAGGCTCGTGCAGACGGACCACGATCCCCCCACATGGGCAGCCGAACTTTCCTCCGCCTTCGTCCTTACGTCAACCCTCTTCAAACCCTCTAGAATACCCCCAAATTTCTTGGTACCCCTGCAACCGAGCGACGACCACCTCGTCCTTGACTGGAAAGAAAAGTTGCAACTTTCGCGACCAGTCAACTCAAGACGGGCCCAAGACAGTCGATCCAGAACCCGGGTGATAATGGGTCGAGCCCATTTCTTCATCGGGCCCTGAAGTTGAGGTCCAATTTTGAATAAATCAAGCCATCTTGCCCACCAGGCCATTGACTCTCATATTCACACGTGCAGCTAGTAATCATGATCGTTGACCGGTAGCTCGATCGCCAGGCCTGCCACAAATCGCCGACCTCAGCAGTAAGAAATCAGGAGAGAAGAAAATTGTTCGTGGGGAGATTAATTTAGATTATTATATACATCATTGATTGAATCCCCATTTAACCACAAGGTCAAACTCGGTCTCCCGCCCAATACGTGACAAAACTCAGACCGCGGGGTCAAATGTGGGTGAAAACCGTGCAGCGTGGCCTGAAGATTGGGGTCGACCGCAGAAACAAAAGAGTCTGGTCAAACTTAACACATTCCACGCGTCGGTGATTGAATCGCTTGCTCCGAGTTGGGGGCGAATCAGGAACACCGTGACGAATGTGATAACGTCAAGGAACATGTGATGGGGAGGGCCCTGTGTGGAGTTCGTATAGAAAGCAGAGCAGAAGAAAACAGGCTTTGTTGAGCCCACACACCCCACTGGAGAGAACCCACTTCTCCCTCTCTCTCTCTCTCTCTCTCTCTTCTTTCTTCTCTCTCTCATGCGTTGGACCTGCTCTTGGAGCTGCCGAGGGTGAGCTCGAGGTCATCTGAGCCGCACTCCTCGTGGATCCTCTCGCCCGCCCAGGCCTTCACCGGCCCCAACAGCAGCGCGTTCTCGTTGCTGCAGCTGCCGCCGCCGCCGCCGAAGGCGAACTCCTCTGAGGGCGGGGCCGGCGGCATGGGGACGTCCGCTTCCCCTGGAACGGCGGGAGAGCAGGTGCCGCTCTGCACCGGCGTCCACATCGCGGCGGAGCCTCCACGAGCTGCGGGCACCTCGCTGAGGAAGCCACCGAATGGGTTCGACGAGACGAGGCTGAAGGTCGGAGAAGAAGGCCCGCCGGTGGAAGACGACGGCAGGAACCAGAGCGGCGGCGCCGCTGGGTCGTCCCAGTCGGTCTTGATCCGAGGCGTGCGCGCCGTCGGGGAGCTGAGAGGCGGCGTGACAGGGGCGCTGATCGACCCCCCGTGCATGTAGAGGTGGTGGAGATGAGGCGTCGGCGCTTTGGAGGGGGAAGAAGCCGACGCAAGGCTGCTGAGGAATGGCACCATGGAGTTGACTTCGGATGAGTTGGCTGCCCAGTTGTGGCCGTTGGTGATATAGGACGATGAAGCAGGGCTCGGGAAGGAGGATGATGCAGGGCTCGGCTGGTACGACGAGCATGGGCTCGGGGAGGCGGAGCCGCCTGCGACCTCCATGTGCTCCGCCGGCTTGCATCCCTGGAAAACAGGAGGAGGAGAGATGTTAGGGCTGCAGAGCTGACCGGTGAAGATCAAAGCAGAAAATGGAAGAGATGAAAAAATGGATCCTTGCTTTTCTGGGTTCGCCCCCGGTTTCCCTCTAACTGGTACTAGAAGACGAGTAGGGAAAGAATGGCTCAGCTAGATTCTGCAAAAAAAATGAAATGGGAGGAGGAAGAAGGGTCTAGAAGAGACCCACGGTCGGGAATCCGATGAACGGGGGAATGCTTGCTCCTGAAGAAAGTTTGGCCGGATCGGACGGGCGTGATCGGGAAGAACAAATCAGGCGAGGAGGAAAAAACGATCGAAGAAATATGGATCAATGAATATAGCCGGCGGAAAATTCCATGGGGTGAATTGGCTTTACGAACAGCGGGGATGGATTCTGAAAAAGACCGATTTGGATAATATCATGCCTCAGATCGATCATCTTGGGAAAGAGAAACTGCCTCATGGCTCCCCCATGATATTTCTCTTCTAAACAAAGAGGTGCGAAATTGAAACTCAGAAACAACACCAGAAAGGACGGCGGACGAAGTAATTTTGCTCTTCTTTCATTCGAGAGATGATATCGATCGATCGATCGATCATCGGGATCCCAGATGAAGTGTTGTCCCTCGATGCGAAAAGCAACATGTGAAGATGGACAGTGAACCGCGAGCCGATCGCACTCTCAGATGGAACCAATCGATTCAGATCACTGCCCGGCCTTCAAATCTCCCATGACCCTGACGATTCTAGACGAATACCTCCGTCGATGAAACACCGAGAGAGGTGTGCCTACCTGATTAATCGGAATTAAGGACGCGGGGGGCTGATATAAATAGGCTTATATGTAGTTCACGAGATCACCCGTAAAAGAGGTCCGCGGAGAGGGATGTGGTGGCCTTTACCTTGCGGTAGGTGCTGCCGTCCTCCTCCACTGTCCACCCGGCCTCTCTGCACAGGGCCTTGAGGACCTCGTTATTATCACAGTGCTTCGGAAGCTTGTAGTTCCCATACATCCGCAGCCCCGCGTAGATCTTGGCGGCGATTGCCCTCCGCCTCCTCTCCCTGCGCTTGTTGTTCTCCCTCTCCTTCCATGTCGGAAGCCGCGCTCCCGAAGTCATCTCCGCCGCCCCTCTTCCCCCCTCTTCCTCCACGGCTACAGATGGAACTATCACCGGTAAACTGTCGGAGTTGTCCCACCGTCTAGGACGTAGAAATGCTGCACAGAGAGATCAAATCCCCTTCACCGGCAAACATGTCATACGCGTACCGATCGGCGTAGCACCGGCTTCAACCCCTAAGAATGGCGGCAGCCGGTGAGAGATCTTCAGATCTGAGAACGCCGATGTACCGCTGGCGTTGCAGATCGCATCGAGGAACAGCCCCGAGGAAACTGCCCCCGGAGAACGGGAAAGGGAGGGGAGATCGACAGGGCGGGGAAGAGGGACCAACGAGGACGAGAGACTGATCACGCAGGCACAGAGAGCGAGGGGGAGAGAGAGCTCAACGCGGGATATATGGCATTAAACACGGGACTACCTATAAAAATACTCCTACTAATTAGCACAATCACGAAAATGCCACTATTCTATGTCAGAAAAGACCAAGAAAAACGTGAGCTCCCGCGGGAAACGGGGGAGATAAACACCGAGAAGTGTAGCTCGCCCGGGTTCTCCAACGTTTGGAGACGATTTCGATTCCACGAATCGCTTAGCACTATCGTCAATCGATTCCCCACCTCCTCCCCAACCAAGTCGCACCGCTCTCTGTGACAGGATCCGATTCTCTGTCCACGTCATGATTGAACGTGCGCAAGGGACCTTACTCCACACGTGCAGCCACGTGTGCTGGTCAGCCATATTGACCGGTGCCTTGGCGTGTGAAAGACTTTGGAGGGTAAAAAGGGTTGCTTGCCAAGCGTCTCCTACGCGGTAGCGGCCCTTTCACACCAACCGCCGCCCGCACCGGCATTAAGATAACAAGACGGCGGGTTGACTAGTTCAAAGTAAAGCGGTGCCTTCCTCATCAACTTGACCTAATTTGGCAGTCAATATTCTCACCCAATACGAACCATATCTTGAAATACCCAATACTCGATTCATTTAATTAGTCAACAGCTGGGTTTTTATCCACTCAATTCATTAAAGCCTAAACTCTTGACTAATGTCCCATCTTTCTGAGTAATGAATTGTAAATTATCAATGGCAATGGCCAGTTGTGATGTGCCACTAGAGTTGGAATAATGTAACTAGTGCAATTAATAGTATAGCATTGGGTTCACTCCCAAGGTCAAGGTGTTAGGGAAGAAGAGGTCCTAGGGAGATCTAAACTCAGTAACAAGAGCCCAATGTGCTGACCACTATGCCACAAGGGAAGCATAGTGCACTTAGAGCCTCCCCAAAATTCACACAATCATTGAAACTGAGGAGCTCCAGCTGGGATGTTTCCAATTGACTTTATCCTACAAGTGCAAGACTTTTGCTTGAAAGATTTCTCGTCCTATAAGTGGTCTATGATTCTATTCTATATTCTTGTGCCAATTCAACGTATTTAATTTTTTAGAAGATCTAGAGAGGTATTGAATGATGCCTTCAATCATTATAGTTCATCAATTCCCTTTATGTGAGTTTACAGAAGACACAATCTTCTACTTTGATTCCAAAAGAAGATTATTAAAATATTATACATGAATATGGTTGAATTTCTTAGGGTTGATTCCCCTAAATCATGCACCCATATCTTGCCTCTAATGTGCTTAAACAAACATGTTAAATAATCATAATCTTGAAAGTTAACATGTATTGAGATATTAAAAGAATTAGTAGTGGGTTGAGAGCACCAAACATATGAGAGTGTGGTGTTAATATTGGCACCTTGGTCATGTCATAATGTTATTTGCAAACTTGATGGCCTAAGTAGCCCTAAAATGTAAAAGCATGGACCACAAAGTTTTAAAGGCCCAAAATGTATTCTTGCCCAAAATTCAACCATGTCCCAAACCATGTGGATAACACATACATTTCATACGATTAGCAACTATTTTCTAATTAATTCACTTTTACATTGTTTTTTTAGATGATTCAAATTTATTGGAGAGTAAGAACTGATTTTGGCCTATTTAAATGCCAACACATTGTGACATCAAAAATAAAAACAAGAGAGCAACAATAAAAAAATTGTTGAATATAAAGGTTCATCTTTGCTCATAAATTCAATGGCTCTCATTCAAATCCTTTATCTATTCAAAGATAATTCAAATCATTCCTTGTATAAAATATTTAGAGGATTTAAAATAAAGTACAAAATCTTGAATGATTTACAATAACTGAATGGTGATTTAAAATGAGCTTACTCAAATATTTTTTTTGAAGTTAAACAAGATGGAGAATTAAGATCATGCACATGACTAGGATTGTCAAAAAGAAAAATATATTGATTTAAATATAAAAAAGTGAATCATAGAAAATACTATAAAAATATATTATTTTTTTCCTATTGATAATCATACTTTATGCATCAATATTTTCAAGTATATTTTATTATATTTATGTCATTTAAGTAAGTCATTGAATAACAAAGTCTCACAAAGTTGAAAAATCATCAATAATTTTGTGACCAATACTCCTTAACAAGTCAATATATCAAACAAGTCTAAATGAACACAAGGAATTTATTGCATAAGTTTTTAACAGAAGATAAGGCATAAATATGTCAAAGTTTTATACCATAAAAAATAACAATATTATACTATCACCAAGTATTTTAGTTTGTTGGACAATGGTGAGTACAAGTTACCTCATCTACAATAAGTGACTTTTAATAATAGTTTCCTCACCTTGCTATGTGGTGGCTAATTAAGTCAATTGTAGCATAAATTTCATGGGTTAATATATGTAAATGGTTGGTGCCATATGGTCAAAGTTGAAGTAAAAAAATTATGAGATTTTATCTATTTTTTGAATATTTTTCAAATACTATAATTAAATACACTCGACTCACAAGTATGATTTTTGTTAAAATAATATGTTAATGTTATGACCCTTTGGGTTGGCCTAGAAGAAATATAGTTGAATGAGACAAGAAAATCAAACTATAATAAAATGTTGAATAGTTATTTCTACAATAACATCAAAATAGAAAAATAAGACATAAAAAGGTGAAGAGTTTAGTGGATGGCATAAAGTTTAGAAATGAGGTAATTTGAGAGTCACCCCAACTCCTTTGTTGATCCCTATTTGTAGATGTCACTTAATTATTCTTTTCAAGTCACTTTTTGTATCTCATTTAATAAGTAGCTTAAATCTAAATCTAACTAGACCTCTTCCTATTTCATCCACCTTATTTATAAGGTAGAAATTTAGAAATTAGTTGTGGAGGGATGTTGATGATTGTCATGTCACTTTAAAGTTAGGAAAGATTTTTCAGTTAATGAGGACTTGGGTTCTATTAGATGTCTCATAAGTCATTAATCTCTTTGGGTTGAAAATTTCTTTAAAAATATTCAATTCGTATTAATTTAAAGGATTGACTATAAAAGCAGTCATTAATTGTTTTCTTAAGTTAAGATATATGAAAAGTATATGAATAATAGTATAATCCAATAAATTCAATGCGTAGTCAACTACATTAACTTAATTAATGATACAAAAAATGTCTTAAAAATATTACAATAAAAAAATTTCATTCTTCTCAAGAACGATAAAATACATCTTACAAGGCCCTAGTTTGAAGTAAATTATCTCATTTGAAAACTTTTACATTTTAATGGTATTGATCATCATAAGTTTTTATATGTGAATGGGCCCTCATTACGTGATATTTGAGCTCTTTCAACAAAGAGTAACAATATTATAAATGATCTTCAACCACTGCCACCATCATATGTTGACATGAGTTGTGATTAATCAAGAGAGAATCAATTCTATAGTTTGCTCAAAATAAGATGGTATTTACTAGTGAATGAAATGTGGTATTATATCACAATTCTACTAGAAGTAACTAACAAATCCACTACTTATATTTGTTTTCTAGAATAATAAACGTAAATCTCAAGTCAATAAGTAACTATCTCTATTTGACCATCCACTTATAAATGTAATGTTGTATTATATATGAAGGTGGTTCTTTGTAATTCGAACACCTCGATCTAAATGAGGTTGATGAATAATTCATCATGATTAAATGTGATGGATCTAAATATGTCATATAATTTAGACACATGTTCGAGAAAGTTTTCAACAATACTTAGGATGATAAAAGGGTGCAAGAGAGGGATAAACTAACTATATTTGTTGAATTTACATATGACCACCAGAATGAATCAAAAGTCATGAGAGATTAATAACTCTTCAATGAACTATATTGCCACATTATCTTATATTTGATGTTGAGAGAGGTTAAAGTAAGTTAATATGTGTTAAATATTCATAAAAATTATTTGTGAACAAAAGTTTAAATGGTGTTTCTCATATCATGCCTAATATATTTATAAATATAGAAAAATCTAAAGTGACCCCCTATTACACTAGTATGATATTATCTATGAACGATCTATATCATATCAAAATAATGTAGGCTGAGTAGTTACCATTGATAAAAAAAAAGACCCTAATATAGTTGGTACTTGAGCCGTTCAATTAATATATTAATCAATGTTTCTTTGATGGTAAAATTTTTAAAGTATGAATGTACTTTAATATTTAATTGACTAATTTTGGAGGGTGTAAGTGATTATTTTTATCAATTGTCATAGAAGAAGATAATAAATCCGTGAAAGGGAATAAAGACTTTAGTTTCAACTTCATACTTATATTTGATGACAAAGCTAAAGTCTAAAAATTTGGCTAAACATTTATACTACTTAGGATGTATCTATCATTTTTTTAAAAAATGTTCTTTGATCAATATAAATGGTCACATATTATATACCTTAAATTCAAATTAATTTCCACTCCATGACTTTCAAGATTATGGTTTTAAGTTTCCTTTCATAAATAGGTTTCAATCAATTTTGAACTAACTAAAATACACAATTGATAGATGATTTTACAGGAATACATCTCTAATTTTAAAACCTAAAGCATTGATCTCTACTTAGAATTGTTGTAAAAAAATAAGTAAAAATCATTATTAATGTCACAATCATAGCTCTCTTAAGCTCATAAAAAGTCATCTTTGTTTCTTCATTCCACCCAAAATCATATCTCTAGAGTTGTTGAGTGAAGGGTCAAATAATGATTTCATAATTTTGTATAAAATGCTTACAATATCATGTTAGTCCCAAAAGATCTTGTATCTAACAAAAGTTAGTAGGAGTGAACTAGTTGGGCATAACCTAAATTTTTTCATTGTTCACTTCCACTTATATTGTCAACACCTAATGTTTGAGATATTTTATGTGACTAATATGAAGTTTGTATTTTTTACACCAAACCAAAATCTCATCAAATAATATTAGTAGAAAATTTGAGAGGAATAAGTGAAAAATCTATTCATCAAATATTGTAATGTAATTAAGATGTTTTTGAGTCTAAAGGGTATTATCAAAAAATTGTTGTGACCCTCATGAGCTTTTAACATTATTTTTTAAATGCCCATTTTAGAATTTAGACTTGGTTATAATCTGATTTCAAGTCAAGCTTAATAAATATCATTACTTTGTGGAGCTTATCTAGAAACTTGTTCACAGTGGAAATGAGAAATATGTTTATTATTTTGACTTGATTTAGAACCTTGTAATCCACACAAAAATACCATAATTTTTTTTATTAAAAATAATAGACTAGAGTAAAGATCTATAGGGTATATATAATCTATGAGAAATAAATTTTATTTCAATTACATTAAAATTTTATTTTTCATATTAATCAAAGTTATACTTGGTTCCATTGGGGTGTAGTGATCAGCCTATCAAGGGAGAGTTAATCTTGAGAGAGTACAAAAACCCTTAAAAACTTAACAATGAGTCATTGCCCCATACTACATTAAGAGTATGAGTAACCTTAATGTCATCTTTGGTGATGTGGCATAGTTTGAAAGTCGTAAATGACTTTCTACATAAGAAACACAAATATTATCTTGGGCATATAGTGACTTTGGACATTATAATTTACTTTGACAAATTAGAAACCTTTTGCCACAGTTTCTAATTAAAGTCACAATTATCTTCTAAACTATATCTCACAATTAGATATATCTTTAAGATTTTTAATTTGTGAACTACTATATAGATCTTTGTATTTCCATTGCCACTCCATGGCAAAATCTTTTACCTTTAAATTATCCCATTTTGCATAATGAGTACATTACTAATTTTATACTTTTCACTAACTCTTAAGATAAAAAGTTATGTGTCATGTTGTAATCTAACAAAGTAATTAATTCATAAGTTTTTATTCTTTTTTCACTTTTATAGTCCTTAGGATAGACAACTCCATAACAAAATTCAAGGAGATCTCAATATTATACATATTTTTTTCTCTTATATCTCAATTGCCTCTTTCACCTAGTTGTATTTCACATATTATTCCTTTGTCAAATATTTTTCATAGACAAGAGTTAATTATAACTCACTTTAACAAATGTGATATGATTGGTATTTTTCATCTCAAAAGAATCATACTTACTCTTATTTTCTACAACTTTGGTTATGTGAGAGTTATATGTCTTTGACTACTTAACTATCTCAAGCTGACCTCTATCCATCTTAATGGGTGGTAGGACTACTTCAAATGATTTCTTTATTTGTCAAACATTCTTGACTTTTATTTGTCCTCATAAATCACTTAACACAATAAACTCATACATCTTATGTTTAATTATCTTATACTGACTTTGATCTACAACATATCTAAGCATGATATTCTTCTTTTTTATTATTTGTAGTGTATTCATAAGATCAAAAATACCTTAAATTTGAATAGTTTGACTTCAATATAGAATTATAACTTCAACCTTTTTATAAGAGTACTATTGAGTGACTCTTCTGATATTTTCTAGATGACACTATATTATAACATAATATTTTCAACTAGTGATCAACCATAGTTATCTACAACTTGATTTATAGAAATCATTATCATAAAGTATTTGATAGTTCCAATTCAAAATGCTTATGCATGTTGTGTTTCACATCCTTCTAGTCTTTGAATGATTTTTAGACATTTGAGGACCACTTCATTATCTAGGTTGGATGTAGTTGTTTTTATTATTCTCAACCTATTATACAATTCATCTTAAAGTATAATTTCATTCAGAGTATCTATATCTTAGGATTTCATGTGCCAAAAAAATCAATCTTTAGGTAGTATGCACCAGCACTAACTAGAATTGAGTGTTTCACATGTCTATTGACTTTGGCCTCTCACAATTTTGTTGCAGTCTAATCACTATTAAGTTGTGGTCAAGTAATTGTGTCCCTTGCTTCCTCTTGTGTTAGGGTGATTGTCTCCCTTATTAAAATAGTTCATTCCTCATTCATTGGCTGCACAAATTGAGTTGTTGTCCATGTTTAGGTGATGAGTCATTGCACCACTATGTAGATAAATGCTCTCATCATGTTCTTGATGAATTTAATCCTTAATATCTTTGCTTATCTTGCCGCTTTCATGTCTTCAACCTCTATGTACCTTGCTTCAGCATTTATGGACTCTATAACTCTAATATCAAATTGTTAGGACTTCTAGGTTGGCTTGAAAGAAATAAAAATGGAACAGGAAAATCAAACTAAAATAAAATTTTGACCAGTTCTATTCGCAGTAATAATAAAACTAAAAAAAAAAGAAGATAAAAAAAAAGGAAATGAAAGAGAAGTGTAGGGACTCCAATAAACTCCTTAGGGTTTGGGGAGGTAGTAATTTGAAAGACCCACCAAGTCTCCTAAGTGATCCTTATTTTATATGCCCTAATTATTATCCTTTATTCCCTTTTTTATATCTCATTTGACAAGCAACACAAATCTAAATTACTCTTATGTCCCCAATAAGTTGTCCCTCATACGATTTTATGTTACACTGATTGTGGGCTTAGAGGAGGGTCGAGCAGTGGGTTTAATAGTCTCTCTCCCCCTCCCCCCCCTCCCCCCCCTCTCTAAGATACTCCATATGATTGTTAACAGGTCGGAGCTAGCTAATGTCTGGTGGACCCAGTCCAAACCTGGGTATCAAGGCCCAAAATCGGCTTTGAAAATGGACTCTGATCCACCTACAAAGCGAATAGACGATGAGCCCATTTATCCCCCCCATTACGACGGCCTCTTCCTATAGAGATAATGTGCCGGCCCAAAAAAAGCCCATATACGACCCTCGTACTCTCTACTGTCACTATCAAATTCCTCTCTCTCTGGCTACTTTCTCACTCTACGTTGTTATCCATTCGTAGGGACAGACGTGCCGTCAAACGACCTCGTCAACTTGGTCGCTTTTTAAATCTCGCTATTGCGACGTCGACCCTGGGCCCCACACGAAGGCCGAAATGCCAGCTGGTTGACATGTGGCAGTACGGACAATGGTTCGTCGGGAGCGGGGAGGGAGGGGGGCCGAAGCAACGGAATATGCGCGGTTGCGATTCGGAGGCCAGGGAGGAGAGGAATATGTCATACATGACGTCATATGCCACGTCTGCACGTCATCCACTCTTATCCGCTCCGCTGAAATGTTCCCTCGCCCTTTTTTCCACGTGGCGCACGCGCCTTGCCGGCAGTGCGGCGGGCCACGTCAAACCGCAGCACCCCCCGTGTCCGAGTGGGAATACGATTTATTACCAAAAACCCTCTCTAACGTATTACTCACAAAATCACCGTCCAAAGAGTATAATTTCCTGTCGACCTAGCGCACAAGATATAGAATATTATAAAAACAACAATTATATACCTCCCAGAAAGTTCGAGACCATGGTAATTGGAGCCACGTGGGCTGCAATATGATGGCCACGTGTGCGCACGGTCCAGCGAGCTCGCCGCCTAACGTAGAGACTTTCGCCATGCCAGCTGGCTTGCGCGGGGGGGGGGGGGGGGGGGAAACTAGAGAGAGAGAGTCGGCCGACCCCTTACCCTGATCTTATCCTGTCTCTTCGTCCCTCAGCAAGTCAGCAACGCCTCTCTCTCTCTCTCTCTCTCTCTCTCTCTCTCTCTTCTCTCTAGCTGCCTCCTCTTCCTCTCTCCTCTCCTCTTCTCCGCCCCCCATATTTATTTATACGAGAAATTCCGTGTGTCTCCTCTCCTTCTTTTCCCCCTTTCTTCGTCTGCTAAGACCACAGAGCCGGGGAGAGGATCTGGGCGGCGGCGAGTTGATAGGAGCTTATTCTTCCCCATTTTCTTCCTTCTATCTCTCGCCCATCTGCGTCTTGCGGTTCTGGAGATCGGCTACTTTTTCCTGGTTTGTCGGGCGGTGTCGACGGGGCGGAACGCGGAGGGGAGAAAGCAAGATTATGCTCGTTGGATTCGTTCGCCGGCAGGATAGCTTGATTCCGACGTCGATTTGTCGTCAAGGAGGAGAAAAGGTTGGGGATAGAGGGTGGCCGGCCTCCAGTGGGCTTGATCCAGGTAGGGTTCTTATCGATCGTGGGTCTCCGCCCCCTTTCTCTGTCATCGATTTTTCGCTGTTGCAATGGTAATCTTCCCGCTGTTGGTTTGCCCTGGTGAGCGGGGTTTTAATCTTCTTCCATTGTTGTCCTGGATCAGGCTGCTGGCGTGATCTGTGATCGGCAGCGGTCAAGACTCTCCGGAATCCCTCCATTGGGCGTTTCCCCTAGGGTTTCTGCCAGGGATCGGTTTATTTGTTCTCTCCGGCGGTGAATCTCTCGCGGAAGCTCGGATAAGGCGCGAGAGTGTTCGTCGGGCAAGATGATGTCCAGATCGTATACTAATCTCCTCGATCTGGCGTCGGGGAACTTCCCGGCATTAGGCGGCGGCGGCGGGCGTACCAGGCGGCTGCCCCGGGTTATGACGGTGCCGGGCATCGTTTCCGAGCTTGACGACGACCAGGCGAACAGCGTCTCCTCCGATGTTCCTTCATCCCTCGCCCAAGATCGTATCATCATCGTCGCCAACCAGCTCCCGATCAAGGCCAAGCGCCGCCCCGATGGCCGGGGATGGAGCTTCGCCTGGGACGAGGAGTCCCTCCTCCTGCAACTCAAGGACGGCCTGCCGGACGACATGGAGGTCATCTACGTCGGCTCCCTCATCGCCGATGTGGAGCCCGCCGAGCAGGAAGACGTCTCCCAGGCTCTGCTCGAACGATTCAAGTGCGTGCCGGCCTTCCTCCCCGGGGAGATCGTCGCCAAGTTCTACCACGGGTTCTGCAAGCAGGAACTGTGGCCTCTCTTCCACTACATGCTCCCCTTCTCCGCCGACCATGGCGGCCGCTTTGACCGATCACACTGGGAGGCCTACGTCGCCGCCAACAAGATCTTCTCCCAGAAGGTGATCGAGGTGATCAACCCCGAGGACGACTACGTCTGGGTCCACGACTACCATCTGATGGTGGTGCCCACCTTCCTCCGGCGCAGGTTTAACCGCCTCAGGATGGGTTTCTTCCTGCACAGTCCCTTCCCCTCCTCCGAGATCTACAGGACGCTCCCCGTCCGCGAGGAGATCTTGAAGGCGCTGCTCAATTCGGACCTGATCGGCTTCCACACCTTCGACTACGCCCGGCACTTCCTCTCCTGCTGCAGCCGCATGCTGGGTTTGGAGTACCAGTCGAAGAGGGGCTACATCGGCCTGGAATACTTTGGGAGGACTGTGGGCATCAAGATCATGCCTGTGGGTGTCCACATGGGGCAGCTCGAGACGGTGATGAAGCTCCCCGACGTGGAGTGGAGGGTGGCGGAGCTCCGCCAAGAGTTCCAGGGGAAGACGGTGCTGCTCGGTGTGGACGACATGGACATCTTCAAGGGCATAAATCTGAAGCTGTTGGCCTTCGAGCACATGCTGAATGTTCACCCGAGCTGGAAGGGGAGAGCGGTGATGGTGCAGATCGCGAACCCTCCCAGGGGAAGGGGAAGAGACCTCGATGAGATTCAGGCGGAGATCAAGGAGAGCTGCCAGAGGATCAACAGCGCCTACGGGCGGGACGACTACCAGCCGGTGGTGTACATCGACCGGGTCATCTCCTTCAGCGAGAAGATCGCCTTCTACACCATCGCGGAGTGCGTCATCGTCACCGCCGTGAGGGACGGGATGAACCTGACACCGTACGAGTACATCGTCGGCCGGCAGGGAGTTCCAGGGTCGGAGTCGGAGTCGCCGAGGAAGAGCATGCTGGTGGTGTCGGAGTTCATCGGGTGCTCCCCTTCCCTGAGCGGGGCGATCAGGATAAACCCATGGAACATAGAGTCTACGGCGGAGGCCATGAACGAGGCGGTGGCGATGGACGAGGGGGAGAAGGAGCTGCGGCACGAGAAGCACTTCAGATATGTGAGCACCCACGACGTGGCCTACTGGTCGAAGAGCTTCCTGCAGGATCTAGAGAGGAGCTGCAAGGATCACTTCAGGCGAACCTGCTGGGGCATCGGGCTAGGGTTTGGGTTCAGGGTCGTCGCCCTCGATCCTAACTTCAGGAAGCTCAATGTGGACGTGATCGTCTCGGCGTACGAGAGGGCAAGGAGCAGGGCGATACTGCTGGACTACGACGGGACGCTAATGCCCAAGACCTCCATCAATAAGACCCCGGGGAAGGAGGTGATCTCCATCATGAATTTGCTCTCCAGGGACGAGAGGAACGTCGTCTTCGTCGTCAGCGGGAGGGCCAGGGGGAGCTTGGGCAAGTGGTTCTCTCCCTGCGAGAAGCTGGGCATCGCCGCGGAGCATGGATTCTTCGTGAGGTTTACAATCTCTCACCTGCTGCTGCTCCTCCTTTGCATTGAAGCAATCAAAGAATCAATCTTTTTTTTTTTTGGTGTTGTGTATGAACAGGTGGGGAAAGGCGGAGGAATGGGAGGTCTGCGGGCCGACGGCGGATTTCGGGTGGTTTCAGATAGCTGAGCCTGTGATGAAGCTGTACACTGAGTCAACGGACGGATCCTCTATCGAGACCAAGGAGAGCGCCCTGGTGTGGCACCATCAGGACGCCGACCCAGGCTTCGGTTCCGCCCAGGCCAAGGAGATGCTCGACCATCTGGAGAGCGTGCTGGCGAATGAGCCAGTCGCAGTGAAGAGCGGCCAGTTCATCGTTGAAGTTAAACCCCAGGTGCGTCCTTCATCCATCCCTCCTCTCCCTCATTGGTTTCCATCCAGTTGAATCTCTCTCTTCTCTCTCTCTCTCTCTCTCTCTCTCTCTCATGGGTTTCTTCTATCTACATGAAGTTCGGGCGAAATCCCCGATTTCTCTCCCATTTTCTTTGACCGGGTTTCACGGAAACTTCTTCCGTTGAATCGACGACTGTGTTGGTGGGTGAATTTTGGTCTTTGGCTGGCAGGGGGTGAGCAAAGGCCTGGTTGCAGAGAAGATCCTGTCGTCGATGAAGGAGCGGGGGAAGCAGGCGGACTTCGTGCTGTGCATCGGCGACGACCGGTCCGACGAGGACATGTTCGAGGGTATAGGCGCCACGACAAGGGACCTCCTCCACCCCGCCACTTCCGTCTTCGCCTGCACAGTCGGGCAGAAGCCCAGCAAGGCCAAGTACTACCTCGACGACACCAACGAGGTCATTACCATGCTCAAGGCCCTCGCCGACGCCTCCGACGATCTCTACTCCCTCTCGCCGCCGCCCTCCGACGACAGCGACGGCGGCGACCTCTCCCCGCCGGCCTCCTGAATTGGAGGAGACGACGCCATTGCCGTCGAAGCTGCCCGCCGGAGGAAGACCATCCGCCGTCGCCGTCGCTGCCGCGGCCGCCGCCGGAGGAGCCGCCGGCAGCAGCCCCTCCTCTCTTCCCCCGCCTCTCTATTTTTGGGTACAACCTAACCGATCCGAACCTCTCTCTCGGCACCAAAATCAGGCTCTGCTGAGGAGAAAAGAAAGAAAGCCATCACCACCCGCCCCGCTCGGTGGGGAAGGGGCTGAGGGCAAGGGGGGGAAGAGAGAGAGAGATCCATCGAACGCCGGACCAAGGGAGCTCGGCGTGGCCCTCCTCTCCCCGGATTGGTTGATTGATTGATTGATTAATTCGTTTTCACTTGTAATGGGTGTACTGGGAATGTGGGGGCGGGGGGGAGAGAGAGAAGTTAGGCCCTCCTCTCGAGCAGATAATAAGCTCGTAGTGGGGATGTACGAGGTGTTTCAGCCCGCCATTTTTCTTGAGTAGGAAGAAGAAGAACTCTTGTTTCTGCGGCGAGCCGTTGGGAGCGAAGAGGCTCTGCGTCTTATACGAGCCCAGCCGACCCAAAGTTGCCTGTTAATCAAGAGAGAGAGAGAGAGCGTGTCACCCCCCTATTTGCGGAACTCTGGACAGTCCAGCTAGGGGCGCGCGTTCATCAGATGCGGTGACGTGGTTTGCATTCATTGGCGTATGAGACAGATCTCCTACTATACCTGGTGTAGGGTACGGTTAGTCGTATCGCGTGATTGGTGGACGAAAGGCTGCGGAGGGTCTGCGGTCCAGCTACGAAAATCGATCTTGCACTGTCCACGTTATATAGACTTTCAACCGTACCCTACTCAGCTAGACAGATGATGGATGATGGATGATGGATGATGGATGGATGATTCCCATCCCTCCAGCAAGGTCGATTTGCTCAGACACAGGGGGAGAGAGAGTTGAGGAGGGTCGATAATGGATGATGCCTCGAGCAATATTAATAATACTAAATAGAGGATTGGATGGATAGAGAGAGAGAGAGAATAATATTAAATAGGGGATTGGATGAATGGAGGTAGAGAGAGGAGTATTTTACGACATCTGGGCGGCGGGGGGGATATCTGGCTCTCTTCGGGCCCCACGGGAGCCACCAAAACTGACTCTATGACCCACCCATAAGACCTTTATGACTCTTCCCCCCCGCGGCTTTGATCTTATGAACGTAAATAACCGTCACGCCCCCCCAAGTCAGCGCAGACCGGGGTTGCGGGGGTGCGGAGACTACACCACAACGCGTTAACGACGCCGTGACGTAGAACAAACCGCCTTGTCATATTTACGTATATATATATGTAAAATAAATACAAACAGAGCTCCTCCAGTGACGGAGAGAAGACGCCGTTCCACCTCCGTCCCCTCACTCAACGCCCCTCCGCCGCCCTGGCGGGGTAGACCTTGCACTGTATTATCGTCCTCCCCACCCGGAAACCCGGCACCACCGTGAAGCCCACGGCGGCGGCGCCGGCCTCGTCGACGACGCTCTCCATGAAGAGCTCCGAGAATCGGCAGCCCCTCCCCGCCTGGAAGATGCTCGCCTCCGCCGCCGGCTCGAAGGAGAAGAAGAGCCGATGGAGCAGCCACACCCTCCTCGCCATCTCCGCGAACTGGACCAAGAACTGGGTCGTCACCGGGAAGCTCCCGCCGCCGCTGGAGCTGAGGAGGTCCCTCTGGGTTTGCCCTCCGAAGGAGGCCTCCATCGCGGGGTGCACCAGAGCGAGGTACTTAACCCGGCAGAATTCCGACAACGGCGATGGGCGGCGGAGGATCTCCCCGAGATCGGCGTCCTTCAGGTCCAGAAACTCATCCAGGAACGAGGACGGCGGCCGGCCGGCGGCCCCGCCGTGGCCGAGCTCGAAATCCCGGAGGTGGAAACCGGAGAAGATTATCCGGCAGACGTACGATTCGAAGGCGAAAGATCGATCCTCCGGTCTCCCCCGAAGAACGTCCGGCGCGATGGAGCCTGCTGCGGCCGTCAGATTCCACCGGGCGGCCTCCATTTCCTTCACCATAAGCTTGACGAAGGAGCGGATCGACTTCACAGCGCGGCGGAGCACGGCGAGGAAGAGAGCAGGATCGACGGAGGAGAGGCGGAAGTGACCATCCAACTTCTTCTCCGAGGGCCGCTTTATGTTGGGGCCGATGTTCTCCTCCATCCACCGGCAAATCGCCTCCGTTTCAGAGACCTGGTTCTTGAGGAGCAGAATCTGGGAGTCCTTTCTCTCGAGGTCGGATTCCAGCTTCTTGGAGGTGATCTCGAAGGTCCTGAGGAGGTTCCTCTGCTCCTGCAACTCCGCCGCCAGCCTACTCCCGCTGCTGCCGCCGCCGCCGCTACCGTTGATCGGCAGCCTCTTGAGGTAGGCCTGCTTGAGCAGCGACAGGTGCTTCAGCTGGGAGACCACCAAGCGGTCGGAGGACTGGATGGTCTCCGGGTCGTACGGCGACTGGGCGACCTGCAACTGGGCGTACTCGGCCTTGATGGCGGCGATGCTGGCGAAGAGCTCGGAGATCAGCGTCTCCATAGCCTCTCTGCGGCGGAGCTTCTCGTCGTCGTCATCATCGCCATCGCCGACGTGGGTCGGCGTCGCCGTTCGAGAGAGAACAGAGCCTCCGTCCGAATATTCCGATAACTTGGTCTTCCCCCAGCTACCCACCGCTCGCCGGAGCAGGGCGATCTTCCCGACGCTCCGCATGAACCCGCCGAGGTCGGACTCTACAGTCCTGGCCATGTCCATCACCTCCCTTCACACGAAGAACTTCAAATTATCACAGGAGGGACAAGGAGAAAGGGCCGATAAGAGAGAGAGAGAGAGAGAGAGAGGGAGAGGGAGAACTTTCCGACTGCCTGTTCTGCCCCTCCAAGATGTCTTTTCATGGATCTTCTACTATTTTTTTTCTCTGTTGCCTCTTACCTTTAGAACTGAAGGCAGAGAAAAATGAGACGCAATCGAAGACGGCGGTGAAAGGAAACGGGTTTTGAAGAATCACTAAAGAAGAAGATGAGGACCATCGAGAGAGAGAGAGAGAGAGAGAGGAGAGGGACTTCTTATCTCGATTCTGATAGTAAAATCAAAGTCTCTGTTCTTCGAGGGGACACGACAAAATCGAGCCAGGTCATCGGAATCCAAACCGATCAGGGTACGGATCGATGTTCCCCGGGATTATTTTCTCGTTCATTTTAAGAGCGGGAGGATCATCAGTTTCTTGAGGGCGAGGCTCCCTAGAGTGCTTCTCTTCCACACTGGAATGATTCCCAGGTGATACCTCCGGACGACGGCGGCGGCAGGGGGAGGTGATGATAATGTTTTCTAGAAGCACTCGGATAGAGGATGATAATGGAGGATTCTGGCTTCACGAGGCAGACGACATTCCAGGTCCTAAAGTAGGAGGGGCAACAGTTGAAGAGAAAAGAAAATCTCAAACGGCTGGCGGAGGAAGATGACGACATTGTGCTTTCACAGGGAGGACGGCCGGGGGGAACCAGGCCCCGCCGGTGGGAGAGCTTCCGGAGAAATGCATTTACAGCAAGAATGTCCGATCAAAGACTCACGATGACTCGGCCATTCATTAGGTTTTTTATCAAGACAAATCATCGTTCTAGAGAGAGAACCAGACCCCTGCGTTCGCGGAAAAGGAGAAAGCAGGCAAAGGTAAACCCTAATCATCCGCAAGAAGAATCAAGACAAGGAAAACAAGATGTCCCTGGCAGCCTCACCAGGTCTTGCGGGGGGGGAGGGGGGCGGTGCCTCTGTCCCGTGCCTCCTCTTCTTCAAAGACGTCACACCTCACTCTCCGCCTGCTTCGCCATGGCGGAACCTCCTCCTCTCTCCATTTCCTCTAAATCCGCTGGGAGCAACAATATCCTCTCCACTCCCTTTTCCGTCCCCGCGGAGCTGACCAGCGCGCCGCCCCGCAAGAGAAGAGAAACTGAAGCCGAAGCCGAAGCCGTAGCCGAAGAAAGAACACGAGATCGACGGGGCCAGGACCAGAAGGCCTCCCTCCCTCCTCCTCCCTACTCACGAGAGCTCCAGAAGAAGCAGCAGCAGCAAGGACAAGAATGCCGAGTGGCTTCTCCTTCCCTGGCCGTAGCTATCAAACATAAAATAATCATACACTGGACTAATGGCCACTCTGAAATTAAAATTACCTTAAAGCCCTTCCCAAGGAAGCTCTCTGGAAGCCTTGAAACCCTAATTGAGGGTAGTTTGGTACTATATTATTAGCTCCAACCCAGCTGGAGGGTGACCCTGGTACGGGGCCCACCCCCCCCCCATTCCGGACAGCGTCTGAACAAACCAGGAGATGAGGCTACATAAGGAAATATTTCCAAGGACTGGTATTTACCAGATTTCGTTCTTCTTCCTTTCCAGTTCGACTCAGGGTAGTGAGAGTATATATGAATGTATTCATCCCTGTGGGTCTATATGAAATAAATGCATCCCCTGGCTCGATCGAGAGCTGTAAGGATATCCACGTGGTTTTACGTATTTATTAGGTATTTATGATATTCAACCGAGAGGGCCAACGTCCATATTAACTAATCAACGCCAGAGACAATTACACAATTAAGCATCATTGAGGACCTTACTGAAATACAATTTATATATTTGGACATGTAAACGATTACAGGAATATAAAGGTATGTGTGGCCTTCAATCCATTCCTCTTCTCCCCCTCGCTTTCTTGCTGAGGAAGAAGAAGCCTGCTCCCGATTCTTCTTCCCGTCTCTGTCCGGTGGTCCTGTGAATCGATGCCCACGAGGTGTTCGACGTTTTGATCCCAACAAACAGTCTCCACAGCCCGAGAGATGCTCGACGTTTTGCTCCCGACGAGCAGTCTTCCGTAGCCGGAGCTGGAAGACAGGAAGAAGAGGGGCCGTTGGACGGTTCCTCCTTCCTCCATCAGTCGAGGGGAGCTGATGCGTTGCGTCATGGCCCATTTTCCGGTGGGCTCCAGCAAGGAGACCTACGGGCGGCGCCGATGGGGGACCGCCACCAGGCGGCGCCTTCTCCCCTCCTCTGTACCCGACGGTGGTCCGCCGTGGCCCCTGTCGCCTTGCGGTTCGCCCCGGTGTGCGTTGGCAGGAAAGGAGTGCGCCTCTCACTGTTACTCGTCTCCCCACCAAGAAAATCCACAGAGCTTCTATTCTAGGAGATGGATAGATAGATAGATAGATAGATAGATCGAGAGAGAGAGAGAGAGAGAGAGAGAGGAGCTTGCTTTCTGTATCTTTTTCTCTCTCATTATCGGGGTGAAGATGGATCGGTTCTTGGAGGTAAATGGGTGTGGGCCCGATAAAGGCCATTGGGATTCAGGTCGGACATCGGCATGGGGGGGCTCGGATCCAGCGCGGCCCATTAAGGGGAGTCCTTTCAATTTTTTGTATTTTTCAGAACATCAGTTTAAAGAAAATAATATTTATTGTGAGTGATGGGGAAATTTTGTTTCTTTGTAGAATTGTTTTTTAAAATTCTTTGATTTGGAAATCCGAAAGATGAACGGCTGTGATCTTCCCACGTTGGTTGAAGGACAAAACTGGAAACATCTATAATCTCTCTCTCTCTCTCGCTCTCTCCCTGGGCGAAGATGGGTGGCTTCATGGAGGTAAATGCGTGTGGGCCCGACTAAAAGGCCCTCAGGAGTTGACCCCGAAGTGGACATAGCGAGGATCGGATCCAACCGGGCCCATTAAGGGGGTTTGTTTGAGATTATAACTTTTGTAATTTTAAGCATATAAATTTATTAAAGATGGAATTTAGGAAAACGTCGCATCTTTGTGGTAATTTTATTTTTTAAAAAAATATCTGTTAGGGAAATCCAACTGATGAACGGCTATGATCTTCACACAGAGGGTGAAGAACAAAACTGTAAAAATCGGTAATCTCTCTCTCTCTCTCTCTCTCTCTCTCTCTCTCTCTCTCTCTCTCTCTCTCTTTCTCTCTCCATATAGATACGTTGAGCGCATCCGTCCAAGGAACACTCACTCACGGGAGCAACGACCATTCTTGCCGGCGTCGCACCCTCCATCCTCAGAAACGGTGGAATTCTGTCAGGCTACAGAGAGATCCTCGACGGAATCCTACGTCTCCGAGTCTTGTACCGTAGCTCTCATCCGATGATCCGACCTCGTTCTTAATTTGAGGTGATTTGCGGCGTACGAGAAGGATGGGATGTGTTGGATCGTGGCTGGCCAACGGGGGTGGTCATCTCTCTCTCTTTCTCTCTCTCTCAGCGTCCCTCACCGTGCATTCTAATCGCTTGTTTTTTTCTCCGGAGATTGGCATGATGACCTCCGCATAGGCGGACTCTTTTTTTAGGTCTCTTTCTTCGCCGCAGGCTTTCATTTGACGAGATCAAGCGATATCTCCTCAGGGTTTCCCTTTTGTCGGAATATGAAGTTGCATGAATCGGCTCAATTATTCGCGAATACTTGGGAATCCGATAGTTAAGCTTCCGTTAGTTTTTAATTTCTGCTTCATTCATTTTTCTTTGTTCCCGATTCAGGCACAGGCTGATGTACAGATATATTCCCTCGAAGATATGTAAATGTTACTGTTGAGCCGGTACCCTAGCTTAAATGTAACAAAGTTTATTGTATCATTGTATTTGAATGAACAATGGGCCAGTTTGAGGCATTTGACCATTTAAGACCCGGGAAAGGAAGCATTCAAAATTTCGCATTACACTAGAAGTTGACATTCTGAAACATCTAATATGCATTCAAGACAAGGTCATGTGCAGCATGTGGAGCGGTTCCTTTTGACCATCGAGACCGAAGCTGCCCTCAGATATAAAAGAAGAAAAATTCCAACCAGACGTGGACTTTTATTTCTAGAATAAGGCTGGTCCCTGGCCCGCTTTAGACTTGATCAAGATACAGAATAGTAAGATCAAAATTCTTTCTCCTAAATTTATCATTGGCTCATCCCCTGTTTTTTCCCACCCTTAGATCCCCCCGGGCAGTGTTTAATTTAAACCAGAAAAGATCACAGTAAAATACTTGCAATGTTTCTCACAGTTTACTCGGGTTACACAGTTTCCATTCCTGTGAGCTGCGGTTTATGAAGACGAATTCGTTATCTTTTTGTCTATCTCAAGGTTTATCACCTGCTTGTTGACTGAATAAATCTCCTCTGGATTCTCGCCTCAATTTTCCTTGTCACAGAGAATTCAAAGAAGCTGAAGAAGCCAAAACCTTGGAGACACACCGAGCCCATAACCAGGGATCAGCTTGCACAGATGCGTGAGGAATTTTGGGACACACAGCCTCATTATGGTGGCCAGACAGGTTCCCCTTCTTCTGTTGACTTCTCATCTTAGTTCCTCCGTATCATCGTGATCTGGGTTTATAATCCTACGCGGCGAATCTTCTTCGTGCGAGATGGAAGCTTTATTGAATTCAAGTATCGCAGCAAATGGTTATTTTCCCTAATCGCTGCATTGACACTCCGTGGAAACTCCATTGAAGCTTCAATGGAGTCCTTTCGTCATCATCGTCGTCATAATAATGGCTCATACATTCTCCCTAATCGACGCAGAGATCTGGGACGCGCTCCGAGCCGCCACGGAAGCTTCCGATCTGATCCACGCCCAGCTCATCGTGGAGTGCGCCGGCATCATCCTCTCCACCGCCGACATGTCCACCTGCTACGACGAGAGAGGTACGTCAGATGACAAAACGAATTACCGTCAATAACAATGATGCTCTTAATGCTCCATTTCTTTTTTCTTTTTTTTTTTTGCAATATTTATCCACGGCATCCGAGTCTGAGGGGTCCTCTCTCAAAATAGGTACCAAATATGAACTTCCCCGTTATGTTCTAAGCGAGCCCACCAATTTGATTCGCGGGAGCTGACCACGGAGACCGTTGTAAATCCTGACAGCGACTCTTTTACCTGAACTCCTCCCCCGCCCCTTGATGGGCTTCTTCTGTGCCACTCGACTGCTCACCTGATCAAGGCGGCTTGAACGAGGACTGATGCCCTTTCTCTCTCTCTCTCTCTAGAGCCTAGTTCTGAGGATGGTGCAGGGAAGCGGAGAGTTGACCCGGCTCTTTGGATGACTTGGCCCCTGGGATCTGATCCACGATGAAGGAATGGTTAGTAGTGGCTCTCGTAGATTTTTTTCGCATGTTTTCATTTGTAGGTATTTCTTTTTTACTAATCTGCGAACCAGATGCCACCAACCACTCCTCGCCAACAACCAACCATGTTGACCGTTCTAGGTTATTCGGCGGCACTGCCCTCCGCCGCCAATAACCAGATGGCCGTTGACCAACTAACTCTAAAAGCGGTTGACAAATTCTTGTTTTAACCCTACATCACGGTGATTCTTTCCTATGATTGAGCGATAAACGTGACGATCTCCCCCTCTCTATCCTCCACGTGGAAGCCATCCATATGGAACGTGCCGATGTTTACTGACTTTGGAAGATGGAAGGAGCCAAATGCAGATAATCCACGCCCAGCGCCGCCCCAGTAACCCGGTCCCCGCCGCCAGGTGGATCCCCTGAAGGCCAGCGTTGACATTTCTTAGCGGCTCCGCCGCCGCCGTGGGTTATCCGAGGCGACACATCCGTCGCCCAAGCGTACACGTCGGAACAACGTGGAATGGGGGTAACAGTCAACGGTATGCCTTCTGGGAGAGCGAGGGAGGAGAGAGAGAGAGACAGGCAGACAGACAGAGGGACAATACCACGATAATGCCGACGGCGATGGTAGGCGCCCACGCGGCAAGGCGAACCTCAAAGAACCCACTCTTGAATAAAAGACCCGGGCAGCCCTTTTATTCTTGGACCGACGCAGAGCCCCAGAACCAGACAGAAGAAGAAGAAGAATCAGGGAATCCTCCCGCGCGTAGGTGATCTTGGCGACTAGCTCCAGGAATGGCCAACGCACCTCCCATCTCGTCGTCGCCGGGGAGGAAATTGCCGCTGGCTGGGGCCTTCTTCCCTCCGGCGGACCTCTCCGACATCGCGCTCGTCCGAGCCCTCGCCGCCGTCTCCGCCGACCTCGCCGCCTCTGCAAATCTCCCCATGCCTTTCCAACGCCGCAACGCCCGCTCAATCGTCCGCGCCGTCAAGATACTCTCCGCCATCTTTGAGTCCCTCGGCGACGCCTCCACCGCGAGGACGCAACAGCAGCAACATCTCCCGGCGGCGGCGAACACCTGCTTCAGGGAGCTCTACATCCTCCTCTACCGGTCGAAGATCCTCCTGGATTACTGCGCCCACTCGAGCCGGCTATGGCTCCTCCTCCAGAACTCCCACATCTCCGGGCACTTCCACGACCTCACCCAGGAGATCTCCACCCTCCTCGACGTCCTCCCCCTTCGGGAGTTCGCTTTGGATGAAGACCTGTGGGAGCAGATCGAGCTCCTCCACCGGCAGGCCAGGAGGTCGAAGCTCTATCTTGACCCGCGCGACGAAGCCCTCCGCCTGAAAGTCTCCTCCTTCCTCGACGACTTTGACAAGGATCAACCCCCGGACATCTCCGACCTCCGCGAGACCTTCGTCGAGAAGCTGGGCATCCAGGACGCGAGGTCCTGCTGTGCCGAGATCGAATTCCTCGAGGAGAGGATATATTCCCAGGAGGACGACGTGGATCCGGCGGCGATCTACGGGGTCATCGCCCTCACCCGCTACGCCAGATTCTCCCTCTTCGAATTCGAGGAGGCAGCGCCACCGGAGGCGGGGAAGGGATCCGGCGCCGCCCATTTGAGGAAATCCAGCAGCGTGATCTCCCAGATCGTCCCCAAGGACTTCTGCTGCCCGATTTCTCTGGACTTGATGCGAGATCCGGTGATCGTCTCCACAGGACAGACCTACGATCGCTCTTCGATCGTCCGGTGGATCGAGGAGGGCCACCGGACCTGCCCCAACTCCGGCCAGACGCTCTCCCACACCCGCCTCGTCCCCAACAGATCCCTGAGGAACCTCATCGCCCAGTGGTGCGCCGCCAACGGCGTCCCCTGTGACCCGCCAGCCACACCCGACGGCTCCGCCGAGAGCTTCCTCTCGAGGGCCGTCACCAGAGCCGCCGTGCAGGCGAACCGCGCCACCGCCAGGTTGCTGATCGTTCAGCTCTCGCGCGGATCCGAGTACGCCAAGACGGAGTCCGCCTGCGAGCTCCGCATCCTCACGAGGACCGGGAAGGAGAACCGGCTCTGCGTCGTGGAAGAAGGAGCTATCCCCCCGCTCCGGCGACTGCTCCGCTCCACCAACCCCGAAACCCAGGTCAACGCCGTCACGGCGATACTCAATCTCTCGTTGCCCGACAGGAATAAATATCGGATTATGGAGGAACCCGGATGCTTGAGGTCCATCGTGGAGGTTTTCCGAGAAGGGTGGACGACGGAGGCGAGGGAGAATGCAGCGGCGGTGCTGTTTAGCCTCTCCGTGGTGCACGAGTACAAGCTGCTGATCGCCAGCGAGGAGGGCGCGCTGGAGGCCCTGGCGGCGCTGCTGGCCGGGGGAACGCAGACCGGGAAGAAGGACGCGGTGGCGACGCTGTTCAATCTGTCGACCCATCCAGAGACCAGCCTGAGGATGGTGGAGTCGAAGGCGGTGGCGGCGCTGGTGGCGGCGCTGGCAACGGAGGCGGTGGCGGAGGAGGCTGCCGGCGCGTTGGCGCTGCTGGCGCGGCAGCCCGCCGGAGCCGAGGGCCTCGCCAGGGAGGACAGGGCATTGGCCGGCCTGGTGGGTCTCATGCGGCGGGGGAGCCCGCGGGGGAAAGAGAACGCCGTCGCCGCTCTCCTGGAGATGTGCCGGAGCGGCGGCGTTGCCGTGGCGGATAGAGTCGCGAGGGCGCCGGCTCTCGGGGGGCTCATACAGACGCTCTTGTTCACGGGGACGAAGCGGGCCAGGCGGAAGGCGGCGTCCCTCGCCAGAGTCTGCCGCAGGACTGTCCCGTCTCCCCTCTCCGGCGGCTGGGCCTTCGCGCCAACGATGGCGTCTCAGAGGACGGCAACCATCTCCACCGTCACCGCCACCGCCGCCGCCATCACCGACTTCAGCATCGTCGACTCCGCCACCGCCGTCTCTGGCCCAATGGCCGTGCCGGCCCTGTAACTCTCTCTCTCTCTCTCTCTCTCTCTCTACACACATTTGATCGCCCGAAAGAATTATTATGTTCTTTGATTCATTAAACAAGAGGGAAGATCCCCCGGATCGTGGAAGAACATCTTGTCGGATTTTTCATACTCTGCGTTACGTTTCCATGCATGGATCGGGAGAGATCGCTGGTTGAACGCGTCCGCCTCTCGGAGGAAGACGATTAGAAACGAATAGAGGAGATATTTCGATATATTTCCATCCGATATCGTTTGCACGTGTCCCACCCAAAGCAGACCGTCAAACTGGGGACGGGAATTCCGTTGATCACCTTCCCAGCCCCCGTCTTTGACTTCTCGAATCCCCGCCGCCCGCGTTTTCTCCATGGCTAACATGCGGCCAGTCCACTCTCTCTCTCTCTCTCTCTCTCTCTCTCTACAAGGTGAGTGGGTCGTCTTGTAGGCCTACTTTTTAATGCATTTATTGAATTAAAAAACATTTACTGAATTCGGGAGAAATAATATTTTCCCATATTCTATGCAAATGGGCCGGGGAAACGTGGCCAAGTAATCAACAGTTATCGGTGTTATTGGGCCTTCAGGCCCAAATTCTCATCAAAGATATTTCCTTCATTTGGTACCCTGTCATCTACCTACCCAAAATCGAATAATCGTACGGAATATTCTGGTGATTTTGGGATTTAACCTTAAAATATGGGATTCAAAGTCCTGCCAGTCTTCAAGAAAAGTATTTGCACAAATTTGAGTGAATAAGGTCTATAATGTAATTTAGGAGAATGTTGGGGGCTGCCGCCTCAACTCAACGGTGATGGTTAACATTCCGATTAGCGTCGAACGAGGCGGGGGTTACGGAGCGGAGGTACAACTGTTGCGGTATGTGATGCAACAAATATGTAAACATACGGGGTATGTAAAACGAGAAATCATCTCCGTAACGATCTGCCACGCCGTCCGATATGTTACTTGTGGAAATTTTGGGGACTTTTGGTGAATTGTACAGGCAGTCTTACTAAGTGGAGACTCCGTACCTGTTCTCACCTATTTTCTCTCTTCGCCGTCCGCAGAGAAGTACGCCAGAGCGGGCGACGGTGGATCTCCATCCGGCGAGACGATCGCAGCTTCAGATCTCCGGATTTGTGCGCCAATCTCCCTGTGATTGCTGGATATCCACCGGAGAAACTGGGGGAGCAGGGCTTTACGGTGGAGGTCTACGTGCTGTCCCTTGGGCAGACGGGAGTCGCCCGGCGAGGAGTTGATTTTTGTGTCTGTCCTGTAGGCAGCTCGACGAAGTAGCGACCTCGTTGACTCACTCGGCAGCCGGACGTGGGAGCGCCAGACTACGGCGGGTGGCGTCTTCGAGAGCCGCCGGGAGTCTCGTTCCGCGATCTGATCATTCGACTCTTCGGTAGCTCCACAGAAATAGGTCGAATCTGAGTTCGAGTGCCTTTTTGGGTTTCTAGGGTGGCGTAGATGATGTGATGTGGATGCAATAGAGGAGTAGACGAATGGAAGAGAGTAGTACCGATTCTGCAAAGGGCGATGAGCGAGAAGAGTTGACTAACGAGGGAGATGACAATCCGGAGGCCGCCGATTCGCTTCACCGTAGAGAGCTCTCCTTCTCTCGGTGGTGCAACGAGGACGGGATCGAAGCTCCTGGTCCTTCGCCGGAGGACTCTGGATTGAAGGCCGGGGGTGATGCAGAAGAATGCGACGACTTCGAGCTGCCCCTTCTGCGGCAAGATGGATCCGCCGGAGAGAACCCTGGACCAGGGAGCCAAGTGAGTAACAAGTTCAGACAGACGACTTTGCATCTCAATGGGGCATTTACTTTTGGTCAAGAAGGAGGCGGGAACAGGACGAAGTACCTTCCCCTGGATGTAGAGCAAGCTAACGGGTCGAGACACAATGAGTTCACAGACGGCGAGAATCATCAGACTGCTCTATCCGCACCTGTCGTGCTGAAGACATTATTCTATATACTTCTGTGGTACACATTCAGCACATGTTTGACGCTGTAAGTGCCCGGATCTCGCTTAAGTTTCAGGCAACAGTTAATTTCTTCTGCGTTTTCTAAGATCGGAAGCATCTTCCCCGTCTCTTCATTAGGTACAACAAGTCATTGTTAGGAAATAAGCTTGGCAAATTTCCTGCTCCGTTGTTGATGAATACGATTCACTTTACGATGCAAGCTGTATTATCCAAGATGATCATATGGTGTCGATCTCAGAAGATGGAAATCAACACAAAAATGACATGGCGGGATTATTTCTTCAAAGGTTAGATTCTTTAATTTAATGTGCTCTGTTTTCAGATTTTGAAGGTGATTTCTTTTCAAAACTGATGGTGGATCGCTCATATGATGAGGATGTTTTTAGGGAACAAAGGTAAAAATTGAAGGGAATTTTATGTAAATTGTAGTATGGCTTCAACTTCGTTGACAAAAGGAATACAGTCTGGGAGTGAGGAGCCTCAGTAAGGTCCATAAGGTCTTGCTAGGAGGTGGCTATCTCAATAATGATCATGGAAGCTTGTGGGCAATAAAGTCAGGCAGAAGTGGTAACTGATATTAAATCACTGGTCTGACTTCGCCCATTGTAAAGAGTAACTTTGAAAGTGGGAAAATATTCAAACACGTTCAAGATTTTATGGAGTATGGCACCTACACTAGATTTTGAGAAGATAATTGGTGTAAGAGGTGCACGAAGATTCATACGCTGTTGAAGAACAAAGAATTCATCATCTGTGTCCACATGGATTTCAATACTCATACATTTGTTGGTGGATATTTCCTTAGTTACACGACAGAGAGAGGGGAGAGAGAGTGAGAGCAAGAGCGAGAGAGAGAGCGAGAGAGAGAGAGAGAGAGAGAGAGAGAGAGAGAGAGAGATGCTTAAGGAACCTTGAGCTTAACAGCCCTTCATGCAATTTGGCAGTGGGAAACCAAGAATGGATGACATTCCCCATACGAAAAGACATTCTCTGAGATACAAGTTTATAATCAGATGGTAAGCATGTAGCTAATGAAGGATGAAATAACTTTTTTGCTTAAAGTCGCCGATTTGGTTGTTGGTGCTCATCCACATTAAGAATGCTGACAGAACTGAAATAAGTGGGTGAAAGCCAAGTTTTGCCAGAGAATATACATTCTTCACACTGCAGTGAACACTACTCTTAATGATACAAACGTTCTGATATCATTTAACTATTTGGGGAATTATTTCTGCTTCATTTATAGACAAATATGGATAAAAAATGTGTATGATCTCAAAAAGATTAAATTGATAAATCGTACGTAAGAACCATAGCATTTCTTGGTTCTCAGGTAAATTAATATTATTTCTGTGTCAGCCAATAATCTGGGACCATTAACATAGTCGAATTTGAACTGCCTGACGTCCAAGCACGACCTGATGACTTTCTTTCTACATGAATATTGGCTCAGTGATACAACATTGAACGCAGGGTTTCTGACGATTTTACGATTTGTATGTTTGGTGGATGACAACTTTATTGTCTCATGAACTTCATGTTAGATGTTTCTACCAAATGCTAATGGATGGCTAATTTTTTTCAAATTTTGGAGGCCGATCTCTTGGTATTATTAGGGATCTATAGATTTATATTGGTCTTTTCTTCTTGATTTGCCTGCATAGAAATGTTGACATCGAAAATACCAGTGCAAGCTGAGAGTCTTGACTTATTAATCTATGATTGGGTTTGAACCTGAAAGACTTGAGTCCTGAAGTTTTACTTAATTTTGTATTTTCTCTTGTTCCCTTTTTATTTCTAAAATGTCATATCTGCTCATGCTCTTGATGTACTTTACTTTTCCACAGTTGTGCCCACTGCATTGGGAACAGCATTGGATATCAATCTTAGCAATGCTTCACTCGTCTTCATTTCTGTCACATTTGCTACTATGGTTTGTCTCTTTAAACTGCATTTTATCTTTTTCTTTTATTTTCAAATATTTTCTTTTAGCTCTAAATAAGCGTCTTTTCTCACTTTTATTTATGCAGTGTAAATCTGCCTCTCCAATATTTTTGCTTATGTTTGCTTTTGCATTCAGGTGAGTTTTCTCTGTCGTTTTATGCACATGCTGCTTAAATTTTTTCTTTTATAATGTGTCTATCTCGTCAGGTTAGAGAGTCCCAGTATTAAACTTTTGGGTATCATTTTCATCATTTCGGTTGGAGTACTTCTGGCAGGTATATGGCTTTTCATTTCTTAATTTTTTGCGGCCATGTTCGCTCTTGTGCATTATTTTTTTGTCATACCAAATTTGTTCTTGATGAATGATTATCTGATGTTGACCTCTTACCAGTTGCCAGGGAGACCGAATTTGAATTCTGGGGATTCATTTTTATTATGTTTTCTTCCGTTATGTCGGGTTTTCGCTGGTCAATGACTCAGATACTTTTGCAGGTACGCATGTATTTATTGGTTAAATTTGACGTCATTTGTCATTATAACAAAAAATGAAGTATCATCCCTTCACTGCATCTTTTTATTTTACTTTTTTGACTGTTTGATGATGGAAACTGATAGATTGTTGTTGTTTCGTTCTGGTTGGTCCCCAAAATTTGATGAAGAAAGAAGCCTATGGTAAGCATTTTTTTTTTATGTAAAGTGGTATCTGCCAACTATTTTCTAGAATAGCACTTTGTTTTGATATGTCTACCTGTACCTTTTGAGACCGGCACCTGTACTTCTAACTTGTTGATGATCTGTGCTTGTCCAAGTCATTGACGTATTTTCTTAACTTGGTTCTTGGTTCTAAAAGTGATTCTAAGTTACAACTGTAGGCATTGGTTTCTTGAAGAGTACCAAACATTTCTTTGGGTCTAAAAACAAATCTTGCTCTCATATGATGCTGATTTTTTTTGGGGTCTTGTTTAGGTTTAAAAAATCCGCTCACTTTGATGAGTTATGTCACCCCAGTGATGGCTGTGGCAACTGGGATACTCTCTCTTATAATGGATCCCTGGGATGAGTTCCGAAGTAATGGTTACTTTGATAGCTCACAACACATAATTCGAAGTTGCTTGTTAATGCTTCTTGGGGGAGCACTAGCATTCTCTATGGTAAGTGTTATGATTTTAGTAGGCGCAAGGATTCTGATGTTAAGTCAATTTTTTTTTCTTATTGCTTCATGTTTTGCAGGTGTTGACCGAGTACATTCTTGTTTCAGCAACTAGTGCTGTAACAGTAACCATTGCAGGTGTTGTGAAGGAGGCTGTGACCATAGTGGTATGTTTTGGAATTTCCTTATTGGTGAATCGAGAACCATCGATAGATGTATAATTTTTTTTTTTCTTCATGACTCTGGTAGTTTTTGTGGTGCTTTGAAAATTTGAACCATTATCATGCGCAGAATGGTGCTAACACCCTCAACCTAGGGAATGCTTATTTTTCTTCATTCAGTAGGGATAAGGTTATTTGTCTCCTGTAAAATATAAGGGTTCAGTCATTTATCTTCAGAGGGAAAAGTGATGCATGACTGATGGTAGGGCTTTTATCCCGAGTAATTGCGTTAAAGATGATTTTCAGTAGGCAACCTGAGGCCTCGATTTTTATTAAGGAGCATTGAAGTGCAAATTCACACCTAATAAATTTGCAATTAAGGAGCATTGAACTGCAAATTCACACCTAATAAATTTGCAATTAAGGAGCATTGAACTGCAAATTCACACCTAATAAATTTGCAATTTCCAAGCGTTATTATCATCTTTGTTGATAAATTTTGATCATTTAACTTGCATTACCAAACCTTGCCACCAATACACAAAAAGTTTGGTGTTCCGTGAATTAGTTTCGGATAGATTTTGGTTGAGTTCCTCGTAAAGGAAAACTATCCAATAGTTTAAAGTTTTAAGGAGACGTCATCGGTTCAGTTGCCCTTTTTCTTGTTTAAAGGATGTACTTTTATATGTAGTGGTATAGTACTGTAAAATGGGAATTTCACTGGGGGTTGGGCTCAGGGGGCGTTAGGATCCTCAGTATGATCTGCATGTTAAAACACAGCCAAGATGGGCCTTGGTTGAATAGGCCTATGCCTCCTTAAGCCTTGGCCTGGCCCAACTTGGCTATTTTAGTATAAAAAAGGTAATGGATGCTCATTTGACCTGCGTAGACAGAAGAGAATGGAGGGATGTGGTGGAGTGGCTGATGAGGAGATGGAGGGTGAGGGAGCAGAAGATAGGATGGTAGGAAACTGACAGATGAGGGAAAAGGGGCAGTCAGAGAAAAGAGGGAGGAAGGTGCGAGTTTTTTTTGCCAGAGCAGAGACGCATGGAGGCTATGTTGGAGGTAGGAGGTATAGGGAGTGGAAGAAGGGTTGGGAAGGGTGGGATTGATGAGGACGGGGTGGAGTTGGTGATGAAGAATGCTCTGCAAGCCATTGTTCAGTGAAAATGAAAATTGGCTTGCTTTAGTGTCCAAACTGGTCAAAATTTGGTCAGGGCTTCCGAATGGCTCTACCCATTGTTCTTGATGTGATATTTTTGCTTTCATTGGCTTCTTTAAAAAAAGGTTTCTTCAATTATTTTCATGTCGAGTTGATTTGCCTTGTCCATTTGTATGGTTCTGAATTCCTATAATATGCGTAATTTTTGTTCAGGTTGCAGTGTTTTACTTCCACGATAAGTTTACATGGTTAAAAGGAATTGGGCTACTGACAATCATGATTGGAGTTAGTTTATTCAACTGGTACAAGTAAGTAAACGGATCTTCTGTACCTCTCCTGATGATATGTTGTTATTGATCCCTTTCTTCTGGTGATTGTTCTTTAACATTCTATATTTGAAGAAGGAATTGGGCCATAGGTATCTCCTGTGATACCGACCCTCCAGTTCCTCTTTGGTCTGGGTTCATTCTTCCCTCCAGTAAGGGGGTCCTTTCCGGCTCTAGGGCAGTAGCTTCCCTCTAGAGTCCTAAATCGATACCTATCCTATCATAGGATATTTGTCTTTCTTTCGTTCTTGAGGTTTCGAACCCGGAAGTTGAGACGCAAGGAATAAAGATCAGCTGTGGCTTCTAGGTAAAGTTATAGTAGTGGAAATTTTCTCTTGACAACGGCATGAACAAAATTAAATATGATGCCTTTTAAACCACAATTATTTTGAACGGTTGACTATCGGATTGAGATGTAAACGAAGGAACTATCTATTAAGATAGGCGAATAAGTTTTACAGAGTGATACAATTGACATTGGATAAAAGTGCTGTACGAACACCAAAACTTTCACTGCCCTTTATAGGACATGATGATGCTTGAATCGGAGCCCTATTTTTAGGGGTGGGGGGTTCACGTCTTATTGCGAGAATTTTTTAAGATCTATGGCATCCAACACTGATACTTCAATCGGAATCCAAGAGTGATTTAAAATCTGCTACAGTGCATAAAATATATGGCATTCTGATTGCGAAATGCATTGGAGTTTTCAAGGTTTTTTCTAAGGTTTTTTTTGTTGAATGAAAATTATGGGCAGCCAATTTCTTCTCACCTTTTTTTGGAATCAAATGTATTTTCTGCTGAATTTCGACAAATAAAATAGGTTTTTCCTCTTTTTACCCTGCAGCTCGGATGAAGTTACCATAAATAGGGAAAGGGGAACCTCACTTCATGGGAAAATGAGTGGATAACCATAAATATGTAGTCTGGGAGTTCTCATACTTCACTCAGATCCAAGTGTCAGTATTTCCGTGGTCTTTTAAAAATAACAAAGACTCAGCATTGGTATTGAAATATTCTGCTGAAGAAAATGTTTCTGCATTATTCTCTTTTAATTTGCTTTTAAGACCATCGTGTTTTTCTTTTAATCCTTCGAGTTGGAAACTGGGACTTTTTTTTCTGGATTTAAATGCTTACGTTTCTTTATTTCCAGGTACCAAAAGTTAAAGAACGAATCATTTTCAACGATTACCAATGGAGCACCGAAATATGTTATTCTTGATGAGATGGACTCCCACAATGACTCTTCACGCACGCAATAATATTCAGGGATAGTTAATACGCTTTGGTAATTATCAGTTACTTTTTAAAAGAAAAAGTTTGATGAGGGCTTTGATTAATGGTCATTCATTTTTGCTTCTTCTTGTAATTTAATTCTCTAATCTCTCCACTGTTTCTCGATGATTGAACATTGTTTTTCCTCAATTTGGGGTTTCCTTCTTAAAATTCATTCGTGAAATGATGAGCATATTTATTACCAAATTAATTCTCATAGGCGACTTGATGATAGAACATTGTATGCGAACCCTTGATCGAAAATGCAGGATACTGAAGAAAGATTTCCTTCTTTGGCATTCTTTTTAGGATAATTTTTAGCATTTAATTTAACACTTAATAGCAGTTTCAATTCAAACCAGTTCTTTCTCTGTGTGCAGTTGAGTTATTTATTCAAAACTTTCAAGGAAAACACACACGATTGAGAAGTCAACAGGGTTGTTCTAATTCTTCATTCGGTAGGAGATCTTCAGTGATCCAAAGTCTTGCTGACCAATGGCTTCAAAGGTAGTGGGAGTTGTAGAACACCCACGAAATCATCGGCATGAATCTATCAATTGCTGTCAAATACGATCTCATACCGACCAGCTGATCCTGTCAATCACAGAATGATCTAGAGGGACTTCAACGCTGGCCTGCTGTTGTCTATAGCTTCATTCATTTATGAATCTACCCACCCACCCACCCACCCATTATTTATGAATCTAATAGGGATGGAACAGTGCAATCTTTTGTCTACCCTGCATCATTTCCTGTATTTTTTTTGTATTATTGAAACTCAGATTCATCATATTTTTTCGTAAAAATGATCAGAAATCTGTTTATATTTTTTTCTGGAAATTAAGAAAATGAAGGGTGAATGGAACGATGCAATAATGGTTTCCTGCTGCTCACTGTTTCCTATTATATTTCATCGTAAGATTAAACAATTATCAGTGCACACACAGTTTACAAAACAAATCTAGAGGTTCTTCTGTTTTCACTATTTTTAAATCCAAATGGGGTGGACTTCCCAGGGTCTGCCAATCTCCCATCACATCCCGATGTAGACAAGAGGGGGGGGGGGGACTTGGAGTGGGGCCCACCGTTTCATGGAAGAACTCATGCCATCAGTATCTAATTAGTCTACTTACTTTTCTCCCTTGCAGCAGCCCTAGGTCGTTGTTTTGCCATCGTCAAGCAACATCACTTTGAGACTGAAACATAGTAAGACCTCAACGAGGTGTGTGACTCTCTCCCCATTAGGTAGAATTTTGAGGAGAAACTGGTTCGATTCGAAGTTGTTGATGTTCATAGCCGTCAGTCATAGAATAGAAATTTTGATTCATTCCAACCAGACCAAGCTTCCTTCTTGTTAATCTGAAGATTTTTCTCAGATACAAGGGAATTATTCAATTTCAGAGCCAAAGATGTGTACTTCTCTAACAAGCAACTCCCAACTCTTGAAAAGGTGGTAGCAGAGGGATGGTCGGCCAGTTAATACTAGAACTGGGTGAAGAGGTGCAGAAGCGGGCGATACGTTAAGGCCAAGTACCCAACAGCAGAACCAGAGACAGTTAGCACAGAACAAAGTTAAGCACCACTATATGACGACCCTTCTACTACTTGAGAAGTCGTAGTGTCTCCACTAGGAGTTTTGAAGATTGGTCATCTTGAAGCAGTTACCACTCTGGGGAAGAGATCCTAAGAGGGTCCCCTCTAGTTACCCTTTTGTTCCATGTTGTTTCCTTCCCCTAAGTTCTAGTGTCCTCATCCTATTATTAAGGAGGTCAGGTTGTATTTTAGCTATATCAATTCCAATAAATAGTTCGTCATTTCTTCTCTCTCCCTCTCCTTCCATCTGTCGACCCTGGGTACCTATCAGTTTGGTATCAGAGCCCAATGATCCTCTATGGCCCCCCAAACCCTGGGATCCAAAGTGGGACCTCCTCAAGAAAGAATTAGAGGGAATCAAACACCAAGTCACCACAGAGCAAGTAGACTTCCAGCAAGAGATCCAATATGAGCAAGCCAAAGTCCAGCTGCAGCTCAGATCGCTTACTTAGACCATTGAAGGGCTCCATCAAAAGATCGGCCTCCTCCCATGTGGCTGGGCAAGGAGGAAATTGGCTTTGGACTGTCTGCCGCATGGTTCATTCACTAGAGAGCTTAGTCATGGACGAGGCAACCCAAACCAAGAGGGAACTACGATGACATCCCTTGACCCCTTAACTCTCATAGCCAAGCCCTCATACCAAGATACTCAGAAGTCAACTACCAGAGGCGGTCCCTTGAACAATGTCACGGTCATATATTAGAATTGACTATGTTCACAAGAGTAGACCTGAAAAATTGGGTGTTTCAAGCAGAACTATATCTCTCCACTTACTGACTTTCAATACAAGAGAAGCTATACATCGCTAATTTGAGTTTGGATGGTAGGGCGCTCTCCTACTCCCAATGGGCAGACAATAGGCACTCATTTCAACATAGGAAAGATCTAAAGGTTCACCTCTTGGAGCAGTTCAGTCTCAAGCCAACTAACACCTTTTGTCAGCAATTCCTGAGCTCAAACAACATAGTATAATCATCAAATAGAGAGGAGTTCGAGCTGTTATTAGGCTTAATTTGGAACATTTCCGAACATTCTCAAGGTGTTATATAGGGATATTTAAGCAGAAGTCGGTGTACTAAATCCTCTAGCTCTCAGAGCGATCATGAAGACCATCCAGGGCATTGAGCTTGATCGACATTTTAGTGAAATTTGGAGCATCCAACTGACCATGCCTCATCAGGTTTGCTGAATCTAACCCCTTGAGCATTGACTTTTGCCAACATAGAGCACTTGAATTGAGCATTCCCCACTGCAAGGATGACAATGTGCCCTGAGGAGAGTCTCAAGGTCTTATTTAGGAATATCTAAGCAGAAGTCGGTGTAGTAAATCCTCTTGCTCTCAGAGCAATCATGAAGACTGCCCAGAGCATTGAGCCTAAGATCAACATTTTGGTGAAATTTGGAGCATCCAACTGACCATGCCTCATCAGGTTTGCTGAATCCAACCCTTCAAGCATTGACTTTTGCCAACATAGGGCACTGGAATTAAGCATTCCCCACCACAAGGATGACAATAGGCCATGAGGAGTTCATCAAGATTGGGCCATCCATTAGAACCCAAACCCACTTGACAAGTGGAGGAAGCTGGATTTTTATGACTGCCAAAATCCGAGCATGTCACACCCAGGATGTGTTTTTTCTACAATGACAAAGTAAAGGCTAAGAGATTTCGACTTTGATGATTTCAACTTCCTCTTAAAAGATATTGAGCCACTATAAGAGTTGTCAATAATCTTAATACAATAGAAGCACTAGTCAATCTCAAAACCAATCAATATCTGACCATTTAAGTGTCTATATTTTCAAAAGGTTAAAATAGGAAAATTGATATGAGAGATACTTGATGTACACATAATTCAATATTTCAATAGTATGTGATCCTTGATATATTTTCAATCATAGTAGTGGAAGAGTTGTTGGATGCAGTCCACATTGCCTAAGAATTTTCAAAACTTAACCTCTAATCAAGATATCATCATATTTAAATTAACTCAAATGACATTTTAGACATATGAAGGTCATTACAAGTTCTTCATAATGTCATTCAAGCTCTCTAACATCTTAGCCACCTTCCAATCTATGATGAACATCTTACTTTATAATAAGACCTACAAAGCCCCTAAAGAGCATATCATACAAGTATTCATTGTCATTAAAGATCATCAACTCCATATCAATTCAAAAAATGTTCGTTCAAACTTTCTAAAACTGCCTACTTTAGCCATTAGGTCTCTCATCATATGGGTTGTCATTTAAGGAGAGAGAAAATAATATTTGATAATGAAAAGAAGGTAGAAGCCTCATATGGGTTGTCATATAGGATGTAGAGATCAAAAGCTCCAAGCTCAAAACAAGAGGAATCCAATCAATGACCATAGAGAACCTTTGTAAACATGTATGCAAGTTATGCTTCTAAAGACACTTTAGTCAGGAGAATCAGTTGAGCTTGAAGCTTCTCTAAGATGAAGTGACAATCAACATTAATATGTTTCATCCATTTATGAAAAACAAGATTAAAAGCAATATAGAGCGCATACTAATTGTTGCAGAAGAGACGCATAAGTTAGGATGAAAGAGGTCAAGTTCTATAAGAAATTGGCATACCTGAATAAGCTCACATGCAGCATTCTACATAGCCTGATATCCATCACTGGACATCACAACCACATGTTACTTCTTGCTCTTCTAAGAGATAAGATTCCCTCCAAAAAAGATGCAATAACTAGTGGTGGAGCACCGATCAATAAGAGAATCTGCCCAATCTGCATCAGAATAACCATAAACATTAAGAGAAGAAAAAGATTTGTACATAAGTCATCGGCTAAGATATCTTTTTAAATACCAAAGGATCCTCATGATTATGTCCCAATAAGTAGTGCGTGGATTAACCATAATTGGCTAACTATACTCGTAGCAAAAGAAATGTCAAGATGAGTAAGGTCAAGTAACTCCGTCCCCCACCAAGTGACGAAATTATTATAGATCCTCAAGAGCATCACCTGAATCCAGAAGCAACTTGACATTTGGATCCATCAGTATAAGAGCAAGTTTGACACCCAACATCCTTACATCTTGTGATAGATGAATCACATACTTTTGCCTATTGATAACCAAACCCTCGAAAGAACGAGTAACCTCCATGCCTAGAAAATACTGAAGCTGACTCAAGAGACTGTTGGGTCCAACAACAGAACCAGAGACTGTTGGCCGTAGAAGAACACAAGAAAGGTAGGCACCACTATAAAAGACTGTTGAAACCCCTCCAATTACCCTTTTGTTCCATGTTGTTTCCTTCTCCTAAGTTCTAGTGTCCTCATTCTATTATTAAGAAGGTCCGGTTGTATTTAAGCTATATCAATTTCAGCTAAAAGTTCTTCCTTTCTTATCCCCATAACCACCACATGGAGTTGTTTTATTACCCACCACTCTAATCTCCGGGGAGTAAACTGGGTCTCGGCCGGTGGAAGCGGGTGACCGGTTTCGACCCGTTCGGAGAGGTTCCTGTCACTTGCTGATGGACTTCTGTGTGTGGCCGTGGTTGCTGCCGATGGCTTATCCCTCACTCGGAGAGGGCCTCAGTGTGTTCGACGGCGCGCTGCTTCTTCGGGCAGAACCGTGGTGGGAATGGACCGGTGCTGTTCCGCCGCCGGCCTCTCGATACCGACCTCCGCCGCGCTTTCCAACCTCCAGGTGAGCCTTGAGGGAAAAGTCCAGTCCCTACCCCCCTCCCACCGCCGAATCCGCTCCCTTTCATTTGGTAGCCTGTGCAGTTCTTTCGTAGTGATTATCCTGTTGTTCTGCCAATGATTTGTCGCGGGCCAGTTGCCAATTTCCGCGGAAGGGAAGGGACTTTGGCTAATAATCTATTGTCTGATCTCTCTCTCTCTCTCTCTCTCTCTCTCTCTCTCTCTCTCTCACACACACACACACACACACACACACACACACACACACACACACACACACACACACACACACACACACACACACACACACACACACACACACACACACACCCACACACACACCCTGCGTGTGAATCTCTCTGTCTGGAAGTGGACCTTCTCTCAAGATCGAACCTGTAAATTGCCGTTGATGGAGCCCGTTGAAAATTGAATAGAGAATGAATTGAAATAAAAGTTTCTTCTTCCCGAGGAAAAGAACTGTGGAGAATGGTTCTATCATTATCTTTGACGTGTTTACAACATGTAGTTGATAAAACACTTATCAGAATGAATGTTGATCGCAATTTCGCGGATTTTGTTCTTGAGATATGAATGGTAGGAGCTATTATTTGGCGACCCAGATATTCAGTTGATATCTTATGTCTATTATTTAACAACTCTTACAGTCGCTAAGGAGGAGAGAAAAAACGTCCGTTGAAAACAGAGAACTAGATGACTTGAACCAGACAATCTACAACAGTGACGTATTGATGAAGGGATGTGAACAAGATTTTTTAGAGATAAAAAAGGAGCGAACGGTTTAATTTTCATTCTTCCATCAATCCAACTGGCTTTTGGGCTATTTGAACAAATCGGGCTGCCTGTGGCACGGTTTCATGTCCGACGCTTTAAGAACAAGTGCTGTCCAACGACTCAGGTTTCTGAGTGAAGAAGAAATATTTAATACTTGATAGAATTTTTCAACGATTGCTTTTTTGAATTATCCACCTTGAGTTATAGTAGTCGTCATGTGATATGTGGGTTTGGCACATTGGAGTCAGGACTCTACATGAATGGTCCTTGCTGGTCGCAACGAAAGATAGAAAGCTTGACATTGTGGCTGTTGAGATTTATCTATCGATGTATTTTCTAGCGGCCATTGTGTAAAATATCAGACGAAAGTAAACATAATGGTGGAAATATAATGCTTAGATAGAAGCATAGTATTTAACATATTATCTAAAATATAACGATGGGCTTTTAGCCTGGTGGTACGTATAATGTAGAAAGAGCCAAACCAAAATTTTATTTTCTCTATTTCCATTTCTATTCATCTAAAAGTATGTAAACGCTTGCTTTTCTGTTTTGAAATAGAATGTATGTTCTGAGAACTCGGGCAGCTTTAGGCTTGCCAGCACGTTGAAACCTATCAAGATCATCATCATTTCTACAGAAATCAACACCCCCCCTCCCCACTCTTTGATGATGTTGCACATAGTTTAACGGATTTAGTCATGAAATTAAATTTAGCTGACGAATGTCTTTATTCTTTCTTTCTTTATCATTTTTTTCGGAATTTTTCGCGTCAAATGTGTCCATCTCACCATATTACCTGACGAATGCCCTTGGTCAAGTATGTAAGACATGATTATGTTTAGAATCTTTCCCTAAATCAGGACTTTTACTCATCCTCATCTTGTTCATTTTGGTGGTAAACTATCGTGAGAAAAGGAATAGATGCTCTGTTTAAACTTGCTCATAGCAAAAACTGGGTCAGATGGGTTTCAGGTGTTTCACTATCCTGGGTTTTGTACCAGTTATGTTTATCTTTGGTATCAAAATTGTATCAAAAAAGTTTGCAGATAGTTTGTGTATTATCGTCTAACCATAAAATGAAAATTTTCAGGGTTTTTCTTCTTCAGCCTGTGCGAGCTTCATTGTGAAAATCTCAAACCCCAAGCTTCTGCCTATTGGGTCTAAAAGGCTTCTTCAACTTGGAGACAGAGCCAGTTTTTTCCTTCATCCAAGCGGCTTCCCTTCTGTCAACTCGAGGACATCTAGGAGATACATATGTGCCGAATCTGGGAAACAGAATTGGGATCTCGGCAGATTTCTCAAAACTCTCTACTTTTTTAATGGGCCTCCATCTCCTTCAAAGGTCAAATCTTTTAACCTTGGTTAATGACCACAGAGTTTTAATTTTTTGGGTGATTTGCCTAATTGAGTTCTTTTGCGCATACAGTTCATTGAATCTATCATTTCAACGCTTTCAAGCGGAACATCCAGTGAACCGCAGAGGGCAATGGCAACTTCTGATGTCATCTTGGTGGTTGGAGCCACTGGTGGTGTTGGTCGAAGGGTTGTAAATATTTTACGTGAGAGAGGATATCTCGTTAGAGCACTGGTAACATTCCATTTTATTACTAATTTGCCTTATTAACTGCTTGGATATTTGGTATACTTAAAAATCTGTGTCCATATAAAAAAATATTCCTCCTTGCCAAGCACCACCTCTTACACTGTTTATTCTCTGAGTGCTTTCCACCAACTTTTGTCACATGAAATTTTTATTACTGAATGAATCATTCATTCATTGAGGAGTTTTAGTATCCAGTAACAATTCTGGGATAAGTTATTTCTCTTCTACCACTTTTTCAATCTTAGGTCAGAAATAAGGAGAAGGCGAGAGCTATGCTAGGTGCTGATGTAGACCTGGTGAGTGGTCTTTCCTATTTTATTTCATTTCTTAATAACTTCCTCATATCTGTCCATCATAAATAATAACTTATGAAAATATTTTTCGGATGTTTTGCCTCTGGAAACAACTGAATCCTTGTCGCTGTCAGTGAAGCAAGTGTCTGATCCGCATGCATAATTGTGGATTTGAAACCATGAAGATTAGTGGATCCAAATGTCCCTAGTTTCTTCATCCAGGGAGGTTTCGACACCCAGTTGGTGAAATATGTCCCTCAGCTCCAGTTATGACCATACACGTGTATCCTCTCATTTGAAGGCAAGATTTGTAGGCAAGATTTGTAGGCCTATGTGATTGCAGTTAGGCATTAGAATTTCTTTTTGGAGATGAGAGAACAGCAACCAAGTGAGAGAGAGAGAGAGCACAAAACTTGCCATAGTTGGTTTTTACTCTATAAAAGAGTATGGTGCCCATCTTACACTGTTGATGTTATGGCCGCACTCTTATCACGTGTTTTGAATTATTCTTCTTATAACTATTTTTCAATCACTGATGCTTACTTATTGGCCAAGTTCAGATTGTTGCGGACATTACAAAAGAGAGTACACTAGACCCTGAATACTTTAGAGGAGTGAGAAAAGTCATCAATGCTGTATCCGTCATTGTTGGTCCAAAAGAAGGGGACACTCCTGACAGAGCAAAATACAGCCAAGTATGGTATTAAACGCTGATCACAAAACATGTTTTAGTTGTGTAACTGATGCAAGTTACTTCCCATAGTTCGTGTCTGCCAACCTGTGCATTTTTTATTTTTGTACTGCTGTCTATGGGATGGTAGATCCGCCTTTTTTTTTTTTTTGCACTATAGAACTTCGATAATCTTGCTTCTTTAGTAATTGATGCTTTTTGACATATGTGAATATCTTCTTTCAGGGAATCAAGTTCTTTGAACCTGAGGTGGCAGAACGATCTTTCATATCTTGTTCTAAGAGTTTGATTTATTTTCAGTGAAGTTTTGTTGTTACTTTATCAGTGCCTTTTCGTATGGTATGTGTGTGCCATTTTTTTATCTCTGAGGCTGTCACTTCCTTCTCTGTTATTAGATAAAAGGAGATTCCCCTGAAACGGTAGAGTATATTGGGATTAAAAACTTGCTTGCTGTTTTGAAGAGCACTGTAGCACTGCGTGATGGAAGAGTGCTTTTTGGATTTGATGGTATATGCCTGCCTCAACTATTATTCATCTCTCTCTCTCGCTATATATATATATACATACATACATATATATATATATGCACATATGTCACGCCTACTATGATAACTCCATGTCTTGAACTGTAAAGGGGCATATTTATGTTGTCAGAATGTAGTCATGTTTAAATATAGCAGTGATGTAATGTTTAACGTTTACAGGCTAGTGGACAATGAAAGAGGTCGATGTTCAAAGTACATAAACATTTCATTAAAATGGTGATACTGCAATGAAACCTTGAATAAGGGCATTTCTATTAAACCATGGTTGAGACCAGATTTTTTCTTGCAGAAAAGGTTGTAATTGAAATTATGGTTCTAAACTAGTATGTCAGATCAGATTTAGAATGATTTTTGTTGATTAAAATGGGGATCAATTTGAATCGGAATTCGTGATTTGGTATTCCAAATCAGTGAGGGGCTCGTCATATGCGTTTATCGAAGTTATTCACTTTTTATTCTTTGATACTGTAGGCAATCAATTAGGGCAGGTGTCTTGGGGTGCTCTTGATGATGTTGTTATGGGAGGTATTAGCGAAAGTACCTTTGTAGTTGATTCAACTGGTGGTGAGAATGGAGGTCCGACCGGAGTTTTCAAAGGTCATAGTTTTTTTCTCCTTCTTACAAGTTTTCCGTAATTATTCTCACTGCATGAGTTCGATCACATTTACCGTCTCCAATGTCTTCTATTTGTTTATCTCAGGCACTGTCTCTACAGCCAACAATGGAGGTTTCACTAGTATCAGGACAAAGGTACCGAGATATTTGATGTTTCCCATTTTATATGTGATAGCTCGTAAATGAGCAGAACTTGCTTCAGGATTAACTCTATTCCTCTTGCTAGCAGTTAAGCAATCAGTGAAGGCTAGTTATGCTTAAAGCTTTCCATTCATGAATCTCGGACAATATTCCCTGCTTGAAACATTTGTGATCCTACAAATGAAACATGTTTAAGGGCGCTGGATAAACCTCTGAGTTCTTTTGTGGTAGTATCACCTGTTCCATAACCTATGGTGATATTTATTTCAAATATTTTTCTCTATTTTATTAGCGTTTACATTATGATAATTTTTTGTCAAATTATCTCGCACTGAAAAGAGTAAATCAATTCTTGTTGTTAAATTATATAGACCAGCACTTATTTTCAATTGATTATGAATCGGGCCATCTTCTGGACAATTTATTTATGTCATATGATATAAAAAATCTAGGTTCCATCCCCTCTTGTGTGCACTGTTTTTGTCGTACACCTGTGACACTCCTGAAGAAACTTGCATGGATTTGGGGGAACATGTCAGAACCATATCAAATTAAAAGATATGAGTTTAAATCTCTTGCCCCACATTTCATATTTACTGTTATTTCTTTATATCGGAATTCATGTGAGTAGCTGTTTTACATAAACATAATGAGTGTTTTACATAATTAATATTTGTAACATTTAGAAACTATTTAGGCGGAATGCCTTTCAATTTTTATGGTTTGCATCTCCACATGTATTATACGAGAAATTCTTCTTTGCATGGAAGCCAGAATTTTTCTGCGCCTGAGGACCTTTCAGCATATAATGGTCTAGAACTTCGAATTAAAGGGGATGGTCGCCGTTACAAACTTATTGCGCGTACGAACCCTGGTTGGGACACTGTGGGTTATACCTGGAGCTTTGACACTGTAAATGGGGAATGGCAGACGGTAAGCTTGTTCTTAGTGCTTATGGGTGCTAAGCTCTTTTTGTGGTGTGGATCATTTGAGGTGTTTTCCCTTTTACTTTCATCTCTTCAGGTTAGGCTTCCTTTCTCTTCCCTAAGGCCTATATTTCGAGCACGCACAGTGTTTGGTGCTCCACCATTCGATGCAAAAATCTTATCGCTCCAGGTATCTTTCTCTGACTTCCTCCCCAATTCTATTGATAAAATCCTACCAAATGGAAGACTAATTTCAGTGACATTTATCTTTCAGCTAATGTTCAGTAAGTTTGAACATGATGGAAAGCTGAACCCTACTTTCGTAGAAGGTTCATTTCAGCTTCCCCTCTCAAGTATCAAGGCATACATAAATGAGCCTATCACTCCCAGGTGAGCATATTTACAATGATCTTGTTACTTCCAAGTGAAACATGTTGCAATCAGGAGTCCATGTTGAGATACACAGATTGCTAACAAAGATATCTTAAAATCAGGAGTCCACATAAAGACGTCTGATTCCTTTTAAAAAGGGTTTGTAGGAAATGAGAACTGGAAAATGAAATCCATCGTTGAATAATTTAGCTGAAAATAATAATAATTAACTCAGCAGGTTTAGAGATCAATAGGGAAATTCCCTCTCGATCTGTGCATACTAGAGATCAATAGGGAATTTCCCATGGATGGATTTCCGGAGAACCATTATCTAGTAATATGGCAAATTTACAGCATTTTTTCCCCAGCGTTGATTACTGAGATATATCGCATATTAAGGTGTATAATCGGAGACAGAAATCTGGAAAAACTCATTCAACTAATGATAATAATTATCACTGAAGATTTCGTATCATTTTTTTAAAATGTATCTTTCAACAAATTTCGGAGATTAATTTTTTTCCCTAATGAAGTTCATCTACTATAAGCACGTTTTGCACCACCCCCTTTTATATGATTTCTTTGATTGCAGGTTTGTACATGTGGGCTCTGCTGGAGTTACGCGGCCTGAAAGGCCAGGACTTGACTTAAGTAAGCAACCACCTGCTGTGCGTTTAAACAAGGAGCTAGATTTTATTCTGACGTACAAGTTGAAGGTAATTAAAAAAAATAAATCTCCCATTCTTTTTTCTTTTTCCTAAAACATGTTGACAAACATTGTTCTTGATTCAGAAATTGAAAGTGCATTACGAAAATGAAGAGTTAGCCAGAAATTTTAATTTATGTTCATACTTCAAAATGTGATCGGAGAATCCAGGTCTTCTATATGATTTGGCATTATACCAATTCTCTGAGAATTTTCCACTATTAATCAGGCCGTGCTAAGATACCATTATATAACTACTCTGATAATCATGAAGTAACGTCATTAGTAGATAGATATCTGCCTATCTCGAATCTTTTAAGGTCTCTGCCTAGAGTTATGAGCATGTCTCAACCCCTTTGTTGTCAGACTCCGACTTCCCCATTGAAATGCTGTATCCACATCATTGATGCGGGCCCTACATTTTTGTTCTGGGGATGTAGGAACTGCTAAAGTGAATACTGCATTGAAAACCTTTCAGTCACGGGCTGTTATTCCCTGACGATGACACGGTGGAAATTATCAAATTAAAAACAACTAGCAGGCCTATTGCATCATACTACAGGGACTATCCTTGTGCTGATTTGGTGCCGTGCCAGGGAGTGTAGAAGTTTGAACTGGAAGAGTTAACCCATACCATTTCTTGGAGCAATATCAACGTTCTATATAAACTTGATTTTTCAGCTGTATTAATTTTTTTATTTTTTTTAATAAGCGTTGTGTTGTCTTTCAGGGGGAAGATTTGATAAGGGAAAGCGGAATTCCATATACAATTGTGAGGCCCTGTGCTCTGACTGAAGAACCTGCTGGAGCTGATGTCATTTTCGACCAGGGAGATAATATTACGGTAAACTACAATTTTTTTTTAATTTTATGTTATTTCCTCTATTGAACTCCAGGTCAACTTCTGTAATTATGCATAAAGGTAACTTATTACTCTCATTCTCTCCTTTTATATTTCATAAATTTGTTGTACTCAGGGTTAGTACGTTACATGCAATCACTGAGCTTATCATTTCCAGTTTCTCCACTTTCCAGGGAAAGATCTCGAGGGAGGAGGTTGCTAAGATATGCATTGCTGCTCTTGAAAGCCCAAATGCCTGTGATAAGACTTTCGAGGTAATCCCCTGTTCATGTCGTTTTTTCTTCATTTTAGGTTCTAAGATTTTTTTTTCTTTCATTTTCGGCTGATAATAGAATGCCATGTCCCACAAACCCAACTAAATGATAAGAAAATATTTTTAGTGTCCTGAATTATTTATTTGCAGTTATGCTTCCTAGATCAATGCACGTCTCATACCCTAAAGTTTATTTTTTCATGTAACGCTTAACGGTTTCGGATTTATTTTTCGATTAATTTGGGCTTCCCGGCATGATATTTCCAGTTTCCCTGATCTCCAAAGTCATTTTTTACATATTTTTAGCCCGGAAAATGCCTTTCAGGAGAGATATTTCCACTCATGAAAAATTCTATTTCGCATGATTTGTTCTTGGAAAGCAGCCCTTTATAAGGAGGTGAACTGAATTTTGTCGGTGATGTTGCATCATGGAATATATCTGTCTATGAATGGAAATTTTCTTTCAATGTTTACAGGTTAAGTCTACCATTCCATTCAGTGAGACATATACAGTGGATCCCTCAAGCCCACCTCCCGAGAAGGACTACAGCACATACTTTGCACCATTGAGGGATGGAATCACAGGAAAAGAGGCCCTGGGGGAGAACCTGGTGGTGTCTTAGGGTTGACTTGAATGATGGATGGCCGTAAGAAATAAGAAGGGCTAATAAAGCTTCCAGTCCATAGATAATAGCCTCAGGAGCCATAGGCTTTCTGTAATTAGGCTCCTAATTATCAAAGGATGAGGTTGCATCCGGGCCTTTGTTGAGCTTAGTTTGTTGACTTTTATCTCATGAAATATCATGAGCTTAGTTTATCGAGTTTATGGAATATCACGATGAGAAATAATTGTACATCCCTAAACCCTAATTTTGTTCGTCAAAATTATATTTTTTCCATGTTTCCCAGGCATCTTATGCTGCAGTTCAAATGCCTGCTGGTGGGCTAAACAGGCCGGCCTACGGACCAAGTCCTAATATCTCTTTCAGTGCACTTATCCAGCACAGAGAGAGAGAGAGAGTTGAGCATTGGGGACTTGCTGAAGCATGGGCCCACTCACAGCGGAGACCGGGCCGATCCTTTTTTTCCCAAAGCTTCACTACGAGGCCCAAGCCCGGAAAATATTTTTTAAAAAAGAGACAGCCTGCCCCCAGAATCTCAACCTGCCCAGTGAACCCCCCCTTCTTAGAGCCCTGAACATGGTCTGGATAGGGTTCGGGCTCCGGGTCTAACCGGCCCATTGATTATTCAATAAAAATGGGCCCGCCCATTGTGTTACTGAGCCGCTGCCCGAGGAATAGGGCCCACATGGTCCGGACAGACAACTTGCCAACCACCTCGGATGATGAGTTTCTCTGCCCGAAATAGTAATATCTTATTATGGAGCCCATTAGGCCACCAGCCCACTGACCGGAAAGGTGAAAATTATATTTCTTTAGAAGAAATAATAATTACGGAATAAAGTGCCGCGTGAACTGAACGGTTTTGATCAGCCCCACCTCCCCCCCGGCCGTCGTAACGCCGGAGGGTGGGGAATGGCCGTCGCCGACGAGGGAGACGCCGCCGGGGATGAGGGCATGGCGGTGCCGCCGGCCAGAGCCATCCAGCTCGTCCCTCGCTGCGTCTCCGATGGGCTCCTTATGAAGTTCTCCGACGTGCCGGAGCTCGGGTTCGAGTACGAGAAGAGCGGGCTCTGGTCGCCGCCACCGCCGCGCGCCGCCTTCCTCAGCCCCTCCGGCAGGATACGCACCAGCGGCACCGCCCGTCCCCGGAGAAGGAAGGGTTGGTTCTTCTGCTTCCTCCTATCTTCTCTGTGACCAGGCTGACGGCAGCTCGCCGGCGGTGATCCCTCTGTGGAAAATTCCTTCCAAGGGGAAGAAGCTCGTCGGCTTCTTTACCCTTCTCCTCAGCTCCTCTCCTTTCGTTTCCCATGAGTCCCTCGAGATCTTCAGACGATGTAGACCCGCTGAAAATAGCAGAGGAGGAGTCGAAGCTCGGAGAACCCATTGATCGTTTCCTCATTTGGCAAAGAATTTGCAGCTTATTTCGGCAATCTTCGGGGTAAGACTCTCAGAGCATAGCCCCCCTCGTTCATTAAGATCTTACGAAGAAAGTACAAGGAACTAGAGATGATTGACGTGCAGAGCCCGGAGTCTCTCCAGGCACATCAGTAGAACAAGGAGATGCATGGCCAAAGGATAGATGCCGGCGGCGGCGTGAATTTACTGGTTCCGGGTGATTCCGAAATGGGCTCTCGTTGATGCGCCATTAGGAGTATCAAAATGGGATATTTATGGGTCAATGTTCTTAGTCAACCTACTGGTCAACGTTGGTCAGCTGTCCCTTGCTGGGTAGTTCTAACGAAGGGCTTGATCGGTATAATCTGATATTTTATTGTAAAAACTAATAATATTTTTTTATAAAAAATATGCAGTATTTTTTTTATAAAAAATAAGAATAATTTATAAGGAATATGTCAGAAAAGGGCTTGAAAGGATCGGCCTTGTGCGGGATGAAGCTAATTTGAGAAATTCATTAGACGAGGGTTATTTTTATTTAAAATAGTAAATTACTTATGTACCCCCACGTACCTTTAGATTTTGATGCAGGAGCTGGGGGTATGTCTCTCCCATTGGGGGGGCGTCTCTCCCCTCCCCCTTCTTCCTCCCTGTCTTGGAGCCCCACCTTGCTGCTCTTCTTCTTCAAACCCCTGGGGGGGTGGCGGCGACACCTCGTTTCCCTCGGCGGAGGCTGTCGGGATTCCTCGGCGGGGCAGGTGAGCTTCATATTCTTATTCTTCCGCTGATGCTGATCTTCAGTCGAGGATCTCGTGTTTCGGCGGCGAGGTCTCTGGCAAGCGGACGGTGACAGCGCGATTGGCGAATCCGTCTTTCCTCTACATCATACTACGTCTTGATGTCGACCTGTCATTTTACTTGTCTCCTTTCTCGAAATTCTGTCCACATTGGGAAATCGCTTAAAGGATACTCCAGTCAGAGTAAGGGTATATTTGGCCGGTAATTGTTTGGAACTAAAATTTAGTGAATGTCCGGAGCTCACAAGGGGAACTTACTTATGTTTCAGTCGAGGATATGCTGAACGGAGTGCCTTTGATCTCTACACGACACAAGAGCTGGACTGTCGTCAGTTAGCGTTGTTTCTTTTAGGGAGCTGCATGATTTGAAATAAAATTCCGTGGATATAAAGCGTTAAGGATTTTAACCAATTTTTTTTGGGGATAGTAAACGATAGAGATGGTCATCTTGAATAGGAATATAGGGGCATACTTTCAACAGAAACTTATGCAATATCTAAAGATTTTTTTTCAAACAAATTGGTATCAGATACATAAAAAATATCCATAGGCCTCATGAGAAGAGTGTGTTACGTTCGCTCATTACTAAGCACCAATGGATACAGACTGAACGGTTAGTGAAGGATTGAAGGAAATTTATTGTAACTCAACCTACAATGCACTTGAAGTTATGGGGATCAAAGAAGAGGTCAGAGAGTAAGCTAGGAAGCCTATGGGGGGTTCAGTTAAAGCGGTGGATAAGGTGTAGGTTTTACAAATTTGTGATTCAGAAACTTTAATGGAAGTCTGAAAGAAGCTATCCATTGGTCTTCGTCCAGCCAGAGAACTATCAAGACTGGCACGACAACATTGCTCAATTTGAGAGGCTAATGGGTATTTAGATTAAAATAAATAAATCTTCTGTTTTCTCCAGCACATTGCATTTCTTGATGATCTATTCTCTTCATTACAGATTTATCTCAATAAATGGCTTGGATGTGGATGGCCACTGTGATAATCTTGCTGTGGGCAGTCTCATTATGGAAGGTTATCCATTCTTCAACGATGGTGCCATCAAAGTTCCAGGCCATTTTTCATGGTGAGGAAATATAAGCTACATGTGTGCATACTTACGTATATATATCAATAATTCAGTTCCTTTGTTAGTAATTGGTTTCATTCTGTATTTGTATTTTTCTCTCCTTTCAGGATCAGGTGAAAATGCTAAGAACAAGAAAGTACTGCTAGTTGTTGCACATCCTGATGATGAATCAATGTAGGTCTACGTTTCTTCCTTTGTGTCTTCTTGTCCTTATTTAGCATAGAAATAGAGTTTGTTCCTTGTAAAGGGTTATGCCTGATTCTTCTGGGTCTTGAGGAATGTTGTGCATCTATCCAACCTTTCAGGAATTAATCCAACTGGGAAAATCTACATTCTGCAGTATGATTAAAGGAATATTATATTTTTAGAACCTCAAAAAACATGATTTCAAATATTATCTGTATATCTTCGTCATTTTCGGGAGGTGATGTTTTTCTACATGAGGACAGGAGGGCACAGGAAAAAAATACAGGAGCGATTTACTTATCCAAATATTTTTCTAGGGCTTAAAACTGAAAAAAATAAATGAAAGTGGGGCCTTTTCTTTCTGATAGGTTTGTAAGGGCTCAATTATATTATTTATGGTGTTAAAATTCAGTTATTTCTCACACGGTCATGACATTTCCAAAGAAAGTGTGGCTGGATTATCATTCTTCGCATCCCAGGAACTGGCGTCATTTCGTGGGGTGAAGTGTCAACTTTTCTTGGATTATTGAATCATTGCTTTGAATATCTGAAGTACACTGTTCAGTTACTGTAAATGTTGCAATACGTAATTTGTTTTTGCCTTTGCTCTTTAATTTCAGGTTTTTCTCGCCAACTATTATTTTCTTGATTTCACAAGGGCACAGTCTTCACATTTTATGCATGTCCACAGGTACCCTTCTTTTATTAGAGATCTCGGCATTCAAATTCTTCTGTAAAGTATGTATTTTTTAATAGAAATATTTCTCTGATTAGTAAAATTATATTATCTGCTGAACTTTATCTTCTCCATGCTTTCAGTCAAAAGCTGTTTTTTTGGGCTCAACTTTCAACAGTTGGTGGATTTTTCTTGTCTTTTTCGCAGGCAATGCTGGAGGCAAGGGAAGCATCCGGAAGGAGGAGCTTTATCAAGCGTGTGCGGTTCTCGGGGTGATTTTAGAGCTCTATTCTTGTGCATATCTTTCTGCTGATCATTTGAGAGATGATTCTTGGCTTGAAGCAACCTTTCTTTGCAGGTCCCTTCTCGGCAAGTTAAAGTAGTCGATCACCCAAAGCTACAGGTGTCCATTTCTCTGTGGCACAGTTTCTTGGTTCTCTTGGAACAGATATATGGCTTGTCAGTGTATATCGTATGATTTGGCAGCAAAATTTATCTACAACTTTTCAGGATGGATTTAATGAACCATGGGATCACGGTTTGCTGGCCACTATAATTGGGGAGCAAATCAAAATGCTTGAAATTGACACGGTAGTGTCCAAATTTACTCAAATGTTTGGCACATTCTTGGTTATTTTTTCATGTCATTTCCCTATGCAAAGCATACTCCGCCATTAAAATGGTTCCTCCGGTGTTTGCATCTTTTGTCCTGTTTTTTATTTGATCTTGTTCACATAATTTTTACATTCTTTTGTTATCTATCATTTCCTTTCATTTAACAATGTTCTCCAGATATGGGATTATTTTTATGAACTTTATAGAATGCTCTCTCGGCATTCTGGTGCGGAGATTCATGCTGGCTCTGAGATGTAGCCATTGTTTTTTCATTCTTTGTTCCAGATAATAACGTTTGATGGCTATGGGATTTCTGGTCATCCAAATCACCGTGATGTCCGCCATGGTTTGCGGTAAGCAAGCTCTTTCATTTGTTCAGACTATCAATGCCCGAGGAACTCTCTTGAACGCACATCTGAACAACGGGACGACTTCATGTTATTGCCTTAATAATTTCTTGTCACATTATTGAGCAAAGTATGCTGAAGACATCTTCGATAACATTTCCATGCAATCTCGACTTCCTCTCTTCATTTGTCGAACAGCAATTATCTGCGGGAGAGCGAAAACAGAGATGAGGCATGGGAACTCGTACGTTTCTGCTCCTCGTTATATTTCATGTTCATTGATAACCATCTCTCGCTATCATTTGTAGTCCAGTTCAGGAGTCTTCACTCACTTTGATTAGCTTTACTTCTCATGGGCTTTCCGGAGTTTCTGGCATGACGGGCTTTCGTTGCTTCTGACTGTCCAGATCAGCAAAGGCATTCTTCGCAAGTACATTGGCCCTGTTGATGTCTGGCTCTCCATCTTCCACTGCCTTCTTCGTCATCCGGGCCAAACCTGCTGCTTTCTGAACGCCTCTCCTCGCAGGAGCTACCGCGCCATGGCCGAACACCAGAGCCAGTGGCTATGGTATGCACATGCATCTACATATATGTGCGTATAAAGAGAGAATCTGTCCCAAATTCTAGCTTACTTGAGTGGGTAAATTTCCCTGGTTCTACAGGTTCCGAAAGCTGTTCGTCTTGTTCTCCAGCTACACTTACATGAACACCCTCAGGAAGGTCAGCAGCCATTAGGGTTTGTAAGCTCCTTGGAATCTGTCGTCGGGGCATGTCCTCATCTCTGTTCTCCGTCACAATTTTTCTCAATAAATGGGTGAATAATGTTTATCGGTGACTCTACGACCACTTCCCAGAGAATACGGTACATGCACACGCTATCAAAGTTTATCCCTCCCTTTATTAAATTATATCTTAATGAAAATGATGTTAAAGTTGGATTCAGTCAGCGTTGACCAAATGCAGGGCCAATTCCATCGTAGATTCGGTCAGCGTAATATCAGCGGGCTACTTATGGCATCATCGTAAGACTAAGCTTGCATGTTTTATGTAGCACCATTTATTTCATGTGAATAATGACCTTATAAAACTTACATTTTTGCTTTCATCTGATGAGCTCACATCCAACCCGACTACCTCTGATGGGAATCGAATAGACCATCCTAGAGAGAGAATATATATACAGAATATGTAAGAGTGATGAGGAGACAGTAACGAGAGAAGAAAAAATGGGCAGATTTCTAGAACCTAAGTAAGTCGAGATAAGTTTTAAAACCCGTGTCGAAGAAAAAAGGAGCAGCTGGAACACGGGGTTGACCCGACCCGTTGACTTACCTACCATTCGATGCTTAACCGGGAGAGGCTTGAATCAAGAAACCTTCCGCGTGAGCATTAATTGTTCACCGACCTGCTCCTTGCTACTTTTGGGTAGCAGCGTTGAAATAGTGAGCAGCGATGAATCCTGCGCTCCAGTTGTCATGTTCAGAAAGTCAACTTCATCCAGGGGCCACGCATTTCAAAGATTCCGCGCCTTCGGAAAGTCATTCTGTGTACACACGCAAAGTCCGACTGGAATTCGAGCATCCTGATACAAATTGGTAGATAGACGGATGGTCGAATAGGTAGATAGAAAGCGAGGGAGAGAGAGAGAGAGACACACACACACACACATTCCCTGCATGTTAAGTTACACACACGCATTTTTCCGTTGCAGCAGCAATAGTTGAAAACTTTGCGGACCGTCACTGCTATATAAGGACGAGGGGGGTTCATGCAAGCGGAGTATCACCAGCAGCAACCCTCTCCTAGCCATTTGTACCAGACATGGCCGTCTCCCTGAAGCTCATCGCGCTTCCTTTACTGCTATCCCTCCTCGTTTGCGCCTCCCAGGCGCAGCTCTCCGCCAACTTCTACTCCCGTAGCTGCCCGAACCTGAAGGGGATCGTCCGCGGGGCCATGACCCAGGCCGTCAGACGGGAGCCGAGGATCGGTGCCTCCATCGTTCGACTCCTCTTCCACGACTGCTTCGTTAATGTCCGTGACGTCCACATCATCATCTTCTTCTTCTTCTTCTGCTTCACCTGTTGACGTGTTTGATGAAACCCTACCAGGGCTGCGACGCGTCCATCCTTCTGGACGACACGTCGACGTTCACCGGAGAGAAGACCGCACGGCCGAACAGCAACTCCGTTCGGGGCTTCAACGTCATCGACGACATTAAAACCCGCGTCGAAGCAGCCTGCCCCTCCACCGTCTCCTGTGCCGACATCCTCGCCCTCGCCGCGCGCGACGGAGTGGCCCTGGTCTGCGCCATTCCTCTTCTTCCCCACAGAACCCTAGCAGAGTCTCCTTCTTTCCTAAGCACTCAGAAGACAACTCTCTCATCTCCTGTGGCTCGGTGCAGCTTGGGGGACCGTCGTGGACTGTGACGTTCGGCCGAAGAGACGCGAGGACGGCGAGCCTCAGCGACGCCAACAGCCAGATCCCGCCGCCTTTTGCCAGCCTCTCCACCCTCATCTCCTCCTTCTCCGCGAAGGGACTCAGCGCGGGGGAGATGACCACCCTCTCCGGCGCTCACACCATCGGCCAAGCTCGCTGCACCACCTTCCGTTCCCGCATCTATAACGACACCAACATCAACGGCCCCTTCGCCGCCAGACTCCGCGCCAACTGCCCCCTCTCCGGCGGGGACAACAACTTGGCCCCTCTGGACCTACAGAGCCCCAATGGATTCGGCAACAGCTACTACCAGAACCTCCTGACCCAGAGGGGTCTTCTCCACTCCGACCAGGAGCTCTTCAATGGCGGCTCGCAGGACGCGCTGGTCCGCCGCTACAGCGCCAACAACGGCCTCTTCTCCCGCGACTTCGCGGCGGCCATGGTGAAGATGAGCGCCATCAGCCCGTTGACCGGCACCAACGGAGAGATCCGGACAAACTGCAGAAGGGTCAACTGACGGTGATCCCCACCGACAGCGTCCCCCTATGAACCAAGTAATTGTTCCCTGCCATTGGAGGGGGAGATTTAGTTGCTTATGGTAAAAAATAAAGTTCACCCTCCAGTATTATCTTTTGACTAGTCAACGGTAGAGTGCTTTTCGGCGGTAGTTGTGACAAATTGACGCCTTCCTGTGAGGTCAACGGTTTGGAGTATGCGACCGGGCTGAATAACTTCTTTACGAGACAAGTGACCAATATAAGCTAAAGTTACTTTTATGGGATGGCGCATCAGAGTGGGATGGGACCGGTCAAAACGGTGCTATTATCCTAATTATTCTCATGAACGAGATATTTTGCTAAAAAAAATATGAAAGTGTACTAAAATACACTAATGAAAGCACACTAAAGTACGCTACGGGTGGACCGTAGCGGGTTCGGGAATATTCCAGACAGGACGATTAGATGCTTCTTCATGATTGTCATGATTTTTGCGTTTTCCGTGAGAACGGCAATCTTGACCGTCTGATATCGGCCTTAGTCCAGCTGTCCGGCTCATAAAAGGCCCGCCCAACGTCCGCCACGTCGGGACTTGATGGGCGGAGCCTGATGAGCTGGCCGTCGCTGTCAGCCGTCCACGAGTCGTCCCCGACAGGGAAGATTGAACGGCAGACATTACCGTTGAGGTTTGTCGGACCCACTGGTTTTCGGGCAAACGGGAACCGTCAGTTTTCGCGGTACGACCTGACGGCGCAAAAAGGGGCGGCCGTGTTTGTACCTCCCATCCTTTTAAAGGAGGAAGACGGGGAGATCAGAGGGGTTCCTCTAATGGCGACGGAGACAGATAACCAGAGCGCCGGCGCCGGCGCCGGCGGCAGCGGCAGCGGCAGCGGCCCCCTGAGAGGTTCTAGGAAGGAAGGGCAGAAGCTCCTATTGGGGAGGTACGAGGTGGGGAAGCTGCTCGGCCATGGGACGTTCGCGAAGGTCTACCATGCGAGGAACGCGAGGACGGGGGAGAGCGTAGCGATCAAGGTGCTGGACAAGGAGAAGATCCTCAAGGGGGGGATGATGGCGCACATCAAGCGGGAGATTGCCATCCTCCGGCGGGTCCGCCACCCGAACATCGTGCAGCTGTTCGAGGTTATGGCCACCAAGACCAAGATCTACTTCGTAATGGAGTATGTCCGCGGTGGGGAGTTGTTCGGGAGGGTGGCCAAGGGGCGGCTCCGAGAGGAGACGGCGCGGAAATACTTTCAGCAGCTCATCTCCGCCGTCGCGTTCTGCCACGCTCGCGGGGTGTACCATCGCGATCTGAAGCCGGAGAATCTCCTCCTGGATGATAAGGGGGATTTGAAGGTGTCCGATTTCGGCCTCAGCGCCGTGTCGGAGCAGATCCGCCAGGATGGGCTCTTCCACACCTTCTGTGGCACCCCGGCGTACGTCGCCCCCGAGGTGCTCGCCCGCAAGGGCTACGACGCCGCCAAGGTCGACATCTGGTCCTGCGGTGTGATCCTCTTCGTGCTGATGGCGGGATACCTACCTTTCCACGACCAGAACGTCATGGCCATGTATCGGAAGATCTACAAGGGGGAGTTCCGGTGCCCCAGGTGGTTCTCTCCCGAACTCATTCGCCTGCTGAACCGTCTTCTGGACACGAACCCTGATACACGGATGAACATACCAGACATCATGGAGAATCGTTGGTTCAAGAAGGGCTTCCGTCACATTCGGTTCTACATCGAGGATGACCGCCTCTACAACCTCGATGACACCGCCACCCTTGACACAGTCGATTCCGAGAAATCAGAGTCGGAAGCAGAGTCGGAAGCCGACTCGGAATCCTCCACTTCCTCCCTTTCGGATGGATTCAAGCAAAGGCGCGCAGGGCTGGGGCTGCCGCGGCCGTCCAGCCTGAACGCCTTTGATATCATATCCTTCTCCCGTGGATTTGATCTCTCGGGGCTGTTTGAGGAGACGGGAGAGGAGTCGAGGTTCGTCTCTGGGGAGCCAATATCGAAGATTATATCCAAATTGGAGGAAATTGCGAAGGTCGTGAGCTTCTCTGTGAGGAAGAAAGATTGCCAGGTGAGCCTGGAAGGAACAAGGGAAGGTGTGAATGGCCCTCTGACAATAGCTGCTGAGATATTCGAGCTCACACCCTCATTGGTAGTGGTGGAGGTCAAGAAGAAGGCAGGGGACAAGGGAGAATACGAGGAGTTCTGCAACAGGGAACTCAAGCCTGGGCTGCAGAACCTCATGTATGGGGAATCTGCTGCCCCTGCAATTATTGCTTCTGACACGGAATAGGAAGGCACGAAAAGTGACCCTTTTTAATGAATTTTACAGTACATTCTTCTTCTTCCATTTTGTAATATATTGTTTTCCCATTATTTTCCTCTCGCATCGGATGATGTTAAACACAATTTTCAACAATGGATTATCCAAACAATAATGCCGAGAAGAGTTTTTATTGTAAATGAGCTTCTGTTGTTATTCACTGTAAGTTATTGGGTGGTGGTCGATCACACCCTATGAATGTTCAGATCTGTTGATTTGTGCGTGCAAGGGTTGGAACCATGAGGGAAGGAAGCTATGGAAATCTTGTTGTGGCTCATAAATGAGGCTTTCCGACATTTCTCATTTGGTAGATGCATGCTAGAAAGCCTGGCATATCTCTTTATTTGCGGACTTGTGGAGCCTCATGTTTCCGAGAATCATATGTCAGTTCCATCTTTTTCAGTGTCCAAGGGTAATGATCACATGGGAATTTTCTTCCGTCAAATTTTCTCGCACCGCCATTAGAACTCACTGAAATGTCTCAGCGAGCATCATAGCTCTGCGAGGTCTCTGCTCTATATGCAAGCTTTTATCAGTCTTCTTTTCCATGGCTGCGGTTTATACTTTCTTGCTCCCTTTCACTGAACTATTCTCCAGCTCGTTTGACTTTTTTTGCTTTTTTTATGAACTTTTGAAGCTTCGGATAGATCTAATCAGTGCTTCTTCCTAGCGAACAAGGAATAACCTGCATTCTTACCTTTTGATTATTTCTCATCTAAGACAGTCTTTCTCACGCATTCTCTCATTCCTTCTTACCTCTGGGTTAGATGATTCTTGGAGTTTTCCTCTTGACCTCAATGAAAATTTCATTATCTCATCTGATTTAATTACCCATAATTTATCCTCCTCAATGCAGAAACGACCGAGGGCAAATTTGGTTATGCAAATATCGATGTGGGATTCGGTCCTATCGAAGTCCCCGTCTCCTAAAAAGAGATCTTTCTGAGGAATATGCTCTGATTTTGACCAGACGAAGAATGCTGAGATGACTGCAATATATATGCTCAGCTTAGTTGGATGGATCGAGCGCTTACATGGTAGCGCTAAGGTAGGTAAACAGATATCAACTAACGTCCTATAATTTTGATTTTGAGTTTTTTTTTTTTTTTTTTTTTTTTTGGGTTTAGATTTTCTCGGTAAAATAAAACCAGTGCATAGAACCCGTTTCTTGGAAAGAAGGGAGGGGGTGTGCGTGGTTCGATCTCCACATTTAATTAAATAGCTACTTTTGAAGTGGAAGATAGCAAGTCAGAGACAATGATGGTTCCCCAGTAACCATTTTCTTTAATTGTGGGCTGATTTTTATGATAAAGGATGAAAAGGGAAATTTATTTGAGAAAATAAGCGAATTTCTTCTTGGCTGAATATTTTTTAAAGTTTATTTAAATGAAGAGGGTGGGAGGAGGAAAAAAAATACAAACTTTCATCTAATATTCCCATTAAATCGTCGGAGATACATTGAGGAAATAAAAACTCTTTATTTATTTATTTTATTATTATTATTCTTTGCAAAAGAGTCTAATGAGATGCAAAATTTCATGTGCTATTTGCCTCATTCAGGTCTGCTGTGTTGGGTAAAGGATGTTTAATTTAAGTGGGATTATCAGAGTAATTCCCTTTTTTAGCTGAGTTTTCTCTTATAATGAGAGAGATTTGCGACGCACAATGTAAAAACTGTATGGATGAAATTTTTCCTTCATTTATAGACCAGAAGGCTTCTCAGTGCATTGAGAAATTATAGCTTATTATGGCTTATTAATCTCCAGAGAGAGAGAGAGATTGATTCTGGTCTATTCGTAGAGAAAACGCGGTTGACTCGTGAGGCACATGACAACATCGGCGGGCACGCAACGCAGTCTTGGCATCGTAGTGCCCAGCTCTACTTCGGTGGAAACCTACCCCCTAGTCGCCTGTCATCCATTCCACTCAATTGACGGGCTCCCTCGGTGACATCCCAATTTTCAAGGATGATCTAGAAATAAATATGCAATTTTGATTATAAAAATTGAGAATAAATCTTCCTGGTTTTCGTTTCACGTTCAGTAACCCAAAAACCCATTTTTTTAAAAACTCAGAAAATGGTATTTATCTAGTTTATTAACAACATAGAGATAGATAGATAGATAGAGAGAGAGAGAGAGAGAGAGAGAGAGAGAGAGATTTATCTACCACGGATAAAAAAATGAAGAGGAAGAATATAATATGCGTAGAACATGAATAACTGACCTAGAATAATATTTTGGGACCATAAATCCAGCAAGACCCGTTGAAAAGCGGGACTTGAGAGGGGGGGTTTGACGAAGACTAAAAACTTGCGGTGCTGGCCGTTTTCTATTTGAGCGGCCACGGAGCTCGCCAGAAGATAAAATCTGCACGTTCCCTTCAGAATTTTGCCCTTTGAGTGTGGCGCTGGGGCCACCAGCGGCGGCGGGGGCGCCCCCGCACTTGTCTCCCTTCCGTTCAACCCCCCGGCCTTTGGCCCAGTAGATATCCCTCTGTCTTTGTCGGGCAGGGGAAGGGCGCCCCAGCTCCTCTCTGCCCCTCTTCGCTCCCGGAAGGGCGATGGCTCAGAGGGGCGCCTTCTCCGGCGGCGCCGCCGTCGTTCCCGTTCACCAGGAGGAGGATGAGGGCGGCGACGCGGTGTCGGAGGAGGAAGGGGCCGAGGACCGGTGGGCCCAGATGCCCCCGGACCTCCTGAGCGACATCCTCGGAAGGGTCGAGCTGAGCGAGGACAGATGGCCGGTGAGGAAGAACGTGGTGGCCTGCGCCTGCGTCTGCAAGAGGTGGAGGGAAATCACCATGGGCATCGTCAGCTCCCCACCAGAGTCCGGGAAGATCACCTTCCCTTACTCTCTCAAACAGGTTCCCCCCCACGAACCCACCTTCCGCCCTCCTCTTCCTTCTGATTTCCGCCGATCTGACCGGTGGATGCGACGATGTCTTGCAGCCCGGCCCGAGAGATCTCCCCCTTCAATGCTTCATCAAGAGGAACAAGAAGACCTCCACCTTCTACCTCTACCTCAGCCTCTCTCCAAGTATGCAGCAGCTCTTCCTCCCCCTTCCCCTCAAGAGCGGATGAATTATGCTCCCCTACTTTTTACTTTCTGGGGCGATCTCGATCGATTGACTGGTTTATTTTTATTATTTTCTTTTGTTGGAGAATTCGTGGATAAGGGGAAGTTCCTCCTGGCCGCCCGGAGATTCAGGCGCAGCGCCTGCACCGAATACATCGTCTCCCTCGACGCCGACGACGTCTCGCCGGGAAGCAGGGGCTATGTGGGCAGGTTGCGGTAAGACTCCCGATGGGTTTATCGAGATTACCCGTTATTGTACTTGTGATTTGCGAGGTATCATCTTGTCCGGCGAGGGCTGTGGCGGCGCCGCCGTATCTGGCGGGGGAAGGCGAGGCAGTCATCTGGATCATGCCGGAGGAGGCCTCAAAATCTTGGATTGCTATAGTTGACATGAACTATTGTTACAGGTCCAACTTCTGGGGAACGAAGTTCAGAATGTACGACAGCCAGCCGCCGTTCGAGGGCGCGAGGCCCGCGGTGACCCGAGCGCGCCGCCAGTTCGCCGGCGGCAAGCAGGTCAGCCCCCAGGAGCCCGCCGGCAGCTACGAGATCGGGCAAGTCTCGTACAGATTTAACCTCTTCAGGTCGAAGAGCCCGAGGAGGATGACCTCCACTCTCCACTGTCCGCAGCCGAAGGAAGACGACGCCAAGCCCATCGTTCTCTGCAACAAAGCTCCGAGATGGCACGAGCATTTGCAGTGCTGGTGCCTGAATTTCCACGGCCGGGTGACGGTGGCCTCCGTGAAGAACTTCCAACTGGCGGCGCCGCCGGCGCCGGCGAGGCAGGACGCCAGCAGCCGGCGGGTGTTCGCCGGAGATGAAGAGACGGTGCTGCTCCAGTTCGGGAAGGTCGGAGACGACCTGTTCACCATGGACTTCCGGCAGCCGCTCTCGGCCTTCCAGGCGTTCGCCATCTGCCTGACCAGCTTCGGCACGAAGCTCGCATGTGAATGAAATAAAGAGGACATGTCGTTCCTCTGGCCGCCTGCATTATTACTCAGAACCCTCGTTTACTAAGAATGGCCATATGATATTCGCCGATATACGATGCCAATGAAGAAAAGGAGATGATACCCATCTCTGCGTCGAAGAACCTGCGACGAAAACCAACAAAATAAGATGAAGGTATCGGAGTATGAACAACCCGTTGACCCATAGAGGAACCACCTCGTCCAGGCTTCCAGCTTCCGCAAGATAATTGACCCTCTGGTGATGGAGAACACTCATCAACTGAGTTAACTCAGAGGGTAAAAATCCACTTGAGTGAATCCAGCTCCCAGCTTGTTTTTTCTTCCTTTAACTAGAAGGAGTCCACCTCGTGGATTCTTGAATTGTTCAGCACTCAAAAGGGTAAGATTCTTCAACAGGAGAAGCTGAGAACGTGAACCAAGAAGATCTGGATAACTTCAACAATCAAAAGGTTTCATTACATGGGGAAGGATGATTTTCAGTTGACGGGATATTTGACCCAAATAAGCTTGATGCAGCTTATATGTGGAGCGATGACAACATTAAGCGTCCCCCTCTGAACACATTCAGAAGATTATTCTCACATGATCTGCAATTTTTGAGCGTCACAGAACAACCACTGGGCTGGGGAGGGGGATCCATTATATGTATATAATTCTTGGCAAAACTAATTTGGAGTTGAGATTAGGTTAAGCTACAGTGTCGTTTTCCAAGTGATATCAGAGAGATTTGTGACAGAGAAAAATAAGATTTTTGATAACCATAGGAAAGTGCAGCTGGAACTCATCCACTAATCAGTGATCTAAGAACGGATAGAAGAATCGCCTCCCATCAGGTCAACAGTCTCTGCATATGCAGTGGAGGGCTTGCAGATTAAATAATAACAGAGAGCTCTATGATTTAACAATCCACTCAACCGACTCATAGTATGAATATATATATATATATATATATATATATAATATTTTTTTCAGAACTGAAACTTAAAAACCCAGAAAGAGAAGGCGTACCTGCGGGCCACCCAAAATGGAGGATTTTTTCTGTGCCCTCTCTCCTAGGGATCGTTTCGATGGAGCTCGAATTCTGAAGGAACTAGGCGCAGCCGCCGAGTATTATCTGAGGCAGAGAAATTCTCCTTTCTCCCAGTTGTTCGCTTCGTCAACCCTGAGATCCTCATCTTCCCTGAACATGCACACGAAAAAGTGAGAGCACTCGGATCTTCTTCGACCACCATCGCCCTCCTCTCCCTCCTCGCTGTCCCAGGAGCCTTCTCTCGAGAAGAAATCATGGCAGCCTCTCAGGGTTTTCTGCTACCTCCATCGCGTGATTGGACTGGATTCGGGACGGTTTTGGGCTTCATCAAAAGCCCATTATGGCTTGCAGGCCCAAAAAATCTCAATAATCTTATTAATCTCAAATTTATTTATTTTTACTTTGTATTCGAATTTGCCGCTTGACGAAATCACTGATTAAGATATTCGGTTTCGAGTGTGCGTACAGAAAGGGCTTGGGAAGTAATTTTGGTGGGCTGTATACGTGGACCAACATGATCGGAGTCAGCTCCTTTTGGTCAACTCTCCGGCTCCACCACCTTCATGAGAATCGTTAAGCGTCCTCTTCGCCGTCTCCCCTGTATATGAGAAAGAGATAATTTGATGATTTAAGGATGGTCTCGATAGGCGTCTGCGAGCAGGAAGCTCTGACGATCCTCCAAAACAGGGTGATCCCGGAAGGATTGCTCAGATGGTACAGACGACAGGGAGGGGAGCTCCGGGCGAAAAGTTACGACTGCGAAGAAGAGGGGTGTACCGAAGTAAGAGATGAAGTTGGAGACCCGGAGGCCGTCGGGGGTTGGCCGCCGTCAGAGACGGTGGATGGTGACGGCGGCGAAGTCCTCCACGGTCTTCTTCTTCAGCTCCGGTTTTGAACTCGGTCTTCAACTCAGTCTTGGGTTTTCCATCCTCGCTTAATGGAGGCTTTCCCCAGATCTCATCTTACTCTCTGGAGGTCCGTCTCGATTCCCCGTCTTCTTCCCAATCCTGAACATGAACATTGTTGAATCTTTCATTTTTCTGGAGAGAGAGAGAGAGAGAGAGAGAAATGAGCTAAAAATTTGACGAAGGGAAGCTTACCTGAGAGCAAAAATGGTCCGAGTGGGGCTGCAAGTGGGCAGTCAGTGAGTCAAGATAAGGGGCGGCAGCAGCAGTAGAGACAAGGCCTTTCAATCCTCACTTGCAGGCCTCGCCAAGACCTGCGATGCAGAAATGGTTTCACGGCAATGCCTTCGATTTTCTGGCAGAAAATTTAAATAGATGGGGCTAAGGAGCAATGGGATTACATCGGCAAAACGCATCTGGCATTTGGGAAGCTCGGGGAGTTTGACCGTGGTTTCCAACCTGGGATCAGCAGGCGATGCCCCATGAACCTCCTCCTCGGGCAGCAACGGTGAACAAAAGAGTGACCGCAGAGTTGGTTGTTTCTTTGATGGCACACGAGTCAAGGTGCGAAAAAGCCAGGACTCGGAGGGTAAACGAAGCGGTTGCAGAAGATCGCCGTCATTCTTCCCTTGGTCTCCACCTTTCACCGGCTCTGGGAAATGCACATGATTCTGCCTAGAATCCTCTGCGTAGATGTTCATTTGTTGCAGAAAATCGTCTGAGCTATTATTCAGGATGACCTTCTGTACCGAGGGACAAGCTTCGTAGTCTGAACTTTCCAGCTGGGTGATTGCTGATGCAGATGATTGCTTGTGGTTCAGACGGGTGATCTCCCACTCGCGCTCATCATCTGCGCAATAGGATGCAGACGATCTACAGTACTTCCCTCCGTAGATCGGGGATGGAGGCAGGTGAGACGAAGCACGGTTAGAGCGACAGCAGAGAGAGGACCCGTCGGGTGTCTGGGAATCGCTCCAATAGCAGAGATGGTTGGACTCGCTGGATACCTTACTTCCCTTCTGCCTTAATGGCTGATGCGCTGGCCCCATGTTGTACCTGCAAACTTCTTCCCACGAATTCTGCAATGGTGAAACCCGAAACATTCAGCAAATCAAGAAACAAGACCGAGTACCCAATAGGTTGATCTGCCCGGTTCTCAGTCTTACCTCGTATTCACTGGTAGCAGGTCTTAGCCGAGTATCAATCTCATGAGCGGCTGGCAAGATCACCTGGCCCCTGGCCTTCGTTCCTTGGAGAGGGTTCAGGTGGCAGAAGGAACTCTTCAGACATAGTCTGGGAAAGATTCCACAGCCCTTCATCCACAGTTGGCCAACCTCATCACATCTATCGTCATCCTCGTGATCATCGTCATCACTTTCTCTGTTTCTGGTCCCTGTTTGAGGGTGAATCGGGGAGTAGGTGGAGGCACGATCAGGCCGGTGCTGGTAAGGCAGAGGAACGACCGGCCGCCGTCTTTCACGCTCATTTTCAACCACTGGTCTCGGAGGCTCGCGGGACAACTTCATCGATGAGAACTGCGGCGAGACTGTCGCCGTCGCCTTTGCCGCAGGAAGAAACTGGCCCGCCATGAAGTCGGGGAGTTGTGAATCAGTTGAAAATCTCCCGGAAGGTGCGCGCGATTTGATCTCCTCGCTCAGCCCGCCCATGCTGCCTTTCATGAAGCATGACTCAGTACTCGACAGCATCGCCGGTGCATCGGAGAAGACGACTTCCTCTCTATCTTTCTCCTTTCGGCTGCTGAGTTGTTCCTCCAGCGTCCGTGCTTTCGCCGAGACCGGCGTCGTCCTCGTCCTTTCCTCCGGGGTTTCCATGGAGCTCTCCATGGATTTCGATGAGGTTCTATACAGAGGAGAAGAGGGCATGGAAAAAGCCGTAGCAGACACAGGGCAATTTGGGGAGACGGGGAATGATCCGAGGGCAAAGGCACAATCAATCGTTGAATCGAGGCCATCAACATCGGCTTCTTCCTTCTCATGCAGAGATCGTCTCGACGCCCCACCAGGCGGTGGCGGGCTGGAGGAAACCACCGGATGCTCCGCCGGCGTTGCAGGCGTTGCGTCTGCAACAAATCCATCCTTCGGCTGCCCCGGGCGCTGCTCCCACGAGAAAGGAACAACGCCAGGTTTCTGAATGGGGCCTGAGTTCACATCCGACTTGTAGAAAGGCAGCGGCGATCTCTGAGGACTCTCTCCCATCGCCCTCCCCCTTCCGCATTCCTCTTTTACAGTACTGGGGGAGTAGAATACCGGCGTGAGCGGAAGGGCAGAGCCGAACCGGCGGACAGAGGGGAGGGGGGTGTTGAAGTCAAGCCGCTTGACTGACATGGTCTGATGCTTCAGTGGATTCTCCCTCTCTGCTCCTCGACACTACAGACGAAGAACCAGAAGAGCCGAAGAGCGATTCGCCGCTGAAAGGAAGGGACGATGATGAAGTGAGCTCTAGCCGCGTGCATGGAGATATCACAATCGGAGGCGGTGAAACGAGAAAGAGAACCTGAAGATTCGCCAGGGGCGACGGACATGCAACCACCAGTGCGATGGCAAGGACAATGGTGAGGAGACGGCAGGCGTCCCCCTGAGATCGCTGTCAACAGTCGCCGGAGCGGAAACTCCTGTTGGGAGCGTCGCCGAGGACGGAGGAAGACGAAGAAGCCGTTCTGAACACCTACCCCATTTAGTGGGACAATAAGGTATTAATAACCACCTCACTCGACGGAGGTGAGCTTATCCGCCAGCGAAGAATTTATGGTTGCCTCGTGAACCCGTTTACCCTGCGAGTATTCGGGTCAACCTGCAGATGGACCCTGCTCGTAGGAGTAATATAATCGTGATCATTAACGATTAATTAAATAAATTATATAATTAATCATATTGGTCAGTTCCGTGCGCAAATCCCAAGTTCCGAATAATAATTTTACACGTACCTAATGACCGGTGGAACTGGCGATCCATCTTAACCTGGATCCACTGTTCGGCGGATCCGATGGTTAGATCGGGTCGGGATGCCGGGTTGGACCCATCCGGCCTAATTGCACTGCGTCAGACCGAGTCAGCCTTGGGTAGCCGTCCGACGTCATCATGGTCCGAGGAGCCCGGTTATCCAAGTTTCTTGTCGCGCCACCGAGTCGACGACCACCGGGTGCGGTAAGATTCTCGTCTTCGGAACCCTCGCAAGCACGCCATCGAACGGCATGTGTTGTGTATTAAATGATGTCTTGAAGGTGGATTGTCAGACTTACTTGAATGACATCTTAATGTACCCATAAATGACTAACTAACCGAGCTGGTTCGCCCTAGTGTCCGTTACAGGCGCTCTCAGCTCTCGGGCCGTGAATGATCGAACAGGCGGGCCTGGTGCTAATAGGACGAAAAATGGACTGATTTCAAATTTTTCAATGCGACTCCGGGGAGCATAAAGTACCCCAAAGTAAATCGATCCCCTAACTGCCTGTGTCCGTTGAAGTTCGTTACAGTTCCCCGGTGTTCACGAGGGCATTTCGCCAATAAAAAAAGAGGGGTAATTTTACTTACTCGTACCACTGAATTCAATTAAAGACGGTATAAGATAAAATGGGGAATTTTGAGAAGAATATACGACTTCCAACCCGCCTGCGCCTCTCTCTTCTCTCTGACACGTGGACCGGGTGAGACCGGGTCACCCGGTGGGGCCCACTTACCAAAAGCCGGAATTATTAACTTAATAAGGAAAAACAGCAAAAAAGCAAGGAGCACGGTGGTGGTCGTCTCGTGCCGACGGCGCGTGTGGACCTGGGGGTGGGGGGCGCAGCCGTGACAGCTGGCAGGCAGTGGGGGAGTGAAAACGCGGTATTCCTCCGCTTCGTCCCCCCCAGCCGGCCCCTTTTGGGAACGTGAGTCCCGCCGGTGTATACGCCGTCGCTTTCCGTCGGCCCAATCGAAACAGACGAGCCCCCGCCGAGCGAATTAATCTAACCGCCGGCGGCGACTGCCGATGGGGAGAGATCAACGGGGATTACGAACGGCGAGAAGGGGGGGGGGAGAGGACGGGGATCTGTATAAATACTCTTCCCTGCTGCCTTTGTCGTCCTTTTTCCCTCCCTCCCCACTCCGCCATTCCCACGGGCTGCTTCGTACTCCTCTGCTCCGTAACCCTCCTCTCGGCATCCCGTCCGTCTCTCGTGGGAGCACTGGTGCAGGGAGCGTTGGCTGCGGTGGTTGTTTCGTTGTCGCGCGCGCGAGCTCGGAAGCGGTGCCCTAGCTCCGCGCGCCTCGTCGCTCTTCAGTTTGTTTGGACGCACGGTCAGGGACGGTGGCGGGAAATCCTCGGTTCTAGGATCAGGAGGTCAGCACCGTCGTCGTACGTTGTTCCCCCCGCCGCGCGAGCAATATTTTATCCGTGGCAGAGTGTTGAGCGGCCTGATCACGACTGGTTTTGCGTTTGTTTTATCGGTATCTGCCTGGTTGCTTACGAATTGCTTGGAAGCGAATCGAATGTGCATTTGTTTTGGTGTTTTCGGACTTCTATTTTCCCTCATCCGCACGTATGGATGATGAGATGGTGTATTTTTGTTCCTTGTGTCTGTTTTTTGGAATTCTTGGTGTCACATTGGTAGATATTTTAGAACCAGAGTGAATGTTGATCAACATTCTGTGTGGATAATCTACGCTTTGAATTTTTTAATGGAATTATTGGTTATTGGAGAATGAACCTCGTGTAATGTGTCATGAAAAAAGTGCAGCCATTTCGAACGTTGAATATGTTTGTCGTTCTCGTTTAACTCGTCTGACTTGTATGTTTTCCAGTTTTCCATATGTTTTTCTCGTTCATCCAGTCTGAAAATGAGTGTATGTATAACTAACGATAATGTGCAATGCTGCTTCTCATATTTTTTATGTTTTCATTACATGGAAGCTTCTCCGTGTTCATCGCCATGCTCTATCATACCTTACGTGGTTGATTAATTTACTGTTCCATGTTCGTGCTCTATTAGTTCAATAAATCAGTACAGGACCTTCTATAAATGAGTGGCACATAAATTGAGTAATACTCTCCCTTACAGCCTTCTATAGTATAATTGGGTTGATTGACACCATAGAACAAGGAAGGGCTTTTAAACCACAGTGAAGCTGTTCTGGAGTAAAAGTTACTATTAACTGGTGGAGGTGGTTTCAGGCATGTGCTTTATGCAAATTATTTGGTATGGATATTGAGCATTCATTCGTCAAATTGCTGGAGCCATTGACTAGATTGGCACCATTTCGACTGGATACAACTGGGAATCTACATGATCTATCAGCTGGGTGATTAAGAACCATCAGTTGATAATTTACAAGGAAACCGGGTGGGGTAACGTAAAGTTTCAAGGATTCTTATATGTAGGTGAGAAATGTGGAAAAGGACACTTGGTGTGCTTGTGACTGGAATGAGATGTTACCTCGTTTAGAGCCTTCTATGAAATGACAAGAATAGGATGTTAAATTTGGGTTTGCTCTATATATGGCGATTAGCATTCTAACTAAAATTACAGTTCAATTAGCAGAATGGTACGAGCTAAATAATATGACATAAAGATGTGAATAGAAAAGAACTTGTTGAGGTATTCTCCAGTAGTGGTGATGATCATTTTTATATCTTTAAAGCATGTCGGAAACAGTGATGGTTGCAATACTTTTGTTGGGATGCTGATAAAGTTTAGAATGCACTTCAAAGCAATTTCCGACCAAAATACATTAACTGGTTTGTAGGAGAATTTTCTTTGAATACTCTCGATGTCAGCTAATCAGACAGTTCGAGTGCCACAGAAAGTCAAACTAGGAATGTTATTGAAATCTAGGGATCTGTCCACTGGTATCCGAACTAAATTAGCAGGACCACTGCCGAACATATTGTCCAAAAAAAATAGGGATCTATATTTTCTTAAAAGATCCTCACTAAAGTAGAATGGTCGTTAGTGTTCAGACCATATTTAACAAGGCTACCATTTTTTGTTGACATTCGGGGGGTTTTGCAGAAAAATTGGAATTATTTGCATCCGCAAACCTTTGGAATCTCTTCGCACTTTTCCAGCCTCCTGCTTGTTAACAGCAATCTGGGCGCTCTTTTGATGTAAATTCACAAATCCTTGGATTATAGGACTTATGAGGTTCTTTCTGAAATGAATATCTAATTGGACGATACTTCCTATCTAATCCGAAAGATAGAAAGAGCATGGGCAATACACCAAGATGTTTGAGACATGTCTTTCTATCCCTTGGTTTCTTGAAAGAAAATCATCCTCTGATTGTAATATAGGCCGACTGGCGACTGCAAATGCCCATTGTTGGTTCTTTTGTCTTTAAAAGTGACGGATAACCTAAAGTTCCTTTATCATAGAATTCATCGCTTCAAATTTATACTTATTTCTGAAAAATAATTAGGCCTCTTTTATGACTCATGTTGCAGACACGTATATGCATATATCACATCTATTTTTTCATGTTCTATTCTCAATATCCACGATGTTTGACATATTCCCATGCCCAAAAACCTTATATCCACCAAACTTTCGTAAAAAACAGTTAGATAGAATATTTCTTGGTGGGTCTTATTTATTTCATAATGATAAAACCTATTTCGCGAAAACTGTATAATTTCTTCCCAGATGTAGTTTTGATACATCGTCATTCATTTCGTTGCATTTATATTGTAGAAAATGAGACCGTGTATTCACTTTATTCTTTATGCTGTGGGTTTAGTTTGTAATGTCAACTCGAGCTTCAGTTTGGGATGGTTCTCACATATGAAGTTTTATTCTTTTTTGAAATCTTTGTATAAAATACCTGCATATTATATGCAGGCAGTGCCCGTATTATAGCAGAATGGTCGTCTGTTATGCGGTTCTCCTTTTTTGGTAAATGTCTATACAATCAGGTGTGCCATTTATTCCAAGGTATTGGTTGTTTCAATGGGCATGCATGCTCGAGCAACCTTTTTGTCAAGCGTAGACATGGATCTAGAAAATTGGTCAAAGCAGAAAATGAGTCAGATATGTTGGGTTTGCTTGGATGCTGCTGGGACTACAACTCGTGTATTATCCTTGTTATCTTGCCATAAGATGTTTGAACAGCTTCTGAGGGTGAAATTTATGGCCAACTTCTTGAGTTTTATGTTTATTCTCTTTCTTCGCATGTCCTCTATTCTCCATTATTTATTTGCACGGGAAAAGAATATGTAGTCTCTCTTGGTTTAGACATTAGTTTTCCAGTCCTTTCTTGGGCAGAGTACTGTATCCCTTACCTCAATATAGCAATAACTCATAGGAGATTTTTTTCGTTTTTTTGATTTTAAAGGTTTAAAGTGGGGTGTACGTTTCCTATGCTTTACAAGAGAGTAAGTGCGAGAACTTTTATGAAAAAGATTGACGCCAAATTTCTTGATCTGAAAACTTATAGAATGTTAATAATTTTGCAGATTGTATGTTCTTCAGTCATGGGCGAAGCTCCTCGGAAAAGTCCTTCCATGACAAGCTGTCATCTGAAAAGTTTTATGTTCAGAATGCATTTTGTCAGTTGAGAGATGGCGAGATGATTGTGTAGCTTTTCCTATTAGGAAAATGGAGGAGAGGACAAGTGATTCAGGGCCATGTGAACCTGGCCCTACAAACTCTGGTTGGTGGCCCTCGGATTTGTTTGAAAAGTTACAATCAGTTTCATTGGGTTCCAGAGATGGAACATTGACTATTAGGGAACCTGCACATAGTTTGCCGTGTGCTGACTTGTCAGCCCATGCAGCATCTCAAGCTCTATGGGCCACTGGAACGTACTCTGGAGTAATACCCAATGGATTTTACTCTGTCATCCCGGTGAGTAACAGTTTATGCCTTTTTGTTTAACTTTTAATGATTGATGGCAATCAATTGGCCCAATGGCTTGCTATGATCTCTGTTATTTAGCAACCTTTTGATTTTCAGTTAGTGTTTTTCTGTTCTTTCAAAAGTCTACGGTTCGAGTGTCAATCACGATAGTTTTAGAAACCTTTTTGTGCATAATATATCCAAGTCATGCAGTTGGACTGGTTAACTATAATCTTTGACATATTTTGATTTGTGCTATTGTGCCGCTCATGTCCCCATGTTTTTACTCAAGCTTCTTCTGTTATATTCAATTACATCTGTTTACTATTCTGTTATTTTTCTTTTTAGTTTTCAGTCGGAGATCTTGGAGTAGTTGATTTTCTGTTGCAAAGATTGAGTGTGGTTGGGCAGTTTTTACCTTCTCAACTTTAAATGCTGGATTATATTTACCATATTTTTGTCAGTTCATAATGAAAACGGTTGATGATTCACTATTTTGGATACGTGTACTATTATTGTGAAGTAGATGTGTTTGATGGATAGTACTTGCACATAATCATTTGTATGTCCTCTAGTTGATTATAGTCTATCTCCCCCTTTGGTGGGCTTATGTTGAACTTCCCTGTAGAGTGCCATCTCCAATCTCTACAATGCGTAGTTCATGGAATTTGTTGATTATAACCAAATTAGTTAACTTGGATCAGTATTAGCCCTTAGTAATCTGATTTCTTGCGGAAACCGATTCAAAGGGTTATTGATCTGACTCGTGTGAGTTAATGAACCTATTAAGATTGGATCAGTTATTGGTACCGCATGACTGCAGCGGGTATTTCCGAGGACTGAAGCTATAGACCTTGGGACACCCGCAACTTAGGTCTTTTACATGTTTTAAGTTAAGCAGTAGTATTAGCTTTATAGAACATTTTCTCAACAATTTCACTTTCATCTTTGTGCAGGAAAAAAAGTTCAAGGAGGATTTTGACACGATTCCTTCGCCCGATGACCTCTCTTCACTTGGCGTAGAGGGACTTAAGGCGGAGGTCATTCTTGTTGACATGGAAAAGGATAAAAAACTTTCGATGCTAAAGCAGTTAAGTGCCGCACTAGTGAAAGGGCCAAACGCAAATCCAGCTTCAATTATTAAAAAAATTGCTGGACTGGTGAGTACTTTCCCCGTGCTGAACACATGCTAAAACACAGAATTAATGAAACACTTTTTCTCTCTTGTTTCTATGGCATGTTTTGGACCTGATTATGCACTTCCATTTTGTGTATTATTTGTTTCATTTACAAACCATTGGATTATATGGATAACTCTTTCTAGATAAGTAGTGGAGAACGTCTATGGTTGGAAGCCAATATTTGTTACTTGAGGGATAATAGTTGGAGAATGCCTTCAAAATGGAAAGAGAGAGTATCAATGTCTGGTAGAGATTTTGATCGTAGCATCTGATTAAAGAATGATGAATTGACTGGGAAGATGGGGTACTTAATTTCCAACATTCATTGGTGGAAAATGTACAATGATTCGGTAAAAGAAAGAAAAATTATGCTAATAGTTCATGTCATGGACACGTGTAGGTTGATCATGGAAAGTGCTACTAAGTTTGTGGATAACCAGCTTCATACACCCGCCGTGCTAGTTTAATATGAAGGTACTATCGCATAATTCATCTCCAACTTATATGAGTTCATATGGATTGGACTTGGCAACTTGGAAAACCACTTTTATCTTCAACAGTCAAACTACCTACCGCTCGATTTTCTCTCATCTCTGGGTAGGAGCCTTCTATCTGTTTAAAGCTGATCCGTTTCCTGTTTTGGGGTCACTTCCTCTACATTATAGTACTCAGTCACCTATCTTAATATTGACTCCTTTCTCATCCTTCTCTGGATGTATTCGAATCCCTATCAGCTTCCTTATATCAAAATGGCCCCTCTGCTGCAGATTAGCATGGTATATGCATCATTTGGATCTAGTCTTCTCAATATTGAATTAACTGCATGAAGAGAAGGCTTTTCCTTCCATGCAACCAAAATTCGTGACATCCGACTCTATTTGCAGCTTCTGTCTGATATTTACAAATATTCTTTTGATAGTTAAAACTTGTGTTCGAATTAGATCACAACTATTTCTTAAATATTTATTTATGGCAGCAAAGTTTACTGGTGACCTCAGCATTGAATAAATGGTCCATACCTCTTGAAGTGGTTCGAGGTGCTGCAGAGCACCATGGCCTTGCTTTGCTGTCAGACGAACGTGCCAAATATCTCAGTGCTTGTTTCTTCACTGGGATTTCTCTTTCCCCATCGGGGTAGAACCTTCCTCCATGTGTCTATATCCACCCTTCCCGTTGCCCCATTGGCTTCCATCCTTCCAAGCATCTGTGATTCTGGGTTCTGGAGATTTTCATGATTATTTAGATTTAAATATCGTGATCTAATTGCATATGATCTCACCATTTTTATGAAATATATTCGTGTCACTGCATTCTCTGTTTGGTGAAATAATTTCGTGAAGTTTGTCCTTTTCCTGTTTTATTTTTTGTCTGAGAAGATGACATACTTATTATGTTTAGTCAGAAAAGGGTTGTAATGTTCTTGCCTCGGTTCTATTCCCCCTTATATTGTGGATATTATAGGTGTCTGACTTCTATAGACGCCCGAGTTCAGACCAAAGCCCTGCGAAATCTGGCTCAGAGGGAATTCCTCACTTGCAAGAAAATAAAGGGATTCAGCTCTTAGGTCAAATACGTCATGGTTCATGTCGCCCGCGGGCAATTCTTTTTAAGGTTTTGGCTGATGCTGCTGGCCTTGAGAGCAGACTCACAGTAGTAAGTTCATTATCTTTTCCGATTTATGCTACCCAGCTTAATGTTCTGCCTGTACTTGTGACTCAAAGACTAGTTCTCTTTCTTTTTCTTCAGAATAAATCCTCTTCGCCCTCGCCCTGTTTGTTTCTTTTGGTTCCGAAGTTATCTGTGTCACTTTCTTCCCCATTTTCCTCCCTTTCCTCTTTTCTGAGCCTTCAGCTTTTTAATAATTATAGAACCTAGCCTGAAGAATATTACTGATCTTCAGAGGAGCAAGATTTAATGCTTTTTCTAAATCTTTTGCAGGGCCTGCCTAATGATGGTGTTTCCGAGTTAGCTGACTCCTATAGGCATATGTCAATTGCAGTTCTTTTAAATTCAGTGGAATTGTTAGTTGATCTCATGAGATTTCCCGGTCAGCTAATTCCATTTTCAGCCAGAGCAATTGTTTTATCTCACATTTCAACAGCGGTAGAGAGTGACTCAGCAGAGAACGACTCATGCGATTCTCCTCTTGAACCTAATAGTCCTTCGTGTGGATTTTCAGAGAGATTATATGGTGACTGGTATGTTCTGTACTCATGTTAGAGAAATTCTAATGGGAGCATTCTTATCTTGGGATGCACTTTCTCTAATGATTGGTCTGTTCACGCTTCATCACGACAATATTCCTTCAGTGTTTTATGCTGCTAAAATATTCTTCTGTTGTAGATAAGTACCTTTTTGTGCTCATGCTATTAAACCGAGCATACTATATTTTTTATTGGTTTGCTGAAGAATTATTCAGTTTTCGTGAAAATGGAAGTTTTACTCTCATATATTTTCCTCAAGGTTAGTGCATAAAACGATAAGTTATTATTCCAAATTCTGGCTTCATTGAGTTGTCTTTTGATATCCATGGTGTATCTATGTTGATTGTTCAAACACACGAAAGCATCTTGTATGTGGTCCTTCTACGAGGCTAAGAAGGATGCATCGTGCACACTGGAATCCTAAATTTGCGGTCAGATGTTCGTAACCGGACAAATCTTTGGCAGATCTAATCATGACAGAAAACTGGCCTTTTCACATGGTTGCCTTTTCAGAGGAAATGGTGAGGAGAAACCTAAAATAGAAATGCAAGGGGAAGAAAAAGAAAGAAAGGGGAATGGGCAACTGAGGAAGATGAACGACAAAGTAAAACAGGAGAGAAAAAGAAAGGGGAAGAAACCGACCAAGGTGCCTGGCTTTCAGAATGGCCAATGTAGATTGGAATCAGTGGGTTCTTATTAGTTAGATGTGGAAAAATGCTATCGTTTTTTTTTCACGTTGATCCACCAGTTTTAAGTCGCTGCAAGCTGCGTCTTGGTCTTTCAAATTGTTATTTTATTGAATTTTATTTTTTTACATATTTGGCCCAATTGGCCATTTCCCCTTGTAGTACTCTGCCGTGATCTAAGATTGGGTTCCATTATCGACTCTACCAACTTTCGTAGTAAGGAGAAATTCTCTTCTTTTGGTGAAGTGATGAACGAAAGTTTTCTAAAGTACTCCATTAATCTCCATGAAAAATATATTTTTTGTAAAGTGCTTCGTTAATGTCCTTGCATAATACCTTAAGATAAATCCTCCCAGTGGTATTATTAAGGATATAATATCAGTGAATGTAGTTTTACTTGCAGCCTAATTATTTTTTTGTTATGGTAGCGGTGACCAAGGTGAGAACCTTCAGTCAACATATCAGCGGAGAGTTGAGGCATCATCAAATGCATCTGTTGCACCATTGCGAAATTTGATGTTGAAGCCCCTGGGCTTTGCTGAGGGAAAGTTAAGGTAAGATTTATTATTTTAGCAATGTTATCATTCATTTGTTATTCTTTTTTTTATTTTCATCTCTCCCCGTACTTTTTATGTGTTGTATTTTTTATGTATGTTACTTTCGTTGTATCAGCTCATCTCACAGTGAACCTAATATAGCAAATGCTTTCTGGCGGCGCAGCCGCAGAAAAGCTATTGCTGAACAGCGTGCATCGAGTTCAAGGTTTGCATCTTTATTTATTTCTTGAATTTTTTACGTTCATTCCGTAATTGATTCGGTTTGTGAACTATTAATCAAGTAACTGTATTGTTGCTGGGGCATTGCCATTTGAGGCACTTTGAGATTGATTGTTGTAGAACTCTCATATTTTTAAAAATTACTGACAGCCGTCTACATTTCTAACAGCTCAAATAGTTTTACGATGCATGGACGATATTTTATATGTAATTTCGCAGGACATTTCAATTTATGAATTTACCCCTAGTTTGGGTGGAACGAGGTTAACGGATGAGCCCGTGAACCTTGCCAGCAGGTCCCACTTTGGGAACTTGTTCTGTTTAGCCAATTCCCTTGCATGAACAAATGAGGTTCTGAGCGCAAAACCTTACCGCCGTCATGAGGCAGTGTCATTTTGAGAACCTATCCTTTTAATTTCTCGAGTCTCATGACACGATTTTTTGTAGCTCGTATGTAAATGCTTACTCTTTTCTTCATGTAGAGTGCATTCTTGTACCTGTCAAGTACTTGTACCTATGTTTTGTTCATAATTTATTTGGTGTGACAAATGTATCTATTATATGCATTTCGCTATTACCAAAAAGCGGAATAGGCCGGAGTACATATACTGATGCATCAGGAATTCTGCTATATGAAAAATCTATTGTACTTTCTTTTAAATAAAGGTGCCTGTGGTCTAAAATTCCTGTTTCCATCCCCTTTCTTTTACGGATGCAGCCCAGAACACCCTTTGTTCAGAGCGCGGGGAAGATCCATGCTTGGTGGTGAGAAACACTCATACGGAGAATATGCAGATGGTGTAGCTTCATCAAGGTCCTTATTGCAAATGATGCTGTCGTTAATGTGTCAGTTTAGTATTGAAATTAATTGGTATTTAGTGCCATTTTCATCATTTTATGCCTGCGTGTTTGAAAGTCATTGTTGGGTAGGATCTAATAAAGATGACGAGCAGAAGTCGTTACTGTCCATTAGTTTGCGTGTACCAACAGTTTGTCTCTGTGAAATTCATTTTTCATAAAGTTCAGTTTCGTACTTTTAACACATTCTGACGACAATACTTCATGATGATCATGATTTGCCTTAGTTTATCGCTATCGGTTTGCATTTTTTAACGACCTGTTGAAGATCACAGTCATGAAGGTCACAGTTTCATTCTCATATTGAAAATGTGCATTTCCCATGGTTGGTTGTGGTCTCACTTTTCATTGTAGGTTTTCATGGAAGATCGAGTTCAGGAAAAAACTTGTACTTTGTCTTGCTTTCCCCTAGAAAATATCTTGCTCAATGTGTACTGAATTCATTTATCTTTTACACTGTTTCGGTGGGACATGTGTGGCATCTAAACAGGGGAGATAGGAGATCCATGAACATAATATATTAAACCTTTGCATGAGGCATGAATCCCTATCCACCATTTGGCCAGTTCATGTAATTATCTTGATTTCTCCTAAGTTAGTTGTAAGAATACTTGACGTCCTGGTATATGTGGATGGTGAAATAGTCTTACCCGGAAGAGGAAAGTTTGATTTTACGCTGGATTATGGAAGCCAATCAGAAACCATGATATTCCCTATGCATGAAAGACCATTCATCTCGAATTGTGTTAGAGCAGTTCATACAGGACAAAATGGGGCCTAACCTTCTGTCTACACTTATTTATGTGTCAGAATGCAGGGCTAATTATCCTTCCGATGTGTGACAGTGCAATCAGGTTTCCATATGTTCAGTTGTAGCAAGACTGTACTGAGGATTTTAGATTGGTAGTGCATTGGACGATGTAACACTTTTTTTCCTGTGACTCTGGGGTGTACGACTTTGCAAAGCATCTGATCAAATGGTATAACATATCTAGGATTTCACTGGATGGCTACTTAGTTTGGGGCGTATTGTGAAAGCCTAGTGATCGTTTTCATGCAGGAAGCATGTGCCGTGGTAAGATTGGTATGAGCAGGAAGGCACCAAAGGCTGTATGGTACGACCACACTTGAACTGAAGTACAACCTTAATAGACGTGGACAATGTTACACGGTTAAACAGTGCATGTTGCCACATTTCAAAAGACATTTACTCGTGGCACAATGCCAAGTGGCATGTGGGCCACAACTGGGTAGGATTCAGTGCAGGACCTGGACAGGCATGTACATGAGAGAAACACGCCGTAGGTAATGCATGTAGCGTACATGCCATGAATAGTTGTGTATGTTTCAGAAACTTATGGAGAGCCATTGGGAAGGTATCTATTAAGCAATCAATAGAAGGCATAATCACCAAAAGACTCTCAACGGGCCATCTCACTTCAGGTTTACACAATTCAAACTTGAAAGACATGCTCAGGTTGAGGGGATATGTCGAAGATCAGGTTATTAGATACTGGGACCTAATTACGTGAACCTGAATATTATTTATCTGGGTATATCCATACGTCAGGATACAATAGCTATTATTTTATTAGTTAGTTATATTCTCACAGAGCAATGTGATAATAGTAGGGAACGTTGGATTTAGTTCGAAGTTCCAAATCTTATATGAGTAGATATTGCATGGTTGGCATGGTAGCACAGGGAATCTTCACCAGTGATACTGGAAGAGAGTTTCTTGTCCTTACCGGAAAATAGCGACCTTTGTCTGGCGAAAAGATGGGTTTTTTTGTTCACGCTTTTTCATTAAGTGAAAATAAAAGTATAAGCATCCATGTAAATCTGTAGTGCATGGTGGTCAATATAGCAACCATTTACAAAATAAGTTCTCATTGGCTAGCTAAATTTAAAATCAACTTTTTTTTTTCGTAGTGTTCTTCTAAAATATGTAACGCTGTTATACCACACGGACACGTCAGAAACTCTGAGGAAATCCTGATCCCTTAACCTAAAAACAAGAATCTAAGATTAACGATAGTCCAAAAGTCTTGTGTTGCTATTCTCAATCTGGTTCTTCATTCTGGAAAATATGCATTCACCTGATTCACAAACTTTCCGAAAGATAGCTTGAGAGTTTTGTGTCATTTAAGTAATGTTGGGCCGGCATTAGACCATCACTTACGGAAATGCAAAGTTAGTTGATTCCTCTTTGGGTTGTGATCGCCTGAGCTGATCTCGTTTTGAAATGTGCTGGTTGAGACCAGCGAGAACGACCATTGTCCTTGCCTTACCTGGTCAGTGTCTTCCCTCTTGGTCGATGTTGATCTTGGTTGGATTTTGGGGGGTTGGCTAACGACCCTGGTCAGTACCCTCTCTCTTGTGCTTTGACGGAATGTCATTGATTTTGAGTGCATGAACCAACCTATTCCTTTTATCCATGCTGATACTTGGGGAATCTTTTGAGGATTTTCAGTCTGTTTTAATTCGTCCTTAACTAATTGGTGGCCTGTTATTATGTGAATCGGTTTTTGCGAAGAGATAGGGCGTTTATATCATAAATTTGCACAGGTCAGATGGTGCATCGACATCTGATACTCGTCGAACAAGGCGTCGAAGCATTAGTATGACCCCAGAGATTGGCGATGATATTGTGAGGTTGGTTGCTCATAGTGGCTTTGGTTTCTTTAAATTCCTTGGTTTTTTTTCTCTATCAATGCCTGCTTATAGTTCCTATAACAAAAAATCGGGCTTATGCTTCTTTCTCCCTGGAACTCCCCTTTCTTTTGACCAACGGGTCCATGATGAAGTATCTACTTTCATAGTCACTTAAAATCTTTTATGCCATTTGAGCTTGAAATTTTCTGTTTCCGATCTTGTCTTATTGATTGAATTCACTCAATCAATTATGTTCTAGCGTAACTGTGAGAGTCTTATATTGACAGGATAGCAATTTCTGTGCATCATGAATGACATTGTTTAGCCATTAGCTTTTTAGGCCGGAGTCTCTCTTTTGTATGATCAATCATGATGAGAACGAAAAACCTAGTGGCAGCTTGTGGTTTAGAAAATCTTATGTTTTCGTCTATGGAATATATTTTGGATTGATATTAGCTTCCGGACTGGGTTTTCAGTTGATTGTTCTTCCATGCGAATTTCAGATGTAGTTTTCTATTTCGAAAGTATTTGAGGAAAGGCCAGATAGCTCAGTTCCTGCTGAACAGTGAGTAATGAAATGGATTCCAACCTCATCCCGTGCAGATCTGTTGTTGGGGAAATTAGAGTTTGATCCTGTGCTGATCTATTTCCCATCCCCACCTCCCCTTTCAACCCCAGCGGCGAATCTTTTTGGCGGAAAGATAGATAAGCTGAGTTTTGATGAATCTAGTGTTATATATATTGGGGTAGTAATGTCTTGGAAAATAATAACTTCTAAAGCGACGGAGCAACTGTCAGATCTTTTCTGGTGACTTCCAGATGCAAGGAAACGGGTCTTGTGGATCCCACTGTTAAATATGTGGAATTACGTTTGCGTGATCTTTAGGTTTGACTGTATGATGTGTATAGAGCATACCAAGAATCACCCCTCATTTGATATCTTATTTTCTCTCGTGTCAGTGTCTTTAATTTATGGAACTTTCTTTGAAAGATTGGATATCCCTTGAGGCTGCTGCTTCTTGTTCATGTGATGAGCATTCTTGTTTGGTTCTGAGTTTTTATTGTAGCATAAGCTTCTACTAGAAGCCAATGCTGCCTCAGTGTTTTAATTTCCTCCAGCCTTACAAAATATTGACGGTAACCTCTTGTAACATTTTTACAGGGCTGTTCGAGCAATGAATGAATCATTGAAGCAGAACCGCAGGATACAGGACAAAGATAATGAAGGGTCCATTGCATACTCAGATGACAAGGGCAATTGTGATGACCTTTGGAAAGATGTACGTTCTCTTTCAGTGCACTGCATCCCTACGTTGATGTCACTGTTTTTCTTGCTAAGTGATTTCTGATTTCTCTTGCCATATTTCCTCTTCATCTGATTTAATAAAAGGAAACTAGTGTTGACCAATGTATATCAGTCGATTTCTGAGTTTAACTGTCTATGGCCTGAGCATCATTGTGTTTGGTATTTGTTGATTAACCCCTCTTCCCTCGTACCCTTACTGAACCATCCTGCCTCATTCTGGGTGCAGGTTCAGATATCCGCATCTCCATGGTTGTAACTAAGGGATAGACTCTTACATTTGGCTGTTCACGCACTAGATTGTCTTGTCCGATCATTCTCACTTTGTTATAGCCACGATACTGGCAACTTAGAATGTTTTTACTGACCATCGTAAGCCGTTTTATCTGTTTCCAACTGTAGATACATAATTAGGTATAAGTATGTGCAACTGATCTTTGTCTAGAAGGCGTTCATTTTAAAAAGATGTCTAGGGGGAATTAGAGCCATGCTACGTCTGAAAATATTGTTTGCTTGTGTGGAATGTGGTTTTGTGCGAGCCCTGTTCATGTGTGTGATCACCTTTTGCTTGTCATAGTGATATCCTCGTGCATTGATTTGGATTAAGTTCATAACTAATGTCTCAGAAAAGATACTCCCTGATGGTGATACTTTCTTCTGTTATGAACCTCTACTGTCAGTCGTTTCATTTCCAGAACTATTATTACTCGTTGATGACCCGAAATATCAACTGAAGAAAGACCGAGTGATATTTATGAATTTTAAAGCTCATAATTAAACCTGACCGAGTGATAACACGCGTGCAAACACTTCAAAAGTTCACCGGAAGCTAAACCAGGAAATTATTGTTGTTTGAGTACGACAAGTTGTGGATCGATGAGACAAGGATCTTTCGTAAATTGTAACCTTGATTGGATTTTTTACTTAACAAGGTCATAAACTAACTTCTTGGTTTGTAGATTTTATAACTTCTGCTTCTTACCATTTTACTCTAAATAGCATGCCTTTCATCAGTTTGAAAAGTATTATAGTCGAGAGTCTAAAATTCAATAGAAATATGAATCGATTGAGGAACCCGACATGCTGATACTTGACGCGAGAAAAACGTCAGAGAACACGATGAAAATAATATTTATAACCAATAACGAGCACTTTTAACATTAAGTGTAGAATTGAGTGCTGTTTGGATGAAAAAATGCAGACTTTGGGTGCCCTCAGTCCTGCATTTCTCCTTCGAATTAGGTATGCTCGAAAGTTTCTTAAACTAGCCCTAATGAACTCACGTGCAACTCATATCGTATGTATGTATTGCATCAAGGGTGTGGAATCTAACAGTTCTAACAGACCCCACAGCCGTGTCCTGTATGGGACACGCCCAAAACTGATTGGTGCGTTATTTTGGAACTGGGCTTGTAAAAGACAGCTACCATCTATAAGATATTCCTGTGAATGTCTAACTGTAGCATGGCAAATGTAAGCTGCTTTCGCATCTATCTTTCAAGCCTTTTCAATTGATGGTCACTTGTTTCCCACGTGACATCTGCTCGTAGTTAGATAGGGTGACAAACGTAGCATGCATATTATACTTAGCTCGTTATTTATTTATTATTCCTTTCACTTTTGTTGTATTTATTGTGATCGTAAAGCCAAACAATAATTATTCCTTTCTTGTTTCTGTTTCGTAGCCCTTCCATGTTTCTGAATGCTTTGATACCAAAAGTTACATGGACTAAAGAGCTTGAATTTCTCGTTTTTTTCAGTCTCCAAGTTATCAGTTGGAAGGTCACGCCTATATATCTTCTCCATACATTCATTCTAGAAAGCAAAATAGTACTGGCCAGAAGGCAATATCATTGCCTTCTTCTCCCCATGAATTCAGCACTCAGAGTTCCCAGGGAATTGGTGCTTCAGGCTTGTTGACAACTGAAGATATGGTTTCAGTATGGGATAAAGTGTTGAAATCCTCGCCCTTCCTAAATAAGCCATTATTGCCATTTGAAGAGTGGAATATTGATTTCTCAGAGTTAAGCGTTGGCACGCGTGTTGGTATAGGTAAGCATTTTGATTGGGTGAGGTATTTTCTTTGTAAATAAATATCCCATGCAAATCTTATATGTCAGCTACGTTTTCTGGTTACTTCATCATCTCGATTTTCATTCAGTAGCGTGTTATCTTTACTGCAAAATTGGTAGTGCCACAATTGGCACGCTCCCGTTTCTTTTTATACGACATTTTTTTTTTCGCGGGGGTGGGCGAATTTGACACCTCGGAAAATGAGTCTCTAGTCTTTGTTTTTCTAGATGGAAGGTCCCAGATTTCCCTAACAGCGTTTTATCCTTGTTATAAAGCCAGACATCCTGGCTTCATAATCCGAGCTTATTAGATATTAGATGGACAGGGATTGTACAGAGAAAAAGGAATTTCATCAATACAGCCCAACGTAGTTGAGCATGGATGCTGTCAGCTGTTCTAACTCGCAGATGTTGCGTTTAATGCACATCGGAGTGCTTTATGAAAATTGCATGCGAACGATTTCCTTTCCCCTTTAGGCTCACAACTGTCTAAGGAGTAGCCACCGCCTTGGTTGTGCCGTATAATTGACAGAATCTGTAGCAACCTCCTTTTATCTGGCTGGAACCGTTAGCCGAAACAAAGTAGGAGAGAACGAAGTCATGGTATGAGAGGAATGCCGTAGATATTAATACGAAATTGATCGTTTCACGGTCTTCCTCATCGCTCCTCTCATATATAGACTGATATTCATCCCGTTGAATCCATGTTTTCTCCTCGTTAGAAGTCTTTCTATTTGTATTCTCTGCCGGGAACATGGAAATGGCAATAATAATTATGAACGCTCAAATATTTCAAATGGAGGGTTCTTCGGAGAGGTTTTCCGGGGGATCTGGAACGGCACGGATGTCGCCATCAAGGTCTTTCTGGAGCAAGATCTGACCCCTGAGAACATGGAAGATTTCTGCAACGAGATATCCATACTGAGGTACGGACCCATTTTATCGACAGCAAACAGACTTGCTCTCTCGCACATCGCTCTAAGCTTCTATTCTGACCTCGTCTGCCCTCTTCTCTTCGTTGTTTCAGTCGCCTCCGGCATCCGAACGGTACTTTCCTCCTTGCCCAGGAACACACCCACCCGCTCTGTTCTTTCCTATGAATCACCCGTTTGCCCTCGGAATGACTGTAGTTTCTGCTCTCCTCCCGCAGTTATTCTGTTCCTCGGGGCCTGCATGAAGCCTCCCAAGCTGTCAATGATCACCGAGTACATGGAGATGGGCTCCTTGTACTACCTCATCCACACGACCGGCCAGAAGAGCTTGAGCTGGCGCAGGAGGTTGAAGATGCTTCGTGATATCTGCCGGTGAGAGCTCTTCCATCTCCTCATCCTCCTTCCAGCTGCTGCTCCTGGAAGGTATTCATTGGAGAGATTCATTCTGATTGTTCATCTGAGGTAACTGCAGGGGGCTGATGTGCATCCACCGCATGAGAATAGTTCACCGGGATCTGAAGAGCGCCAACTGCCTGGTGAGCAAGCACTGGACCGTGAAGATCTGCGACTTCGGGCTCTCGCGGGCGATGACCGGCTCCTCCCCCATGAGGGACGACGCCTCCGCCGGCACGCCCGAGTGGATGGCCCCGGAGCTCATCCGCAACGAGCCCTTCTCCGAGAAGTGCGACATCTTCAGCTTCGGCGTCATCATGTGGGAGCTCTGCACCCTCAGGCGCCCCTGGGACGGCGTCACCCCTGTTCAGGTGGGTCTTCCTTCTCATCCGTCCCTCCTCTTCCTCTTCCTCCTCTTCCTCCCTCATTCCCTCTGTTTCTTCAGGTCATTCACTCGGTGGCCAACGAAGGCACGCGATTGGAGATCCCCGACGGCCCCTTGGGGAAGCTCATCTCTGGTCAGCCCCCCCTTCATTCTCATCTTGCTGATTTCTGCTGTTTTCCTTCGCCATGTTAATGACCTTGGTTGCGTCCTCGCCTCCGCAGATTGCTGGGCGGAGCCCGAGGAGCGGCCAAGCTGCCAGGAGATCCTTTCCCGCCTGCTCGACTGTGAATACACCCTCTGCTAGGTTCCACCCCCGTCGTGCCTTGTCTTGTACAGCGAGAAGAAGCACCCAATGGTCGGCTTGAGTTACACTTTTGCCTTCTCTGTCTTTGTATTCATCCATCCATCCAACCCCGCAGAGAGAAAAACCCAGGGGGAGAAGAAGCAGCAACAGCAGAGGGCTGTAATGAGTTCTCGATCGATACGAATTTTGCCCACACCGTTTTGGAATCTGCGGAGCCCGCCACGATTGATTTTATTCCCCAAAAAAAAAAAAACAAAAAATCAATGGCTCCCTCCGTTCACTGGCGTCCTCGGCATTTGTCTCAAGCCTTGAAGGGAAGGAAGGAAATGAGGTGGGTCAGTCGGGGATGATGCGGCGGTTGAGCGCGGCCTCGAAGCGGCTGGTGGAGTCGACCCGCATCTCCGTGCTGGCGTCCCCCTCCGGCGCCGGGTAGTAGTCCTCCCTCAGCTGCACGTCCCTGATGGTGGGGAGCTTCAGGAGGAAGTTCATGAAGTGCTCGTGAGCCGTGCCATGGATGAACAGCTTCCTCAGGGCAGTGCACTGCGCCAGCTGGCCCGCCGCCGGCAGCGACACCCCCCGCTGGTTCATGTCCTTGTCCTGCGGCGGCCAATAGTCCAGCTCTTGTAGCCCCTCTAATTCGCCGATCCTCCACAGGTAGAACCGCTCCCAGAGGCTCAGATCTATCTGCCCCATGGGCGCCGTGAGCGCGTACCCCTGCGCCTCCCCGCAGTCGAGCTTCATCTTCCTCAGCCGCGTGTACCTACTGAGGGAATCCAGCCCGAAGAATCTCCCCTGGTTCGGCTTCGCACACCTCCGGCAGTCTCCTTCCACCTTGATGCAGATCTCCTCCAGCTGCGGGCAGCTCTCCAACCCCGCCTCCACAAGTGGGTCCAGCACCTCCCCCACCGGCACCCACAGTGACAGCCTCCGGAGCCGGCTCCACGTCCTGCACCAGAACCCACCCTCCCCTCCTTCCTCCTCCGGGCCGGCGAGCTCTGGTGCGGAGTCCCCCCGTCTCTTCTTCACTCGGTATTCGAGATCGGCCTCGAGTTCTTCTTCTTCCGGCGGAGGATCTGCCGGCGAGGTCTCCGATCCCGGGGCGGCGGCGTCCCACACGCAGTCGAGGTGGAGGCTCTCGACCCGGTCGCGGATCGGCTCCACCGACCAGAGCGACCGCGCGGCGGTCAGGCGCCGGCAGCCAGCGATCCTCACCTCGACGAGTGTCCCTCGGCGGTTGCTCACCAGCCTCCGGATCCCCGCCTCGGTGACCTCCTGGCACCCCTCGATCTCCAGCTCCGCCAGCCTCGAGCATCCCCTCCCGATCGCCACCAGACCCGCGTCCGTGAGGTCGCCGGCGTTCTTCACGGCGAGCCTTCTCAGCCTCCCGCACACGGCAATGCCGTCCAGGTGCAGACCCGTCGCCCTGCAGATCCCCTGGAACTGTCCCAGCCTCAGAGCTTCCATTCTCGGGCACCTGCTGTTCAAAGTCTCCAGCACCGGCCCTGCGTCGCACACGCCGGGGTAGACCTCCAGGGCGAGGTCCTCCAGAAGGGGAAGTCCGGCGAACAACTCCTCCAGCGCCCGGTGGGAGATCCTCGAGTCCTCCGGCGGCACGCCGCCGTTCTCCTCACCGCCGGCCCTCGAGGAGGAGAGCGCGGAGGTGTCCACCAGGTGGAGCAGCGAGAGGCGGGGGCAGTTGGCGGCGAGCCCCAGCAGGGCCTCCTCCCCGACGAACCCGATCAGCCTTGGGTTGAACACGCAGGAGGCCCGGAGATGGCGGAGGTTGGGGCAGGCGGCGGAGATGGCGAGGAGCTCCCGGGAATTGAACCCCTGATCGGAGGAGAGCCCCAGCAGGTCCAGGCGGATCAGCGAGGCGGCGGCGCGGGGACAGGCCCGCAGCGCCGGAGGCAGGTCCTCAGTCCAGCAGTAGAAGTTGGAGAGGTCGACCGAGAAAAGCGAGCTACAGTGCTGCAGGAGCGGGACGAGCTCCGTCCCGACTTCGGAATTGGGCCGCTGGTGCCAGCGAATGAGCTTCACCTCGCGTAGCCGCGGCCACTGCGGGCCGAGGGCGGCGACCACCGCGGGGATCCGGGCATATACGGTGAGGGAGGTCACCGCAGGGAACGCCTGCCGGAGCCGGTGGGCGATCAGCTGGTTCCCGTAGTGGCGGAGCTCATCGTCCTCGTCCTCGTGCTGGTGGTAGACGGGGAGCAGGGAGGAGCCCCAAGGCGAGAGGAGGGAGAGGTCGAGGTGGGTGACCGATTGAAAGCAGGTGGGCACGAGTAAGAGATCCCGCACGTTGCCGCGCAGCGCCAGCGACGATCGGGTGGCGCGGTCGACCTCGAGCCACCGCCGGCACACCAGCGCCATCGCGTTCCTCGTCCTCGTCTCCTCTACCGCCGTGAAGATGCTGTGGAGGATCACCTCCGGCAAGTCGCTCAGCTGCTTCCCCCCTCCGCCGCCGTCCGCCATCCCTCTCGACTACACTCGGCCGTCGCTGGTCGGCTTTACCCCCAATTCATCTCCCCCATCGACCTCCGAAGCGCGCGGAGGAGCGGCGCCGCCTGCCCGTGGGGCGGCGAAGCGAGAATCTGCCGAAGAGGCAGCAGAAAGGGGGCAGCGAGGTCAGGCCGAAGCAGGTCGCAGAGAAAGAGATAGAGATGTGGAGAGGGTGGATTTTTGTCGCCACATGGTGTGCCATGTGATCATGAACCAGTTTTAGCCCTTACCGCTCTCTCTCTCTCTCTCCGCTGAGGGGCCGCGACGTGTCAGCTGACGTCGGGATTTCGTCGAAGGACAGGGTATTGGAGCTCTGTCATTAATTCTGCAACTGACACGTACCCGCTCCGCAGGTCTGATTCCCCCGCTTCCTAATTTATTTAACGGCCGGCGTCTGCGCCGTTTAACCCACTCGACGGCCGCCACGGGGTTGCCGGAGTTGGCAGGACTCGCAGCGCCGTCATCGACCCTGTGGCCCACCCCCCTTCCCCTCCTTCTTTCCCCATTTTCTCCCACACCTCAAAAGCGACCACTTTCTCCCCACCCCCCTCCCCCCCTTCTCTCTCTCTCTCTCTCTCTCTCTCTCGCTCTACTTTTGTCGTTAAAAATGGCCAATAATTGTGGCCACTCACAACGCGCGCGGCGGCGCGGAGTCGTCGCCGCCGCCGGGACGGACCCTGGAGAGACTGTCGTTCGTGAGCTCTCTCCCCCCCTCCCCCCCACGAGCACCAGAAGCGGAGATGACGGCAATCGTGGAGGGGTTCCCCGCACTGAGAAGCCGCCGCCAGTGGCCGCCGTCGAAGGCAGCCCTCCCCCGGCCGCTCGCCGTCCACGACGTGGCCCTCCGGATGCTAAAGGGGCTCAGAAAGCGCGGCTCTGCAGACTGGTTAGAGATAGAGAGAGAGAGAGAGAGAGAGAGAGAGAGAGAGAGATGAGAGGTTCCTTATCCTGTATGAGAGGCCGCGACGACCCCCCGCCGGTGCGTCAGGGTCTAATTTCGTGCTCCGTGCAAGTGTGTACAGAGCACGCGGGGGCATTTTCACAAAACGTATCCTGTTCATAGAAAAAGGCATGCCACGTGTTTGTACTCACAGCCGCTCCTTGAATTCTGGCATATTATTTTACTAAATATATTATCGCTCCTGATTAAAGGAACATGCCTGATCTTAAAATCTAGCCCTATTGGTAATCAGCTCTAGATTTTAGGGCCTTTTCTTACAGTATATATCCTTAATAAATATATTAACAAGATATTTAGGTCCTTTTCATTTTTACTAATTATATTTTGTAATGATTACTTGTGATTGGCCTCCTCCTCAAGATATTGAGACTTCTTATATTTAAATATATATTTAAATATATATTGTTCACAAATAAGGGAAATGACACCTGTTAGGTTCTAGCACTTGGACCATACTACCCTTCCATAATTAGCATTTACTTAATAAATGTTGGTGGTAAAATAAGATGTTAGAGTCTAGCACTATCGATGACCATGATTGGACTCCCCTTCTAGAATTTTCTAGAATTGTTCATAAACATTGGGCATTAAATAAGGGTGACCATCTCTTCTCATTGTGTTCGAACTACTATTTTGGGTGTTTTTATATACACCTTTATTAAAAATCAACGTTGACCATACAAATGGGGGAAAATTAATTAGGGCGTGGGTTGACCTGATATCAGAAATGGAAACTTGTGAGTGCATATGGCTTACTATATATGGCATATATCAGTAACTATAGCTAAAGAACGATTGCCCCAAGTTCCTCTTGTCCCTACTTCAAGGCACAAGGTCACGATCACAATGATCTACAATCATCGTCATCATCATCACCATTAGGGGCTACTTTTCGGTCATTAATGGTGTGGAATAGGCTGTTACACTTGATCATCACCATTACTTTAACTAGGTCAGTTGGACCCAAATGTTTCATCAAAATATTATACTAATTGAGAATTATTATTTTTGGAACAGGGAATAAAATTTTAATATTTACCCACAAAAAATTGATATTAATGACATAAAATAGGGAATCTGCTGCCATAAAAATCCATTTTTTTTCATCCCAATTATTAGTTTGACCCAATACTAGGCTCAAATAATTACCCAAAGTTTCATCCACACAACCGCTCTCTTTTCTCCCTATTTTGGTGGACTTCAAGAACGAAAGCAGACTAATATGAAAAAAATACTTTTTTAACGTCCATAATTTTCCTCCACCGACATCTTCCCACCGTATTAATGGAATGCGGAGGTCAAACGTTGTTCCCCTTCTTCCGGGCTTCGAGAAAGTCAAACTTATCCAAGTGGAGGAATTGAACACCAGCCCGGATAGCCCTTCCTCCCTCCCGTCCAACCAAACCATTCAGGGGACCATCAGCCCTCCCCCTCTCCCATCCCCATCCTCTTCATTGTTATGCTTATCCCGGCCCGGGGAAGAGGAATTCTCTGCACCAGGACAACGCCCCTTCCTCCCTCATTGTAGAGGGAGACAGACAGAGATAGAGATAGATAGATAGAGAAAGAGTGTGTGAGAGAGAAGGATGGGGATTTTCTTTTCCTTCTTTTCTCCGGCGGTCATCGTCCGCCAGCCCATGTTGCGCCGCCGCCGCCGGCGGAGCCGATATAATAAACCCAAAGCGCCGCCGTTCCCTCCCTCTCAATCTCCAGCTCTTCGCCTCGCCCAGAGGCCGTCTCTGGCGAGTATTATAATAAAATCCGACGACCAGAAGCTTCTGCCCAGTTGATTAGATTTGGCAACATCATCCATCCAGTTAGTTCCACTCAACTTGACGGTCTTGGGGGCGTTCCCTTCCGCGATATTAGAATAAAGCTGGTGGCTTTATTGATATTATCGCCACATCTATGAGTGATTAATGGCCCTTCCCAACGCCCGATGAGACAAACCTCTCTGTCTCTCTCTTTATGGGTCTATTTGGGCCGGCCTGGGAATCGTAAGGTTGGGCTTGCTTTCGACGCAACGCTTATTTGGCCATACTTTTGGGCCCATTATCTTAAGTCCAATCGTCCTTCTGAACAGTGATTTCTTCGAACGAACTCGGGAAAAATCGTGTCATCTCTTCATTTCTCCACCGTTTTAATAATTTTTTTCTAAAAAAAATAGTTCATCACCACCATCCTTTATATAGTTATTTATTCAATCCTCTTCCTCTTATCACTTAGGGATAATGGGCCGGACCGGTTGGGAAGTATGGGCCTGGCTTGGAGGAGGTGGCCCGGGTCGGTCGAGTCCAGCCTGGGCCGATTCTGGCTGTGGGCATTGGCCAGTGGAACGTTCTAATATTAGATGGTTATTCAAATTAGGAGAACAAATGAAGAAAAAAGGGGGGTGGTGTGACGAGGCGTGGGACCCAGAGGAGGCAGTAACGATTGGCTCGAATGGCTGACGATTTTCCGGGTCAGACCGGCGGCCATCCTTTGGGACTCCTTTTTTGCCTTTTCGCTGTCGAAGCAGCAGAGAGAGAGAAAAGTCCGGAGCGCGTGGAGTAGGTCTGAGACAGAGAGGGAGCGGAGAGAAGGGGGAAGGGAAGTGGGTTGTGGAGGAGGATTTGGGATAGGAAGAGGAAGGGGATCAGATCTGGAGCGGATCTCCATGGCCAACCAGAAGGAGCGCGATAGGTTGATGTACATCGCCAAGATCGCCGAGCAGGCCGAGCGATACGATGGTGAGCGGTTCTCGTTTACACCGTCCGGAGCCAATTAGGGTTTTTGGGGAGGAGTGGGGGAGAGGTCTGGGAGTCTAAACTTAGTGGTTATGGCGGCGTTTTGGGCTTCTGTTTTTGCAGAAATGGTGGATTCGATGAAGAAGGTTGCCAAGCTGGACGTGGAACTGACGGTGGAGGAGAGGAATCTGCTCTCGGTGGGGTACAAGAACGTGATCGGGGCCAGGAGGGCCGCCTGGAGGATCCTGTGCTCCATCGAGCAGAAGGAGGAGTCCAGGGGCAACGATCAGAGCGCGCGCCGGATCAAGGAGTACCGCCAAAAGGTGGAATCGGAGCTCTCCACCATCTGCGGCGACATTATGACGGTCATCGATGAGCATCTCATCCCGTCGTCCACCGTTGGAGAGTCCTCTGTGTTCTACTACAAAATGTGAGATTTTCGTGAATTTTATGGGTTTTAATTATTTCAGTACCTTTTTCCCCTCGTTAACCTGCAATGAGAAACTGAAGGAAGGGGGATTACTATCGTTATCTCGCCGAGTTTAAGGCAGGAGGTGAGAAAAAGGAAGCTGCAGATCAGTCGCTGAAAGCATATCAGGTTTGGTTAAAACCCATAAAATATGCTGTTTTGTCTTGGTTCATTTTTTTTAGTTTATCGTCTCAGATAACATAAGATCAATAGGGTATGGATAAAAAAGGTATTACGTTTACTTCATTTTTCATAACATAAATCATAAAGGCACATCTGATGTATAAGAAAAATGTTCTGTGATTAAGCCCATTGGTGGTGTCATAGGCCAGAGGATCTTTAAGCATGACATAGCTTGGATATTGCTTCATTCTCTCTGCACAATTTGACACTTTAGGGTTCTATAAGATTAGGTTGTCCAAATGTTGCACTGCGGCTGGAATCATATCAGCAGGAAGATGCATCATTATAGTACATACTTTTTTTTAACGTATCCTCTTATGGTGGCACATCTTTTAGGACTAAAATGTTTATCTTTACTTCCACTGCTGGTATCATTCGTGTCTCCCCCTTTGTTTTAAGAACTCTGTGCCGGATGGTCTGTGAAAACTGGGGAACTGGGGAACTGGGGAACTGGGGAACTGTGCAGTCAAAGGATATTCTTTTTTATAAAACGTTTATTGTGTGAAATTAAGGAACTTAAAAATTCCCCTTGTTCCAGGTATATCATCGACTTTATTTCGTGGATTATTTGTTTCTGTTAACATTGATTTCTGTAGCACTTGGCTGATCTTCGGGGGTAGGTATTGGATTTCTTCCAGAGTCTGATTTCAGGTTCCTCCTGTGTCCGAATTGTACCCTGAGCTTGGTGGATAAATTTTATATATATATATATATATATAAAACACCAATCGAGGCCTGTGGAATACTCCCATTCTCTGCTGCTTAGTATAACGGTTTTCTTTGCATTCCCTCATTAACAAGGAAGTCCTACAGAATAAAGAGTTGGCTATCATTCTTAATTCCGTGGATGATATTTTCTTAAGTCCATACTGCATGCAACCCTCCATCCCATGCCTCTACATGGTTACGATAGTTGAGTGGAGGGGAGAGCACCGAAGCATCAAGAGTGGCAAATGCGTATTGCCAACTTTTGCATCAATTTTTTTCCCACCAGTTTAGATTATATTATAACGTTCCTGAAGATGATTTATCAATTTTCTGCAGTTGGCTACCGCTACAGCTGAAGCAGATTTATCTCCTACGCATCCAATTAGATTGGGCTTGGCATTAAATTTCTCTGTTTTCTATTATGAAATCATGAACTCACCTGAGAGGTATGGATGACATCACCGTACAGGGTTAGTCACAGTTTGAAGTTCTGGGTTATGTTAATCTGGTGGATCACGTGGTTATTTGCAGGGCCTGCCACCTTGCCAAGCAAGCATTTGATGAAGCCATTTCTGAGCTTGATACGCTGAGTGAAGAATCTTACAAAGATAGCACTCTGATAATGCAACTCTTAAGAGATAATCTCACCTTGTGGACTTCTGACATCTCTGAGGACCCAGGTAAGAGTTGAATTCTGACTTGAGGCCGATTTTTCTATATTTGAACTTGTTCAGCCCCTTCACATCTGAAGCGTTCTGTTATCTAGGCATCCATCATTCATGACATTTCTGTGTGTCATTCATTCTGGGCAAAATAACGTCAGTGATATGATGCCTTCTCTTGCAGTGTGTAAGAGTAATTCCCCGCTGATTGGGATAATCTAAACCCGTGTTTAAAACATGTGGGGGTTTCTCCACTTTTACGCCAATTGATTATATGCTGGACTGTACGATTGTTTCATATGATATCAGAGTCTGCTGTTGTGTTCTTGGCCTACAGAACCTCGCTCTATCATTCTACCGGGCCGAACTTGAGAGAAGCAGGACGGATGTGAAGGGGGCCGCGTCAGAATAATCTCATATTTGTTGGAAGACTTTCGTTGGGTTGTTCAATTTAAAACTAATTACAGATGAATGCTATGCACTCGTGTGTTTTGACCTTAGGTTTAGTTTCCTCTTACTAATGTGAGATTATTCTAGAAAAATAATAAAATATTTTTCCGCCTAAATTATTTGGCAGAAGTAGGACGAATATATTAATAACGTTTTACCATATTCGTGCGTGATGATTATAATGCTGCAACCTTTTTCATTAGCATAAACTCCTTTCGAAATTTGACTCCAGCAGAAGACTCCATGAGGGACAGCACTGGCAGGACTGGTGCAGACGCAGACGTGAGTTCTCCCCACTACTCCTCCCCACTCTCTCTCTCCCCTTTCTCTAACATTCCTTGTATCTGGCGGAGACTTTGCAGTGAGAAGGGGACAAACTGGGATCCCTGCCAGAGGCAGAAGGGAGAGGTTGCTGCCGGTGCAGAAGCCCTTGCCCATTTGGAAAACTATGCCCTTTTCCATTCTGAAGGTTGCTGTTTTGTGAGTTTCCGTGTTGATCTCTTGATAAGATCCCATGTGAGGGTTCTGTCAGAGAAGTTCACATGCAGAATGTCTCGTCCCGTCACCACCTCCGCTGTATTTGAAATTCGAGGGACGTTGGTGTGCTTTCTTCTCCCTTCTCTCTAGGCGATATTTATGTGGACTCGACGCCTGTATTGTGCCTGAATGTTTCTGCGTCGTTCTCTCTGATACCCTCATCTCCTTCTCTCTCTAGAATCGGAGATACGCTCGTAGATCTTATAAAAAAGCTCGCAGATTATTGGTAATTATGTTATAATTATTTATTCCACTCGTGCAGATTGTTTTATTTATATCCTTTGTTTCTTGTTGATTTAACTGGAAGCTTCGAAATAATTAGCATTGTGCTGATGTGGAGTAAATAATTATGATGTTTCATGCATGGTAAATAAAATATGCGTATAAATGCTGCAAGAAATGTCTCAACTTAGTATCCATGCTAAGTGATTATTCAGGAAAGATCCACCAGTTCAATTAATTCTGTCCATTCATTGCCATTGCCAAGCATAGTGTTCGTAATGCGTAATTATTGAAGATAACATATACAAAACAATGATATTGGTCTTCAAGAGAGCGTTGACCGGCTTAGCCTCCATTAATTTTTTTTTTACCTGTTTTGGTATCGGAGTATCTCAATCCCAAGGTAGTCAATAGTTCCATGGACAGCAACGTTTGGTTTCTTGACCTCCACCCTGACAGCAGATATCTGAGGGAACTTTGCTAAGGTGGCAGTCGCGATGAGGTGAGCTACGCGCTCGAGAAGGTTCTGCGATGGCCCCTCTACGATTTCCTTGACTATCCTGCACTTTGGGAAGGTCAAGACTTGAAAAATATGCTCTTTCAACAAGACATGCTCAACAAAAATAAATATCGGAAAAGATAATGTCCAACCCTTTTTCAGGAAATTTCAACAAAATTTCAGATGGGCATGACACAACCCTTTTTTCGAAAAGATAATCTCAGAACGAGAATGTTAAACGACTACCGATTCATAGCAGGTGTAATGTTGACAATGCCATAGAAATGACCAAAATTTTAACATTTCACAGTATTCATCACATAATACTTCTGCCCAAGAATCATACGGCACTGCAACCTTTGGAATCGGATCAGAAAATTCCATATCGACCGATCCAAAAGGTTAGGACAGGGGGCTACTATCCAACACTTTCATCTGGCGCTTGGTAGCACGAGATTAATAGAAATTTGGGCAATTTTCATGAGCTGTAGAGCCCTTTCATTGGAGTATTCATCACTACTCGCACTTATAAGGAATGATAGGCAGAAAAAATGACCTCTTTTATAAAAAAGAAACTTCTAACCACATGATGAACATGAATAATTAAAGGTGCCGATAGCACAAACGTTCCAAATTCAATGATCCACGATAATTGAGGGGAATGTACCACTTTGGAAATATCATAGAAATATATATTCGATAAGGGGTCAAAAGATATGGCACGGATACGATAATATCTAGTCAATGAAGCCTATTCACATCAATGATTTGCCTAAACGTCCCGTTACCTGTATATTACCTGTATATATCTGTATAACTGACAGTATCGGATAAACTATCAGTCTCACCAGCTTCGTGTAAATCCAGCCAGGCATCCAAATCGATAACAAACTTCTGTCCCAGCTTCTTCTCCTCTACCCGGGCACCATGAAATCCATGGAACTTGAGGCCCCTAAGCACAAGCTTGTCCCCTCTGGGAAGATCCTTTCCACTCATTATGTTGCCTGAGAATAGACAGAGAGACAGTATTAGACCATACATCAGTAGTCCCTCAGAGTACAAAAAATAATGATATTTTATATTCAGGCTGATTTGAGATGCGATTTCATTGTCTACCGTAAAGTTTGGGCCCTTCATTGATCAGACTGAATGATGCATGGAAGTAGTGACGAAGATTCAGTGCAACTTACCTTTTAATCATCTATTTATTTATTTACATTTTTCATCTCTAAGCAACAGAGTAGAACCTGGGTCAAGATTAAATTAATTTAAATATAAAATGTAGATTAGATTCTGATGGGATCTGTGGAATAGAAATCTCTGCAGAGATTAGATTTATAATCTCCTTCTTATACACACAGATTCATCAAATAATTGTGGACTACTTTTCCCGATGGATATAGACGAAGAGTAGAGCATTATGGATTCCAACTTTTCACCAGAGGCTGCCACCTCCACAATATTGACTTGAGCAAGCACATCCTACATCACTATAAGGAATCGTATAATTATGCATACAGATCTTAGGCTACCCATAACACGAGAGGTCGCTCCAATTGAACACGAGTGCCGTACACTCCCGAGCAGAAGCTAAGATGGGGCCAGGCCAGGTTACGCATTCCAGTGGCACCACTCGGTGCCGGCTAATATCAGCGAAGAGAGAGTGATCAATCATGGACGTACCTGGTGTCAAACCGCCGCCGGTGTTCGGCGGCGCAATGTATCGACGGGGCGGCGGCGGCGGCGGAGGAGAACGGCGAGCTGGGGCGGAAGAAGTGATAAGAAGGGGAATTAATGGGCCGGCCCGGTAGTGATATGGGCTGGGATACCTGATTTTATATATAAATATTGTATAGCGTTATTCTGACATATGTGGTACTTTATAGGAGTTATTTAAAATAAATAGTTCCCGTTGGCGCGGGTTCCAAAGCTAGATTCAAACACCACTTTTATTCAAGGGTTCTCTGCATTATTTCGAATTCCTCATTCTCAGTAGCCGGATCCTCGCCGGAGGAAGGGTGAAGCTGCCGGGAGAGTCGTGTATGGTGCTCAAGCTCCGCTTCCCGGTGAGATCGCACGCCTCGTCCTCCCTTCCTCTCTCTTTCTCTCCTGTTTCTGTTCCTTGTAGCTGGTGTGGCGTCTGGTACTTGGCGATCCATTCTGTATATATGTTCGTCGATAAAGTGCCGGTGGAGTCTAGTTCACCAGCTATTTGATTCCCAGAGGTTTCTACTTTTTCCTTCACTCTCAGAGGTTTCTGACTCTGTGTTTTTGATACATGTTTCTGTCTATTTTGTGTTGATCGAGTTATGTTTGTCGGAGAAAATCTAGGGATGGGAAGATTTTAGCTCGAGCATTAGTTATTGTGGATATTTGCCGATTCTTCAGCAAAGAGGCGGTAAAGCTGTAGCTATCGAAGAGCTGCCCTGTCCTATTGGTTACTACTAAGAAATCGTGCAAGTTGTCTTTATAAGTTCTTAACTGCAATGTCATAGCCGAAATGCCATTCGGTCAGTCCTCGGAGAAGCCATCCTTTATCCTGGACGGGCGATTTTGCGAGCTTCTGCTCCGTTTCATCTGGCTTCTACGCAATGTTCATTGTTTAGGTTTCTAAGTAATCCGCTCCCTTGTTTGTCTGAGTGAGCCGCCGCCCCTTTTTGTGGCTTCGTCGGCGCTTCTTGCTGGCACGTTTTGTGTCAGGGTTCCTTGTTACTCTCTTATGGTGTGGTGCCTCCGCACTCAAATCTCCTCCGTTTTAGTTATACAATGCAGCACCTGAAAGTCGCATCAGTCTGATTATCCAGGAGGAAGTGCACACAATTGGAGGATATCCTGGGAGTGATTGAAGCTTGAACTCTCAAGAATGCGTAGATCAAGGTCTAAATGGTTGACTGGATGATTGTTTTCTGTGTCATGTAGTCTAAACTTGTTGAAGATCGACTATAAAATTTTACTTTTTTTGTTTTTCTTTTCTCTGTAACTATTTAGCCCGTCTGCTCGTTCAACGAGCAAGGAAGTAGCGATGCCGCAGCAACCGCAGCGGCCGTCCCCCCGTGCCCCTCTCCACAACCCTAAGACGTCCAGCTCCGACTCAAGCGGCGCGCGAACTACCCGACGCAGCAGCCCCAACCCAGAGAGCACCCGCCGCCGTTCCCCTCGCACCCCCCTTCAAGAGGTAACCAATCGCTGAGGATGTTCATTTCTGCAACTTTTGGGGGAATACATTGTTCAGTCTGCAACTCCTGCAACACGTCGTATCCGATTTCTTAGCTACCAGCAGGGAACCAGAGAAAGTTGGGTCCTCCGACTAGAGGCGAAGGGGACCAGAGGAAGAAGATGGGGACAAAGGCGAGCGATCTAGAGGCAAAGTTGGGTCGCGCCCAAGAGGAGCTGAGAAAAATCAAGGAGCAGCTAGTGTCTGCCGAGTCCGCCAAGAATGACGTCCAGGATGAGCTTGCAGAGGCAAAGAAGAAGCTCCCCGCCCCCATGGCCGCCACCACGGGAGATCAAGCGGACCTCGACCAGAAGAACAGCGGAGAACCAGACAACGATGAGCCACCACCTGAGGAACCAGGTCTTCACGTAGAGGAAGATGAAGGCACAGTAAACTTGGCGGAGGAAAAGGTTGCAGAGGAAGAGCACCGAGCGAAGCTCGAAGAGGAAGGGGAGCTCGAACGCTGCTGGACGGAGAACGCCAGTCTGAAGAAACAACTGATGGAGGCGGAAAAGAGAGCTGTCGCAGCCGAGAACAGGGCAGAGGAGACGGCCCAGCAGCTGAGCCGCTCAGGGGAGGAGCTGGCGGAGGCCAAGCTCAAGGCCAGTCAACTGCAGGAGCGGCTCGAGTCGGTGGAGTGGGCGAGGGCCTCGCTGGAGGCGGAGATGAAGAAGACGAAGGTCCAGGCCGATCAGTGGAGGAAGGCGGCGGAGGAGGCGGCGGCTGTGCTGGCGCCCACCGGCGCCGCCGCCTGGCCGAGGGCGACGGCGTGGCCTGCGGCCATGGGTTACGAAGTGGGCGACGGTGTCTTCACCAGCCTCTGGTCGCCGCTTGCGACTGTTGAGATGGATATGGCTAGAGTTGAGAAGAAGACAGGGGGAATCCGTATGTTCGGCGACCTGTGGAAGAAGAAGGGTCCCCAAAGATTCTAGGGAGAAGAAACTCTCTCTCTCTCTCTTCTCCAGCGGAGAACATCAAGTTCTCTCAGTAATGTAGACGCTTCTCCGTTGAAGTTTAGTTATACTCGTCTCTTCATTGAAGCCACCATCTCCACAGTTCAATTTCGACCAAGACTATCCCTACCAACCTCAAAAGCCCCCTCCCCACCATTCGAAACTATAAAAAACCCTGCAGGAGGAGGATTCAGAGGTCCTCAAAGAGCTTGATATGATCTTCAAACGTCTCACCATGCCTGATCTTCACCACCGACCCAGCATCTACCTGTAGATCCCAAGTGAGAGAAATCAATCAGCATTAGGGCAATCCCTTCACCATATTCAGTACTCTGGGGGAGCAGCTGCCTCATACCCAGTACTCTGGGGGCCGCATCTTTAGATTATAAGTAGAGGCCATGCTCATGCAGTAAGCTCCAGCGTCATGAACCACCAAGCCAGCTCCCTGAAGAGGTCGCATCTTCTGTCAGAAAATAGAAAAGAAAAGAAAAGAAGAGCTGGGTAAAACAGCTGGGCAGTGTGGCAAGATCCTACCTTGGCTGGTGTGGGAAGCTCTCTGTCTTTTCCTAGGAAGTCTGCCGACTCGCAGACAGGGCCCACCACATCAAATGTGGAGACTTCAGCTTCAGGTGGCGGGGGAGAGACCAGCTCTATGTGCTGCACCAGGAAATGTCAAGATTAACAATCGGTAATATTATTATAAATGGGTGATTCTTTTAGCTCAAACACCCTTTTTGAGCCATTTTTCCAAGAAAAGGAAATGGGTGAAAGGTGAAACGTCGGAAAAATTAACCTTTCAAGATGCCCAATTGGGTAATTTCATTCCCTTAGAGAGCATTCGCTTCATAGCGGCTTACCTGGTATGCCCCATAAAGACTAGGTCTTATAAGCTCGGACATGCTGCCGTCGATCACAATGAAATTCTTAGTGCCATTTGTTTTAACTCCAGTGACCCTGTTGACGAAGCAGCAAGTGTTGGCGATGAGTGACCTCCCAGGCTCGATGATGAGTCTCACATCTCGAGAGACGACCAGCTCCCTGACCTAAAATATGGTCATCAAAAAGTCAAATATAATCCAAGGGTCCAGGACGTACCCATGTCTACATCCAACCATGCATGGCGACTCAAAATTATTTGTCTGTGCCTTTTTATTACACATAGATACATACAAATCACGAAGTGTAATGCATTGCTCTAAAATATTTGTCAAAACTCATGCATAGCATATGTTCATGGAGCACATCAGGGGGCACATTTTCTGCAAAATCATAGTTTGGAGATCAATTTTACCATGTCCAATATTTGCTCGAGTATTCCAAGGATAAGATAATTCATATGGCTTTCTAAATAAGTTACCCAGAAAACAAAAAAAGTTTCTTCACTGGCCATAAAAGAAGATCGAAAACATTGAGGAAAGTAAACCCCGGGGGAAATGCCAAAGTAAAATCCCAAATGTCAATAACACATTGAAAAAATCCTGTACCCACGATTTATATAACAACAAGAAGTATGGGCATTAAAAAAATGACGGCTAAATTTGAACTTACGGTGTTGATGAGGTCCATGGGCGTGGGAAGGACAGCACCAGTGTGGTGATAATCAATCCCTAAACCACCTCCGATGTTTAAGTATTCAATTGTGAAACCTTGTTCACGAATTTGGTCAATGAAATTCACCATAAGAACTGCAGCATCTCTGAAAATGTCCACCTGATGGCAGGATCAAAAGAAGATACGACGGATTTAAAAAATCATCACCCAACAACATTGCCGATCACACAAGAAAAAAAAGCAAATAAAAATATAATCCTTTACACAACCATAGGCAGCATTCTCTTTCAAAAAATATTATTTTCCAAGATATGGGTTGGTTCCCCAAAAAGACGACCGTTTTTATGGCATTACAATTAAAGGCATTGTGTATTTTCTCCATGTGGATCTTGAACATTCTCCCTTAGATTTGTGAATTGAAGATATCTGAATTCAACCCAGGAATTCAATCATTTAGCCACGATCCAATTTTGCATCAGATGTTGCATTGTCTCATACCCATGATCACTTCCATGAAAAGTAACAAAATAGCCTAATACAAAAGCTCCACTGTATAAGCTGCTTCTCCCTTGAATTTCTATCACTCATATAACCACGGAATGTAATCTTCAATAGACAAGCCTCCTTTTCTTTTAGTAGAAAACACGATACTTAAGCCTTTAATATTTAAATGCTCAATTTCTTCCTCTCTACCTGACGTGTAAGATATTTTCAACTCGTTGCCTGAATTAACTTTGTTATGTGTCTATCCATGGCATATTCAATGGCCACCAATACCAGTGAAAATAATTACCTTGGTAATTGTAGAGCCAAGATGGCAATGCACTCCCACCAGCTGCAGTTCATCAGGTTGTGACTTGACAGCATCCAGAAACCACTGCAGCTTCTCATTTCTGATACCAAATTTAGAATTCTTGTTCCCAGTAGCGACATAAGGATGCACCTTAATAGAAATACCAAAGAAAAATCAGTGGTGGCCAGGAAAAAAAAGGCAATTTTGACACCAATATCCACTAATATCATCATCTATAGTGTTGAAAAATATCTCCACAGCTTGATATTCTAGATCGAGTAGTCTATACAAACCTGGGGATCAACATCGGGATTGATCCTAAGCAACACTCTGACCTTCTTTCCTGCGAGCCTCGCTGCAGTCACAATGTTCTCCAAGTCAAACTCACTATCCACATTCACAAAAACGCCCGCTTCAGCAGCCAACACCAGGTCCTCCAGGAGCTTTCCATTCCCATTAAAGATGCACCTGATCTTCCAAACGAGTATATGGAGTTTAATAAGAGATTCACGGCCAATCACCTGACCTTCTTGTTTAAATAAAATAAATTTTTTAATTAAATATATTAAATACAATTCATTGAACATCAAATAATAGAATCATCGCAATACACAAGATGGAATATATAATCCAAAAAAAACTTCAACATTTATTTTTTTTAGGAAAATGCAAAGGAGGCAGATTCTTCCTGTTTAGCACGGCCTTCGAAAAATCCATAGACCCCATAGACTTCGTCCGACGGATTAAGATGGATCGGGTTTGAATTCCTTGCCCTTATCTTTTTTTATCTTATGTTGTACTGCAAAATCACGGCCTTCCACATTCAGGTGGCTGTATCCAACGCGAATTCTTTAAAGTTGGGTTGAAGCAGATGGGTTTACTGTCTCTTACTTGGTTGGATCGAATCCAGCATGCAGTGCTAGCCTCAGCTCATTCCCACTGACGAGCACAGCCCCGCAGCCCAGCTTCCGCAGGTGCTCCAATATCTTGAGATTGTTGTTGGCCTTAATTGCATAGCCGATAATAGAGTTCAGCCCCTCCAGGGCCTCCTTGTAGGCCTCCACGTTGCGGGTGATCTGCGCCTTGCTGTAGAGGTAGAACGGCCGCTTCTCCACAGCTTCCATCACGTCCTCCACTCGAACCCCCTCACAGTAGAGGAATCCGTCCGCGCCGGTGGTGAAGCAGTGCTTGAACGACGATTTACTCACTTCCACTGGGGCGGAAGACGAAGGGACCGAAGTGCTCACCGCCGCCCGCAGACTGAGAGACCTGCGCCGGAGGGGGAAGGAGGCATTGGAGAACGAAGCCCCCACGGGCCACAAGATGCACTTCCGCACCCCTGCGAGACCCTGCGGGAGGGAGATGATGGGAGCGGCGGCCATTCCTACGTAAGCTCCTCTGTTCAGCAGTCCCTCACATGGATTCCGTGGAACGACTCCCAGACTGTACATGTATCTGAGCTTAGGGTTTAGATGGAGACTCGCACGTGCCATGAAAATAGCCGGCTCACGAGGATACCCGAGCCCGGCCCACTAAAGTCCGGTGACGGAGAAACATATAAAGCCCAAATCCAGATTGACCCATATAGGCCCATTAATAAAGATCAATTTGGGCTTTTCATTCATTGGGCCTTTCCAGCCCAAGCCTATCACGTGGGATAAGTGTTAGGAAAAATGCTTCGAAACACACGTTTTGAAACAATTACGCATTTATCTAAAATAAAATATATACGTAGAAATACCGGGACGAGAAAAAAGGACTGGAATGTGAGGGAATATTTTTTATGAAGCACTAATATTTTGCACACTTTTCTAATATTCCCACAAAATTTTATTTTGAATAGAAGTCCTCGGAAGGGGAATGGACAGGCACGCATTTCGGGGTGGATCTCCGCTTCCGCAACGACATGGCGGACGAGTTCGACGGGACCCCGTCAAACTTCTACTGTTTAAACGCTCATCACCAACGTCCCGCCCTGGCTCTCTCTCTCTCTCTCTAGTACCTCTCCCCCAGCCCGCCAATCTCGGGGGTCCGCTGAGGATTCCGAGGGACCATAAAGGGCATCCTTCCTCCCTCTCTCTCTTCTCTCTTCTCTCTCTTCTCTCTCTTCTCTCTCTCTCTCTCTCTCTGGGCATTCACAGGTCCTGCCTACATTTCCATCGGAGGTACGATCGTTCACGCTAACTTTATTCCTCGGTCGTTCTCCATCCGCTCCTTGTTGTCGCAGGTGGAAACCGGATGACTCTCGGTGGAGCTCCGGGTTAGTGCACGCATATCTGAGGTGTTTTGGCTTTCCGAGGGACCGTGTTTCTTGTTTCTCGTTTCTTGGTCGTCTCTTCTTCTGTATTCTTGAAAATGTTCGAGGAACTGAATTGGAATTCAGATGGTTGCGTAGATTTGACTGCGATGTAGCTCGAGGTGGTGGGAGGGGGGGGGGGGGGGGGGGGTTTAGGAAGAACAGCAAGAGTTAGATAGGGTATTCTCGTACGATGGTGAGTTGCCATGAATGACGTTGTTATGGCGCTGTACAATATGCGTTGGACAAGTTCCAAGGAACTGCAGAATCTGAGGGTACCGAAATACATTACTCTTCGCCTTCGCTAGTTTTTTTGTTTATTCCGTAAGATTGATTATCGTAATTTCTGCCTGGTTCTGAGGGTACCGAAATACATTACTCTTCGCCTTCGCTAATTTTTTTGTTTATTCCGTAAGATTGGTTACCTTAGTTTCTGCCTGGTTTGAATTGGATTTCAGCATAATCATTTTCACATCTCTCTCTCTCTCTCTCTCTCTCTCTCTCTCTCTCTCTCTCTCTCTCTCTCTCATATTCCCTCCGACCTTATGACTGGGATTAATTCAAGTTCAGGTGTTTGGAGAAGCGTTTGGTTTTGATTGCGTCGGTGCGACTTCTGAGGCCTTCATCCCGTCGGTGTGCTCGGGTGGATCAGTTTGCGAACTTGAAATATGACGGATCTATTGTCAGGCCCTCTCGACCGGCTTCCCAGACCTGGTAAATAACTAGAAGAAAATAGTATCACCTTGTCCTCTTTAGGGCATATGAACTGTAGATGTTGTATTGAAATGGAACCCTTTCCCTGTAGACGTCCTCAGCAATCCTTGCCCTTGTCACATGACTAAATTATTGTCATTTATTCATCTTCTTTTTGAAACTTTTCGAAGTTTTTTCATAAATGAGAGGATTAATATGGAAGCCGGCATTTACATTTTGAATATACCGTTCCTTACTAGAAGAATGAAGGTGTAAGTTGCGTTCGTTCATGATCTTCTGCTTTCATGAGTCTAGAAGTGGTTAACTGTGAGATATGTTTTCAGGTCTTGATGGATCCTCTTACTGCGATGAAAAGAACAGAAAGTCTGATTCTCAGAACAGTGAGGACGAAAGAAAGACCAGGATTGGATCTCTGAAGAAAAAAGCCGCCAATGCCTCCACAAAATTCAGGCACTCGTTGACAAAAAGGAGGAGGCACTGTAGTGTTCTTTCTGTCTCCATTGAAGATGTACGCGATGCTGAAGAATTACAAGTCGTCGATGCATTTCGTCAAGCGCTAATCTTGGAAGAGCTACTGCCTACAAAACATGATGATTATCACACGATGCTGAGGTCAACATTTTTCTTTCTCCATACCAAAAGCAGACGTTGAATAATGGATATAACGCCGAGGAAACATAGGAAATATAAAAATATACTTCCCCAGCCCCTGCTTTCTTTCCTGTGGTAATCACCATCCACATTTTTTCTTATTGTTTCACCAGATTTCTGAAAGCCAGGAGATTTGATATTGAGAAAGCAAAGCAAATGTGGGCTGATATGCTCCAGTGGAGGAAGGACTTCGGTGTCGACACTATTCTGGAGGTAGAACCCAGTAATTTGATCGTCCCTTTTGTCATAGTGAAATTCATACGAGTTTGCTAACGTGTTCATAAAAAAATGTGGCATTTGGGATCGTGTCCTAGAAGAAGGACCCAGTAAAACAGATTCCAGGATTTTAACAGCGCCAAAATGTTGGCGATGTAGTGTTCACATTTTTCCGATTTCCATGTAACCAGAGATTTACTTTTTTCATGTTTTAGTTATTTTTTAGTTTCAACTCTTCATATATTTTTTCTCTCTTTCTTCATCGACGTAAGATCCTTCTCGTAAAGTAGACCGAATTGCTCTCCGTAATTCATCGATTATCCAATGCTTTTGTCGAATTTCGCCCAGTAACAAAAACATCAGTATGGCCAAGCGACCGGCTTTCGCGTGAACTAGTTCGACGGCCGGATTCGTGCTTATTTGTTCCTACCAGTTGTGAACAACACCAATCGCCTTTTTCTCCGCTGTTTGGCAGGATTTCGGATTCGAAGAACTAGATGAAGTATTGGAGTACTATCCCCAAGGTCATCACGGGGTAGATAAGGAGGGGAGACCTGTTTATATCGAAAGGCTTGGGCAAGTTGATCCCAGCAAGCTGATGCAAGTGACTACAATGGATCGCTATGTGAATTACCACGTTAGGGAATTTGAGAGGACCTTCGCGATCAAGTTCCCAGCGTGCTCCATTGCGGCGGGACGTCAAATTGACCAAAGCACAACGATCCTCGACGTGCAAGGGGTGGTAGGTGATCATCTCTTCCACGTCTGAATGACTAATATTCGGATTGCCGAAGTTCTCTAAAGCGGCAGAAGCCCGGTTCGGGGAGATTTGGCCACGATGATGCTCGGCACTTGAGGCCTTCTTTTTATTTTCTCGTCTTCCTTTTTCCTCTCTTCGGACGACGCTTACGATTAAAATGTGCACAATAGGGACTAAAAAATTTCAGCAAGTCTGCCAGAGATCTGATCTCACGCCTTCAGAAAATTGACGGTGATAATTATCCAGAGGTATGTCACCCAACGATTTTCTAAATCATATGCCTTGTACGCATTCTCCCAGCGATCATGAAACTTTTTTGTCCGCCGATAGACGCTGCATCGCATGTTCATAATCAATGCGGGCCCAGGATTCAGAATGTTGTGGAGCACTGTGAAATCCTTCCTCGATCCAAAAACCACGGCAAAGATCCACGTAAGTCTACCCTCATGTATCTGTCAAGTATCATTTTTGACCTGAAGTCCGCTCACTCTATCCCACTCGGTCCATCAGGTTCTGGGGAATAAGTTCCAAAGTAAACTGCTTGAGGTGATTGACGCAAGGTGAGATCTTACCCAGAAGGACTTAATGTCCAAATTATATGGGGATAAGAATATGGGTCTCTTCTGATTCCGGATTTTTGGCTTATAAGCTACTGCCTCTCCGATTTTCTAAGCCCAAGACTGCGTCTTTGTTCCTCCCAGTGAGTTGCCAGACTTCCTTGGTGGCGCCTGTACGTGCTCCGATGCAGGAGGGTGCCTTAAGTCTGACAAAGGCCCGTGGAGAGACCCAGAGATCCTCAAGGTCAGTCCCATCCTCGAGTGAATTCGTTGACCATCCAATTCATCTTTGTCCCATATTTCTCTCCCAACTATGAATTGAAAATTGAATGCACAGGTGGTTCAAAATGGCGACAAGCAACGCCGGAGACAAGTCGTGACCTCCTCATCCAGGGATAAGATGATGCCCGAGGACGAGGTAATTAGTGTACCCTTATTTTCGCCGTTTTCTGTCATTATAAAGCCCCAGCTGGTAACAGCGGTTAGCAAGCTCGCCTCTTAATATCTTCCAGGCAAAGAGGTGCGGTTCGTTCCATGGAGAAGCAGTTCTGGATGGCGATGAGAAAAGACCCGTCCCGGGGAAAGATCCATGGGAGTATATACAGCACCCACATCTGTCTCCTGTCCACGAAGAGGTAGGCACCTGGCCACGTCTCTTCTGGATGGCATTTGAATCAATTTTAGCCGGAAAGTCTACTCTGTACGTGAATTAAAGTCAACTTCTCCGGAGAACCTGCGGTCCATTTTCGGTAACTAAACCAACGCGGAGTTCAACACGATGGCAGATGTCCTCTGGCGATTCAAATTTTCTTGGTTCTATCATCAGATCCTTAGATTCTGAGCTCGGTGAAAGCTAACGGGCCGCTCTGTCCCATCTGGTACGTCTGTTCTTGTCAGCCACAGGCGCAGAGAGACCGAGCGAACTCCCTCACCTCTTGCCGTTACAAGGGCTACAACATTCCTGTGTTTGACAAGGCCGTGGATGCATCCTGGAGGAAGGAACTATTTGATGAAAAGCTTTCTTTCACCAACGGTACGCTCTCTCTCTCTCTCTCTCTCTCTCTCCCCATCTCTTCTTTATAGTCTCCGGCATATTAACTCCTTTCTCAGAGAACAAATAAATAAATAAAATCTTCCGAAAGCAGCATGATTGATTATTCTTGAGAAATTGTTTTCCGAGGCTGCAGGTGGATTCTCCGTGGGAGATTTATCAAAGGCTACAGAGGGTCTCAGCGGGCTGATCATCTCCAGGGTCATGGCCCTCGTGGTGGGCATCCTCGCTGTGCTCCGATTGACCGGCCCCGCGCCAGGAAAGAAAATCGACCCGGCTCTTTGGTACGCGGGCGGCGCTGACATTGCGCGCAGCCCGGTCAAAGGCCGAGTCAGCTGTCGTCAGGTTCCTCACGCAGCCGTCTCTCCCGTCGAGTACTCCGCCGTTCTGAAGCGACTCGGCGATCTCGAAGAGAAGGTGAGTGTTCTGAGCAAGAAGCCCACGGAGATTCCCCCGGAGAAAGAAGAACTTTTAATGGCCGCCGTGAGCCGGGTCGAGGCCCTGGAAGCAGAGCTCGAGGCGACGAGGAAGGTAAAGAACTTCACTCCTCGAAAAACCCTACCATTTAATCGCTCCCCTTATTTGCGAGTGTTCGTCCATTCAGGCTCTGCAAGATGCTCTTGGGAAGCAGGAGGAACTTCTCGCTAGCATGGATGAGAAGAAGAAGAAGAAGAAGAAGAGCAGACTGGTACGCTAGCAAACTCCCGCTGGTTCAACCCAGGCAGCGACTCGGATTTCTGATTCTCGGGCCGTCTCTGTGACTGCAGAATCCGTTCTCTTGGTGAATCCGAGGTCGAAGAAAGGCCGTCATCTCGCGCGAGAGGCTGGGGAGCAATGTAGAAGCCGACGAGTCATTCCCCCCCACCCCCCACGTCAGCGGCTGTATATAATGTTTACCTTATGTGTCAACCACCTCTACAAAACTCCTGCGAGACGCAGTCTTCCCTCCTCTCCAAGATCAACCAACGTCGAGGAACAAGTTCTCGTGTGACCAATCTTCCTAAGCGGCCCCCTAATGACTCCGCACGTTACGGAGGACGGATAGACTTTTTGTCATCAGCCTCAGTGTAGAGGCAGGCTATGAGATAAGCTGGGAACCCGGGGGGTCGTCAGAGCGAGCGTCTAGCTTGGCGGCGCCGTCTCGAGAGAAGGCATACAAAATCTCTATTTCCGGTCAGGGTTGGCGTGAGGTTCAGTACATAAAAAGTAATATCCCCTCATCTTGTAGCCGTTTCTGGCTTTCCGCATGTTAGAGTGGGATTGACCTTTTTTCTTTCTGATGATTGGTGTCAACGCATCGAGCAAAGTTTTCTGATGATTTGTGGAGACGGTGAGAAATCCTAGACCGTGCCAAAGGGGAGTAGAGGACCCAGATGGTTCAGCAAGGTCAACGCAAGAAAACTAGGAAGAAGCCGAGCTTGGACCAATCATAAGAACACAGAATCGTTATCCAGGGGCGCGACAGTGAAAAAGGAATCATGGGTAAGTCAACGTCAAAGTCAACAAACAAGGAGAACGCGAACAAGAAGGCTAATCTAATCACAGACTTTTCTGCTAGATTCTGCCGTTTCACTTTAGAGATATCATCGAGGAGTCGTAGTCATTTCTACATCGTGCAACAGGTTAGAACATCTCAGTACTTACACTTTTTCTTCATTCTCCTGTTAAGACCCTTCCACTTCATACTCTTACAACGCAGCCAGGTCGCGTGAAGGGCGGTCGGTATTCACAGCAGAACGCTTAAACGTACAGAAGCGACCGGGAAGAAGAAAAAACTGAACAAATGCTCTCTCCCCCTTCACCAGCAAAATTTCTTCTTCTGCAGAGAGAAATGAGTTCAGACATACCGGTGAAAGATGGAAAATGGATGACCGTTTGGAGGGGAATGCGTTCCCAACTCACCCGGAGCTTTGCCTGTTCATGGCGATCTATGTAGGCCAGTAACTCCTCCTGGACCATCAGAGCTTCGTGCAAAGCCTATTCACATGCAGGAAACAGAGTTCTTAGAAAATGTGTGCCTGAGATCAGAAATAATGCTAATGTTTGTTAGAGGACATAGAGCTTGTCGGTTTTTCACTCGATCCGGAGACTATTCACCAGATCTATAGCTCATTCCCTATATAATCATATAATCCATCAGAGTCAACGCTCGTCTCTAAGAAGTGAAGTTGCCAGTAGGTTTTTATCCCTAGTGTAGAGGATATAGAGTTTGTGGGTTTTTCACTAGATCCGGAAACTATTCACCGGATATATAGCTCATTCCCTATATAACCATATAATCCATCAAAGTCAACGCTCGTCTCTAGGAAGTGAAGTTGTCATCAGGTTTTTATCCTTAATGTAGAGGATATAGAGCTTGTGGGTTTTTCACTAGATCCGGAAACTATTCACCAGATCTATAGCTCGTTCCCTATATAATCATAATCAATCAGAGTCAACGCCCGTCTCTAGGAAGTGAAGTTGCCAGTAGGTTTTTATCCTTGCAGGACACCAACGTGGAATGGAGAAAGAATCCCTAGGTATGGAAGATTTCAGGAGATAACAAGTTGGGGAATAGAGAACTCAGATGCGCTGAATGAAGAAACGCACAGACGTAAAATATTTCCAAGAATGGAAGCAAAGACAACAGCATTGATACCTTTTTGGTCGCAATGAGCTCAGCTTCCAGAGCATCCACACGACGAACAGCAGCGTTGAGCAACTCCTCCTTCTCAAAGGGCATTTCAGATGGCTTCATTTGGAGAGAGACAATCTTTTCCTCGAGATCCCGAAGCCTTCCCAGAACAGAGGAAAGCTCTGCCTCTCTGAATCCGGGCCCAGGTGAGGGGGGACGATGTGCACCCGAGGGTAGAGGTTTAAGTGGAAACGTGGGATCGTGGTAGTCCACTTCAAGGCCTTCGAAGATCTTTGCCACTTGGTTGGTAACTAAACGAATATATGCAAAGATGGCCAAGATGAAGGCTGTCAGTATCATAACTATCTGCCCTCTAATCCCCCAGAGAGCTCTGTCAGTGCCAAGAAGCTGATGTGAACCTGTAATTTATGGGTCGCACAGTATGAGATGAGAAATGACACACACAAAAAAGAAATAAGTAAAGTAATGGGCGGCGCAAGTCAATTCAAGAGTTGCAGACATTAGCAATTAGAGAAAATTAAATGAGATAAAATCCATAAACTCGCAACCCTGAACTTGAGACAATATTTTCCTAGATAAGATCAAATCTATCTTCCTCCGATTTATTACGCATGCAGGATCTTTGCAAACATTCTTAGACTCTGGCATCTGACTAGTCACAAAGTTGATAAACTGGCTTCTACTGTTAGCTAATGTTGACGTTCATCAGACTAAATGGCTAAAAAATACATATTTATTGCATGTTCAAACAGGCAAATCCTTCAGATTTCAGCTTAAGAATCCAACACAGAGGAATTTGGTAGGACAGATGAGTATGCTGACCTTTGAAAGGAGAAATTAGTTGACTCGGGCCTTCTTTCTTACATCCTGAATCCACTACCTTATCCACCTCGGGAACACCATGCTCAGAGAAGTTGCCTCCTTGGTTTCCTTTAGCAGAAGCTTTAGCCTGCCGTTGGGTAAACCCAAAAAAAAAGATATGAAACACGTAATCTGGAAAGCGTGAAATGATTATAATAAGAATGAATTCATTATATGCCAAATACAACTGTTGAATTATTATATTGTTTATATCCATGTATTATTTTGTCAACATTCCTCCGAAGCTTGTGCTCTAATTATGCGGCATTTTCGCATCTATTCCCTCGTATATGATAAACTGTGGACTCAACCGTCATGTTATTGCCTTATCAATTTTGTCCCAGAACCTCATCATGACCAACCACGATCCATTCGAATCAAAACTTTAATCACAGTAATAGAAACGATAAAATGCTTTCCTTATCACCACTAGACCTTCTGAAAATCAGAAAGGGGCCATTGCCGCAGTCACAGATTGCCTTTGCATTCTGATAGTGGCGATGTTACTGTGGCTATTGCTGACACCAGCGTAATACTCAAAGTTGCTTGGATCGTTGTGGTTGCTGGTAATACTACTGTTTGACCCAAAAACAAGATTTCACTTTGAAGCTTGTTCGAAGTTTTGGTTCTGGGTTCATAAATGTTGCAATAACTTGGTTTCTCACAAGGAACTATTTTGGATCTACGAGAATTATCCCTACTGATGAACTTGGAGCTTTGCTTAGAATCCTATCTCGGAAGAATCGAGATTTATGGCGACTAGGTGTAAATCTTCGTCTTACCTCTAATCTTGGTCGGCTCCTGAACTTCTCCTTTTTTTCTGTTTTGTTTGTTTCACTTTATTTGGTTGATATCTTTTCGATCTTCTTATGGTATGATCGCATGCCACATCAAAGAAGTCATATCCATTCAGATAGTTAAATCTCGCTCGACCATTTTAAGATAGAAATAGAAGAACATCTCAAACTTCGGCGAAAAAAATCTTACGGCAAAAGAATCACGTCTCTTGATGATATTATGTTGTAAGATCTAATATCGTTCGATAAAACAAAACCCACCTCTTCACATACTGGAGTCAGTTGAGGCAACAACAAATAATTCCGAAGCGCCTTGGGTGAGGTAATATCCTCAGCTTCTGATGCAGATTCAGCAGTAGATGTATCACCGCCCCTTATCTTACAGAGAAATGAGAAAGCTTTACTTAGTAAGCAAAAAATGAAGTTTATCAAGGAAACCATTGCAGGAAAATAGAAGAGTCTCTACCATGGGATAGTGCGGTTTAGCATAAGCAATAACCTTGCCGTCGCTATTGGAAACAGTTACAATTTGTCTACCACATTGCGCTTCACCATTAAGAATCATCTGCACATACCACAGGCAAATCGCATGAGTAAAGAAACCCAATTCACGATGCTAAATGGATTGTATTAACATTCAATTGCAAATTACAGGATAGAGGTACCTTCAATATATTAGGGTCCTTCCATGGACCCTTATCAGATCTGAGGCAATCCCCATGTTCAACGCATCTACAAGTACCACCAATGAACTCCGGCAGTTCACTAAAAACAAAAGCAAAAATTAGCATAACTAAAAGGATTATAACACAATATTTCAATCCAGAACTATTCTAACAAAATGAAATGGATAAATCCTTACCATGGATCAATTATTTCAAACAGCCTACTCTGGTATTTCGTTCCCAGAACCTGGAGGGAAACAAGAAAGAAGTCAATCATAACTTGAAAAAAAACTATTGACAACCCAGAAAGTAAAAACCCAAGATACTGTCTCACATGAATCTTTGAGGTAGTTTTGGGATCAAGGAAAGTCTTCACAGTGTTCCACAGTAATCTAAAACCTGGACCAGCATTGATGATATACATTCTGCACAAGGTCTGAAAAAATATAGTTTTAGATTGTATTGTATCCAAATTCAAGCCCTCGAAAAATTCAATATATAAATATTTTGTACAAAAATGAAATCAATGAAACTTTACCTCAGGGTAGTTATCACCATCAATTTTCTGCAGACGTATAATAAGCTCTCTTGCAGCCTTATTGAAGTTTTTCAAGGCCTGAGTTTACAAAAGTATATTACATGAAGGACCATATAACTCAAAATGGTAGAACGTCTAAAGCAGAATCGAATCTGCACTTGATAAAAGAGGGAGAGAATGCAACCTACCACACCATGGACATCCAAAATTGTTGTAGTTGAATCAATATGCCTTTTTTCTGCAATTGAGCAAGCTGGAAACCTTATCGAAAAGCTTCTCTCAAACTCCTTAACATGATATTTTATGTAACGATCCATGCTTGTCACTTCCATGAGCTTAGTTGGGTCAACTTTCCCCAATCTTTCGATGTAGATGGGTTTGCCTTCCTTATCCACACCATGATACCCGTGTGGATAATACTTTTGAACGTCATTCAATTCACTGTATTCAAAATCCTGACAAAGAACAAGCATGGTATAAATTCAGTTCCTATATTTAGCATGAGGAGCTATTAACGATGTGTATGATTACCACAAAGAGGTTTCCCGCACATTCTTAATGATAAAATAATAATTTAGCTGCAACCTGTTATGAATTATATAATGTATAGGCAAACTGAAGCCAAGAGAATATGTAGGTGCCTTGTTATGAATTAAAGAAGCAATCTACATTGACCAAGCAGCATATCTGATGTTCTTTTCTCTCAATTTTTTGTCTTGCTTTTATTAAGTCTATAGTGCGTTTTTTCTAAATAGTTTCATAATCATCCTTGTAGCTACCATGTGCAAGTTTTAGGGGTGTATAACTCAATCGACGTGGTTCGAAGCCAAATAAAAGGAATCGAAACAAGTACCTATTATGGGATCCCATTCTACATCAATAGTAGCATAACTATTTAATCCAAAAGTATAACAAACAACATCGCAGTCTAGGTGTTAAAGTTGATGCAAACTAAATATTTCTACCTCAATAATTGTGTCAACCCCAAAATCCTTCCTCCACTGAAGCATTTCAGACCACATGTGTTTCGCTTTCTCAATGTCAAACTTTCGTGCCTTCAAAAATCTGAAATGAAACAGAAGAAATTGAGAAAAATCGATATATGGGCATAACAAATAGCGCAAGCGGGATAGCAGTGCAAAGTAATCACTATGATTCCATTCTTTTGCAAAATCTCCACCATGTACTATACCTACAGGTCATTAAGCAATTACTAGCAAGGTGTACATCCAATAAAAACTAATACTTACTAGAAGATAATACTTGCTGCGGGCACATTAATGCTTATCATAAATTAGAGGGAACTTGACATTTAGAAAGATTAAGAGAAATGAAATAGGGTTCTCTTCTGCATTAAAATTGTATGATTAAGAATCGCCGAGTAGTCTTTATCCTAGTAAGTTCTAGTTCTACTCTCACGTGACACCTCAAAGTGTTACCACAATAGCCCCTGTCCTTTCCTTGAATGACATTTGAATTTGACATCAAGACTGGGCGCAGTTTCCACTTTACAAGAAAAAAAAAACAAAAATCCGAAAAGCAGGAAGAAAGCATTTTAAATTTAAAGAGAAAAACAAGAAATTACCTCAGCATCATGTGATAATCATCGTGCCTGGCAGGAAGAAGATCATCCAACATCAATGCATGCCGAAATGAATCAACCGCTCGTAGCTCCTCAATATCCCTAACATCTTCAATAGAGACAACTCGACTGTCACTCTTTCTTCTGCCTCTTTTCTTCAAAGAGTGTCTGAGCTTTGTGGATGCATCCAAAGCCTTTTTCTTTAAGGATCCAATTCTTGTTCTCCTCTCATCCTCAGAATTCTCAAAATCAGATTTCTTTTCCTTCCTATCCTCATGACAGGAAATCCCATCAAAACCTGCATACATACCCAACTGTCAATGATGTACAACCCATTACTAAACAGCTCTACATCGATGGGATCATTCAATGGGTGATAAGTACACCTCATAACAATATTTTTCCATGTGATAATACGGCCCATAGAAGCATTCTATTCGTATTACAGGCCCTCTCAACCAGGTTTAAATTAGACAAGTTTCCTCTAGAATACGCCTATTGTTTCGTGCTTCAAAAAACACCATGCTCGTGAGTTGGGGGAGGGAATCGAACTTTGAGAAGTTAGGATTTGGCATGCAATTCTGATTTACACATTTTTGAGGAATTAATCCATCATAAATATCAGAAAACGATAAACGATGATGTGATATATGCCAACTCGAGGGATTTTAACCATGAATAGGACACTTCTTCACTGCAGTAATAAAATAAAACTGCCTTCGAAATATTTTTCACAATTACAACTAATATTTTTCACGCGATTCTACATAAATTTACATTTTACAAATAATAAGCATGCCATAATATCTTTCACAATTACTAAAGTAAGAAAGGCAAATTCAGAGAGTTCTTTTCATCAAAGACGAAGAACAATTAGTGTCTTTTCTGCCAAATCTAGAAGTACTCCAGCAAAAAGTGCTTGCCAACAACGCGAAAACGTCCAGGAGCATCCAACAGTTAGATTAAGAATAGAATAATTCTTCATTATGATTATCAATGAGTGATTCTTCGAGAATACTAAAACATGAGGATGCAAACCATCACAACACCGGGAGCCCAATCTCGCAAAAAGCTAGAAAAGCCGAAACTTGAAAAAAATATTAAATCGTCCACAGCAACTAGGATTCAGAGGAGGCAGCAAGGGTAAAGAATAACATGAAACTGATCAAAGAACAAAGAATACTAGAAAAGAACAAAGAACCGATCTTTGGTTAATAACTCACAAGGCCTCGAGAAACAGTCGGGTGGTCCTGACATCTCCAACCTCTACGAAACGATATAACAGCCCCCCACGATCAAGGGCCCATCTGCCGAACGTCGGAAACCCTAAAGTGACGGGGAAACGGTCAGGAACCAAAACTCCTGTCAACCAGAAGATAAATATGCCGTACACCCCCTGAACCCACCCTCGTATCGTCCGAGGGGGGAGAAGAGAAGGTAAATCTGTCAGAAGCGGCGCCGCAGGTCTGCACCAGGCTCGCTTCCTTCCCTCCGACGAGGGTATTGCTACTTCGGGGGGCCGGGTGGGAGGAAAGAGAAGTACAGGAGGACGAGGTAGGTTGATCGAAGCCCTTCACAAAAAGCAACCAATTGGACTCAGAAAAAAAAGAGCCTACCCATTTTATAAAGAATCTAATTTACACATAAATCCTATTACCGATACACCTATAAAATCATATCCTATATTTTGATTTTTTAAAAAAATGTATATACGTTCATACTCTGGGTCTCATATGAGAATAACTCGGAACTTCGCATACATAAAAGTTAGGGTTTTTTGCACTAACATAGTTTTATGGGGGACTAAAAAAATATTGATAAAATTTTCAAAACAAGTCCGTGTTTAGGCAAGACATGGTCGTCCTCTTCGCTCGCCCCCTTTGAATGACTCACCCCCACTCTTCCTCCCCCTGACCGCCTTTTTCCCCCTTCTCCCTTCTTCCACGCCATGCCCGTGGGTGAGGGAGGAGAAAGGGATGGCAGAGTTGTACCCGGCGGTGACATCTATGGTCCTCCTCCAATCTCAGACGGATCCGATCCACCGGAAATCGTCACAATGAGGATTGAGATCTGGTTCCTGTTGGTTGCCGGTGGATTTCAACTTGATCTTCTTTTTCCCCCGGGGATACAGACGACTAGCCTCGTGCATTCCTCAGAAGTAACCGTGATGATCTTGCTGCCGGCAGTTGCAATCCAGGTCTGCTATCTCCTTCCACCGTCATCTTCCGTCAAGTCGAATCTCTCGGTCGCTTGAATTCCGCGGGAATTCTCCAGAGCCCCTGGTCAGCACAGGATCTCGGACCGAAACAGTTGACAGGCAAACCCCTGGATGAATTCCGGCCGCGGTTCGTCTTCGAAGGGGGTCGTTTCGTCGCCGGCGATCTTTAATCGCGAGATAATAATTTGACTCCACTTGTTTTGACCATTGCCGGCAGATTTGACCCGTAGAACTATCCCTCGTGGACAAGATGGGGAAGTCAACTTCGTACGATGTCGGTCTTGTTTACTCCGTTTGGGACTAGACCTGCGGGTTTCGTTTTATTTTTATTTTTTATACTTATAATTATTTAATCAGACGAATGGTAGTTATGTAATTTAGCTCCCATGAATCCCGATTTTGACTAGTCGAGTTGGAGAAAGAGAGAGAGAGAGAGAGAGAGAATAAACTTCATTACTTATGCATTGATAATAGCGAAATATTTAATATTCTTTACTACATAAATGTAGAACTGGTCCTCGTCTCTTTTTCTGTATGCATTTTAACCTTATAAGGTTCGTTTTTACGAAACCGTTTTAACAACCCTCGTCAAAATAGTTTTTACAAAATACTTTTTTGAAATGCATTAGTAGAGGGTTATAACGATTCCTCATTTTACATGGAAAAAATGTATATAATTTATATCTTAATAAACATTCGATTCTACACGTTTTTTATAGGCGACAAAGGTGGAGAGATTGATGCTGACGAGGCACATATCTCTATTTTATATTTAAATTAAATTCGACAATAATTAAATTATTCACAAAAATACAAAAATCACAACTTTTTTTGAACAATAAACAACCACACGTGAGAAATCGTTTTATCCAGAATTTTACACCAGTGCATATTCAGAATTCATGAAAGTCACATTCCACATGAATATGAAGGTTATATTCTATTTTCGAGTTTAAAATATATTCAGGTTATTTATAAAAAATAAGAAAACTGTTTTTGATGAATTGAGATTTTTATCAAGGGCTAGTCTGAATCTGGACGATAATAAGACGTCATAATTCATATTTATTTTCCGGAAAATGGCTACTTTAGGAAAATATGTTGATTGGGCTCCATATTTTTTCTGTTCGCCCATGTAAGGGTGGAAAAGCTCGGACCTCCAGTCGGGCCTAGTACTGGTTATGTTCGGCCCGAAATTTGATTTTCAGGACCGGGCTGCCCCGTTCATCTGTGTTGCCGGAGTATTTCCCGAATGTGAGTCTTCGGCGGGACGTCGAAGCATTTCAAGACCAATCGTCGAGAGCTACTGGCATGGAGGAGCGGAGTCACCGGCGGGGTCGGAGCAGCTTCCTTCAGGGGCAGGGTGACGAGGAGCAAGATGGGAACGTCCACAGAGCTCCTCCTGCTCCGCGCTTCTTCTTTCATCATGTCGGCAATGTGAATGCAGTCTTGGAGGAGATCGATGCCTGCTGCTATTCATCGGCTTGAACAATGGGTCTGATTCTGCCTCTGTTTGGGCCGTCCTTCTTCGGACATGAAGATTGGAAGGTCGCTCTGGGAAAAGTGCGAATACTCATAACATTAATCGCCTGGCCTCCTCACTCATTTTGGATTACATGTCGTCCCCTGCTCTAGGGCTCCGTGACGACTATCTATCGGGGCGATGCGAGGGATGTCTCTATAGTTTTCATGCACGGTTTGATGCACTGCCAGTAGTATATGCACCGCGCCTCTTCGGTACTCCGTCTTCCACTTGCCTGTTATTTTTTCTCCTTCTCCCTCGTCCTATTTTATGTTTCTCACTTTCGGATGAGGTGATCGTTTCCGCGATGTACTATGCTGGCGATTGAGCCGAGGACTTTTTACATGTAGGAAAATTTCTTATTCACAGGTTCATGACAAGCACTTAATTGTTCCCTATTTTAAAACACAGGTCTAAGATTCAGATACAAGTAAAAAACTTAAGCGGTCTGAATGATTCATATTTGAAGGATCTGGTGAGTTGTTAGAATTAATAATAAGTAGAAAATACTAAAAAAATGAAATAGAAATTAGGAAACTGAAAATTATGATTGATATATTGCTCATTTGTCAATATAAATCGTTCTTTTTTGATAAACATCAACAAAAAACATCTTAATTCAGCATTCCGTATGGAAATCTATGGAAGTTTCTTACTTATTATTTTTTTGAATTTACATTTAGATGTCACATGACTGAGATTTATCTTGCGGTACCATCGTTTTTGGATCATCTAAGGGGAATCAGTACGATGGTGTTTTGTGCATGCTGGCGTCAGTCCATGGGTACCGTTAATTTCTGGGTCTTGAGATGTAGATCTTGGTCCAACCTCGGAAGATTGGCATTTCATGCACCGTCATCTGGAGTACCATTAACATTATCTTCATTGAATGTTTCATCCTGAATTTAAAAAATATTTAGGGTCTTGTGCTCCTTGCTTTCCTCTTGTAGCGATGGTAGGGTGCACACAAAAGCCCAAGTGTGCTGGCCTATCTAATTTAGTGATTCGGCCAATTTGGGGTGAATAATAAGAGAGTACGTTGTTGGAAAAAATATTGTGTACTTCAAAGTTGTGATATGTTTTTACGTCTCATGATTGTACGGCCAAGGTTATCCTTCTAATGAATGACATATTGCTTCTATTTTTCGAGTCATATAATTTTAAATCCTTTGAGAATCTGGCCCTGAAATCCCTGAAACTGACGAAAACGGGAATCTAGCATCAGGAAAGATGATGTCGTCCTTGAGAATCTAGCATCAGTGAATATGATGTTTTCCTAATGCCTTACACTTTGAGGATGTAGCATTAAACATATGTGTGTAGTCTTAAAATCTTTTCAACTCTAAGGTACAGATTAAAATACCAAAGGTTATAAGATTGAGTGTCTGAGGAGTATGTTGAGGATCTTTGTGATGCGACGCAGTTCTCATGTTTAGTAGCCATACATGAATGTATTATATTCCTGGACATCAGAATTTACACAATGGGGAAAAATGGTGTAGAACTTTATTATTTCTACAACAACCCTGAAATGGCAAACCATTCAATTTTATCTATAGGGCCATCTCAATACCGAAAAGAACAAGCAGGTACTGTTGAGGGTATATGGAAAGCACTATTGCAGCCTTCACATATTACAAAGTCATAGATACAAACAATATACCGATACAGTCATACTCTGACTGCTTAAACGTGTTACTTTGCAGCCATTGTCTTTGATTGGGAAGGCTTTCCTGTGATGACCTTCTTCACTTTTGCAATTGAGTGTTTGACTTTTGATTTAACACCTGATAATATATTGTGAGATTTCTTATGCGCTGGCTTTGGTTCTCCTTCTGTCATCTCAATTGTCGCAGAAACCTCAGTGACTGATTTGTCTGCATTATGGTCTTCTTCATTCCTCTCTTCTTCTTCATCAGATTTCTTCTCTTCAATTTGCACATCTATTACATCTTTACTTGATTCATCTTTGCTGATTGGGAGATTTTTTTCTTCCGTAGTATTTTCTGGCATATAAATACCTTCGTCTGTAGACCCAGTTTGGAAATTCAATAGATAAAACTTGTCTGAAGTTAATTCTTTTACTTCCTCAACTGGGATTTCTCTGGTGATATGTTCATCAGTAATTCTTCCCTTTTTATCATCTGCCTGAATCCTTACTTTTCCTTCTTGGGTTGATTCTGAAGCTTCTTCTGGTATCTGGTTGACTTCTATAACTGGGCGTATTGATCTCTGTGTAGGATGCTGGATACTCAAGAGAGATTCGCCACTCCCTTGGGATTTCTTTGTTTCAATGACAATCATTTCTGATGAAATATCCACAGTCATAGCTTTTTCGAGCATTTCAATATTTGGATGGCTTTCTTTTGTTTCCTCAAATTCCTGCCTTCCTTCCTCTTGCAATATCTTATTGTTTGGAGTTTCAGCAAGCAATAGGGTCTCTGGACTTTCGTGTAGGTCCTGATTAGCATTGAAGGATTCCCTTTTTTCTGTTGCTTCAGCTTCATCATTCTTTTCGTTGGTCATTGGATCAGGACTTACGATCTCACCATTTTTCTTTTCACATTTTGTTTTACTTTTTTCTACTGCTGCACTCTTCTTCTCGTCTTGGGGTAATTCATGGCTTATCTCAGCCATCAAACCTTCCTTTTTGGCATTGTTGATCAACATTTCTGGCACGGGCAAGACTATATCAGTTCTGTTGAGCTTTTCTTCATCACTGTTGTTTGGACTGTTTTGTTTGTCACTGCTCTGATCTTCCAGTATCAATGTAACATCATTGGAAACTTCAATTGGATTTTGTGACGTACATTCTTCTGTCTTTTCTTGTTTGTCTGATGAAAGGTCTGAGTTCTCCTGCTGTCTTGTATTATCCGCTCCTCCAAAACAATCTTTGGCGTCATCTTCTTTGATGACAATGCATTGCTTGTCACCTTCTTCTCTCAGTATTCTGTCTGTCAGTAGCTGTGACACAGGCAAATGGCTAATGCCAATCTGTTTGTTTTCTTCCCTTTGTGATGTATCAATTTCGGGAAGTTTATCATTCTCATCTCTTATTGGCTTCACCTCTTGCCTTTCTTCCGTCATGAGTTTTTCTTCCACTGGTACTAGTGTGGGAGGAGCATCTGCTATCCCAAGACTCTGTGATTTAAACCCAACGATTGTGGCTTCCAATTGATGCTCATCACTATTATCTGATATTGCTCCCAATTCCCATTCTACTGATGAAGAAGAGTGGTCAACTTTGTAAACAGGCTCATCTTTTATACATGTGATACCGTTGATATCAGTTACCTCTGAACATGGAAAATGGGTTTTGGCTGGCTGTTCTTCAGTTAACTGTGATGCACTGCTTTTTACTTCCATTGGAAAGTTTCTTTTTTCTTCAGTTGTTGTATTATCTTCACGAATAGACCCTTCAGTTAAAGCAGGACATGTTTTCTTGAGTTCTTCACTTGCTTGCACAACCTTGGCTTCTTCGTTTGATCCTTCATGAGCTTCCCTATGTGTGGTTTCATCCAGATCTTTCTTGTCTCCTATTTGCTCGGTGTAAACAATCATTAACTCACTTCTGATTGACTGGCTTCTTGAGGGCATCTTTAAACTATTATGCGTAGGAAAATACCTTATTATTGTGAAAATGGGGAAAAAAATAAAAGGAAGTTGTGAAATACAATTTTTTTTATTCTTATCTCACCTTGTGAAAGCTGTCATTTCATCAAACTCGTTACTCACTTCTGTGACAGTTGATAGATTTGGTTGTTCATCCCTGGATTCCTTAGCTTCTGTCCCCAGACTCGAGCACATCATTCCAAAATCATGTTTGAAGGATTCACTATTAGATTCCTTGTCCTGCATAACAAGTAAATATAATTTAATGATGGAATATTAATAAACAAATCTGTCCTAGTAGTTCCACTTACATTCTCCCGGTTGCTTTCTTCCGCTGGTGCGCACAAAACTGATAAGCTGCAAGCTTCCTCCTGTTTCTGCTCGTATGTAGTGCTCCCCAATGTTTCGGCATTCTGCTTTGATGAAATTTTGTTATATGTATATTTAATCTGTTATATAACAGGAATAATTCAGCTAGAAACTCAACATAACAATAAACAACAATTTTTTGTACCAATTCGACCTCTTCATTTGGATTTGTTTGTTCAGCAGTCTCTAATTGTCTGGCCCGTTCTTCATCCTGACCACAAGGCTTTTGTGTCTTTGTTGATTCTTCTGTGACTGTTCTTTCTTGTTGGTCGTTGCTGTTACTTTCAGCCTCTGTTTCTACAATGTTGTTTGCCTTCTCAGGCCCATCTAGATCTGTGGGGATGTTTTCACATGCCCTTGTTCCATGTTTGGCTTCTGTTTCAACTTCTTCGGAACTTTGTTCAAATGTTGGATGCTCAATGTTTGTGCTACAAATTTCCTTGGAATCTCTCTCTACCTTTACGCTTTTGTCCTCTATGTTCACATCCTCAGTAGGTATGTTGAGTGATTTTGACGTTGCACTAGTGCTCTCTTCCATGTTTGTGGACGGATTTTCTTCTCTTGCTTCCTCCTCTGCATTGCTGATGTCAGTACTTCCTAGTTTATCAGTTGTTTCTGGTTTGCCACATTGTTTTGGGTTCTTTTCTTCCAGAATATTATGCAGGTCTGTTGCAGTCTCTGCTTCAGAATTTTCTTCCATGGTTTGAATATTATAATAAGCTTCAACCTATCCAAGAGAGATGAATGGCATAAAAACTTTAGAAAGTCATAAAGAGTGATGTTTAATGCGTTGATAATAGTGAACTACCTCTTGGTCTTCGACTCTTGCTGGTGTGATATTTGAATCGTTTTCTGTGCTTCTCTGATTGTTTTGTAGCTTCACAGATGTTAGGTCTGGTTCCAGATTAGCAGTGCCTTGAATCTGCAATTACCACGCACCAATAATACTACTTGATATTAAAGAAGGCAATGGCAGATTTTGACGGGGTTGATAAATTGAGAAACATATGAATTGTGCAAGAATTGAAGATTTGAAGTTTCTGACCTTTCTAAGTTCAGCACTTTCACAGTTGTGATCCTCTTCTAAGATATTCTTTCTACCTGGAGTTTCAGTCTCTAACATGTCTTTGCCACATTGCTGGTCAGTTGTTGCTTTTGTGTCTTCTAGTTTGGGAATTAAGCCAGTTTCAACCTATCAAACAGAGTTGCATTAGGGAAAACAATTCTGGCCTCCATTCGGATACATTTGGTTAAATTATTTACTCACCTTTTCATTAGGATTCGTTGCTTGTACAATGTCATTAGTCTCTTCCAGATCTTTGGGCTTGTTTTTACATGCCTCCTCCTCAAGTTTTGCTTCTATTATGTCCTCAAAGCTTTCTCGTTTCATCATCGTATGAGAAGATTTTTGTCCTTTTTCCTCTTCTACAATGCGAATGTTGAACCTTCCTGGTTCATCAATGGATTCTTGGTCGTCAGGGTTTTTAGCCATCATTTCTTCTACCAAGATATTATGTTCATCTGTCTGATTTTCTTCTGATTTGTGATGAAGTCCAGTATCCTCTAATACTTCAATTTTGATTGGTTCTGTTGACATTGTTGTTTCAAATGTTTTCTCTACTGTTTGGAAGGTGGAAACTTTGACCTGTCCAGAGAAAGAAAGTGATAAAAAACGTTAATGATGATATGAATAGTGAGGTTTAATATTTCTTCTACAACACCTCTTGAAGTACCTCTTGTGTTTCAACTTTTGCTAAAGTAGTGGTTCCAGATTCATTTTCTATTTTTCTCCGATTGTCTTGTAGAATCAAATCAGATTTGATCTGTCAAACATATGACCTTCAGATTAGAAGAAACATATTGCGCATGCCATGTGTACATTAGCTTATTTTCCTAAAATACCTCTTGATTTGGAGCGCCTCTTTCTTCAGTCTCTTCTGATTTTGCAGTTCTATTGTCTACATCCGTTGGCTTCCTTTTAAATGCCTCTTCCTCAAGTTCTGCTTCCATCTCAACTTCCTCAACTTTTGTTTTTGACATTGAATATCTAATATTGATGTTTTCGGAAGCTTCCTCTTCTTTTGTGTTGTTTTTCTCATTGTCCGCATCCTCTGGTGGTATCTCGGATCCATTTAACGGTGTACCACTGTTCTCTTCAATTCCCGTACATGAATCTTCTTGTCTTCGTTTTTCCTCTCCTACATTGTGGATTTCTCTTACTGGATCGCTGACAAGTTCTATTTCATTCGCCTCTATCTTTTCTTTGAAGATAGTTTGTTTGGTGCTCTTGTTTCCCTCTGCTCCAGTGTGGAATTCTATATGCTCGACTGATCTCGTTTTGACTGGTTCTGCTTCAGGTGTTGCTCCAAATGCTTTCTCTATAATATGGAAGCTAGAAGCTTCAACTTTGCCCTAAAAGGAAAAATGGCTCAAAAAGTTATGGCAGGTACAAACAGTGAGGTATAATATTTCGCACAAAATTACCTCTTGGCTTTCAATTGTTGTTATTGTCGCAACTTCTCGTTCATTTGGCTTGTTTACCTGATTTTCTTGAAGCTGCATGTGCCCTGCGCTTGTTTCTGAATCAATAGTGTCTTGGATCTGTTATAGCATAAAAACCGTTAGTCTTTCTTGAGAGGAACCGATAGAAATGAAATTTTTTATTGATTGTGACAAAAGAGTGACACATAAAAACTTCTAAGCTTTGGGATTGACATTTTTAGCTTTCTATTTTCAGATTCTTCATCATTGTTTTGATACGCTTGTGAGATGATCTTTCTATTGCTACATCTTGGTCAGATCCAAGGTCACTTGTTCCTTTCAACCATTCTCCTGTAGGAATCAAGTCAGGTTCATCCTGTCAAATAGGAGTTAATTTAGAAGGAATGAATTATTCATTCTTTCAGGGGAGCCTAGGTTCTGTTTGTGGCCTATCACTTCATTTTGAGTGTCCATTTCTTGAGTATCATTTTCATCAATTATTTAATCTAGACCTTTAGGAGTTATTTCGGATGCCACTTTATATCTCTTTTTCTCACATCTTCAGCAGATATCTCAAGGACCTTTGACACTATGCTAGAGTTATCTTCAATGGTTGCATATGACTTTTCTTGTTTTCTTCTTTCCTCTTCCACTGCGTTGATGACAACACTTCCTGTTTTATCCCTGGATTTTGATCCATTTAGGTTTTTTCCAAGATACTCTTTTCTGAGGTCAATGTTGATAGTTCTTGACCAGTTATTCTTTCTTCCAAGTCCTTTTTGTGTGTATCTGCCATTGTCTCTGTTTCTCTCTTTTTGCGATTGGGCTTCAAGTGGGCAATTATGCCTTCCACTTTTAACTCTTCAAATGTTTTTGTTGATAATGATGGTGAATCACTGGTTTCCGTCACTCCCGTTTCATTCACCATTTCATGGTTGCTGTCCTTACATTGACATTCTGAGTCTCTCCCACACTTCTCATTCTGTCTGGACATATTATCCTCTGTTTTTTCTTCAGTTTTGATGATTTGAAGAAGATGAGCAAGAGTGTCCTATAACTCATTCATACATCCTTGAAATCAAATGAAAAACTTGTGGGATAAGTCAAATAGGGTGATACCTAAATTGAGAACAGATGTCCAATGTTATATTTCTTACCTCCTTTATGAGGATTATATCTTGTCTTTTTCCTTTCTCCAAACATCCTTTTGTAGGCTCCTCAACAAAGTTGTGTAGGTTGGCACTCTTATGATTCATTTATATTTCCATTAGTTCAATAAATGTAATAGTATGAACTAATGGCTCAATAAATGTAATACAAGTCTAATGAAAGCATATAAGACGTACACAGATGTTTGGCATCACATTTCCTATCTCCTGCTCTGCAATGACAGCATCTTGGTTCTTTTCCTTCTGTATTGATGCATGTGCAGTCTCATCGGCCAAGTTATCCAAGTTGAAGTCCTGTGAATCATTTTAAGATTCATGAAGTCAAATTTATACGATGTGAGATGAATGAAATGAAAATATTTTAGGAAGAAAAATAATATCCACAGGCCATTGTCCACCTTTTCCTCTGTAAATTTGACATCCTTGTTATCTTCTTGGTCAATGTGTACAAGTGCTGTCTGTTCAGTCACCTCCTCTGGGTCTAACCTCTATAATTTATATGTAAAAAATCGAATTGGTAATGCGTGATATAAAACAATACTACATAAAATAAGCGAGAATAGTCAACATCAAAATAAAGTTCTCCAGGATAGAGCCCTGTAAATGTTTTTGTTAGGTCTGTGACATCAAATGAGAAACACGTGGTGCAGCTCGAAGGTGTATAAGGTAAGTAAAGAGTGTTCACTATCCAGCTTGTTACCTCATTCTCAGTAATGACCACATCCTTGGCCTTTTCTGTCTCTATCTGTACACTTGTAGACTCCTTGACCACAGTGTCTTGGTTAAAACCCTTGATTACATTCACATGAGCATGCAAGCATATTAACAACATGTGGCGCGAACGAAATTAAACTGTCAGAGGTGAATCAGAAGTTGATCGCATGATATACCTCGTGCTCTGTTGCTGTCGCATCTTCGCCGTTTTGTTTCTGTGCATATGAGTTTGTGGCCTCCTCAGTCGCCTCCTTTAGGTTGGGGTTCTGTCATTGATTTAGAGATCCATTAACAACGCGTGGAAACATTTTGTGATGAAATTACTGGTGTACAAGAGTAGCAGCGGGCATTATTTGGTTCTCACCTCCTCATTGGCTGCTATCTGCTCCTCTCCGTGTTGTTCTTTATTCTGGTCTTCATTTTTCTCCACCTTTGTCTCAGCATTCTGGACTCTGGAAGAGCTCTCGTCTTTGTCCGCATCATCTCCTTGGTCAGAGTCTACACCACCAGTCGTTTTCCCATCTCCAGAGGATGGCGCTTCCGGGTGAGTTTTAAGGTCCTCACCGTCTCCTTCGAGGCTTTGTGGGGCGACCTCCACATGGGCATCCTCTAGGGCCGCCATATGATCAGCACTTGGTGCGTTTGACTTTGGAGGTCCATTCGTGTCTTGAGTGGCTGGAGGTTGTGTCGTTGGTGCTTCGTCTTCCTCCTGCTCGTTGTGGTCCTCGACCTGGGTGTCCAGGTGATTTGGATCCAGGGCTTTCGGATGTGGGTCTTCTTCCACTACCTCGTGGGTTGGTGGAGCAGTATTGTCATGCTCTGGTTCGTTCTGTAGGCATTTTCCTTCTGCAGACTGTTGAGTAAAATCGTCTGTTCGGAAGGTGCTCTCGTCAGTTGTAGCTTCTTGTTTTGGAGTGTCATCGGCTAATGAAACGGCGGGGTCTTGATTCTCATTGAGAAACAGGCTTTCAGGATGCAGGGGAGCCTTGTTACCGTCGAGAGCTTCCTTCTCTGAGGTCTCATCGTTATGATGGATGGCTTTAGGAACTTTAGTGTCTCGGTCTAATGTAGGATCTTCATCTGAATGCTGGTGTTCCGGTTTTGGAGCCTCCAGAATGAGCTGGTCGCCATTCGTTGAGATACCCTGCACAAGGCGTTTGGTCTCTGAATGGCTCGTAGGTGGTGGTTCCAGGTCTTCTGTGCTCCGCTGTTCAATGTGTTCTTCTAAAGAGGGTTCCTGGTCTCTCTGGTCTTCAGGCTGTTCCTTCTGTGGGGTAGTAGAGTCAGAATCATTGTCTTCTGGTGCTGGTGGAGGCTCCGAGGCAGGCCCATCACTGGGAAAAGTTTCATTAGCTGCATTAACCACAGCGGATCCCAAGTGGGCAGCATTTTCATCCTCTGATTGGGTCAGGTCTGTCGGCACTGCAGGTTTCTTTTGGGGCATTGAGTCAGTCGGTTCTTGAGCTGAATTTGTTGGGCTTCGGTCATGTTCCAGAGCTGATTCTGGGGAGCTCTGAAGTATGAAAAAATCATGATTCAGGTACTGGTTGGTCTTTCTTGGAAGTTTGCCTAGAAATATTATTAGAACAATAATACATGCGCAAAGCATACTCATGTGTAAACTCTGTCTTCTGAAAAAGCTCTATCGATCGGTCATGAAACCAAGAGTAACTTGTGCAATAAGTCACGTAAGAGTATACATAAATTCAGCTGGGGTTTTCCATGTCACATTTCTTACCTCTTGTGCGACAACACTATCTAGGGTGTTTTCTTTCTCCAAGCACGCTTTTGTTGTGTCCTCAGTCAGACTCTCTCGGTGAGTGTTCTGTAGTTCAATTATAATTCCTTTAGGTCGCATTAATAATGAATGACATAGGTTGAATCGTGGAAATATGACGAATAAGGATGGTTTGGCATCACATTTCCTACCTCGTCTGTAATGATAGTATCTTTGCACTTTTCCTTTCCTGTAGATGGATTTCCGGTATCATCAGCTATGCTTTCAAAGTTGGAGTCCTGAGAATCATGTTTGGATTCGTGAAATCAAATTTATGACACATGACGTGATTGAAATGAACATATATAGGATGAAGCAGAATTCTCAGGGATTCATGTCCTACCTTTTGCTCTGTAACTATTGCGTCCTTGCTCTCTTCCTCCTCAATGTGTACATCTGTTGTCTGTTCAGCCGACTTCTCTAGCTCCGAGCTCTATAATTTTGTTAGAAATAAGTGAAGTTGGTAGTTGGTAATGTGCGATAGAAAATCGAAGAAACAACGTATGGCAGATGAGGATGGTCGTCTTCGCTGTTTCTTACATCCTGTCTTGAAGTATGTACATCTTCGCTGTTTGCTTTCACTGCATGCACATCTGCAGTATCCACAGTCAGGTTCTCTGGGATGGAGGCCTGTAAATTTTTTGGTTAAATGCGTCACACCAAATGAGAACTACGTGGTGCAGCTCAAATGAAAGTGGATATGGTGAATAAAGAGAGGGTTCAGTATCCAACTTGTTACCTCATTCTCGTTAACGAGCACATCATGGTCGTCATTTTCTTTCTCTATGTGTCCACTTGTAGACTCAGGCGCGGTGTCTTGGTTAGAGCTCTTGATTTCATTCACATGAGCATACAAGCACATTAAGAACATGCGGCGCTAACGAAATTGAACTGTCAGTGGTGAACCAGAAGGTGAGTGCTTGATATACCTCGTGCTCTGTTGCCGTCACATCTACGCCTTTTTGTTTATGTGCATGTGAATATGTGGTCTCCTCACTCGCCTTCTCTAGGTTGCGGTTCTGTCATTGATTTGGAAATCCGTGAAATAACCACAACACGTGGAAACATTCTGTGATGAAAGAACCAGTAAATAAGAGGAACAGCGGGCATTTATTCGGTTCCCACCTCCTGATCGGCGAGTATCTGCTCCTCTCCGTGTTGTCCTTCGTTATGGCCTTCCTTTTTTTCCCCCTCTGTCTCAGCATGCGACACCCTGGAAGAGCTTTCATCTTTGTTTGTGTCGTCTCCTTGGTCAGAGTCTGCACCACCTGTCGTTGTGCCATCTCCGAAGGATGGTGCTTCCGGGTGAGTGTCAAGGACCTCATCGTCTCCTTCGTGGCTTTGTGGGGCGACCTCCACATGGGCATCTTCAATGGCCTCCGTACGGTCAGCACTTGGGTCGTATGACTTTGGAGGTTCGT